AGCCAACCACAGCCCAATATAGTATCTTCCTACTATGTAACTGGAAAACCATACTCTTTTCCCACCACTACTACAAATAGCCGATTTTACAGTAAACTTACCGTTCAGGATATCCAGCGCTTACCGTTCAGGATACCCAACACTTACCGTTCAGAATACCCAACACTTACCGTTCAGCATATCCAACGCTTACCGTTCAGGATATTCAAGTTCCAACGCTTACCGCTCAGGATACCCAACGCTTACCGTTCAGGTTATCCAACGCTTACCGTTCAGGATAACCAACGCTTACCGTTTAGGATACCCAGTTCCACCAAGCTCTTTTTGTCCAATCAAACTTTTTCAAATACACTAACAGCGACAGGGTACATAAGCGTTAGAGGTTTTGCAGGTAAATGCGCCTATTCCTTAAGGAATTGTTAAGGGTGGTCCGTGTTCCACTGCAAATTTACTGGTGTTGGTCTTAACACAATACCCGTGTTTTGTGGGCTGAGCTATCTTTATATGTTTCTGATACAATACATTCTCTTTGTCTTCCAGCTTGATCTTGCCAGAAAGCTACCGGTGATTTATCAGACTCAGACTCAAACATCTACATAAGAAATTCAATGCCTCGCTCAGCGTCGGAACGCTGGTTACAGCCCGGAATTTAGATTCCAACCTTTGTGCTTCGTCAAGTTAGAACAACTACAGACTCGATTACCCCAATCACCTAATGGTACAATACAGTAATCACCTACCTTCGAATGTGTGTAAGGTACTGCCGAACTGGCAGTCTTATTGGTCCCTCACCTTTTACTGCACAGCTTGGTGCACATCAAGTCGGCTTGAATTATAGGCTTGAAGCGCCTCTGATCTGGTCGCAAATGATTTGGCCCAGATACACATCGAGGTCCATCAAGTTGATGTTGTTGAAGCACGAAGCTTGAGGAGCTGAGCTGTTGTAGATTTGGTCATCGACATCCAACATTGGGACGTCGCCCTCCTCGTCGGGTCTAAAGGCTGCGAGGGATCCTTCCAGCAGTCTCTGCATGAGCCGGTCGAGCATAAAGCAGGCTTTTGCTGGCATGTACAGTTCTTGGACGATTTGTCGTTCGCTTAGGCCGTCTGCCACACGCTTGTTGCAGTATCCGTCGAGAAGCATAGCAGTTACGACGACCAAGTCTCTCAACACTCTTGGGTTAATCGTACCAGTCATCATGAACTCGGTGATGAACTCGGCCAAGGGTTGCCGCGGGCTCATGTTCCATTTCTTTGCATTTGCATTGCGACTGTCATTGTATTTCGGGGTGTTCATGTTGCTGCCATTGTTGCTGTTGCTGTTCTTGCGGTTGTAGTTGTGGTTGTAGGTGTTCTGGGTTTGGTTCTGGTTATGATTGTTATTATTGCTGTTGTTTCTGTTGCTGTTGCTGTTGCTGTTATGATTCTGATCGTGGTTTTTGGGATGAGTGTTGTTGTTCGACCCGTTCGGTTTGCCGGTTCTCTGGTGGCTGTCCGTCCTCTGGCCTTTATGCCCCTGCCTACCGTTCCCACCATGGCCGCTGTCGGTCCGAGTGTTATGGCTCCGATCCCTATGGCTTCGTTCGCCCATGTCTAGGTATTCAATGCCGGTTAAGCGGGTCTCAAGTTGATAGGTATATGCTGAAGTGCGATGTGCGCCTTTTGCGTCTTCGGGTCGTAGCTCGGATCTCAAGTACGGGTTATCCTACACTGCTATCCTGATCACTCTTTTTCCACGTCAGAGAGAATGGGTGGGGGCTAGGATTATTATATGTAGTCGATGGCTTTGTCATATTGTTCTCGGACTGGTACAAAGACATTATACACCAGTGGTTGGGGGCATCGCAGCGGGCAGGGACACTTCCGGGATGCCTTTGTCTTTGGCTTGACCAACTTGGATAATGTCCTTGTTCATGGTCCGGGAGACACTGGATTCCGGGAATAGCAATGGCACCCATTCGAGGCTATCATTTGACACCTGTAGGAACCCTTGCGGCTTCTTGAGAACTAGCACAGGATCAGCTCGAGCACACTTGAGTAAGCTAACATGGATCGGGGAAGCAGACCAACATTCTCTTGGCTCCGCTCGAAAGGATCTCGAAGAGATGGTTTGGAGGAGAGATGAGAAGAGAAAGAGGCATCGACGGTATTCTACTAATTCAGTGGTCATGGTGAGAAGATTTGGGTACCCGTACTAGGGGTATTGGCGAGCGCTCGTTCCGTTCGCAGCGAGAGTGTGAGTTATGGCACCGGCTACTGCCGGCAAGTTATTCCTCTCAAGGTAGCGTACACTAAGTTAGGTAGCTCTGTAACGTAGTCAATATTCGGCCAGAGTGAAGGAATTTCACGACGGGAGGGGGACGTAGGCGAGTGCAAATACGAATATGTAATTACATTACAGGCGGTTTCATACACTTACAACGTCAGTGGAGTTTCAGTCGACTTCTCGCAAGGTTTCACCTGTTGGCCGGACATCTGTGGGACCTTGATCTGCAAGCGGCCACCACGGATGCACACCCCGCATCGAACATGGGAGAACCGTGATGCTAAACTGTCAACCGTGTCGTCATAATCATTGGTTGAGCGCGCCGCTGCTGAGGTGCAGCAGTGAAATGGGATGTGGGGACGGACCCATCCGTGGGCCATCCGATGGGCGGAATGACGCAGTTGGCGCTGAAGTCAATTGTGTCGTCCAAGATCCGGGTAGCACTCGTGTATTGAACCGTCCACGACCCGGCAGAAGACAGGCTCGTGTTACTCCAAACAGACAGCCAGTACTGCACATACATTAGACTCTCTTGAACAGGATGAGAAGTGGAAGATAACGTTCAAGAAAAGGATGTAATGTTATGTTTGTACGGATACAGTACGGCATATAGTACAGTGCCGCAATCCTTGGCGCTAAAATGCTCAACCAAGCAGTGCAGTGCAGCTACCCTGGCTCGTTCTGATTTTTCACGAGGTACTTTTTAAACTGGAATATCAGGTCTAAACTACAGAGGCCGACACCTCTTGGAAGGATGAACTTCATATCTTGGTATGCCGCTAGTGGCAACCGAGGAGGTTGGGAGCTCCCCTTGTAGGTTGTGGATCATGCAACTTCGACGATAAAATGTAGGTATAATAAACCGACGTTGCAGGCTTCCGAGCTTAGGTTGTCCTTCCCCCGCGCTACTTGGACCTGGCACATCGTCAGCTTTCACCAACCATCTGCGGCAGACGCCTCCCCCTTCCATCCCGCGCCACCTTCTCGAGAAATTATTCTCGACGGCTTCCCATCGTCTAGTCTCCGTCTTCGTTTATTCCCACGTGCTTTACTTTACCGTTATTCCGCTGTGCCCTCAGTTCCTGCAGCACAGCCATTATTTAAACCCTCCGATCCCAATCTCCTACCTGACCTACCTAGAGCTCGGGTCTTGCAGCCTATTCCTGCTGGTAATTGCTAAAGAGGTTCTCTCTTTCTCTGTTTGTCTCTAGACCATCAGCTGCGCAGTAGACGGGCAATTCGTTATCCATCCGCGTCCAATCGATTCAAAATGGCGAGTGAGGATCCAGAGTCGCAGCCCCGTGAGGTGAAGAACCACCTTCTCTTCGAGATTGCGACAGAAGTCGCGCACAGGGGTATGGTTTCCAGATTCCGTGGTGATCAATTGAGGTGGGAGAAAGGCTGATTCTTTTTTCCGCCCAGTTGGCGGCATCTACTCTGTCATCAAGTCCAAGGCCCCGGTAACAACCGCAGAATATGGCGAGCGTTACACTCTCATTGGGCCTCTCAATCACCAATCGGTACGGCTTTAGTCTAACAAAGGCTCCGTGTTTCTCTATGCGAGTTCGGCCGGCACTAACGGCGTTCAGGCGGCCGTCGAGGTCGAGGCCATGGAGCCGACCAACCCAGAGCTTGCCGCCACTATCCAATCGATGAAAGAGCGCGGCATTGGCATTCTGTACGGACGATGGCTGATTGAGGGTGCGCCGAGGGTACTTCTCTTTGACACAAAAACAGCATATGGTTACATAAATGAGTGGAAGGCAGATCTCTGGAATCTGGCCTCGATTCCGTCCCCTGACAACGATGAGGAGACCAACGAGGCCGTTGTCTTTGGCTATTTGGTTGCATGGTTCCTCGGCGAGGTTAGTAAAGACGCCAATCCAGGGACGGTCACCCCGACTGACATCGCTGTAGTTCGTATGCCACGAAAAGAAGAAGGCGGTTATTGCGCACTTCCACGAGTGGCTCGCCGGTGTTGCGCTTCCTCTGTGCAGGAAGCGGCAGATTGACGTCACGACCATCTTCACCACCCATGCGACTTTGCTAGGCCGCTACTTGTGCGCCGGCTCGGTCGACTTCTATAATAACCTCCAGTGGTTTGATGTGGATGCCGAAGCGGGCAAGCGAGGAATCTACCACCGGTACTGCATTGAACGAGCTGCTGCGCATTCCTGCGACGTCTTTACTACCGTCTCCCACATCACGGCTTATGAGAGCGAGCACCTGCTGAAGCGCAAACCCGATGGCGTCCTCCCCAACGGCCTCAACGTCACCAAGTTCTCGGCGGTACACGAATTCCAGAACCTGCATCAGCAGTCCAAGGAGAAGATCCACGACTTCGTGCGGGGCCATTTCTACGGCCATTACGACTTTGACCTAGAGAACACGCTCTACTTCTTCACAGCCGGGCGCTACGAGTTCAGAAACAAAGGCGTCGACATGTTCATAGAGTCTCTCGCTCGTCTAAATCACCGGCTCAAGGCAGCTGGCAGCAAGACGACCGTTGTCGCCTTCATCATCATGCCCGCTCAGACATCATCCTTGACCGTCGAGGCCTTGAAGGGCCAGGCTGTGATCAAGTCGCTCCGCGACACTGTGGACACGATAGAGCGGAATATCGGGCGGCGCATATTCGAGCGGTCGCTCAAGTGGCATGACGGGGACCCGATGCCGGATGAGAAGGAGCTAATCACCGGCCAGGACCGCGTCCTCCTCCGCCGGCGCCTGTTCGCCATGAAGCGGCATGGGCTGCCGCCGATTGTCACGCACAATATGGTCAATGACCATGACGATCCGATCCTGAACCAGATCCGACGAGTACAACTTTTCAACCACCCTAGCGACAGGGTCAAAATCATATTCCACCCAGAGTTCTTGAACTCAGCGAACCCGGTGCTGCCGCTTGACTATGACGACTTTGTGAGGGGCACGCACCTGGGCGTCTTCGCGTCGTACTATGAGCCGTGGGGCTATACCCCAGCCGAATGCACTGTGATGGGCGTACCGAGCATCACAACAAACCTTTCAGGTTTTGGCTGCTACATGGAGGAACTGATTGAGAATTCGAGTGACTACGGTATCTATATTGTGGATCGCCGGACCAAAGGGGTAGACGATTCGGTCAACCAGCTCACGTCATACATGTTCGAGTTCGCGCAGAAGAGCCGTCGGCAGAGGATTAACCAGAGAAACCGGACTGAGCGTCTGAGTGACTTGCTTGACTGGAAGCGGATGGGCATGGAGTATGTGAAAGCCCGTCAGCTCGCCCTGAGACGGGCCTATCCAACCTCATTTGAGGGCGAAGACGAGGAAGACTTCATCCCAGGCGTGGAGCAAAAGATTTCCCGTCCATTCTCTGTGCCTGGCTCCCCGAGAGACCGGACTGGCATGATGACCCCAGGCGACTTCGCAAGTCTCCAGGAGGGACGCGAGGGCCTCAATACCGAAGACTATGTGGCTTGGAAGCTGCCGTAAGTTCTATTGGCTTCCAAGGTCCTTCTGAAGCCTTTTTGGTCTTTGCTGACAATGTTGCAGAGAAGAAGAGGATCCTGACGAGTATCCCTTCCCGCTAACGCTGAGGACAAAGCGGTCGGGGCCCGGAAGTCCCCTGGACGGAGTGAAGCTGAACGGCAGTTGATTTCTGAATCCTCTTGCTGATCGAGTAGGGTCGCTATCGATGGTGACTTCCTGTCGACAGAAAAAAGCAACAGCATCTTCGGCAGGTCATATATCAAGCATTCGTACATGCGGCTTCTTTGGAGATGTAATATGGTTGTCGCGCATCTGTGCGTCAGGTGAGTCGGTGTGGAAATCAAGAAGCTATCTGAGGGCCGGTAATCGCCGGTGAGACACGAGGTGGTCAATGTATCCAACCACCACGCATAGCCGGCTTCATAAAAGCATTCGATATAGCGAAAGCATTAAATTGAACTAGGGTGTTTAGGCAAGGCCTGGTCTCTCTCCTCGACGGAGCAACTACCCCGGAAACAGTCAGGTGCAACCAGTGAGTCTGTACTGACGACGACCCCAATCGCTACTTCCACCTGTATATCATCGGTCGAGAGAGCATGGTCCTAATCCATCTAGCTGGCTTTATTGGCATTCTCTTGCTCATTTCGTCACTCCACTTCTGATCATAAGAGTATGTTTTACGAGTAGTGAAGCTCTCGATGCTTTGGATAGGCTCGTCTCATGGTCAAAGACGGCAGACGACAGAGAGAAAAACAATACATTCCTCAGCTGTGTATCTGCACCCTTGCTCCCAGCCAGACACACTAATTCCCGTTCTCCCACTTGATGCCGGCACTCTGGCAGGGAATCACAACTTCGACGGAGACGGCCGCGTTCCAGCCGCACTCCCCCCGCACCAACATTCCAGCACTGAGGAGATTCGTATGCAGCTCGATATCAAACAGAAGGATCCTCATCTGCCGTCAACAACTCTGGAGAAGGCAGCAACCACTTGACACTCAAGAAAAAGCACCCTGACAACCATGGCTCGGTCAGGGCAACAGAAGCTCACCGACTTGGTGAACGGTCTCCAAGAGCGCGGTGCTCTCAAGAGAAATGCGTACCCGATAGTCCTTGGTAATGTGATGCTGCCCCTAGGTACTATTCCATGCACACTAACCGTTGAGAAGTTGCGGGCTTTGCTAGCTTTGGCGAACCTATATTTGGGACGATCAACTACTGGGGAGGTTTCGAAGATCTTGCTTCGGCGCTGCAAGAGAGTACAGGCGCTCCGGTCATCCTCACCCGCACCGGCCCTTTTTCGACCAACTGGGAGCGTGCCTGTGAGGTGTATTGCCAACTACGCAAGATCCAAGCTGCAGGGTATGTTTGTAAGGCCCTTGGACAGTGCTTTACACACAGCCGCCGCTAATGGGATCAACATAGCCCAGGGAGCGGGTTCGATACTTCACCGGCTCAACAAACCCGGATTCCAATCCAATATGGGCAGTACATCCCTCTTCCCCCGCGACCTCAGAACTATACAAAGCAAGCTGTCGTCCTGGGAAACCTCCCTTCCGACTGGGTTTGGAATGCAAAGCATCCCGTTCATATGATATGCCATTCACAAGGAGGCAACACGGTCCGCCTACTCAGCGAGCTGTTGTCTGGGAGACATGGGCCACAAAACCCTGCATACTTTGGCGCAAACCTAGGGAATAGGCAGGAATGGATTAGGGGCGTCGTGACGCTTGGTACCCCGTTCCTCGGTACCACCATTACTAGTGTCATCTTCGACGTCAGTTGGCCTAATACGATGTGTTTCATCCTCGGGTGAGGACGTTGCTGATGTGGTTCATTATAGGAGATACTGCGAGATGTACAAGTCGATGAAGTGATCTCTCGGCTAGTTGTTTCCGCATCTCTTAATCCGAGCCGGTTTGTCGACCTCCAACTGGACCATTGGGGATTTAGGCCTCAGGCATGCGAATCCTTTCTGGATATGCACCGGCGTCTCAAGGGGAATATCAACGCTTGGTGGGCTTCGGATAACAACGCTGTCAAAGACAATGGAATCCAGGGGATTGCCAGACTGAACCGCGACTTTGCTCCTCAGCCGTCTGACAAGACGTATTACTTCACCATGTCTTTCGATGCCACCAGGCCCATTCCCACCCAACATGTGTCGCCGTTGGCCCAAGATCTCAAAAACTTTCCACTTCATCCTCTCTTGTCGCTTGGGGGGCTGCTGTACCCCGGGCCTTTCGACCTTGCAGCCAAATTCGCCTCTGGTTTCGTCAGCCTTACCCACCGAGTACCCGGAGCGCCCAGTGTTCTTGCGTACGCAAAGTGGGCCGCTGGGTTCGCCAACAACCTTCTCGCTGCTTTGGGCTACCAGATTCGGGTTCCTATCCCCGGGAGCCGAATTCCCCTGGCTGACATGCTTCCCGTCCTGACCATCTTCTCGGTCGGGATGAGCGGAAAGGGCGAGTCAGTGGGATTCTCGGCAAAGAATGATGGCATTGTCGACACAGCGTCAATGCGTGGCCCGGCGCTAGGAACTGTCGACGAAATTGACAACTTCAACATGGCGTCCATCCAAGCCAACCGAGGTGTCTACTGGCACCTGGGCTTGACCGAAGGTGTTGACCACGCTGACGAAGTTGGCGTCTTTACTGATACTGCTACGGTGAGCACCAGGAGTCGACTTGCTTTTACCACATAAGAGAGACAGCTGCTAATTGTGAGACAGTACGATACGGTGCGAAAAATGTACGAACAGCTTGGAGACTTCCTGTCTGCTCTCTGACCATGTGCGGCTGGCTCCCATGGAGCTTTAATAGCCCGTCTGTCTCTCGATGCAAACGACCGGTCCGTATTGAAGCATTGGACTATATCGCGTGCTCTAGATCCTTCTTCAGGGGTTAGGTTCATGGCTGGCTTTTTGACTTTAAACCCCTTGGGCTTCTATCCCCCTGAACGGGGTATACGGATTACGGAGACTGTTGGGAAGAATTGTTACTTGTATACTTATAATCACTCACAAACATGAGCCTCCATCCAACATTCATCCAACATCCAATTTATTTTTGTTTGTCTTGCTTGTCCACCAGGACAAGATCTGCATTGCGCGGACCGTGCCGCCCCAGGCTGCTTTCCTCGCCTCCTCCTAGATACTTATTTACCCATATGCTTGCCTCTCCTTCACATTCCCCCTTTTCTGGTGTTTCGATGTTATTACGGAGTACTCGGCCGCACGATTGGATGTGATGCATCTTCCTACTACCTGCCCCAATAACTGGTTGTCTCCAGCATTTGACCGCACGCCGGCGCCAGCTTCCCCGCGTTTGGAATGCATGGTGGTTTCCCCACAGCACTTCTTGCTCTGCAGGAGAGGAGCCGTGAGCAATGTGAGCAATCGTAAACACAAGACAAAGGCCAAACCATCAACTGCCAGTTTGTATTGACGGGCGGGTTCAACAAGAGCGTTCTTGAGTGTTAACTTTGGGTCGGGTTGTACATACGTTAGCACTGTATCGTATTTCGGTTATCCTTTGGCTGCGTGCCGCGTCCCCCGGCGATCGCTTGCCCACCTGCCTGAATTACCAACAGCCCGGAACCACCCAGCGCCCCGAAGCTTAATACCATCCCGCCCCACCAGGACCCTTCCTTTGGCCTTTCGTGTGTTTCCCATCTTCAATCCCTCCTCCTGATCCCCGCATTTGGCATTGCCAGAACCGGGCTGTTGCCGCCATGAAGTTCTTCAGAAAGAAAGACAAGCTGAGGAATGGCAGCAACAGCGGCCCGAGCTGGATGCCGGGCTTCGGCAGCAGCGGCTCCTCTACCGGCAACCATGGCCATTTGGCCCCCGCCCGTGGGTACGGCCCCGGCGACTCTTGGCCCGATGGCTCCCGGTCCTTCTTCGGCTCACCACCAGCCTCGGGCATCCACGGCGCACGAGCTGACTCTCAATTCAACCATTTCAATCCGCGGCCCACACGTGCCTCAGCTGCTACACTCTCCCGTCTCCCCGCCGCCATCCTCGAGCGCATATTCACCTTTGTGTGTCCCCAAAGCCGCGACGAGAGCTACAGCACCTGTGAGCAGAGCGCAGTCGAGGATGGCTGCATGCTGTGCGACCTGCGCGACCTGGCGCATTGCGTAGCCGTATGCAGACGGTGGAGGGACGAGGGCGTCAAACTGCTGTATGTTCGAGACGCTTTCTAGGAATGTCTGCGTTGTGAACCAGGCAATACGCTAACTAAGCCTCCCCCGCCCCGCAGATACCACAGCATTCGAATTGACAGCGTACATTATTGCGAACTCGAGGCCGTCCTTGCCGAGCGCCGGAAGCGGCGCTCCAGATTCGACCGCAATGGCCAGCCAGACGACCCGGCACAAGCCCGCCTGAAGCTGCTCTGTCGCACCCTCCGCGAGGACCCTGTACGCCGCGGCCGCCTCGTTCAGTTTCTCAAGATGCCGTACATGTTACGCGAGTCATGCCAGGCCGACCTAGCACGGACGATAGCTGTGACGCCGAGCCTGCGTTACGTCGACTTGCCCGAGGGCCTCTTTTCTGACGAGCCCTCGTTCCTTACGCTCCGTCTCGAGGTGCAGGCGCGATGCCTCGACCTGCGCAAGATGACGTACATGGCAGGCTCCGAGAACAGTCTGCAGGCCCTGGCGACGGGAAGAGTGTGGACTCGGCTCGAAGTGCTGGAGTTAATCCGAATAGACATGGAGCCGATTATGCTGAGGCAAGCCCTGAGCTGCCTGGGTAACCTTCGCGCCCTCAAAATCAACCAGACGGCAGCCATCAATGACGAGACGTTAGCATGGAATGAATCAATGCCACCTTTCCCGCCCCTCGAAGAGTTTATTCTCACCGATATTCCCAGTGTCACCGCCGAGGGTCTCAAAGCGTGGCTGGTCCTGCCCGAAGCAAGGCAAACCTTGAGGGTGCTCACCCTGAACCGTACCGGCGTGCGCCCCTGGGCCCTGCAAGAAGTGCTAGCCTATGCGCCGCGCCTCAAACACCTGTCCATCCTCGACGCCGTGACAGCCTCCCTATCCTCCGCCGCCGGTTCGTACAACAACATCCCGCCTCTCTCGTCTGTCAGCCTCGAGTCGTTGCACTTCGAAATCACGGCGGCGCCCTCGACGCCCAAATACTCAAACGTCACCTCAAGCTACTACAACTACCTAGCCAACTCTCTCCTCTCCGGCGGCCTGCCGAACCTGCGCGCCGTCTACGTCAGAGACCCCAACTTCCCGGACCTGCTGCTGGGCCTGCCCCCTCCAGCCCCAGCCTACGCTGAAGGCGGCGTCGCTCGTCCAGCAAGCAGCGGCTCCGCCTCCCCCTATTCCAAGAGTCTCTACGCCGGATCCCCACCACACATGTCGAATAACCACAACAACCCCTTCACTCCGCACCACCGCCCCGCAGGCTCCCTTTCCTCCTTGAACGGCTTACCACTCCCGCCTTTCAACCCCGCCACCAACCCCCGCTTCAGCAGCAACAACCCCTTCGCTACCGCCTCCTCCTCCGCCTTCCTATCCCCCGCACCACCACCGTTTACCGGGCAGCCGGGCGGTTTCCTGAACCTCCCCGCAAAACTCGAAGTCTTCACCAAAGGCGACGACGACAGCCTGGGCTGGTCCTTTGTCCGCGTCGGCGGCGGCGGGCGTCGCCCTGCAGAAGAAGATGGCGCAGGAGGCCGCCGCCGGCCCCTCAGCAGCTACGGCCTTGCCGCCGCCGACGTCATGGGCGGCAGCACCGCCGGGTGGAGCACTGGCGCGGGAGCACGCAGGAGCGTGCTTGTGGCTGGTGCGGGCGCCGGGGGTGGGTTCTTGGCTGTTCCCGGCCAGACAGGCGGTGCTAGTGCTGGGGGTGGAGGAGGAAGGAGTTGGAGGGGGGAGAGTTGGGCTGGTGGTGGTGGTGGTGGTGGTGATGATGGTGGTGGAGAGAGTGAATGGCCCAGGCCAAGAAGCAGTGCGGGTGAGAAGAAGAGGGAGAGGTTGGATCTGTGGCGGTAACTGGTAAGGGGTGTCAGGGAGGGTGGATGATCTCTCCGTTTGGATTGTTTCTGTTATTGTTGGGGTTATGGATCGGTAAGGCAGTGGGTTTTAGCGGTCAAGGCGAAATGTTTATGGGCACAGATGAGATGCTTGCATGTATTTGATGTGGCGTCCGAGGGAAAGTTGATCAGAGGACGGGGAAGCGGTGGAGTATTGGGCACCCTCTGTTGGTTTGCTGTTTCTCCTTGAAAGCAGATTGGGACTTTCTCCTTTTTGCTGAGCTGGGAATGTGTGTTGGTATACCCCGTGGTCAGTAACGCAATATGTGTGTTGTCTTCGATGTACACTGGGATGTGAGTTGGCTCGGGTCGGTTGGGAGTTGTTACTGCTGTGGCTCCTTTTGAGAGAATTTGCCTTTGGCTTTCGTTAGCATAATACATACAGTATGCTGCTGAGTGTTCCTGTGCCGTCACGCCACATAATTTGGAAGGATCTCCAGTTCGATCTTGATGTCGAAGAGTAGTTCTTAGCAAACAACTAACGTTATCTCATGTCCCGATTTCCGGCGGGGGTCTTCACTTGCTACATCAACACTGAGGGAATGCAGCATCCCGTGGGTGCAGGCCACTTTGACCCGCCCTCCGACAGCGCCTTAGCAGACAACCGGTCTATTGGACTCATTCAGTGAGTCGACTGTAATCAGGTTGGTTATAAGTCAGTAGTTTTTCCGATTTCCTTGTACAAGGCAGTCCCTGTAGTCAAGTCTCAGCATCGAGAAATTGAGATCCACTGGAGTTTCGTTAAATGATCTCGCCCACAGCAGCATTCTCAGTTGTCGCATGTAAGTATAGACATATATTCAGGAAAGAATCATCGAACGTGTCCCGTCACGTCTGATATCACGAGTTGCAACCCTGCCATAACCACAAGGCCAAGGCCGAACTGTATTTCATGTTGAGATTTGGTATTAACCAAACAGCACTGACAACAACGGTCAGCAAGTACTAGGCAACCAGCTCCGGTCTGATGTCATGGTGATCCTGGAGGATTACCAGGTAGAGAGGCCGCTTCAACAACAACAGGGTGAAGCCACGGCGAGATTAATTCAAGACGCCGGCAATTACGGCGGACAGCTCTCAATTCAACAGGGCTGGTCAAATCATCAACGTCAGCAGCCTCGCGTCGGGAGTAACCAACCGAATAACAATGGGAACAGGGCTGTGCGGCCGCTTCTTAACGGGTGTTGGCGATCCTTCACCCTTCATTTGATAGCCCACGTCAGTCCATCCGTCATGATTACGGTCACAGGGAAAACAAAAGTGAGATATACTCGGCTTGAATGTGAGTTCGGGATAAGGGAGCGCCGGTGGCCGGCACCGATGTATGTATGTATACTCGGGGACGAGCTCTGGAGCCGAGGGAGCGGTGAATCGGTAGGTAAGGTATGTATGGACCCGTTGGCTTGTTCTGCGTTACTCAGACGGCCTGCAGCATGGAAGGGAAGCGGCTGTGTGTTTCTTCGAACAGTGATTGCACCGGCAAGACGGTACACATAGATGCAGAAGTGACGGCACCAACACGGTGAGGAAGTGTCAATAAATAGTTTACCTCCCTGGCCTCCGTATGCTGCGCACGTACATAACGTTATGTGGCGCGGTAGGTCGATCTTCCGCCGACCGTGTGGGACCTTGGCATAAGTTACACCACCCGTTTGTGAGGATGGACGGTTGAGCGTGGTAACACATGTACAACCTCGCGTCCGGAGGTCGGGAGGTGTTGGCTACACAAGTGTACGTGGAATGCAGTGGGGATTGCCGTCTCCCTGGTGTTGAACAAGGCTGACTTGAACGAGCGGATCAGCATCGAGAAGAAGCTTGCGATCCACTGGAACCGTGCCGTCGCGATGCGCCTCCGCGCCGCGGCGGTGACAGGCAAATCTGGGGCAAGAGCTGTGAAGATGGAGTGTCATGTAAAGTTAAGTTACGCCGCTGCTGAGCTTCCAGCTCTAGGTATTCCGTGAGGTAAGCATCGGACGTATAACTGATAAGTGCTCGGTGCCAGACAAATAAGTTCTGAGCGATGCTGTGTACATGTACACAGGCCAGCGTTGGACCGGACCCGAGTCGAGAGTGATGTGATTGTGTAAAATCCCAACCGCAGCCGGGTACGGGAAACTCCCAGCAAGTAAGACAGTGAGCATGCTTCGCAGTCTGGGTAGAGCAGCGATTCGTTCGTCCGACCTTGTCAGCCGCCGGCGGTGATGCACAGAGCCGAAGTGTGGTCGTCAAGACCGAGCAGATTCTTGGCTCAATGGGTACAAAATCCTATAACCGGGCCAATCGTTATGTGCAGGTTAGACTGTATCCGTATTCACTGAGACATCTAAAATAGCTTGCTCGGCGGACTAGCATCGAGACGTTCACCTTCATGAAGGGGTTGACGTTGTGCGTCTCTCGGGTCCTATAGTGTATATCCTACAATGTTAGAGACGGGATGTTGTGAACATGATCCGATCAGAGATTGGATGAAGTCAGTTGATGAATTGCAGGAACTTTTTTTTTTTTTAGAACTGGCCTGAATCGAGATAACACTAAGTCTAATTAGGATGGACCCCTCGTTGTATCAGAGAATTGCTTGCGAAGTTGCAAACTTGCAATCAGGTGTCTCGGGTGTCTTTTGCTGAGAAGCTTGGGCCAATGCAGTGGTGCTTCTACAGTGTGTAACTGCAGTCTGCTGGTTCCCATGACGCAATCCTCTATCTCAGGAACCCAAGTCCAAGTTTCACAATCTACAGCTGGAGATGTACATCATCAGGCGAACTTCATTCTCAACACTGCGGGCTAATACACTACGCAATGTAGCAGTGTAAAAAGAGCAAGCATGCGGCGCAGAACAGTCATAGTCCCCATCAGGCGGGAATTTGCATTGTAACGTCAATTCATGTTGTCGCGGAGCCCATGAGACTTGCGTCTGTTTCCCCTGCCGCCGGTGCAATGCTACAGCTCTCCGTTCAATGACAGCTTTTTGGTCTCTATCACAGCGCCCAGACGGGGGTTGTCTGTCTCATGTGAGAGGTAAACCAATTCAACGGGGTTTCGGCCTTTGACCGCGCGGGAGATGCAGAGTTTGAGAAGCATCTCGTGCAGCAAGTCTGTCCCGAAAAGCGCCAGCTCTCCAGATTTGGGATACGAATGCCATGTGTGGATCGCCCAAAAGCATCGCGGGTTGGGAAGGGCATTAAGAAGTTCAGAACGGGTTGAACGAACAAAACAAAACGGTGACAGGGCATCGTGGGTTTCGTGACGACCCTTATCCGTATCCGTATGTACAGCTGCAATTCGCTGTTATTGCGTGGCGTTGATGAAATTCCCAATGGAACATTGCCCATTTCGTTTGTCTTCAACCTTGGCTACTCCCAATGTATGTAGTCACATTCAACGTCAGTCCACCTCCGCTCTGCATCGCAGAGCAACCCGAAGTCGCAAGAGGCAGGCAAACTGATCATAAAAGGAGGAGCGAGTTTGACTCTTTCATCAAGTGTCGACAGCTCGTTCACTATATATACGAAGTAATCAGGGCTGTTCATCTGCGGCCATCTGGTCAACACGAGGCGCCGCCACAGAGTGCCACTGCGGAAATTTGCAGAACGAAACGCCACCTGCACGCCGAATCCGTGTCTGGATGACATCTTGTTCGCCGGATTTGGTGAAGGAACGATGTGGGAGTGACATAGCGCAGATCTTGAATCATTAGGCCATTCTCATAAACATGCATATGGGTAAGGTACTGTAGGTATTGCTGTGTAAACGGATACAGACGTCCAATCTATTTCAAGTCATATCTAGCCTTTTGGTTTGGGTCGCGTATAATCCGTTTTCGCGGAACGGAGGAAGATGCAGGTCCGCCCGTCATCACCTTACGGTAATCTAGACCAAGACCACTTCTGCTGCAATGACACAACTCGCCGATAACAGGACGCCATTCCAAAGTAACTAAGAGATGCCCCGGTTTGCTGTCGAGTCCTTGATCGACAGAACAAGTCGAGCAAGATAATTCGGCCTCAGAGTCCCGGGAAGGGTAAGCATTGCAGAACGGGATTTCCATTCTTGCGCTCGGCTACGGAACTCAGATGCCGCGACGAATGGCGCTCTCAATCTGCAGGTTCATGCTGCAAGAGAATCGACAGGAGTGCAGTGCAAGCGGCCGTTGTCGGTCCCTGGTCTACTGCGGACTTGGTAACTTGGACAACAGCCCAGCGACCACTTTCCTCTCAAACTGGCCTCGACGCCGTATGCCTCAGCAAAAATAAAGATCCGAACATTCTTGCCGGCCGACCATGCGGTTGAACCGGGTCAGGCCGGGATCCGTCGGCCATCAACCAAGTGATCGCTGATGCCTGTACACAGACAGACGGATATGGCTATGGCAAGGAAGATCATTTCAACGATAACCGGAGCCCTCCAAGCCCTCCCAACCGAGCGCTATTGCGTCGCAGACGGGGAGAGGGTGGGCAAGATGAATCGGTTGAGCCTGATTCGCCTCCGGCTGCCCTCCAATCTAGCGTGACTGCTGCAAGCAATTCTCCAGCCATCCGTGGTTCGCCGTTACCGCCGCTCAGAGTTGGATTCCAAGTTAGTGTACCAATCATGCTCACCCACTTAGGATCAAGCCTTGGAGTTCGCTGCCAATCAACACACATTGGTTCATTGGCGACGCACCTGCGCTGCCGACGGCGACCCCTCATCATCCCTCCTGGATGGGGGGCTGATGCAAAAAAACCAAAATTTGGAGGCCTGCTCTTGAGCAAACATTGACAGAATGGAGGCTGTGAGCCAGACGACCAATTCCTACTCGGACCCGTCTGACAATCTTTGAGAGGATTGTGAAGAGTAAGAAAAGTTGTCGTCTTCCGGATGCGGTTTCCCCGTATGGTCAGCGATGGGAGGGAGCGAATGGAGCTTACCTAACCCCTAGCGTGCTCACTCGACAAGGGCTTGGTTGGAGACAGTTACGTACAGTACGTAATTTAGGTAACGTACGAGGTAATTCCTGCTCGGTCTCAAGCGATCTTTGCCCACCATTGTTGAAAGCGAGGCCAGTTTGACATGAAACACAGCCCGTAGTTAGCCAACCAGACCTCGGCGTTCAACGAAGCGACCGCATACGAGACGATTGCTAGTCCCCATCCCGCCGGTCCTGGACGGCAATCTCCAGGTCTCTACCAGCGGAAGTCGGGATGCTGTGGTTTAGCAATGCTTTTTCATTTTTCCTTAGCAGCCATTGGTTAAGTGAAACTCGACTGAGAATTACGAAGCAATGCACAAAGATGGAATCGCGCAGCCCAGTACGAAGTACACTAAGCTCACAGCCCCCGCGAATCCGCGATTCTTTCTGTGGAGGCAAGAGCAAGGATCGCCGACGACGATTCGCGATTGAGGGTCCGGGGTGGGCACTGGGCAGACAAAAGGCTTGTCATGCGGGCGCAGGTCTTGGTCCGTCAAGCCAGGTTCGCGACGTAACGGACCGTCGCAGTACGAACCGGCGGCCCCTTTCATCACCGTTAATAACGTTTTTCGTTATGGCCTTTGCTTGGCGTTCTCCTGGAGTCCAGGGGGGTTGCAACCCACCTTGGCACCCTCGCACCCAAGCTTGCATTAAAATATCCTGGTGCCCTGCCCCCGGAGCTTCTTATGATCTGCTTTCCCCATGCCAGATTTTCCCTTTCCCGTCTTCGACATTCGTTCCATTCGCCAGCAACGGAGCAGAACCAGCCAGCCCAGGGCACTGAAACTGACATTCGACGCCGGCTAGTTCACTCACACTTCGCCGCCAATATCTTGCCCTGCTGAGCATTCTCACTCGAAGCCATGTCTCTTGCGGACAGGTCCTCTCCAGTCGCGGAGGGTGGTCACTCCATCGATATGCCAGGCACACAGGCACCCCAGAGCAGATCCGAGTTGGCCGTATCCGCCCAGCCACCAGCTTTCGATGAGCCCATCTTCGAGAAGTTCGACGACATTGATAGCCACGTACCAGAGTTGCCGCCGAAGAGCCTTCTCAGGGCGTCCAGGTTCCTCGACAACCACGGACTCAAACTGGGTAGTGTGGTAGAGCCGGCCGAGCTAGGCCAGGCTACGACTCCTCACGATGTGTACCTCTCTTCCGAAGAGGAAGCATCGTCAGACGCGGACGACTACTCCGACTTCGACTATGACTCGAGCGTTGAGGACCTCACTTCGCCCACAAGGCAGGCCGGTCATGAAGACACCGCTAGGGTGGTGTCGGTTGTATTCTCGGGAAGGCCGTCGATTGTGAACCTCCCAGCGTCCCGGAAAAGACCAGTATCTGGTGTTTCTCTAGGCACGACCGAGACACGGTCAAGCATCGACTCGGCCGTGTCAGCCAAACCGTCGACAACAGCATCGACCACAACCGAGGACCGACCAGGGACGCCTGCCAGCAACAGGTCCTCACGGCCGCCGTCGAACAATAGCAGATCCCCGAACAGGAAGAGTATGCTCCTATCCGAGATCTTGGTCAAGAAGAAGCCGCCATTCCTCAACATCGACCCTTATGCCAACAGCACCTTGGATGTCCCCAAGGCACTCGACAGTCTCGAAAGCGAACACCTGGCCAAGACGCCACGTACACCAACACTGTTGCTCAAGGGCGTGGCTAGGTCCTTCAGCTTGATGCGAAAGCGGAGTAGGCCCACGATGAATGCCGATGCCCCTCCTGTCCCCAAGCTGAACCTCGCTCTCGATTCGGAGAAGGCAAAAGCGAGCCAGGATCTGATACAGTCGGTTGCCACTGTGGGAGTCGAACATACGCCGAACGAGGAGGCTGGGCAGGAGCAGCACCTACTTCAACCCCAGAACTCGGAGCAGCAACCCATGACGCCACTGACACCAATCACCTACAACGACATTCTCCGGGCAGTGAAGAAAAATGCCATCATGATGAGCCCTCCGCAAAGCGACATCCTCTCACCTACGTCGCCTAGCCAGGCGGCACAAAAGAAGGGTATCCTCGGCGGGCTATCGGCGAGAAGGAGGAGCATCAAGTTCACGGGGAGGGCTTAGCCAGGATAGGCGAGGGAGCAACACACAACTGGCGGCATTCTGTGACTTAGCATCACACGGCGTTTGACAGGGAACCGGGGCGGCTTGGATCTACGGGTATCGCCGTTGGGTATCACAATCAGCGGACATTTGGGCTTTTGTTGATCTTTTGACGGGATCTGCATCACCGTTTTGGGTTTTCTGACATTTACAACATATGATACCACGCAGACTGACTCAGTCATCTTCCCTTGTTTCGTACATCGCAACCACCATCAGGCAGATATACCCCCCAATCCAATGAGACCATCTCCTCAGTAACAGACAGAGATATCGAAAAAGACCATGGGTGTGTGCATGCTGGCGTTCTTTAGACTCAAAGGAGAGTCCGTGCTTCGCTTGTCTTAATGGCTATGCAGTGAATTGACAGACTATCTCCGTAGACAGGAGAGCAACCCGCTCTGACAAGCTGCCGGTTTTATTAACCTGGCTATCTCAACACTTTTGCCATGGAAGTTATACCACGTGCGCTACAGGCAGAATGCTTGTGTTGTGTAAGTCGTGGAGGCTTGCTCTTGGTGTGCATACCCCCTGATTGTCTTACACCCACACCAAGAGTGGGTTGTAACCTTAACTGTGTAAAACAAAACTTCGTATCCGCTTTGTTTCTCTCTTTTTCGATTTAATAAACTCTCAAGGTGGGAAATCGATCCGCTTTGCGGGTCACAGTCCCTGATACACACGTGTGGGCAGGGGAGGCATGTTGAAACATTTACGTACCTCGAGAAGCTTGGTCTCGGGCCGGCCTCTTTCGTTCAATTCTCTGTCTGTGTGCAACTGCAAGACTCAGGTTCTGTTGCAATTCTCTTACGCTAGTATGTCGAGTGATACAACTCCGTGCTACTGTAGCTTAACCCTTCTGCCAGCACCATACAACTTGTCTAGGTCTTCAACTGTGAGAGGATTGATTGGGAACGAACAACCGTAAAATTCCGAACAGATGGCGCTCGCTTGTCTCAGTTGCAGCATGCAGGAACCGCTCCAAGGCTTCTGCGCTTTCTTACTTTGAGGCAGTGGTGTATGTCCACAAGACGCAGGTACGCCTCGCCCCTCGAGTGGTGTAGATTTCCCCATCAGGAAGGTGTGGCCAATGGGAATGGCTGCAACTCCGATGGTCAGGGGCAACTGCTACGCTAGCTTTCTACCCCGCCTTCCCTGACCCCTAACCATTAAAGTTATTAAGCTTCTTTCAATCACCTTTGGACACCTACCATATTGTTCAACTCAGGGCATTGATCAGGATAGCGCAGGAGCATGGTTAACCGGTAGCAGAATACTTGGTGAGGAGTTTCTTGTCTTGTAATGACGGCGGGTTGGTTCTCGTCTCTTGCAGAGGATCAAGTTACCCCGAGTGAACCCTGAACGTCAGAAGTGAACATCAAAGAGTAGACACTCTGCCCGGTGCCGGGTCATCATCAGCTCTGCTCTATTACTGTGACTCTTGATCAGCTTCGACGACAAACAAATGCAACGTCGGGACCGCTAGTAAGGGAGCGATAAACAACATCCCGTCCCCGAATGTCTAGAGCCACGAGGCTTACTTACCATCCCCCGGCTTCCACAAGATGACAAGATGCAACACCAAAAAGCTACCACATACGCTAACCATTACCCCGACGCCGACTCAGCTACCTACATATGCAGTGAGAAGCTTGCATGACACGGCGCCACAGTCGCGCAGAGATCAACTCGCTGCCAACGTTCCGCCGCAGTGGCGCGTCCTTGCTCAAATTCAGCGTGGCGTTTTCGATATTGACTTGCCAGACAACCCCCCCTATAGTTTGCCTCGGGCTACTGTGTAATATCTGAATCCTCCAAAGTCCGAAAGAGACGTGACCTGAACGAGACGGACTGAAACAGAGATTGCGCATCTGCGCATGGGGAGCGAGGATCGGGAAGACCAGAAGCCGCGGACGGGACAAGGGGCAATCACGGTTTCAGAACTTTCTTCACCAGGCAGGCTGAGGCTGTGTCGTCGAGTTGGTCCAAGGCTGACGTCAACACCCATACGCTCGGTAGGTAACGGTAGCCTCACCGTTTCTCTTCCATCCTAGCTAGAACCCCTCTGCGAGGTCTGGATGTAGTGTACGGGTCGTCAACGACCACGTAACGTTGTGTATATCTAGTTATTGCCGCTTGACGGTGGTATGGCATTCCCAAGCGGTCGGGATGCCTAAGCATCTGTCCAGAGTGCGACTGTCTAACCCAAGTTCATGCGATGCGCAGGCTCCCAGATAATGGCTTTCTCTGAGGCGGTTCAACGGAGAACGTCCTGTCATTCGAGTTGGTCAAATTTGGTATTCGCGCAACAAGCGGCAAAGCCCTGAAAACACATTAGACTAGATGGATGAGCACTATAAATCAACCGGACCCGGCCCCGTTACGAGGTTGGATGTAGCGGAGCACGATACCTGGGCCTATCTGTTTGCACTTTTGGTTTTGGAATTATTTATTCTGCGCTGATCTGGCTACACCTAGGTCCGGCCGGAATCGAGGCCAATTCCTGACCCGTTTCGGCGTCGCAACGGCCGCGACCCAAAGCCCCCTATTATCCGACCAGAGTACGTACAACATAAATGTACAGTTTCGCCGGGCCTAACCTGCTTGGCCAACCATGTCCGAAAACAACAACTCCTTTCCTTTGTTTTAAACCAAACCCCGCGGCTTCGAGAACATTTCGTCTTTCGCATCGCCCACGCCAGGGTAGCCTGGCGGCCTCATTATCGACCCTCATTACCGACCTGACGAAAGAAACCACTCTCCGTGAACGACTCCAGCGAGAACGGTGATAGCAGCGACAAAACCTGCAGAAGAGCAGGGTATGACGGTGGAAAACGTTGACACTTATTAGAATGGATCTAACGCTGTAAAGTTTTTACTTAAATAGAACATGCCCGTGACTTTCAAGTGAACCGTCCGGGGGGATCACCTTGGGGTCGGTTTCGCTGCGCGCTGAGTTAGGCTCTCCGGGAGCGAGTGGCAATACCGTTCGTCTTGACGCCGGATGCCTTGGCGTCGCCGTTGGTGCCGTTCGCGTTGCCGTCCACGACCTTGCCGTGGAGAAGTTGGTTCGGATCAGGCAACGGGGCCTGGCTCATTCTCCGCACCGCCTTGCGCCCACTAGGCCGCTTGCCGTCCTTCTTGTACGTGGCCAGGTAGAACGAGATGAAGAGAACAAGGTACGAGCTAAGGATGGCGATCCCCGAGAACGCTGCAAACTCCTCGCCCGCACATGTTCCAACGTTGGGCATCCACGGCCAGTAGGTCGACGTGAAGTAGGTGTAAGAGGCAAAGTAGACGAAGCCTGCGAATGCATTAGTGTTGCAAACTAGAATAAATGTACGATTCCTGACAACGTACCCAGATCGATGATGAATTGGATGATTTGGAGACGTGTGATCCACTCCTTCCACCAGATGCGGATGCCACGGGCGCTCTGGAAGTAGTACCAGTACATGACGACATGGACAGTCAGGTTTAGTGTGATGACGACCCATGATACCGCTGTCGAGCCGATGAGCTGCGTGTAGCAGAGCAGAGCAGTAGCGCCGTGGTGATAGCAGTGTAGAAACGTCAGGGGCTTCTTCTTGAGGAAGAGGAAGCATGTATCCAGCAACTCGAGGTACTTGGTCAGGTAGTTCAACTAGACCGACTTGTATTAGCGCATGCGACTCGAGGCAGGGATCAAAGGAAACGCACGTAGTAGAGGACGACCATGGGCTGGGTCCAACCACCATCGGAGTCGCAGATGGCATAGAAGATGCCATGGCGGACGACGGTGGGGAAGACCTGCTCGATGAAGAGTGCGAGCAGAATTGCGCTGATGGCGGTAAGGTAGAAGTTGTGGATTAAGAACAGACTGCGCAACTTGAAGGGCTCCCGGTTGCGCATAAGTTCTCTACCGCCAAAGATTACTGCGTAGTATATGACGATGAAAATGCTCGTTTCCTTTAGAGTTGACATGGGGGTTACACCGGGCCGGAACCTGAAGTCGTCGGCCGGATAGCCGACAACATACTCGAAGGCCTTGTTGAAAATGGGCCAAAGTTCGATGCCGAACGGCCGGTCGACGGTTGGGACCGGCAGCTTGTCAAGGAGAGTCGCCGCCATTGTCAAATCGAGGGGCAATCAGTCCTGTAGACTCAAATGATTAGTGCTACGCGTCCGGCGACAGCGGATAGGGGGCTATTTTGGGTCGTAGTACCTAATGATGCAAAAAGACTCTACACGCGACACGTTTAAACGCCGGATTGAAGAGTCCAGCAACCGGTCAGCAGCCAAAAAGAACGAACTGGCCCTGACTGGAGAAGGAATGATTAAAAACGAAGTGAAAAAGAAGAAAGCCGAGGCGAAGACACCCAACAGCCGGAACTTGAGACGTGATGTTGGGGAGAAATCGCCGGTGGGAAGTAATGATGGGGTTCCAGAAAGGTTGACCTACGGGGAGTCCCAAATATTTTCAGGTCGGCGCAAAAGGGGAAGGAACCTCGAGCCTCTCAGCAATGCCCTTGGCCTCATTTCCAAGTTCCTGCATGTGAGGTTTTACCAGCCAATCAGGTTCCGCCTGCCAGCATGCCAGATCTCGACCCACAACCAGCAATCCTGGACCTCGGATCTCGTTGCTCTTTCTTCACCGGAGATGAGAACGGGGAATCCCAGAGCAGATGGGAAAGATCGCGATCAGTGCGTAGGGCTAGAAGCGACGACTGGTATGATGGCCGAGATTCATCAAACAGCAACGACTCGCGCACCCCCGACCGCGGTCCCAGAGTCATAGGTAGTGTGTACTCGGTACTCTCCTCCAATTCAATTCTGTACTTCATCATTCTCTAAGATGGTTCAGCAGAGTCCTAAAGATTCGGCATCATCAAAACTAGCAGACAAAGACATTGAGTTCTCTTGAGATATCTCCGTCAATCGAGTTTCAGATAATGTCACGGAAGCAAAGAACAATCAAAAGTGCCTAGCCAACAAGCCGCGTCGCGTGCAACGAAAGCTGTCCATTGGCCAATGCAGCTGCGGAGCCGAAAAACTCGGCTCGGCACGACCGGCTAACGAGAACTCGGAGGTTACCGCAATTGTTCGCAGCTTTCTCGGGTCCGGACACGGGGGGCCGCGGACCCCGTGAAGTCGGCAAGGATTTTAGTTGCGCCAAAGCGTTAACAGAAAATGATTCTGTGGATAGCTTCTAATTTGTACGCCGGTATCCGTACAAGTACAAATATCGGTTGTTTAGCGGTGGTGTTAGCCGCTGCGCTCCGTCATCAAAGGCAATTCCTGTTAAGAGAATTGCTGAGCTGCCCGATGACAGCAGGAACCCATCAAGGAATCACAGTTCTGGGTTATATGTAGCTAGTCCGGACAACGCTGTCGTCGACTCGTCAACTCTAAGGCTTGCGCCGTTGATGTGGGCATTTGCAAAGCCACATCTGCAACACAAAGTTCCAGCCACGTCAGGTTGGCCCGCAGCCACAGAGCCAAGAAAATGGTTGGGCATAACGTAATATGCAGCGACGCTAGGCTACTAAGCGTAAGAGAAGCTCCCGCATAGTCGATTGATCATTCGATTCTATGCCAATAACCGTCACTTTCCGGATCAACACCAACGCTCAAACTGCCCTGACCTCAACTCTAACTGGCCAAATCAATTGAAGCAAGCTCCCTCCCGGGCCAACCCAACTCTCTCGAGCTCCTAGCTCCGCTGCCAATTGCCCACCTCGCAACTCCTCTCGGCTCGGGGTTCTCCTTCCTCACCCGTCAGTTATAAAAAAAAAATGTCGGCCTCCCTGCTCCGCGTCGCAGCTCGCGGCCCCTCCAGCGCTGTATTTCGCGCCAGTCTTGCCGCAGCCCGGCCGCAGCCCATGACTGCTCGCGCTGCCCTCGCCGCCCCAAGCCTGAGCAATACCTTCAGCACATCCAGCCGCATGCGCTCCGAGCACCAGGAAGAGACCTTTGAGGAGTTTTCCGCCCGGTGAGTCTTGGATGAACCGCTCGCTGTTCCTGGCGATTGCCGAAACAGAGCTTTCTCTAGCTCCGCTGCTAGCTTGCTTCCCATGACGTGACCCTTCTTCTTCTGTGTCCCGCCAACCCCCGAGAATATGCCACCGTCCCACGACGTCCACTTCATGCCGATCTGTCCAATTGCTGATCGCAAAGCTTGGGATAGGTACGAGAAGGAGTTCGATAATGTTCAAGACGTCTTCGAGCTTCAGGTATGCTCTCGCGATCACCGCACCCCCGATTGCTTCCCCCCCCTTTCGATATCGTCCCGTCTCCGCTGACGCAGAGCTTCCCTAACCCTCACAGCGCAACCTGAACAACGCCTTCGCCTACGACCTTGTCCCATCCCCCAGTGTTCTGTCGGCCGCTCTAAGAGCCGCGCGGAGGGTCAACGACTTCCCCACTGCTGTCCGGATCTTCGAGGGTACGAACCACTACTTACCCTTCCCTTCTGAGGTATACGCGCGCACAGCGCGGTAAAATCTTTCCGCCTGCTTCCTGCTGACTGATAATTCTCAACTCCGCAACCAACAGGCATCAAAGCCAAGGTCGAGAATAACGGCCAGTACCAGCAGTACCTGGAGGAGTTGAAGCCGCTGCGTGAGGAGCTCGGCATCCCGCTCAAGGAGGACATGTACCCGGAGGAGACCAAGTAAAGAATACCATAACAGTCTTTGGGCTCGCCAAAGAAGCCCGTACACCTTACATAAAAAAAGAGAGAGACAGAGAGAGACCTTTCTTTACCCCTGGGCTCCTCTTCTGTCTCCCGCTTAATTGGGGAAGGGGTTGTACAGGGCAGCGGCACAAAATCAATCTGTGTACATGTTCTTCTACTAGAGATTTCCTACATACGGATTCGATATCAAGGGCTTCAAGTGCAACTAAGAAGGGGGGGTTGAATTTGCTTAGAGACCTTGAGAGGGGTTAGTTAGGGTAGAAAAGGGGTCTTGAATGGATGTAAGAAGTTGAGTTGTAAGACTACCTACCCTAACCTGCCTTTGATGCATTATGCGGGTTCTCAATTGCTGCTGTCTCATCCGAGATCCTCGAGCTTAGTAGTTGCATGTTGACAGCACCTTGAGTTGCCTCGGCATTCCAAAGTCAACGAGCATCAGCACAAGCACAGTCATTGCATCCGGGATTGACAACCTGATGCTTGATTCATGGCCTATCCATCTACAAGCTTTCTGCTGTAGTATCGGCGCAAAAATGTCCGTTTCCATGTTCCGATTCCCCAACCCCAATCCAACGCCGTAAAACCCGTGAGTAAAACCCAGCCATTGATGGCATGCAGTGAGCGATCTACCAGACTACTAGTGGTGAGCTTTCCAGAGTCAAACTTCCCTTGCGACTCTGCGCACTGTTTTGGGTAGCAGACTCTCCCTGTCATCAATCACCCTGTTGCCCATCCTGGTCAAACCGCTGCATCATCCGCTGAGCTCTGAGTGTCCTTTCTTCGGCGGATCTGTAACCATGTTTTGGACACTTTATCCCTCCGCTGTGCATGTCCGCAACGCGGCTGTCGCGCTTCCTCTTGAGCTCGTTCGGACGGATGGAACCAAGAGACAGAAGCCCCTTGAGCTCGGGGGCCCACCCATCACTGCGGCTTTCAAATAGGATGTTGTTGACAAACCCGCCGTTATTGTGGATATCCATCAAGCAGGCGATATAAGGATCGTGAGCGAACGAAGACTGAGGCCTTATGATATTGTCGCGGTTCGACAGCTGCTCCTTAATCTGGGGGTGGGACAGCATGGTCTGCTCATCCGGTTGGAGAAGCCTTCTCCCTGCCGCACCACAACCAGGACTGCCGCCACCCCCGTCCTCCTAGTCGCGGAGGTGCCCCCAGCGACCACCATTTCCGGCAGGCGCGAAGAGCGTCATGCCAGGCACGGGTGTGCCGCTCAAGCCGTCGGAGCTCATGGCCGGCGCGGGGCTGGTGCCCCTACTACCTGCACCGGCGGCACGACCCGGGCGGGGGCTCATGACACCCAGTCGCGGACTGCGCGGGACGCTGTTCTGCCTGGTTTCGCGGCGATTGTTCTTAAGGTTGCGCAGCTCATCCTTTACGCGTTCCAGCTCTCTCTCGCGGTTCTCGAGCGTTGCTCGGAGGTCATCGATTTGTGCGTTGAAGGCGGCCGCCTCGTTGTTGGCGTGTATCTGTTGAATCCTGACAATGTTGTCGCTCGCGCGCTTCTCGAGGTCTTCGATTTTGGCCTTCAGCTCGCGGTTCTCCTGACTGACCTCGCTGTGCGAATTGGACGCGTCCTGGTACGCCTTGCGGGTGTACTCGAGGTTATTCTCAGCGTTGCGGACTTTCTTCTCGAGTTTTTGCACAGTCGCCAGAGCATCGTCTCGAGCTTTCTCGACTTGAGCGAATTTCGCAATATCGGGAATAGCCGAGTTGGCCATGGCTGTGTTGGCCTCTGCGAGTTTGGATTCGAGGAGCTCGATCTTCTCCTTTAGGTTCTTCACCTCGGTGTTGCGGGCCTCGAGCCGTTCAGTGGCGGCTTTCGCCTTCTCAACAGCCGCATTGCGCTCCTTTTCGAACTCTGCTCTATCACGGAGAGCATCGTGGAATTTTGGCTGCATCGACCGAACGGTTCGCTCGTACGATCGTAGCTGAGACTCGAGGCTTTCCATATGCTCGCGTGTCTTTGCTTCGACAACGTTCTGCTTTGCGAGACAGTCTTCCAATTCCGCGATCTGAGCGCTGTGAGTATCAGGACCAAAGCTTCGTTGACAGCTTTCTTACCTTGTCTGCCATTCGCTCTAGCTGCTCGACAGGCACTTCGACCGGCGTGGAAGCTCGGCTATTAGCCGGATGGCTTGCGAGCGTCCGCTTCAGACGATCGCTCATCCGCGCTGGGGTGACATGCCGAATGGGTTGTTGGAGATCCAAAAGTCGCGTCCGCTTCGGCGCTCCCTCGTCAACGTAGTCCTGTCTCTGGATTAGTAACTGCAGTTCCGTTACGTGCAAGGAACAGCTTACAAGATGGCGCTTCCGACTGCCAGACAGGTTAGGGATACCGCTCGGATGGAGTTCGCTCTGGTCTTGTTGGCTGCGGCCTTGCGAGCTCAGCCAAAAATCGAATACATCGGCAGGGAGAGTGTGAGGTTCCCAGGCCAAGCCACCCTCTGGATTCCTCACGAAATGCGCAAACATCTCGGCAGCTACGTGTGGTTCAGGATAGCCGGGCTCCGGGTTCCTGAGATGGTCTTTCGCGGCAGCTGTGGCAAGATTGAGCGCATTCTTTCTCTCCAACTCATCCAAGTCTGGCTCTTGTTGCAGAAGCTGTTGGTCGATATGCTCGAGTGAATAGGTGACGACTAGAGAGAGAACGGTGGGCTCTATCGAATTGAAGGCCAATGTGACCGGCAGTTCAACTGACCGCGCCGCATGATCGAAAAGCAGGACAACATCGACGCCTCCCTGAATCTTAGACAAGTCCTGACCAGCCACTGCCAGGATCACAGACATGCCTTCTTCGGCTTGTCGCACCGTATCCTCCTGTCCGAGAAGGGCGTAGGAGAAGCGCGCCGTAGAGGCAATCGCCTCCAAGTATTCAAACACGCGGCCCGATTGAGAAAGAATCAAAACCCGCGCATTGACATCCACCAGGCCGTTTAGAAACTCGTAGACGAAAGAGAATTTGCTGTTCGACCCGGTGGCATGTTTCATCATCTCGGCTGTGTCCAGTTCAGGTAGGGTGTCGTTGTACGCCGGCAGATCACAGAGGGCGAGTAGCTGCTCAAAGATGCTGTCCATTTTGGCCACCAATTCGGCGTCCGGGAGACTGGTGACGGAATTTGCAAACACTTCGCTGAACTCGATCATGGTCGACTTGTTCTCTGTGATGGTATCGAGATAAATTGGCCGAGTATTTGCTGCCATTGGGAGCGTGACGAGAAAATGTCTGTGATTGCTCTCGTCTTCAGGGTCTTCACGGCCGATTTCGGCATGGAAATGATCAAGGCCATCGTTCATGCTCATCGAAATGGGATCTTCGACTCCTGCATCCATAATCTGATGATGGCCAGTCGGGAGCATGTCCTCAACCACAGCGATATGGTCAGCAGAAGTAGTTAGCTCTGACGGTGCCACGGTTTCCGGCGGCGGTGCGGATGCTGCTTCGGCGAACAAATCTCCACTTGCCACTACTGATGGGCGTGCCATGGTGGCCTCTGCGGACAGCGCCAACGATGATGAAGTCATGGCTGGCGCTGCACTCGTGGCTTGTGATCCTGTTGACTCGCGGGGTCTGCCGAATATATCTGCTTGTAGCTGGCGCAGCAGGTCTACCGCCGAGGGCGGGGTCTGTTCCACGGGACGTTCGTCCATTTTGGAGTGTTTGTTTCTATTTGCTGAAGGAGTGAAGGGACGGAAGTCGACTCCCGACAGGCTGACGCTACCGACCCGATCAAAATCGAGCTCTCGGCCCTTTCGCTTAGGCACCTGGCCCACGCTCCGGCCGGGTTCGAAAGAAGTCGGAGGCTTCTTGCGGCCTTTCTCAACTGTTTCAGGAATAATCAACTCCGATCCAGTGGTCTCTAGGCTTTGAGTGTGGATCTGCCACGGTTGGCTACCAGACAGTGGGACCTCCTGAGCCGCCTGGAAGTGCGAACATGAATTCGAGGTACTGAGGGCTTGCGAGGCAGGAGGATGGTTCTGATGCTCGCCTTGCTCTGGGTCCGGGCTGAGTCTTGGCAATCCGTTTACTCCTGACGGCCAGGACTCTCTGGAATCTAGGGGGATATCGTATTCTGGCTGAGTTAAAAATCCTCCAGACCAGGGACTGTCGGCTGCTGAGCGGGTTTCTCCGTCTTGGGAATGTCCAAGAGGACGGAGTAAATCACTGCCAGTGTTGTGGCGGACCTCGGATAGCTCAAGCAGGTTGGACGCGTGCTCGGAATGTTGATGTAAGTTCTCAGGTTGCCTAGACGGTATGTCTAAATCGGAGCGACTCGCCTGACCGCCAGTTTCTAGAGAGTTGGATTTTGTGCCGACCTCTTGAGGTACTCGATTGCTGTGGGCTTGAGAGCTCTGCTCCGACGAAACCGTCTCCACACGATTGACTTCGGATTTGAGCGACGATTCGGTGCGCAGGGGATCGAAACTGTCTTGAGAATCGGGAACGGTCCTCTGACTGACTCCACCTCCGTTGTGGTCCGCGCTCTTGGCTTGTGGGAGGGACGCTAACCAAGGAGCGCCTTGAGAGGAGCCCGATGAAGATTGCGAGAGACTAACCACCTCGTAATCAGAGGGGTTAAACCCGGGAGGAACGGGCAGCTCAAGGACAACTTCCCCTCTGACTTCCGGGATGGACGATACGAAGGCCCAGGTTGCTTCGTCGTCGCCGGGGGTAGATGCTTCGTTGTCACTGGGGGTAGATGGTTCGTCGTCACCGGGAGCAGATGCTTCGTCGTCACCGGGGGTAGATGGTTCGTCGTCACCGGGAGCAGATGCTTCGGCGTCGCCGGGGGTGGATGTGAATCCCTTGTCGCCGTCGGTAGATGTGTATCCCGAATCTACCGATTCCCTGGTCCGTTTCGCTGGCCTTTCGTCCTCTTCCCCGGCTATCCTGCGCTTCGCTCGCCAATCTGGGAGCAGCACAGACTGGCTGCTGGTGCCGGCACTGGTCTGCTGGCTCTCTCGTTCAGCGACCTGCCGTTGGCGCTTCTCTTCTTCCCACTCGGCGACCGCAGCCTCGGTCACGTTCTCTGCGGGTTCCTAGTAGCGACGCAACAACGACACGATTAGTGGCTGCGAGTAAACGTTAGGAATGGGGACAATAAATAAACATACCCACGAAGGATCGTAACGCTCGCCAGTGGTAGGATTGTCGGCCCAATCGACCTTGTACAATAACCTGGAGCCGTCGTACTTCTCCTCTAGTATACCTCGGATTTCATACAATTCCTCGTCTGGGTCGGCAATGACGGGGCGAGCGGGCTTTGTCTTTGCCGGTTTACGGCGTCTGGATTTGGTCGATTTGGCAGGGGCCTGCTTGGTCATTGACGCAGAAGATCGCTGGCAGGGCGATTGTGAAAGTCGCTACGACGCGCCACGCGACGACATCAAAGAGCGATTGCTCGCACCTAAATTAGTTTCGTGCTCACGGCACGTTCTCGGACCAGAAATCCTTCCCCAAGCGAATGGCAAGCGCGTGGAGAGGCGGACGACCAAACGCACTCCTCGCTCGAAGGACGAATTTCCTAATACAGAACCATGTAAGTAAGTTAAGCAACGCTTCGCTATATCAACTTGCTGCAGCTCAGTGGTTGCTGAGCGGCCGTAGCCACAGTTCGTGCACGGGCCCTTCATCGCCTGTAAGTGGTCCCTCGCGTCGTGTAAGTCGCTTACCTACCTAGTATTTGGCTTGATAGCACTGAGAAAAGAAGTTGAGTCCTGGCAGAGATCCTGGTGACGTGATTCTTTCTGATGAATTGCAAGGTTGTGAGATGTTGTTTGACTTGTTTCTAGGCCGGTTGACCAAAAAAAAAATTTTTTTTTGAGAATCAAAAGGTTGGTCGACAAGCACATCAGTCTTGACTAACGGTTAGCCAAAGATGATGTTGATTTAGTGCCGAACTAGGCAAATATTCAACCTCCACTGGCACAATCCAACCGTCGATGACAATGCCATTACCACTCCCCAAACAATAGGGTGAATAGGCTACGTTCCCATTATTCTTGCCATTGTACTTCATCCTGCCCAGCTATTATGCCTTTTCCCCCCACCCCAACCATTACATGAGTCGCCAATGCACTTGATGCTTGATGCAGTGATATATGAAAGCGAGTCAAATCGACAGCATGACAATGAGAATGAGAAAAAAAAAAAAAAGGACCAAAGAGACAACATATAACCCAAGCAATACTAGGAAACTTCCGAGGATCTTGGAAATCAGCACCTCTTATTCACTACCTCCTCGGAATTGGCGTCCGGCTGCCCCTTGACTCCACTCTGCCCATCCACCTGGCCGTTGGCCTTCGTAACCCCATTCCATGTCTGCCAACACTCCGTATACTGTACAATGTCGTTCCATCAAGGCCATCATCTGTTTCCTAATGAGTAAAAGCCCAAGACTGACAGACGCTCTCTCGTCCTTAGGTGTCAAGGACTTCCCGGTCGTGTTCCGTCGGCAGAGCTGGTGTCTCGTGGGTCGGAACATCTTCGCCTTTCTCAAAAGACGCGCCCGGACCTTGATAGCTCGGGGCCGGGATTGGGCTTGTGGTACTTTGCATCGTTGCCGATGATGATGGCGCCTTCGACGCCGCCTGCCGATCGACAGTGATCTCAGGGGCTGCGGCTAGGATTTTGCTCACCGGGCTCTTCCCAGTATCAGGCTTGACCGGCTTTGGGCTGACAACAGGAGGAGAGTAAGCTACATAGGTCGGGGACCTAGCATCCTCGGATCCAAAGGGAAGAGCCCGGGAGGGTATCACCCTTCCCCCTTTACCGATGCTCCCTTCGCTCAGTAAGCCCTCGCCGCCCAACTTCTGCTGCAACAGCTCTGACTGCTGCCTGGCCAGCTTTTGCAGCTGAGCCACGGGATCCTTGTGGTAGCGAAGGACGTTAGTCAGGTCACAGAGGCAGTCTGCAGGACCCCACCAGTTTCCATGCACACATACCCAGTCAGCTTGCGACGGCACCCCCTCCGCCATAGGCAGCTGCTCGTCACCTTGGCCGCTTCCGCCGGCTCGGGACCCACCACTGGCCCCGAGCCTTGGTCTGCGAATTGGCGCTGGAGTGACGGGTAAACTGGGACGATCGTCCTCGCTGGGGAAGTCTGTGACTTTCGAGCCTCTCCTTCCCCAGCCGAATTCCGGCTCCCCGGTTAAGGGGTCCTCAGGCTTCGACCCTGCGCCTCGCGTTCCCCTGCGCTGACGTTTCTGTATAACGCCAACGTAACGGTTGATTTCTGGCACCTCATCCCAAGCATTGATCCGTGGGAACGAAGACCATATATCGAAGGGAACGGAGGGAGCAATGCGACTAGTTGGGCCTAGAAATGCCTGCTGCTCGCCATGCGCCTCCGCTGTACTCGACCCTACCATAGCTGGCTCAGCCACTGGTTGCGAGTCATTCGATGGCTTATGCTCACCAGAGGTCGCGGACGGCGCCTCGGTCCAAGAAGCCTCCTGGCGCTCTTGGTGTGTCTGGAATACTCGGACAGGCTGTGGCTTATGGCTCTCCCAAGGAAAGATCGGTTTAGGCTTCTCCGTGGGTCGTGCTGGAGGCTCTTTTGGCACCTCATACCACATGTTCTTGGGAGGGCTTGGATAACGTGCGGGTGGCACAAACGGAGCCAAGTCAGACGACATTTCGTAGTGCGTCTGCGGGAAGTCCATGGCTTCGGGCTTGGAGTCCGGTGGAGGCGGGTGGCTGGAATTTGTGTTAGCTTCCCGTTGTGCTTGAAAGTACGGGGTTGGAGGCGACTAACCGTTGAGCATCCCAACTTGGTGTGTTCTCAGGCTGAGGTTCCGGTTTGCGCTCCGGTTCACGCGCCGGCTCAGTGGGAGGGAGCGGGTTCCACTGGTGGCGATCCGATGCCTGATCTTCGCGAGCCTCAGCATGTGCCCCTTCAGAGTGCACGGCGCGGACATTGGAAACGCTCGGAGCAGAACCCAGGGGTTGAAGCGATTGAGCGGAACTTTCAGCATGAGATTGAACATGGTGGGGGTGGGGTTGGTGATGGTGAGGTTCATGATGATGCTGGTGGTGATGATAATCATGCGAATGCTGCTCAGAAGGGGGATGAAGCTGGCTGGCATAAGGCTGCTGTTGGTGGTGGTATTGCACGTCGCCATATGACTGGGTTTGTGGTGGTTGGTATTGCTGACCGTAGAAGTTGTTGGATTGATCATGAGGTGGCTCGCCAACAGGGACGACATAGCGGATCGTCGGCTGGTATTCACCCTTGACAAAATACTGCACAATCGCAGGGGATCTTGGCTCCGGTTGAGATTCGGGCCTCTGCGTACGCCATTAGTCAATGATGACAACTCTGCCGGAACGACTGTTTGAAAACTCACCTCTCTGCGGTAGTGCCGATCGTAAACGGCCCACCATCTACCCATCATTTCATCGTACGGCGAGCTTCCGGTGGATTTGTCTCTGCCTTCCAACCATGGCTTATTGGCGCCGATAAAATGGACCATGTTTATGCTCGATTGGAAGTGTTTGTAGGCAGGCACATATTGGTAGTGGGCGGAAGGCGTCACATTGTAAGTGAAGCTGAGGCGGTTAAAGCTGTTCTGGAAGTATATATTCAGGAGACCTTGATCGGCGCCGTCAAAGGAGATGCCTCTTTCAGCCAAGGCCATCAGTGCATGGTAGTCGCCGATGTTCGGGGTCAAGACCATGACTCCCGTGTTGAACAAGTCGGGCCAGCCAATGTCGGGCGCTGCCGAGAAGGCATGGGGAAGGTCGAACAGCTCGTCGGGAGCTCTGTACGCCACAACATCGGCGTCTATGTAAACAATCTTGCGGAACTGCGTCTGCTTCCAGAGATTGATCTTCGTGAAGGCCGAATGGAGGTCCGGACGGTTCATGAGGTCCAGGTTGGCTGGCCGCCCGTTGCGGATGCGGCTAACGGGGATGACATAATCGTACACGGCCTAGGACAACGGTCAGTGACCGGTGCGAATATGAGGCGGCCGTGAAAGACCAGGAGGGCTTGCCTTGAGTTGCGTTATGACATCGGCTGACACCGAGTCTAGAGTGACTAGGATAGCCAGCTTCTTGGTGGTACCGGCATCACGGAGTGAGTGCGCAAGTACGAGGGCACCTAGTAGAGCTTAATCAGCAAATCGAATCCGGCATAAGGTATGTTTCTGCTAGTGCTCCGAACTTACCAGGCAGATAGGTATCCGTCAGAAGAAGCTGTTCGAGGCCCGGGTTAGCGTTCCTAGCTCATCCAAGGCGGCGCACGGGGTTTCTGTCCACCGTATCCTCGTGCCCATGACTGGAGACGCGACAGACAACACCTGGCGCCCTGGGGCGCACTACTTACGCTGGCATACACGTCCTCCCCCCCTTGCGCAGCCATTGTGCGCAAAGGCACCTCGCCAGCACAGTCAATATGGAGGATGGGTAGATGCAAAGAGCAGGAAAGCCGAAAGACAACACAAATGGCAATGGCCAGATGGAGAAAAGAAGCGTGGCACTGGACCTTGACGACGCGAAAAAACTGGGTATGGGATCCGATGAAGGAGCAATCAACTGCGCTGCTTGCTGCTGGCAGCTTCTGCTGGGTGTGTATGTACAGTACCTGCACAAGTTGGGAAAGCTCGTCTTGCCCGTTACATCAGGCCATGTCAATCCCGTGAAGAGGCATGGCTAAAGTACAGACCCGAGCTCTGTGACTTTTGACTGGGCTCAGTCCGATGTTTACGCATGATACCATCGCGGAAACTGACTGCTACGAGCATGCGGCAAAGTTGGAATAACAAGGGTCATCGGCAGGGATGGAAGCTAGGGCCGCATCGTTATCCTGCAGCAGCAAGCAGCATTCAGTATCCTTGCCTCTTGTTCCTCTTTGCAGCACACACACCTTCGGCTGCAGCAGGCCAATCAGTTCGAGGCGGGTATGGGGTACAGTAGATTCGACGTGCAGCAGAATTTGGTCGTACAAGTACACAGCTTGAAGAATTTGCCATCTACGATCATGAACTTGTTCAATAGGTAACTTTGCTGAGCTCGTACTCAGTTGGCGGCAAGCTGCCTGAGTTCCATTCTCAGATAAACACCTCAGTAACATTATCACGTTGCCAAGCCATTGATTTGCCCAGTTTTCACCTTGCGAGACATGGCTTGCAGCTTGCAGCTGGGCGTTTTCAGTCAAACCGTTGTAATAAATGACAGGGCGTGTCTATGGCTATGAATTTATTGTATGTACTATACGTACAGTACACAATATTCCTGATCTCTTGCGTCCGGAACGTAAAGGCATGATAAGTTACGACTTTCATAGCAATACTTTTGGTCTAGGTCGAGTCGCACAACAGCAAGAAAGCAGAAGGAGCCGACGGGAGGGCACCATGCTCCTTGTATTGTACAAGTTCATGCGTAAATTACAGGTTGAGGTTTCGCAGAGCTAACCCCAGACCGGTGGGGACACTGGTGTGGATCGCCTGCCGGCGGGGGAATTGCACGCGAACCCATTGCATCACCATCCAATTTTCAGTGTTTCCATCACCCAATTCTGCCCCGCATGCCCCGCAGAGACGGCAACCCCAGCGTCTGTCGACTTCCATCCGATTCACAGAGGACCCTGAAATCTGTCATTCCGAGCCTGTTTAGAGACTGGTCTGCGACGGCTCTGCGTCGGCTTATGAAGGAGGTATGTAGTGTACTGCAATACAACTTAAAGTAACGACGCCACAGACTCGAGTATTCAATGCTGTACGACGCCTTTGATAACCTCATGACATTGTGCTCGCGCCAACCAATCCGGTTATCCATCAGAGTCATCGTCTAGCAAATAGACAGGCAAGCATTGCCTATGTGGTATGATCATGCTTGGTGCTGCAGGACTTACCAGGGTATGGACCTCCCAAAAATGCTCGGTTTTCAGCTTCGGATGGTAATGGAGTGGTCTGGCGTCGACACCTACTACTGGCTAGTACGGAGAATCCATCAAGGTGCCCTTGAGAGCAAACTCATGGGAATAATCAAAGGCGTGTGATGTGACTGCAAACGTCCATGCCCGGTTATAATAAGGCACCTACCTCTCCCGACCTCCTCCCAGTGCGCAACTAGCGCCTGGACGCCTTCTGTCGTGACGACTACCACTGCAAGCAACGCTACCCTAAGTACCTAATAAGCAGGCACTGCCAATATCATGAAGATATTCCCATGTTGAGAATATAAGGCTAATGGTCGTGCCTCGTTTGCAACAAGCCATCGGTGCCCGTGTTTTTATCATCCCACAATCAGATCGCAAACATGGCATACTGCCCGAGGATATCATACAAGCCAACTTCGCATGCCCTGCTACCCAATTCCTTATCAGCAGGGAGACACACATCGTCAAAGGTGCTACCCTAACCAGCAGAGCAACCCTCCGAACCATGCAATCATCCGCCCGATATTCTCTCTCCCATTCCGCTCCCATAGGCCCGCACGAAACGTATTCAAACGCGCCTCACAGATCCTTCTTATAGGCATGCTCCGGCTTATGCGTCGTCTCGTAGTCGACATGGACGTAGGCCCGTTCGACATCAGGCAGCCTCTCGAGCTTGATCTGCAGCTCCTCGGCGATATCGTGCGTCTCCTGGAGCGAGGCGTCCGGGTCCATGACGATATCCACCTCAGCAATGAGCCGCGGGCCCGAGTGGTAAGCGCGCACAGTATCGATCTGCCGGATGGCGGGCGAGTGGGTCAGGCACACGTAGGTGATGAGCTGCTGGATCTCGACTGAGGCGACGACGCCGACGAGCAGGAGGAACTCGGTAAAGGCGGTACGCAGCCACAGCGACGAGATGACGACGGACAGAAAAATGGCGCCCGCCGGGTCGAGCCACCACAGCAGCTTGCTCCCGCCCACCGAGGTGAGGATGCCGAAGCCGTTGACGAGCAGGTCGTTGCGGTGGTCCTGCCAGAGGATGCGCACCTGGCTGTACCTGTCCTTGATGGACCACGTGTACAGGAAGAGGGAGAGCTTGGTCGCGAATGCGGCGCCCACCGAAACGATGGACGGCAGGTTGAAGGGCTTGAGGTCCCCGTCGTGCTCGGCTAGATCGCGGGCGGAGAAGGCGATGATGATGAGCGAGACGGCCGTCATGAGGAAGCAGAAAGTGATGTTGCCCACCGTCTCGAGGCGGGCTTTGCCAGAGGGGAACCGCGCCGGGTCGACGCGCCGCACGGCCCGGTTGGTCAAGATCAAGGTAACGTTGCTGAGCGGGTCGAAGATGGCGTCGGCCATGGTGGTGAAGAGTGAGAGCGAGCCGGACGAAATGGCTGCGTAGAGCTGGAGAGCGGCCAGGACTACGTTGGCGACCAGCGACCCCCATACGGCAATCTGGAACTTGAGCTGGTCCTCGCCTTGCTCCTGGCGCGCCTCGGCGCGGTGTTCCTCGACGCTCTTGAGCAGCCGCTCGATGGTCTCGTTCTGGGCCTGATAGAAGCCCTCGAGCCGTCTGGCTGTGGTTGCCGAACTCCCGAATGGCTTGATGTACTTTTCCAGTTTGCCGGCGGGCCTGGACTTGCTTGCATTGCCTGTAGGCGTGGGCACATGGGCAGCATCCCGCTTGCGGGGAGTATTTGCCTTGATCTCAGCCAGCTGCGATGCAGTTTTGTACCGCTGAAATAGACCGTATGGGTCGTTTCCCGCAGCTACGAGCGGGAAGCGGCCAGCTCGCTGACTCTCAACCTCGACGTCGTCGGCGGCGACTGTAGGATGCCGGGCGACAGCGGCATCGTCGCCACCATCGTTAGCTTCGACTGCTGTGCTGTTTGCGCCCCCTCTGGACGCAGGAGCAGCGGGAGATTGCGATCTTGTCCCCAGACGTGGAATGCTTGCCGAATCGGACTGCGTCTTGAAGGGATGCGGGTGCAGAGATATGCTGCTTGAGAGATCGGGCTCCATTGTGAGCTTTTTGGAAGTTGTGGATCGCAATGAGTATTGAATCCTCGTTCCAACTTGAAGGGCGAAATCAATTGAGGGGCTAGTTTCACTGTCAACCAGGGAGCTCCGACGGGATTGAAGTGAGGGTGCTTTCAACCCCACGATACAGGATTCAATGGATGCATTATGCAGTGGAAGGAAGAGAAGGCAACGCACTACGGATATCACTTTTCCAAAACACGACGTAATTGTACCCCGTGGCGCAGTTGTGTCGTCTCTCTTAGCTTGGGTTTTGACTTCTTGGGCAAGCCTGTGCGTACAACTCCATGTTGAGTTCTCAAACAGTTGGGAGGTCCCAGGAAGCTCCAAAGGGGAAATGCCGTTTCCATGCTACCCTGCCGGAACGGCGGGGGTTCGGCAGGGGGTCCCGGCTCTGTAGTCGGTGTCGGATAAATAAGGGGCAATTGTACTGTATTTCGCAGATTATCGACATCTGAGTCGGCAATACAAAATGGAAGTTGCATTGGAAACAAGTCGTTCTTTGGTCCAGACATCGGTAGAAACTATATGTCATCACCAAGTCATCGCTGTTTGCAATCAGTTGCTAACGCTATGTCCGGGCATTTACAGGTTAGGGTCTCTGCCATCGAGTTGGTCAGTGTTCCATCGCCTGTTACGGAGTATCGACCACGGCTCAAGCCATTGAAGCCAGGCACCATCCTCCCCGTATTACATTGCCAAAATCGTGATTCCAGCTGCGACAGGATTCAAGGAAGCAAACAGTGTGCTACAGGAGCACTACCCAAGCTTTGAGAGTTGATAATGAGCTTCACAAGCTTGGTTTTAGCGCGGCATGGTGCCGGGTCTTTCGGTGGTTCCGGGAATCATTGCCTGGCTCATCAATTTGTGTGATTCTACTTTGAACACTACATAGGTAACTGCCGTACCATGATCTCGAGGTCAGCGGCCGGCTTCACATGTATAGTACCCCGACATACGCGACATCTTACCGTTACCATAACCTCAAGGCCGATGCTGTCAGTCCAGATCCAGATTCTGAGTCCTATAGAAAACAAACCATTCCTCAATCGCTATCAAAAACCCAAAAAAAAGAGACATTCCTTATAATCATTCAGCCTTATCCAAGAGCCTCCTCATCATAGCTTCGCTTCCGGTTTGTCAGCCTCGCATCGAGCGAGAATCCAATCCCCTACATCTCTATAAAATTCCTCGCTCTGTGGCCCATCAGCATGCAGCTGATGATACCACCCTTCATAGGCCCTGAACTGCCGATCCGGCACCTCACCAGTGCACTCGTCAAAGTACTTCTTGCTCGCGTCAAACCAGGTAGTCTTATCGTGCGTGCCGTGCCCGACCCACAGCGCCCGGAGCGCCCCTCCAGGCTGCGGCCGGACCTCCCCCTTCGCCAGCGCCGCCGTGCGGTCAAGCAATCCCGCGAGCCCCTCCAGCGTGCCCGTATTGTGCATCAGCTCATCCTCAGCAATGCTCTTAACCACCTCCGGATCACGACTCAAATGCTCCGGCAGAACAACATGCTTAAGCTGAAACTGGGGCAACAGCTTGCCCGCCAGCCTGCCAACCATGACCTTGATCGCGCTGGGCTGCTCCTCGGGCGAGAAGCCGATGAAGGGGCTTTCCAGTAGCCAGCCGCGGACATGGCGCACCAGGCTGTCCTGATACGCCGGCGAACACGCCAGCGTCAGCACCTGCCCGCCGCCCATCGAGTGGCCCATGACAAAGACGGGCGGGTCCGTCGGGGCCTTGGGCAGGTGCGGGGTGATGAAGGCGGCCATGTCGGCCAGAACCTGCGACGTGGGGCCCGTGAGTCCCCTGTCGCTGGGTTTGCGCACCGAACGGCCCCAGCCCCGCTGGTCAAGGCCGTGGACCGCGATGCCGCGCGCCGCGAGTGACGGGAAGAATCCATAGTATCGTCCCATGTGGTCGCTGAAACCGTGAATGAAGATCAGCTTGGCCTTGATGGGTCCATCGGGCTATATAAAGCGGTTAGAACTAATGCCAAGCAAGGTTATTGTCGACAAGTGAAATAGGTCAGTGGGTGACATACAAGCCATGACTTGGTGTAGACACTGTGGCCTCCAATGTCAAAGGTGCCTTCCTTTTCGATGACCATTTCTGAGGTAATGTGAGTAATCGAGACGAACAGCAACCAAATATGAAGAGCGTCGAGGACAACTATGGTGGGTGAGTTGCGATGTTAAACGGTCAAGATCGGGCTGAGCGGTGTAAGGCTGATGCGCCGCTGTGGCTGCTTTCACATGCTCTTAGCCGTTCTGTCGAATTGTCCAATGATTTGAGTCTCCAGATTTCTTGAATGGGTTTCCCACTGCAAAACCGCCGCTTTTCAGGTGGGGTCTATGTGACAGGTTTGGTTACCTAGTTTGAACCATCTAGAGAGGATAGCCAACACAGAGATGGCACCTAGCGTTAAACGGGGGATTGATGAGATAAGAGTTGTCTGTGAGTCTCTGTCCGAGGCAGTCCTCAGGTGGGTCTGAATTGGCTGCCGACCGGCATTCACGTGTCAAGTGTCAACCAACACCGGATTGAAAGATCCCTCTCATCATCCTTGGTCAATAGCCATGAGGATTCACTCTATGACATGATATCGACAATAACAGCGTCTCTGGAAAGCCATCGCCGGTGAAATATAGATACAACCCCTCCCCTTCCGAGTCCCGTTTATAGGCAAATGGTTACCTGGTCGAGACACCGAACACAAAGCAGCCTCCCTTCTTGCCCAGTCAACCGTATATCGGAATCTGACATGACCAAAACCCTCCTGCCCAACATTCAAAGCGTCACAGCCATCAACAGAACATGGCACCCGTTAACTGTGTCGTCCTATCGTCCCGTCATCTCGTCGTGACATTCCGTAGGGTCCAAGTAAATCCTTGCTGGTATACGACGCCGAACTCCAACCCTACTAAAACAGTTAAGAATAATAATAACCAAATCTCAAGCGGGCCAAGGGGGAGGTATTCTATATCTCTCCCAGATGATCCTGCAGCTCGGTGCTGCCAAACACGTCTTGCGAATTGGCCGGTGTGAGGCTGTATTTTTCTCCAGGCAAGTCTTCATCAGGTGTCCTAATCCCGATGCCACTGTCGTCGTGGCTCGCCTGTTGATTGTTGCCCGAAGGCGCTGAAGGGAAGGGGGCTCGGTCGGGCTGCGACTCCGACATGCGAGAGATGTTGAAGTCGTCACTGGCACTGCTATACCGAGATCCTTGAGTGCTCAGCTCTCGATTTGCCGCTTGCCGTTTTGAAACCATGAGGGCATCTCGAGTCGACTTCTGCTGCATGAAGCCTCCTTGTTCTGCCATAAACTGGATCATCTCGTCGACCCAGCATTTCGTCACCCACCACGACCCGAAGCTCTTCCCTTGCACAATGGTAAGGTCCCTCATCAGTGCAGTGCTCAGCCTCTGAACGCACCAGACGAGGTCCGTATCCGACGCGTAAGGGAACCGACCAGGGAGAGACCGTAGGAAGTTAACCCAACGGTCCAGGATGTTTGACGAATCTGCGTCTTCATTGGGCCCTTCTTGCGGTTGCCGTCCATTGCGCATTGCGATTTCGCCATGCACTGTAAGGCATTCCATCTCCCAAGGCACGTTCACGGGGTCGAGGAGGTCCCGCATCTCGTTGAGCAAGAGATTGACAACATCGTCCATGCCGGGTGAGGGTATGCTCTCGGCAATCTTTCGCACGTTGACCATGGTAATCCACTCCATGTACATTAGGTCGCGGTTTGCAGGGTTCGACAGCATGTTCGCGGCGGCGTGTGCCGTTAGGTTCACCCGCAGCGCCCTGTCGAGCAGGCCAGCAAAGATGGTAGCTGGTGCTTCCTTCGCCTTTATAACATGTAAAGGCTGCCCCTGGAAGGAATCCCGGATGTGAGGTACGAGACGCTCCGATATATTGCGAAGCGTGTCGAGGACAGGCTTGGGTACGACCTGGAGGGTCAGCCCCGATACGATGCGCATCATTCGTTGGTAGAGTATGAAGTCACACTCCTCAATCCAAGGCGCGATGGCGGGGTTCGCGAATAACTTCTGCACAGGCATCGTGAGAGTGCCTTGGAATGAAGTGAAAAGGTGAAAAAAAGTTTTCTCTTTGCAGTATCGGATACACTCGACGAGAGAAGTACAGTATGATCGATAGAGCGCAACAAGGGACTTTGCCGCGTCCGGATCGGTGCCATTGGGTAGGTATGGCTCGATTCTTGGTAGAATGAGAGGGTCTGACTGCTTGAACATCTCCCCGGTGTCGGTTGAGAACCGAAGCTGCTGGACCGTCTTGGCCACGTTGTTCTGTAATTGATCGATATTCGCGATTTGGGGATGGTTATAGAGGCTGTGGCGGTATTCGTGAGATCGCGCCGGCTTTGGTCCAAGCGGCAAACCAAGTGCTGGCGTTGGAAAGGTGGCGCTCTCAGGCCTTGCCGATGTCGACTTATTTGGGAGTGCACTTGTGGAAAGTCAATTCGTGTATGCCTTGGCCCATCCTGTCATAAGACTTACCTGAAGTTCTGCGAAGGGTTCTCTCCTAAAGGCACAGCGGGTTGGGCAGAAGTGTCGCGGACGTCTGGCTGCTCTTCCTTGAGCTGGAAATTAACGTAGTGATATTTCGACTCTCCACGAATCCCTAGCCGCCGCGTCTTCAACCCGGGAAAGAGAACCCGAACTAACTTCCCGAAACTAGCAGGATTCAGGACAGTAATCCTCTCTGTGGCGCAACGAGACGCATAGTTCGCATACACTCTTCCTCTAGGAACCGAACCTTTGCCTGCAGAACAGACTTGGTTTATCCTACTTCGCCGTTAGAAACATAGCGTCAAAAAGATTGGAACTGGAACCTACCAAAGCATGGCGAAAACCTGGCGTGTCCGTTCGGAATTGGGTCCCCGCTCGTTGCCGTGGAGTTCCTCGGCAACATCTTGAAGAGTGCGGTGCTTGTTGGAATGGAACAACTGTCGCATTTCCATTTCGTTATTGGCGTTGGATCGCGAGCCAGACTTGGCCGGTGCCGACATTCCATGAAACGAGTCGCCGTCGCCATTCCCATCCCGATCCACCAGCTGGCTGTCGTCGGCGAAGCTGTTATTCCCTGCGAAGGAGTCGGCAGACAGGGACTGTCGACTCATGCTATGGCTGTGGTGATGGAACGCGACACTCTGCATCGACGTATTTACTGAGGCATCCATCGTGAAGTCGCGGGTTGCCTGCAGCTGGGAGGCAAGCAGGAGGTCTTCTGGGGTCATTTGCGACGAGCCATTGGGAAGTTCTCGTTGCTGGCTAGGATCATTGGGCAACCATTGTGAGGTATACACTTCGCCGGATTCCGTGAAGGGGTGATCAATGTTGGGCTGTGTGGTGGCGCTGTGGATAGATGCCGTCGAGCCTCGCGACCGAGGCCGCTTCCTCGCCTTGGCCAAGGCAAGGGGATCTGCCAAACAATGAGCATTCAAATGTATTTGAGGAGTGGCCAGCGTTTCAAATATGAGTGTAGCGGAGATAAGAGAGCTGTCCTTACCGTGGGTCGAGTCCATCGCCACTCCCACTATCATGGATAAATAGTGGCTTCAAAACACACGACGTCGACCAACAATTGCGACAATGAAAAGACCGACCGGGCTGCGAGAGAAAATAATATCTAGAGCCGCTGCTAGAAAAGATATACGATGAATCTTGCCAGCCGTCGTGGCGCATGGGCAAAAAGCGAGCAACTTGGTGCGCTGTCTGCCCGCTGGACGTGCTCAATTCCGCATTTTCCTTAGGAGGGAGGAGGAGAAAGAAATCAACAAACATGACAGGCGCTACCCGGGGCAATGCGCTCCTTGCCTCTGCCCCCGCACGGGCCCCGCCCACTCAGAACCTCAGCTCGATTGGTTCGTTTGCCAGATTCCTGCATAGCAAAAACAACAAACCGACTCTGCCTATAAGATCAAAACAAAACACAGCTCAAATAAATGGGAGCTTTGATCCCCTATTGCGAAATATGATCGTCTTCATGACCAGGCTTGCGCAATAGCCCGATAACCAAGAGTGCCTTCCACCCGTGTCATCCGCAACCCTTCTGCAAGAAACTGTTTACAATGTTCAAAAGGCAGGGTTTGCGTGACGTACAGCTTGGCTCTGTGGTAAATGCATACACAGACTCACAGAGTACGAAGTACGTTCTTCACATTCATGGGTCTTCTCTGAAGGCTCTTGAAAACCACTGGTACACCTCTCGAATGTTGTCGTAAAGTCCCGCGAAAAGATGAGAGATGGTACCTTGGGTCATGGAGTGATATTTTTGCAATGGGTCAGTCATTGATTCCCCCTTATACGTTACCTGAGCACAGGACGCCTCTCACGGTCACTTGTTTGATTGTCTCACAGACATCTAGCCAGATTTCTGATAGTGTCTCTTACATTACTATATTAATAAGGGCCAGATCCCTTTCCCTCACGCCTACGACACTACGCAAAAGCAAAAGGACAAGAATATCGACCGTACTTGGGAGGACCAGTGCTGCAAAATGAAAGGCTGATTCGATCCAGGTTCGAACTGGAGACCTTCAGTGTGTTAGACTGACGTGATAACCAACTACACCATCGAACCTTAGGCCTTGATAGGATAAGCTGGATAGATTGAGTTCATGAGATAGTTTACAACAGTTTCATGGTGAATAGGCTGTAAAAGACGGACCTAGAATTATCTGAGCAGTAGCATCCAACTCAGCTGAAAGCTAACTTGGTCTTCCGATAACATTACTGACTACCTAGACCTTGGTTGTAGAGTTAACGTAACCCGACTGAAGACGAGTACACTACTTGATAAGGATGGCTTCCAGTGGGAAAGCATCAGATGGCCCATACACATACATTTTCCCTAACAGACTGATTGGGACGGCTTTCGGGGTCTTCAAGCTGAGCTATGATAAGCTCTGTTAGGTCTTTTTTTAGTGTCAAATCATGTTTAGCAGCTCTGGTTTAGGAAGCACGTGATCTCACTCTCCCCTTTCGTTGCATCATGTTTCAAATCCGGAAGCTGCCGGGGCTTGTGACTGGGGTTTCTGCACACGTATCAGTCGTCATCGCCTCACCGTCTTGTCCACATCCACACCTGCCACCACATTCCAGTTCGGCCGCCATATTAACCCACATTCTCAACCACAAAATATTCCCAGCCTCTTCCAAACACCTTTGAACGTCTCTTTCGCAACATCCTTCCTCAAGCTGTAACAGTAAGAGCTGCTCGCCCGCCTACAAATCTGCACGCTCATTAGCAGCGGATAGCTAATAACAGCTCCAGTCTTCCCCGCCGAAGCTCCTTCCAACTTGCGACCATCCGGCCGCTCTCTTGCAAACTACCCGACAATCCCCAGCTCGACTCCCAGCCATTTTGAGGATATTCATTTCCATACGCAACTATGTCTCGACCTCAGGACCGCGTTCAGCAGTATATCGGACAGCTCGACAAAGAGGTACGTCAGCGGATCCGACTCCCTCACCGTCTTCGCATTGTGCTCACCGGAACTGTGACCCCAGCTCTCCAAGTATCCTGCCCTTGTCAATCTTGAGAAGCAAACCTCTATTCCCAAGGCCTATGCTGCCCTTGGACTGGGGGCGCTATACTTCTTCCTTATCGTCTTCAACCTCGGCGGTCAGCTCCTGACCAACGTCGCGGGTTTTATTATTCCCGGATACTATTCTCTCGATGCCCTCTTTACTTCCAACAAAGCGGATGACACGCAGTGGCTGACGGTGAGCCAACCAAAATCCCCTTTGGAATCATGGCCTTGAACTAAGCATGTGTACTAGTACTGGGTTGTGTTTGCCTTGTTCACGTAAGGACCCTTCTTGTCTCCATAGGCAGATGAATATCCAAGCTAACGGCATGGGCAGCGTCATTGAGAGCCTTGTCAGCGTTGTCTACTGGTTCCCGTTCTATTATACCTTCAAGTTTGTCTTCCTCCTCTGGCTCTCCCTCCCGGCCTTCAAGTAAGTTTCTCCCCACCATTGTTCCAGATGAGCAGGAAACTCATGACGATTCAGGGGCGCCGACATCATCTTCCGCTCCTTCTTGGCCCCGACCCTGGGCCGCTACTTCCATGGCTCTGGTTCTACCGCTAGCGGACTGCGTGCAAAGGCCGACTCTCTCCACACTGAGTAAATATCGCCCGAGTTCCGGTCCTTGTTCGATGCCATTCGCTCAAAGAGAATGGCGCCGAGGGTGGCCCTGCCCAGGTGTGGGGAGTAGCAGACAGTCGTATGGCCCGGTTTTCTTTCTGACGTTCGACATGAATGATGACGTGACCACACATGTCTGTGGCAGAGCCTGGAGCGACCGGGACAACTCGGCAGACATGGAGAATTTTTCGCTCAAAGAGGTAAACGGAACGGATACATACCACGAGGATCCCTCTTGGATGTCCTCTCAGGATAGAGTTGCAGGTGTTGGATTCCCTCTTGTGTTGTACAGCTGGGAAAGTTGGGGGTTAGTGTACTATCTTGATCACACGGCGCGGTGGCTGAATACGAGTTATGTGATGACCAAGTTTCGTTCACGTTTAACCACGTCGAGTTGCATCTGTCGTTGATGAATGCATGCAGGAAGCCAAATTTGAACCTCTGATTTTCGTACGTAGGGAACATGTGCAATGCAAGTTCAGGTGCAACTGTTTCATGTGTGACGGGCACTTAAGTGGTGCCTAGCTGGTCAGCCATCAAAATCTTGGCAAGCGGCAGCAATGGGCCCACTGCAAGGGGCATTCAGCTACGACGAAGTTAGTGGCCGATCCAGGGCAAAAGCACCCCCGACAGATGCTTCATCTTCCGGGTTTCTGGATGCGTGGGAGACATCGACAAACTTACTTGACCCGACCGTACAACTACAACGCAGCCGATTGACAGTTCTAGAATCGCTCTTGAACCAACCACAGCGGAATCAGTCAAATTCATCTGGGAAGAACTGGGCTTGAACGGCTTAAATGTCATGGTGCCCTTGCCGGCGGCCTCCAGCGGTCAGCTACAGGGGCTCTAGCAGCCTCGGCGAGGCGATCCCCAGGAACGTCAGAGAGGAGGCATAGAGACGCCACAATCAGCTACCTGACCTACACACCACATTAGCCCTCCGTATCTGGGCACCCACGCATATTCTCAGCAGTTCCTCGGGGGGACCATGCTCTCGCAATGCAGCTCAGTCCTCTTCAGTCGCGACTGGCGGCATCTCTCGTCGCATCATGTTTGCTTCTGCTCCTCTACCTGGTCTTGTTCCCCCCACACTTCGCCCTGGCAGCCGAGTTGAACCAAGCATTCGCCGTCAATTTCGATGATCGCGATTTCTCGCCCAATCCGGCGACGCGCGGATTGCTCGATCCGACGTACGAGCCAGACTTCCTTCCCTTTGACAGGAGCATAATAGGTCGCGCGCCGGACGGGTTCACTTCATTGACCAACAATGAGGCCATGTCCATGAACGTGGACGAGGGCACAACACAGCGCTTTGTTTTTGCAGTGCCCGGACTCTCTGAGCGGAAAGCAGAAAGGGGCCGGTTGGACCTGAGGGATGAGCACAATGCACCTGAGAAGCGAGACGTCAGCGCTAGCGCTGGCGACGGGGAGCACGAAATTGCTCGAGGGCAGCAGAGTGCGAGCGTTGTGAGAAGACAGAGCTCTCAAACGGTATACATATCGGCAAATACCTGCGAACAGCCACAGCCGATAGACCCCTCGAAAACAACCCTTGAGCCTCCTCAGCTTACCATGTTCGTCTCGACAACCGCAGAAAACCAGGCCCCGGGCCCACTCGCCGACCCCAACTCGCAAGAGCTGGTTGTGTTCAAGGAAGGGGCTGCTATGTACAGCGTCACTACTACGGACTCTGAGGTGTACATTGGAATACACGCGGCGAATGTGTCGGAAGTATTTTCGGGTATATACAACTTCCGAGTTGCAGCTTCCATCGACAGCTTTTACTACAGTTATAACGAGCAAGACGATGCGGACCTCATATTTGTCGATAGCGACTCTCAGGGCGCACTGCTGATTACGCATGACTTGACGGACAAGGCAGATCCGCAGCTCGAGGAATCGATTAGGACCACACCGCCGTACGTGCTGTTTGCGCATAACGAGAACGACAGGACCATCAACGGTCTCAAATATTCGTACTGCGGTCTTGAGAATTACGCCCAGATTGCAGCCAGAAGGAACGGACAAGAAACGAATCTTGTCCGGACGAGCATCACCACAAGAGGCCCGGAAAAGCTCCCAAAGCAGCAGTTCTTTTTCAGCGGGCTGAACTCGAGCACAAACTATACGGGCATATTGGCCAGAGATGGCAGCCAGCTTAGCAAGAGACAATCCACGACCGGTAGCGGCGGCGAGGTTTTCAGATCTATGAGGTTCTGGACAAAATCTAGTAAGTGTCCGAGTCTCCAGGGGTTCTTCCCGCAGAGCCAGTTATTGACCATGCACACCAGGTCATGGCAACTGCGCCTTGATCACCGACCTCGACTTTTGCGACCAAGTCGCATACTCAGTGCCCAGCAACCCCAACTTTGGCAACTCGACCCAGCTTGCCCAGTTTTACGACCGTTTCGCCTCATCCATGTACGAAAACTTCAACAAGTCGCTTGCCCAAATACCGTGCGAGGCACCGCCGGAGCAGCGCTACTCCCTAGTGCGCGACTGCACCAACTGCTCGGCTGCGTACAAGGACTGGCTCTGCTCCGTCACCATCCCCCGGTGTGAGGACTTTGACAACGATGCGCCGTACCTACAGCCCCGAGCCATCGGGCAGCCGTTTCCCGACGGCACCGCGCTGGACGCAGACAGGCTGAAAGGGATGGAGAATGTCAGGAGGTTCAACTCGAGCCGGAACCCGTTGATCGATGAGGTCATCAAGCCGGGCCCGTACAAGGAGCTTCTCCCTTGCGAAGACGTCTGCTATAAGCTGGTGCAGAGCTGTCCGGCTGCGCTGGGGTTCAGTTGTCCGCAGCCCGGCGGCATTGGCTTTGAGGGGAACTATGGCAGGCATGAGGGAGGCGAACTGACGTGTAATTTCCCTGGTTCGGCGCACTTCAAATCTGCTGGCGAGAGGGCCGTTGTTCACTGGAGATGGCTGCTTGGAATTGTGCTAGTTGGTTTACTTGTGGTTTAAAGATAAGTGGGCATGTTTCAGGAGTTGCTATGGATTACACGGCGGGCTGGGTTTGGGCGTTGGCTATTTTGGGCGGGTTGAAGATGGTCAACTAGAGCGATTTGCATGATTGTACGGTACTGTTCGAAACTGATGAGGCTATGGATCATAAACGACGGTGTTTCATTCTGGATGGCATAGCTGGTTAAGCCAGGCCAAGGTCTACCTTGGAATTGCAAGGGGAGGATTGTCTGAAGAGGCTTGCTGCATGTTCCGGGTTATTGTATCAAGATATTTTAGAGGACGTGTGTCATGTAAGCCCACCGTGTCGTTTCTAGCCTCTTCCCGCTACTATCACCGTCCTTGAATAGGGTATCTCGACCGTTTGCCGACCTCCCCGACGTCCGCACCGTTCATGCCGCTGCGTCGTCGTTTCAACGGCTCAACCCTTTGCTGGATCCCTTGCTCTTCAGCGCCTCCTTGACTAGCCGGCCCTTTCGAAAATTGCCATCAGGCCACATGTTAATCATCACCACCGCCACCAGGGCCGCCCACCGCTACCCGTCTCACTTGTTCCCTCCTTGACCTTTGCTTCTTCTACGTTGGCAGCAGCAGTAGCCGCCGCCGCCTCCGCCTCCGCCGCAGCCTTCTCCTGGGCGATCTGTAACCTTTTGACCTGTGCCTCAAGCTTGATGATCTCAGCTACTCTCCAGATTGCAAGTCAGCTCCCGCGTATAAAACTTGTGAAAAGGGGTACAATACAGCCCCGGCTCACTCACCTCGCCGCTCAGCCTTGATCTCCTCGTGCTCCAGCTTGGTCCAGCCAAAGTAGACGAGCTGATAGGTGAAGACGGCTAGAAGGGCGCATTTTGCCACGGGCCGTGTGAAAGTCTTGTAGAAGTTACTCTGTGGTTGGGAAGGGGGGTTGGAAGTTAGTATGAGGCGGGATGTGGAGGGGATGTAAGGGGTATTTACTGTTGCTGAGGGCGGTTGTTGAGAGTATCTCCTGATTTGGGATTGTGATGAGCGGAATGGTGAGGAGGGTGACGCCCTGCAGAGGGCGGCTCTTAGAGGACGGGGCATGCTGTTCGATGCGATGAGATATGAATCGAGGGTTTTGTGTTCCGCGATTAGTTTATAATGGTTGATGTACTTCTGTTATCTCAAGAAGCTCGAATTGTGGACATTGCGGATGTGTGCATTGTAATCATCTAGCTCGGTGAGAGGCGAATTGGCCGAAAGCCTGGGAGCCTGGCTCACACATGAGAGTTGCAATCGATGAGAGACCGTTGAAGTTAAGGCGATGCCAAGCTCAATGATATCCAGCATGGTGGTGTCTTGCCATTGGGCCGTGGCACCCTTGTCATGGCCGAACCAGGGTCCATCACAGCTGACCCACCTTCAGCTGCACGGCCCCACGACGACACATGGCCAGAACTCCCGTCGATAGCTTGCAATCTGTCCCAATTCCCCTGGATGGGTGCCATCATATACCAGCTTCATCGCAACACACCCTCTTCTTGTACGCTCAACCTCGAAGCTTTCAGTGCAACATACTCCTTCCTCCTGTCACCGACTCCCAACACACTCGAGGCTCTTCTTTCCCTACTCTGTTGCTAGCGCCCAGCTTATAGCTGCATACATAACCTTAACGGCCCCCTGTTCTCCTAGGCGATCCTTCTACGCTTGATACATACATCTCACACAATGGTACGCTTGCCATCAAAACGTCCTCCGCCTCCTTGACAACCACTGATTCCAAGTCACGACAGGCGCAAACACCCCAACAACGACGTGCAAATCTCAAGTTCCAGAAGGAGCAGGAGGCCCGGCGCGGCAAGTCCGAGGACCAGCTCAAGAAGCGTGCTAAGGAAACGCCCAAGTCTCCCATATCTCCTATGTGGCTCGGTAAGCGGGAATGGGCTCCTCGTTTGCCCCAGAGTTGGTTGTCTAACTTGGATGACTTGCAGTACTTCTCGGCTTCGTTGTATTTGGCGGTTTGATCTTCGAGGTCATTTCCCGTATCTTCCTGCGGTGATCGAGGGCAAGACTATCCATGGATGATAGAGAGCCGGAACGGAAGACGGAACATTAGAACGCCAAAGGTCTGCCGTACGCCGTACCAGGGAGCCTACCAACCCCGACCGGTAGATGGCCGCGGACCGGACGAGCAGCTCGTGCATACTCTGCACGTGTACCACTATGCAACAACTTTGTTCTGGGGATATCGGGCTGGGATTTGCTAGCATATACCATTTTTATCATTTCGCTGAGAGGACGACAAAGTCCAGCAATAGGCGATTCCTCTGCTATGTTAAGTGTATGGTTCAATAGAGGCGGGCACCAAAGATGAAAAGTACCCATGATTTCGCTCAAGCACCGAGGCCCCGGCGCTGGCCGGGGTTTTCGAACTTCATTCGTATGCCGGCATCATATTGTTGCTCAAGTTCCTGCTCAACCCGGCCGATGTCGAACCGTTTGCGAGACTCCTTTGCTTCACCCGCGGCTGGGGCGTTCGCGCCGTGCTTCTTTCCACCCAATAGACGCATGAATTTGTCCTGCCGCTTCGCGCCGCCACCAAGTGCTTGGACATTCCACCGTTCCGAGAGGTCGGCCTGGGGAGCGCAAGGCAAAGCGGGAGTGGGCGCGACGTTGTCCGGTTCTGCTTCTGAAGCCTCCGAGCTCTTGCGCTTCTTGTGCTTTTTCTTGTCCTTCTTCTTTTTATCCTTTTTGCCATCCTTCTGTTCAGCCTTGACCTCCTCCCTGTCGTAAGCGGCGGCGTTGGCGTCGACCATTTTCACATCCCCAGTCTGGTGCTTAGCTCTGTTCTTCTTCTTTTTCTCCTTCTTGTCCTCCTTTTGCTTCCCTGTCATCTGCTCGCCATCACTCGGTTCAACCTTGTCCCCCTTGTCCTCCTTGTCGTTAGCGGCAGCGTTGGCGTCAACCATTTCCACATCACCAGTCTGGTGCTTGTGTTTGCGCTTCTTTTTCTTCTCCTTCTGGGCTTTCTCGCTTTCCTTCCCTTCCTCCCCAATTCTTTCTGTGGCCTCCTTGATCTCACCATGTCCAGCTAGTGGGCGATCTTGAGCTTCGGCCTGTTTCTTGGACTTCTTTTCTTTCTTCGCTTTGTTGTCCTGATTGGCGTTGACAGCCAGAGGGTTCTCCTCGTCATTGCCGATCTCCTCATGGCTTTCGTCTCCTTTCTTGGCTTTTCCCCCCTTCTTCTCTGACTGCTCGTCGCTCTTGGACTTGCGGTCCTTCTTGCTCTTCTTCTTCACCGGCTCGACATCTTCCTGCACATTGACACCGCCCTCGGTCTCAATGGGCGTTCCATCCTCAGTCGATACATCAACAGAGTCGCGTTTGCGCTTGCAATCACTCTTTCCCTCCTTGGATTTCCCTTTTTTAGCTTTTGCATCGTCGGATTTGGTGGTTTCGGGAGCAGTTGGTTTTGGTGGAGCCGATGATTTGACCTTTGACTGCTTCTTTTCCTCTTCGCCAATGACTTTGGTGCTGGCAGAAGAGGTTTTAAGGTCCTTCTCCTTGGACCCCTTGACCTTCTTCTTTGACTTGTCACCCATATTGTTGATTTGTTGTTGTAATGCAGTTGAGATGTTGATGATGCGTGAAAATGAAGCCGGTTGCGATTTCAGTGAGAAAGTTAAATCAATCCTTCAGCAGTCCAACCATTTATGGCGATTGGGAATGCGCAATTGTAATTGTCGGGTGGGAAGTTGTGAGCTCGGTGGCCATGAAATGAAGATGCTTGTGAAAGCTGTGATAAGTTTTGGGAAGGAAAGTTCCATGATGCTTACCTTAACCCTAACCCTCTAAGAACACAATCCTCACAAGGTTCCAAGCATAAGGGCCTGTTTCTCATATCACATAATTTCACATAAAGCTGCAAGACTCAGCCAGCCAAGCTTCCGGGAAAACTAGGTAATGAACCGGGTATCAATACTAACCATACACATCCTTCATCGAAATCCTAGGTTGCAAGTTGCGACGAGGTCCCTAGCGGGTCGGACTGAGTGGCCTGTTGAACCCACCAACGCGGTTCATGTACTGCCGGTACTGTGTCTTCTTTTCCTTCCGCGCGGCGCCAACATTGTTCCCTAGAACCTTCTTTCCCTTTGTCGTACCAAACCCTCCGAATCCCATCATGGCTGCCATATCATCCAGGCCGTCCTCCTCGACTACAACTTCGTCGTTGTCGTCTTCGTCCATGGGTTCCGCATCGAACCGCCCCCTGGATGGTTGGCGGCCATGCTGCTCTCCGTCTTCGGAATGCCGCTGCTCCTGGCTTTCTTCCCGTGTCGTTTGCTGCCATGGTTCTGGTCCGTGGCTCCCATCTCGGCTCTTCACCTTGAATGATACAGGTGGCGCTGTCGGCGTCGATGCGTTAGTGCTGGCCTTTGAGCGTGTAGGCAGCTGTGTGGGTTCGTCACTGTCCCGTTCAAAGACACGCCTTGGGCTGGCCGAGGCCCGGGGTGATTCAGTAGCGAGGCGGTCCTTGTCACGAATAGGCTTCTCGCCTGGTAATTTGTGAATGTCAGTGACTGTTGCGACCCGACGTAACGGGCCCAGGCTGGTGAGACATACCTCTCTCTAGTCGGCCCGCACTGCCCTCTCTTATACTCCTATCCCCGCGCTCCCGTAGTGGCCCGTCCTGATCTTCCTCCCGTCGGCGGTGGCCTCGATCCCTCTCTCTTTGTCTCTCCTTCCCGCCATCTCGCCTATCGTACCCCCTCTCACGGCCGGGAGAGCGTGAGCGCCGGCGATCTAACCGTCCGGCTCTGTCTCTAGAGCGTGAGCGCGAGCGTGAGCGATATCGACGGTGATCCCTTTCTCTATCCCTGTCTCTGTCCCTGCCGTGTTCACGGGCGCGGTCGTGGTGCCTGTCGTTACCGTCCCCGCGATCTCGACGCCGGTCGCGATCGCGCCGCCAGTCTCTGTCGTCGAAGGAGGGTCTGTCGCCTCCACGACGAGAGTGGCCCTCTCGTCTATCAGACATTGCCTGTTGCGAGTCAAAATGGTTGGTGAGGTTTTGGTAAGAAAGAAAGGTGGGCGAGATGGGTCCGGTTTTCGATAGCCGGTGACGTCTGAAAGGGAAGTTTCTAGGTGCGAGCGGCTAAGACAAGGCTGCTGCAGGGTTGCATTCAAGGCTTTGGGCCCCTGTAATTAGCGGGGTTAGTGTTACCACGCTAAATCTCAGGGCTTCTCGCCTTAAGGTCCCCCCCGGCCCTGATCACCTCAGCCACCCTGGTGCTAATGCTCTCACAACATCTTGATGACTCTATGAACGGGGTGGAAAGCGGATACAAGATGACGCCTTTCGTCGTTCAATGACTGTATACTGTAAGGGAAGACCCGACGGACATTCATTCTGGAAAATCTCATAACTCTCGACATTGAGATTGCACTACACCGGCTCGACCGGATACCTGCACTACACCGGATACCCTAACCCAACTATCTTCCCCTTAAATCTCATCTTCCTCCTCATCAAAATCATCCTCCCTTCCCATCTCATACAGGATCCTCCCTCCCTCCCCGCCCCCAACCTCAACCTGCGCATCAAAATAGGGCAGTACTACCCCTTCCCTATCACGCCTTTGCTTCTCCGTCAAGCCGATATTGAACGTAGTCATGCCATCCTCGTGCCCACCAGTGCCCTCCTCAGAAAGCTTATCCCCAGACTCGCCCTGAAAAGCGGGATGAACATCCCATAACATCACGCTCCAACCACCTGCCCCTCCTGCACCCTGCCGCACCCCTTTGGCAGTGACACTGGCCGTACTGGTAGGAGCGGCGAGGATGAACCTATCCACCACGGCCCTGCCGCTCCGCCGGCGCATCTCCATGTCCACCACGACATCCTTTTCAGACCACGCTTGCCCATGCCCGTGCCCGTGCCCGTGCCCATGCCCGTGGTCGCTCACCCCGCGCAGGCCGATGAGCACGCCTTCTCGGCCCTCGCGCAGGCCAAACTCGGGCTCCTGCACGCTCCGGCTCTGGGCGCGCCGCGCGGCGACGGCGTGCGAGAGGCTCGACACGCGGAAGACGGTCGTGGCTAGGTAGCTGAGCAGGGTGAGTGGGTCCGGGGTGTACTCGTTTGTGAGGATGGTGCTGTTTCTGAGAGGAGGAGTGAGGTCGGGCACATCGGTGTGGTAGACGGCTACGAGCGAGGCCGAGGGGGTGATGATGGAGGCGAAGAAGGCTTGGAGAAGGTGCGGAGTGACAGACGCCGCGGGGTTGAGCGTGTCGATTACTATTAGGTATCCTATGTAGAGCGGTGGTTAGTGGGTATTGACTGGCTGGTTTAGGCAGGGAGGTCCTTAAGGGGGAGCAGGCGAATAGGGGTTGGTTATGTACTCTGCGTAGCCGTTGTGGTGCCTTTGCTCGTGATGTGTGAAGATATTTCCGCCGCAAGACTCTTGAGAGACTTTCCCCGGGCTCTAATGAATACATCGACCTGGGAGGGCTTCTTAATTGTGACGAAAGAAACGTAGACGACCTTTGCACGTCCGATCTGTGATTGCACTGTCAGTTCGCAGGTTCGACTTGAGCCCAAGGGCTAGTATCCAAATTGCATTGCTCACCTTGGCGCTATTCATAAATTCGTTAACGAGCGGACCAGCGCTTTGCTCCAGGCTATCGAGGATAAGTGTGAGGGGGCTGGCGCTGTCTCGCAGGCTGAGCAACTTCTGGAATAGGAGCAGACTGTGAGTGCGCTGGTGAGCCTGAGCCGAGGGCGCCATCATGAAGACCGGATATGTCTAGAAATTATTTTGAATTTGCCGGATCTTATATGTATAACGACGATAAACCCGTCCCGACTCGTGAATCGGCTATGGCGTGCCTGATGCGAATTGCTCTGGGCAGGTGAGTGAGTGTGGTAATCTGTGAAAGTCTTTGCTGAGTCCCAATGCTAGCAAGATGGGTACGTTATGATTTTGGTACCTTAACTTACAGCGTGGCTAACCAGCCGAGTTGAGGACTGCTTGACTCTCAAGTCTCAACTGTGTGCACCTCTCACACGCATCAACTGAGTGCAATCAGACAACTTAGCCAAACCGTTGGTTAGATACTTTATTCTCATATTGATAGCTAGGTACTTGAGTAGGTCATCATCGCAGCGCCTGCACGCCTTTCAATCCCCACTCATCCTTTTGACCAGACCCTATCCCACTGCACAGCACTTTCAACGCTGTCTCGCAGTCCTGACTGATGAACCTTGACCGCTTATCTCCTGAAGAAAACACTGCCTCTTGAGAATCGCATGCCAGACAGAATCTCATCGAGTCGGGCGACAGTCAGAGGATGGTGTGCTCTCTCAGGGCTGCCAATGTTCCTTCCACGCACACCCTTGCTGCAGTTGTTTAACTGTGATGTTGTTTGGTTTTGTCCCCTGACAGCTTGGATAACATCATCTTGCACGTCGTTTAGCTCTGTCCCCTGACGGCTTTAGTCTTGCGGTTTGTACTGCCTTTGAGCAAATGTTTCCTCGCCCCTGACACCATACTGACTATAGTCAATACTCGCCGTACCCCCATGATCGGCTTTGAATCGCTTTCTCAGCATAGTTAAGCTTCTTCTGAATTTTCGATTCCTAGGAACCATTTTCTTCATGGCTTGGTTCCTCCCTGGTTTTAGCTGGATCCCCGTCGTTTTCCGTACCGGCGGTCAGTGCGACCTCCCCGGTGACTGGTGTCTGGTCAGGGGGAACCTTCTCATCACCGTTTTGCAACTTGCGCTCATCAACATCGGATCGTACAGGCGGTAATTGTTCCTGTGTGATGTGAATCGGTGACTGAGACTCTTGGCCCTTGTTTGCAGACACGGGCTGAGGCTGCTCAGTCGATTCTGGCACCTCCTGCTCCGATGATTGAGATGGATCACCTTGGAAGCGGTGACTCAGCTCATGACTGTCAGGCTCATCCTTCTTGGGAAGCTCAACTTCCCAATCTTCTTCAAACTGGCTCTGAAGAAAGGCCTCGAACTCGCCGCGCTTGTGCCTCTCGTGAGCGGTCCAAGCCTGGCTCAACCACTCCTCATCGTGCCGCCCGAGCTCAATGTTCTCACAATAGCGAGCGCAGTCGTGTCTGAAATTGTCATCGTTACGCATTGACTCTAAGTTTGGACGCGCAGCTTCAGTTCCCGCGTTCAGAATATGAGTCTCGTCAGGAAACTTGGCCAGAACTTCCTGTTTCTCCTGTGGAGTAAGGACTTCCCAAGCTCTGGGATGCAGCAAAATTGCCTGTTAAACAGCGTCAGAAAGTACATGCCCATGAAAGAAGGGCAGGCTGCACGCACTCTCAAGTCAGCTTGGGCAAGTGGTGATTTTGAGTCCGTATAGACAAACGGAGCTTCCCACTTCTTGTCCTTTGCAGGCTTCCTGGCGGCAGCGGGCATGCGACGCGGCTTCTTCGTGGGATGTGATTTACGACTCTTGAGGACTTTGCGCTTTTGAGTAGCCGGCTGATAGACTTCGTCCGAGAAGTCATTCGTGCTGGATTCCTCAGCTTTGCCATCTTCATCGTGTTTCGCCGCCCGTTTAGGAGCCGCCGTGGTCCGTTTGCCGGATGATTGATTGGTATGGTCACTAAGAGGGAACTCCTCCGTGGTAGGACTGGATGGGACCAAGCTCGCAACATGAATGACGTTTTCCGGAGGCGAGGAGACAGGGTGATTATTCTCATCCGCCATAGCGGCTGCACAACTTTCCCCGCTCTGGGATACCAACAGGTGCCGAGAATGGATGACTTGAGTGAGGTAACAAATTTCCACGCCCCCGAGATGCCTCGGCCAAGAGCGAGAGTGAGCATCAAAGTGATCGAAACGAAGGCTGTTTACTGTTTACCAATGCCGACGACTTGATTTGATATGTTTCTGGTCAATTCAACGAGGTATTGTATGTTGAGAACAGTCGAATAAGAATGAGCAGAGCGCAGATGCCGAGAAAGATAAATGGCCCATGGGTTCAAGTTGTTGGCGTGGTATTGGACAGAATGAGAATGGGACAAACGAAGGAGGCGCTGCCGGGAGTCCAGTTACGAGGCTGGAGTGAAGCCTTTAGCATGTTCGTACCCCTGAATATCGTATTGGCCAGCCTTGCCGGCGCCCACCTTCCAGGTTACCGGAGTAGACCCACTCAGCGCGATCGGGCAGGGTACGGGGAGTACGCTACAGGGGATGTTGCTTGTTGACGGGCTAGCGCTCCGCTGTGCAACTGACCGCGACCCTAAACAGACACCAACCAACATGCCAGGTGTTGATGCACTTCTGCAGTGATGGTGGTCTTAATTCTGCATCTACCAGACTCAGGACGAAATAACTGCAAGCTCTTGGTGCCAGTCAATACTTCCTCACCTGAACCTCTAAAAATTTGATGACGACATAGTCCCTAAAGTACTGTACTAGACTGAAAAGCCACGTTAGGTACTGGTCAACCCATCTCCTATCAAGGTATATCTGGTCCACAAATACCAACAACCCGCAAACAGCTCTACGCAGCTTGGCCCATTCGCAATTGTCAACACCAGGAAGGGCAAAAGCCGATATATCAGCTTAGAGGCCACCCAGGATGATTCGTTCAACACAGATTGCGAGGCTCGATGGTAAGAATCGAGGCGACCCCTTTTCCTTTGCTCTTTTCCATACTAACGCTCGAATCGTACAGGCCTCATGTTGTGCGCGTCAGTGGACGATTCGGACACGGAGCGGGAGCTAGGGGAAGTCAAGTCGCAAGTCAAGCTGATCCTGCGACGGCTAAGCCGCAACTCGGAGCCGCAGGCGTCGATCGAGAGCGGCGCGTACTCGCTGCACTACCTCATCTCGGCCGACATTGTCTACGTGGCCATCACGGAGCGCGCATACCCGCGCAAGCTGGCCTTCACGTACCTCTCGGACCTGGCGACCGAGTTCTCGACAACGTACCCGGCGCAACAGCTCATGAGCCCCGTGCTGCGGCCCTACGCCTTCATGGAGTTCGACACCTTCATCACGCGCACAAAGGCCACCTACAGCGACGCGCGCGCCACGCAGAACCTTGACAAGCTCAACGACGAGCTGCGCGACGTGACAAAGGTCATGACCAAGAACATTGAGGATTTGTTGTATCGGGGGGATAGCCTCGAGAGGATGGGCGAGCTGAGCAGCAGGTTGAGGGACGATAGCAAAAAGTACAGGCGGGCGGCTGTCAAGATCAACTGGGACTTGATGATGAAACAGTATGGGCCGTTTGCGGCGCTGGGGCTGATTATATTAGTATTCGTTTGGTGGAGGTTCTTTTAACTGAAGGAGAAGATGCGGGATCATGGTGGAGGCTGTTTGTTGCGCTGCATACTGCTGCTTGGTTATAACGCTCAGCATCGGAGTTTGGGGATTGGAACTGAAGCGGTATGTGTCTGTATCGTCATGTTTTCTATAGGTCTTGTTTCTGTCCCGTAATGCACATTTCAAAGAAGGCACTCTGCACAGCACAGCATGGGAAATGGTTCAAGGTTTTCAGGGGCAGCCCATTATGCTCAAGGCGAGAACTGTCGGCGCTCTCAACGGCCGTAGAATGCGATCGCATTCGGTATGTACCAGACCTGGACGTAATATTGTCCAACCCCGTCAAGTATGTACTCCCTCCTGAAATATTCGCACCCTAACTCCAAACTCCAGAACCCAAACGCCAAACGCCGCTACATAATGCTGCAATTGGAAGCCGCCGAGGGCAATGCCGACGCCAGTGCTGATATCGGCGGCACTGGCAAGGCCGTGTGATACCACTCGAGATGGGCCCGAAAGGTTTCCAAGTCCGGAAAACCCCTATCATCCTGGACATACTTCACCTCAGAGCTGTCCTCCCCCTCATCAAGATAGGTATCCTCCTCACAGTACGGACATATCAAACCCGCCTGCCACTCCCCCGGCTCGGGCGCTACATGATTCGCTATGGCCAGCGGCGCAAACACAATCGTCTTCTCTTCGCCCGTCGTCGCACTTAACCCCTTGGCCTGCCAATGGGGGTATCCCGCCGCGGCGATCGGTGTCCTCGCCGATGGCATGCTCCCTAGATCCGGCCACACGATGAACCCGCCGCAAAAGTCGCACACGAACGCGGCGTCGTGGGTCCCTCCGCCCAGCCGCTGCCACCTTCCAACCGCATTGCATACGGGTACCAATTCCTCCAGACTGTTGGACCGCCGCCGCCCGCCGGGGGTGGTTTCTCCTCTCTGGCGGGCCTCCTCGTCCTCCTCGACCTGCTGCTGCTGCTGCTGCTGCCACGGCGCCAGGTCGTCCTCCCTCTCGCGCCGGCGCCGCTGCTGCCGCTCCGCATCGTTGCGCTTCTGCTGCCGGTACACCTGGAACGAGCCCAGACAGCGGGAGCCCTCCTGCTCGGCGGCAAAGATGCGTCGCGCAGCGCGGCATTGGGCGCGGTGGAGCTCGCCGCTCAGCTCGGCCGTCTCGCGCGCCCAGGTCGGGTTGATGGGCCCGCCTTGCCGTGCCCAGTCTTTGAAGTTTTGGGAGTGGAACTCGAATTTGGTGAGGAGGTGGCGCAGCTCTTCTAGGGACTCGACTGTTTGGGTCATGAGATTGTCAGGCTTGTGTGTATAGTAATCAAGGGAAGGACGTTGAGTCCAAAGACAAACAGTGGCGCATCGCATCACTCACCCGTCCTGTCGTTCTCGTAGTAAAACTGGCCGTGCACAAGCGGCGCCATCTCCTGGAAGTCCTTCTTGGCCCCGTCCAGGGCCTGCTCGAGAACCCGGGTCTGCTCGAACTCGTCGGGCCCCCATTGGCGCTTGTCGGCAAACATGAGAATGCGCAGCGCATCCGTCAGTGCTGTTGCAATGGCTGCGAGGAGAGTACCGACTGTCTCGGAACTGCCGCCAGCCCCGCCGCTGCTGCTGCCGACACTGCCTTTCCGGCTGGCGCGGCCGGCGCCGCTGCTCATCGCTTTCCCCTTCTCCCTCTCCTATACTTCCTAGCTTGTTCCGTTTCCCGGGGTTATATGCTTCGTATTTTGAGGTTATGGTAACCCGAACCAGGGTCACGAGGGGCGATTGCTGTGTGTAACGGAGCTTGGTTGGTGCCCGTGTAAGCGACAGACGAGCAGTCGCTACGGAGTAAGTAGTCAGTGATCTAATGCGTGCACTGCAACTTCACTACGCAAGAACACCAATCCAGCCCCTAAAGATCCGCGATCATTGAGTTTCCGAGTCTGTTCTCCCAAGAGGAACTGTTGGTTTTGGCTTGGGGCTACAAAGACAGGCTGCGCATGCCGACTTCACATGGGATTACCGGACACTGGGTCCCCTTATAAGGCTCTCTTGGCAGTGGGATCTTACAGGGGGTATTGCGGGGCAGCTCCGGCGGCCTCGCGGCGCTAGTACGGGGTTGGCAAGCGCTGGGGCAAGCGGCCGAGATACCTTACAATAAGGGTAAGTATGGGATCGTGAGGAAGAGGCAAGCTTCCTTTCGGTTATATAGCCTGACTTGGGATCTGGACGGCTGCGTGTACTGTACATTGAATTCTGGGGGCAATTGATAGGGGCGCACTAGTACCCTGTTAACGGCGCACTAGTACCCCATGAGGGTTAGGGTTATCGCTGACATCCGCCCCCATCTTCCTGCGCCGACCCTGCGAACCCATCTTACTGCAGTTCAATTCAACGTACTAGAACCCATTGCAAATAGCTCAAATCGCTGAATTCGCTCAAATACACTACTTTACTAAAGGTTGCTCAATTTACAACAGTTAGCCCAACCTCCTTTTTCAGCCGCCTACCCTCCCTGCCTTGCGCCCTTATTCCAAGCCCTTGTTATGTCGCGTCCTCTAGGCCGTCCCTCATCGCTAGCGGCCCTCTTCCACTTCGTCCGCTTCGTCTATAGTATCTATACCCGCGCCTACTATAGAGCGGGCAGGATCTACACTAACCAGCAGCAGGCCCACTAGGAGGAGTCACGGACCGTCGTTCGTGATCCAGCCATATAGGTCTTTACAACAGGCGGCCGGCTAGTCGGCGAGCTCCCATTGGAAGAGGTGACGGCGAATGCTCGATTGTAGCCGTGGGGCGTGCCTCGCGGGGCGGGCGGTACGGGAGCTTGCGGCGGTAGGGGAGCCTGATGTATCCATGTGCGCGTCGCTGGCGTTGCTGGCGTGGCTCACGGTCTTCCACGACGGGCGGATCGATTACTTGAACAGGTCTGGGAAACCTTCGTCACACTCGTACTGATGGGAGTGATTGATTCCCAAGATTCGAGGCATATTGGCGATGGAAAAGGTGGTTGGATTCGAGGCGGTCGGATTCGAGGCAGTCAAATTGAACGCAGTCAAATTGAACGCAGTCAAATTGAACGCAATTGAATTGAACGCAATTGAATTGAAGTGGAAGAAATGGCCTGTAATTGCGTTTCCTGAGCTTACTTTGCGTTGATTTGAACTGTAGTAAGATGGGTTCGCAGGGGCCGGCGTAGGAAGATGGGGGCGGATGCCAGCAATAACCCTAACCCTTATGGGGTACTAGTGCGCCGTTAACAGAGTACTAGTGCGTCCCTATCAATTGCCATTCTGGGAAGGTGCTGTGCCTCCATGCTAGCCTTTCCGGGGGTCCTGTGGGATGGGGGTTTATACTTGGGTAACCACCGTCAACAACCTATCGAGAGTGTGGTACTCTGGTATGACACTAAGCCAGGTGGATATCTGAGTATTCGATGTCCTTTGCACTATCTACATATCTTGGTGTAGTACCTGGAGGTTTGGTGTGGTCCATGGTCCAATGGGGATAGACAACCCCTCTCCTTGAAGCCCCTTGTTGTGCCGCTCAGCCCTACGGGGCCGGGAACTTGCAGCATCGATCACACTCACTCGAATGGCTCAAAGTGTGGGCGCATTGCAACCCGGTCACCCAAGTGGGTGATGATCGGCTCCGCTTGACTACGAAGTAGTGTCACTGGCTCTCCTTTAGGTGCCAGGTCCTCGGAATAAGTCAATTGAGAGCGCTGGGTCCTCAGAAAAGCATCTATCTCTATTCGTAAAGAAAGAAAGCCATGCATGATCCTCTACAATTCCCCCCACCACTATTTCCTCTTCGTCGCCTTGGGTGCCGCTGCCCCGGTCGCTTTGATCGCCGCACTTCCGGCAGCCTGCTCCGCAGAGCCACTGGGCAATGCCTTCTCCGTTTTCACTTTCTCATCCTTAACCTCTTCATCCTCACCACCCTGGCCAAACTCGTTGACACGGCTGTAATCAACCTTGTAGGCCCACCGCTGGTACAGGTAGATGAAGAAGATGATGTCGTCGCGGAATGTGGCAAGGCGATGCAGGATCGGCATCTTGATGGTGAAGGCAAACAAGTCGTCGATGAAGGTGTTGAGGAACTTGTACATCATGGCCTTGGCAGGCATGTGCGCCACGCTCTTGAGGCGGTAGTTAATGTAGAGCGAGGGCACCATCATCAGGAAGCCGTATGCGTAGACGGAGCCGACCAGCGTCGTGATGATGTACGAGTACCACGATTTGTGTGTCTCGTATATGAGCGAATATATGGCGTAGGCAATCAGCAGCGGGACGCCTGCAATGTACATGTACCTGAAGGCAATTTGGTCGTACTCCTTGGTCTTTTCCTCCGTCTCACTGAGCTTGTGCTTGTCCTCAAACGATACCCGCCAGGGTATCAGGGATCCTGGTGCTGGTCGCACCCGGACGTTGACAACAGTCGTGATTTTCCAGAGTTCGATAACAATGCCGACCGCCTGGCCGCCCAGAATCATCCAGCTCGTGTTTTGGGACTGGTCAATGAGGTAGAGAAGGATGACGGTCTGCATGAAAACGTTGCCGAGGATGGTTCGCACCGATATGCCCACATTATCCTTCTTCTTGCGGTAGTGTGCAATGTCGGAGCCAAACGCCAGCGTCTCCAGAATCATATGGGCAATGCTAACAACGACGGTCACGCCCAAAAGGATCGGGTTGGTGTCGAAGAAGATCTCCTTGATCATTTCGATCTCGCTGCCGTCGCCACCACCTGGCAGTGATTGTCCAAATGCTGCCTGGTGAGCCGCTGCCTTGGCACTCGCCTCAATCGAAGCCATAGTCTTGAACTTCCAATCGGCCAGATTGTTCAGGTCGACGCGGATGGGGAGGGTCCGGACAGTATCGTTGAGGAGCGTCATGTGGGATTTGAGCTGCCAGAAAGTGTTGACAAAGAGAATGGGATAATACCACGAGTTGCGGCCGGACCCGTCGCGTGCGCCAGTTGTCTCAAGGTGAATATAGTGACGAACAGCTGGGTGGGCTTGGGCGATGGAGATGACACCCGAGTTTGGAATGAACGACAGTGACACGTTTGGGTGGTAATAGTTCGCAATGACAGGGCCAGACTGTTCTGGCTCCTCTTCAGCCGCTTCCTCGCTAGACTCGACGGAGTCACCCAGTAGGTTTCTTGTTTTACTCTCCTTCTTCTTGGGAATGTATTGGGTAAGCGGGTGAACAAAGTGGTAAGCCGAGCCCGGATCGTAGTTTGGTTGTGTAGGATCCAGGAGGGCTCCTGAAAGCCCGACATAGAAATGTCCCCAAAGCGTGCCATTGTGCTGGACAGGTGTCGGCACAGAAATGGTTCCTTCTGCTGTGCGCTTATCGGTCCAATTGCCTATCCTGAACTGTTTCTCCTCAAACACGATGGCCTCCCTGGGAAGGTCCTTCAAGGGCGTGGGGACGAACGACGGCGAGACAGTTACAATAATGTCAACTGCGCTATTGTCGGGCCAGATCGGGGCCACGAGTTGCGGCACATGGTTGTAGATAGCACCTTCGTTCAGTTTTGTAGGCCGTTCGCTGTATGGCGGTATTTGGCTCGCGGTCGCAACCTTCACGACGTTTCCGTTGGCGTCTTGGACTGTTGTGGTTTTCGACCCGGTACCCATGACTTGCTTCATGACAAATTGCATGGCCATGTACATCGCAATGCCCTGGACAACCTTCATAAAGAAGGATTGCTGGAAGCCGGTTAGCCTAACGCCAGCGAATGGCCGCGACTCGATGGGACATCAACATACTCCGCCTTGCGCCTCCTGTCGCGGAGGCTGGCCGCCTGCCGCGGCATCTGCTTCCGGCATCTTGTAATTATGGGAAGACCAAGGACAGCACGTCTGATTGCGCTCTAGAGAGGTGTTCGACGCAGTGTAGATCTGAGATGCGTCCGAAGTGTGAAGTTGAGGAATCGCCGTCGCGATGCCTGGAGTCCCTGGACAAGCAGACAATGCACCTGGTAAGTTGGTAAATGGTAACCTGGGGCAATTCCAGGGACCTGGTTCAGCTGCAAATCGGACAGCATGGCCTTGCGTGGGGTTGGTGGGGGCTTGGAGAGCGAAACAACCAATCATCCTGTCGCCCTTCCCGTTGACGCCATACCGGTATCGATTGGAGATGCCCCGCCGAGTTGACAAAACCTGACTTCGTATCCGCAGTGCAATTCGGTACTGTACCTTACACCCCGTCAACGACGGGAGGTCGAGGTCCAGCGGTTGCCATCCAATTTGTTTGTGGTACTTTGCCTGATTTTCAGTGCGCTTTCGATCAGGACATAATTGGGTGTGGGAGACATGCAGCCTTTACCTGGGCGGTCGACAATTTGACATGGTTCCATCAGGCGGGCATCCCGTGACAGATGCGTGGGACCCTGATGGAGCTGAAGGTATGACATAACAGCGGCCCAAGTCCAGGCTTCCTGGGCACAAGATAGCGGGTAGGTACGGCGCAACAGGGCACCGGCTCGAGGTACGGTGGCTCTGAGGGTGGTAACGTTAATTGTTATAAGAATGGGGATAAGCTGGCATTCCTCTTTGGCCTTTGGGTGCCAATGACCGTTTGCTTTTTTGTTCTCGGTTCCGTCCACTCACTCGGCGTCTCTGTAGCACGCCCCTCGATTCTCCTGCCGATCTGCAACTCCACCACAACTCTCTGAGTCGCCCAGCGAACCCAAAGTACCCAACCCGCGGGGCCAGACAGAAATTCCTCCCAACCAGCGACATAAATATAATATACTAGGCATTGTCTTCGTATCGTGTCCAGTGACTCACAGAAGGAGACCACCCATCGCCTTATAAACCGTCCTACTTCCCAGGATTACGATATCAGTCTCACTCAACACCGCCCACCCGATCGATACAAGTATCCACCGCTCCGCTTACCGGAACACAGCATGGAATCCGGTGGCGCTTCGTTCCCTGCCTCTCGCACCTCAACGCCCGCAAGCGCGGCGTCGAAGAGGACCAAGATCTGCGTCTACTGCGGTTCTTCGGCGGGCAATGATCCGGCCCATGTAGAAGCTGCCCGCGCGCTTGCCCGGGCCATGGCAGCCAACAACATCGCCCTTGGTGAGTCTCCCTCCTGCCAAACAGATACGTAAGCGGAGATGTCTAACCTTTTTTCCCTGGGATAGTCTACGGAGGAGGCACAGTCGGGCTTATGGGTGAAGTTGCAAAGACGCTTGTCTCCCTGTCAGGGCCGGACTCGGTGCATGGCATCATTCCCGAGGCATTGGTGCGCTACGAGCGCGACCCGACATACACATCGAAGCAGTTAAATGGCGAGAACGGCAAGCATCTGGCAGTCCCCGAAGAGAAGGTATTCGGGCGGACGACCATCGTCCAGGACATGCACACGCGCAAGCGCATGATGGCTCAGGAGGTCCTGGAAGGCGGTCCCGGCAGCGGCTTCATCGCGCTGAGCGGCGGGTACGGCACCCTCGAGGAGCTCTTCGAGACGGCGACGTGGAACCAGTTGGGCATCCACAGCAAGGGGGTCGTTGTGCTCAACATCAATGGGTTTTACGACGGTATCCTGGATTGGATTCGCAGGAGTGTGGAGGAGGGGTTTATTCATGGCGAGAACAGGAAGATCCTGGTCGAGGCCAAGTCGGCCGAGGAGGCCATCCAGGCGTTGAGGGATTACAAAGTTTCCGACGCTGTATTTAAGTTGTCATGGAACAATCAGTAAAGTAGATAGCACCTTGGCTTTGACCATTTGGCGTTACAGAGGGTCAATCTAGACAAGAGCCAACAAAGGCATCGAGAATTTGAACGCACCAGCACTCAGACTGGTAGGCCTAGGCTAGAAGAAGGTCATCTCACGGCGAGCAGGAGGCGAAGGCCGCATAGTCTTCCCTCGATCGCTGGGTGTGATGTACAAACGCGCATGCTGGACATGGCGTTGGGGTTAAAATCGTGTCACCGGTCCTCGTCTTTAGCGTCCTATGAGTCCACCTCCATGCCTTCGCCCTCGCCGGCGCCACCCTCCTTATCGTCCGCCACGCTCTCTATCCACGCCGTCACCTCCTGGCCGTCGAACACCCGGAAGGGCTCCACCTTGGTGGTGCCGTCATCGGCCTTGACGGCGCCCACGACGCCGACGCTCGTGTTGTCGACCGTCAGCTCGCGGTCCTGGACCAGGCTCTCCTTGAGGGCGCGCAGGCCGTGGCGGATCAGCTCCTCGCGGCTGCAGCCCCGGAAGGCGTCTATGTTCTTTTCTAGGTAGGTCCGGGCCATCTGGCTGCGCGCGCCAATGGCAAAGGCCACCATCTCCTCGGTCATGCCGCTCGGCTGGAACTCGAACAGGTGCGGGCCCTGGTCGTCGACGCCCGCCACCAGCAGGCCCACGCCGTACGGCCGCTTGCCGTAGTGCTGCGTGTTGATCTGCGCCTTGGACCCAATCATCTCGACCAGCGTCCGCACGGGCATGTTGCGTCCGTACGTCAGCCGGTGGCCGAGGCACTGCTGCTTCATGAAGTTGGAGAGCACGCGCGCGTCCGACGTGAGGCCCGCAATGGCGATGCCGACGTGCTCGTCGATGGGGAAGAGCTTCTTTTGGTAGGATGAGAGTTCTTCGGCGTTGCGCTGAGGGGTGGAGCGGGGAGTAGGAGGTTAGTTAGTTGTGATCCCAAGCTCGGCTGGAAAGCGATGAGGCGGGTTCGCGAACCTTGATTGCTACCAACACGGCGTGTGTCTTGCTTGCAATTCCTACCACGACCGAGCCCTGCTTGACTGCTTCTGCCGCGTATTCGACCTGGAATATCCGCCCTTGCGGCGAACTGCGAAGCGTAACGTTAGCCTAGGGTTGGCACGGCGGGCTCCTCCGGCTGCAGCTTACAATGTCACCGAGTCGTTGTCGTAGTTGTTTCTGAACATGGTGGGAAGTGCTGCAGTCTGGCTTTAAGGGGTGGCCCGCAGTACAGTAACGGCTTCGATCGGGCGGAATTCGTCGTTCTTCGAAAAGTGTAGGTTGTTTTGGGAGGCGTTGGGAGTTGAGGTTTGGAAGCTTAGGTAGTTCCGCAGACAGTGCCAGGCAGCTCCTAGCTTCGTCGTCGCCCAGGCAAGGCGGCAGACGGCGTGTAAGTTATGGTAATTTACAGCTCGTTACAATCCTTTCCTACCTGAGTGAGTACAGTATGTTCCCGATACCGCAGAACCCCGCTTAAGAGCTCAGCTACCAAAGTAAAAAGTAGCTTGTTCAGCGGCCTCAGCCAGGGTCGCCAAGGCTGACGACGTAGCTAACGTTGCCCAGCTTCAGATCGTCACGCAACTCCAACCCCAAACCCAGCGTCATCGGAACCCGGAAGCGCCAACCCAAGGACCGACAGAAGGTCTGAAGAGTAGCCACGCCGACGCCGCACTCACCGAATTCTCATCGTCGAAAATTTCACCAGACCGGCGCTGTCTTCCCTTTCCGTCTTTACCCTCTCCGATTGATACCCGCTCCAGCCGCAGCCTCACGAGCACCAACTCTCTCCGACGCCCATTATCTCCCGCAGCTACCCACGACGGGCGCAACAACCGACGCCAACGGAAAGGAGCACCAAGACCGGGACTAATAATACGCTACGAAGAAGAAGAAGCCCAAAATGCCAACAGCAGGTCTAAAAACAATCATCGCCCTCTCCTTTGTCCTGGCCGTCGGCTTCCTCCTCGTCATCCTCTCGTGCGCGCTCTGGCACGCCTACTATCCACTGCTCGTCGTGGCGACCTACGTGCTCGCGCCCGTGCCCAACTGGATATGCAGCCACTGCGCGAACCCGGATGACTTTGTCGAGAGCTCGGGCGCGGCTGTGCTGGATCTGGGGCGGTTCTGTACTGGGTTCTTGGTGGTGATGGGTATTGGTATGGCGTTTCCCCCTCTCCTAGCGATTTGTGTTTGAAGTGGAGAGATCATGAACTGACTTGGTTCCTTTCAGCGTTACCCGTGTTGCTCGCGCACTCAAACATCATCTCGATCCCCGCCATGGTCATGTCTGTCATTGGAGGGCTGCTGATTTATGGGACCATTATCAGCTTCTCTATGTTCTTCCAGGAGGAGCAGGAGTTTTAGGAGAGGAATGGAATACCATAAGCGGTTGATCTGGCGGCGAAGCTTAGGTCACGGAGCATGGGTCGGGAAGGGCAATGGGAGAAGTTGCTCGTAGTTGCTTTCTCTGTTTTGGGTGTACAACATGGCGGTTCCTTAATGCGCATGATGGGTGGCGAGCGGGTGAATGGGCGAACGGCGGACTGGATTAGGCTTTTGACAAGAGATTATCAGGGACAGAGGCTGGGTTTGGGGAGGCATAACACTGGGACCATGGCGCATATACTCGTGTATCCCAGAAGTATACCCCCTAACTCCCTATCTGATTTGTATGGTGTATCTGTACAATGCGTTAAAGCGCTGCCATGAAAATGCCCCGTTGAGCCAAATTTCACATGTAGCCTCCGTTTTGACGCCCAGTCATATAAGAAAACAACCGGCAGACACGTTGAGTATCCGTTTTCCAAAAGTCCGTCTACCCATCCATGCCCATGACCTTGATGATAAACTCCGGTCAAATGTCAAGTCAAATAGCCCGTCCATCATGCCTCGCCAAAAACCCGCAGCGGTCCGGCAAGCTTCGTAAACATCTCCTCCCGTTCACCGTCAGGGGTACTCAGAATAGTGACGGCCCCACCAGCGCCAATCCGCCACACCTCGAGTTTCTCCTCTCCCTCCTCTCCCTGCACAGCAACTTGTTCATCATCCCAGCGAAACAGACTGCGAATGGTGACGCTCCAATCGCCCCGGCCGGTGGCACACATGTAGCCCACCACGCCTGAGTACAGCGAGCGTTCCTTGAAGCCCTCCACCTGCCTCAGAATCTCACAGCTCCTCTTCTTCGGGGCACCAGTCATGCTACCAGGCGGGAGACTGGCAGCGAGGACATCCAAGCCGGTATACGCGGTCCTTCTCCCACCATTTCCAACCACCGCTTTCCCCTCATGATTCGCCACCCCCTGTCCCTCTCCCGGCTTTGCTACCACGCACGGCAGCTGGCCCTCGACAACGGTAACCATCTGAAAGACACTCTGATACTCCTCAACCTTGAGCAGGTGCGGGACCGAAACATTGCCGGGGCCACAAACACCGTGGAGGTCGTGGCGGACGAGGTCGACAATCATGAGGTTCTCGGCCTCCTCCTTGGGCACGTGCAGGATGCGCTCGGCCTGCGCGAGCGTCGCGACGGAATCCGACTTGCGCACCGTCCCCTTCATCGGCCGCATCGAGCAGCGCCAGCGCCCAGTAGTGGACCTGTCGTACGCGAGGAAGCGCTCCGGCGACGCGCTCACCAGCGTAGCGCCCCCCAGGCGGAGGTACGAGGCGAAGGGTGCTGGTTGGCGGGTGCGTAGTCTTTTGAAGAGGGACCATGAGGAGGATGAGGGGGGGATGGAGGTGGAAGAAGGGGAAGAGGAGGATGATTGTCGCCGTTGCTGCTGCTGCTGCTTGCTGCGCGGGGGTTGTGGGAGAGATGATGAATCGTTCGTCAGGGGTTGGTCGCTCAGGGGGCGGGTGATGGTGGTTTGGTCGGTCAAGCAGAGCTCGTAGGACTCGCCTGCTGCGATGTACTCTTGGCAGAGCTTGACTTTGCTCTCGTATTCCTTAGTCAGGGGCGTCTGGATTGCGATACTCCTGGATGGACGTCGCGTCTTGGTATGCTGGAACTGCTGTGTCTCCTTCCGAAAGTCGGAGGAAGCTCGGCGTCCAGAAACTTGCAGAGATAACAGCTTGTTTGCCGTCTTCTCTAGCCAGGTGTCCGACTCAGAACTGTTGGAGCGGAGATGCTGAACGTGGACCACGCCAAGCAGGTGATCGACCACGATGCTTTTGGTGATCCATGCCAGACAGATGTCGGGCCTATGGTGCAGACGTGGATGGTTCAGGGCCACGCCGATATCGCTCAGGCCTTGTTCATAGGTGATATATCCCATGAAGCCACCAACGAATGGTGTCGCTGATGGCTCTGGCACCTCAAGGCGACGTGCCTCGTGGAACCCAGCAATCAGGGCCCAGACACCGCCATAGCGCGCCAGTGGGACCTGCTGCGATAGGTTCACAGGCAGGCCCCCGAGGCGCCCGGCCTTGACCGTGGCATAACTGTCGCCCGTGTGGTACTCGATGCGCAACGCCTCCGCCAGCCCCGTAGCCACGATACTATACCGCCCACGCACGTCAGGCCTCGACGTTGCGGGTGCCGCGTTGGCCGAATCGAGCACGATGCGCTCCGCGGCCTCGGGCTCGACAGCTTCGACGATATCCGGCACCTGAACGCCCCGCGGCAACTGCACAGTCACAGAATGCAGCACCGGATCCGCCTCCAACACGTCCCACCACTGTTTCTCCTTAGACGCCGCCTCGGCCCATCGCGAAAGCAAGCTCGGCCTAGTCGCCGCCCTGGCCAGCCCTTCCCCCTCCAGCACCGGCGTCCGCCCACGCTCCCGGTTCCACCTCTGCGCCTCCCGAAACCAGTTCACAATGACCTTGTTGCCCTCGGCCTCGGTGCAGACCGACTCCGGGTGATACTGCACGCCCCAGAAGGGCTTGGTCCTGTGCTTGACAGCCATAAGGATCCTCTCCTTGTTGTTGGCACCGTCGCGCTCCTCCTCGACCCACGCCAGCGGCAGCAGATCCGGACACCGCCCAAAGGGCCGCCACCTCGCCTCCTGCCAGGCCTCGTCGGACATAACCTCGCCCTGCCCGACGTCGCCGCACAGGCTGTGGTAAAGCGTCGCCTTGAAGCGGCCGACCCCGTAAAAAATGTTTCCCATACCCCCTTCCCCCTCCCCCTCCTCATGGTTTCCCTGCTGGTGAATGATCTCGCGCACCATGCCATGCATGCCGCGGCGCAGCCTGCCGATGCCGCCGCCGCACGCGGCCACCAGGCTCTGAAACCCCAGACACACGCCGAGCACGGGCACGAGGTCGTCCTCGGCGAGGGACCAAACGAGCTTCATGACGCCGACGTCGGCATCGTTGAGCGGCGAACCCGGGCCCGGCCCGCACACCAGGGCGTCGTAGCGGCGCAGTTCGGCGCAGAAGCGGGCATGAAGGGAGTCTTCAACTTCATTTCTCGGTGGCGGTGATGGGGACGGGGATGATGAAGGTGAGGTTGAGGTTGAGGTTGAGGTGAAATGTCCCAATAAAAGGGGGGAGTCAATTGGCAGCACAGAGACGTCGGCGTCGAGAAGGGTTGTGAGCAAAGAGGTGATGTTGTTTGAAAAGGAGTCATAGGCGTCGAGGAAGAGGATGCGCGGGCGGCGTGTCATGTTTCTTCATTCCCCCCTTGTTGTTGCTGGTTCCCCGTCCTTATCCCCTGGCTGTTTCCGAGTGTAATGGATAGAAAACAGAAGTGTAAGATGGAATTCTCTCACTAACAGCACTTTCCAGCTTGTTTTCGGGTGGGACTTATATAAACTAGAAGGGGCTGAAATGTTGAAAGTGATCACGATCCATTTGTAAATGAGCGTCAAGGCACCCTAAGCGATGTTGCTTGACACCAATGGCAAGAACGAGAGCAAGTGGCGAATATATCTCGAGTCTAGATCTGAGTTGGAAAGTCAAATCTGACAAAGGTCTAACCTTAACGTTAGGCTAGTTGAGATGGCTTTGAAGTTTCTGCGTGCCTACAACCCCAACCCTCTTCCACAGTATTCGGACGAGCCATGCATACTTATGGACACTGAAATTCGCTTAGTATCAGGAAGCCTACACACCGAGAAGATGTAAGCGTCTAAGAGTAACTGCTTTGTGGTATTATATACGGAGAGCGGCAAGATATATCACAGGTCGCGAGAATGTGACATGACTCTTGTGTCTCATTCACCACTCCCAAATTCTCAAAACGCTGCGCAACGCTCACATTGTCCCACAGTAACACCAATGCTTTAACCCCACCCCCTTTACCAACCCAACTTTAGGTTCACCACACCACCACTCTATCCATCCCCGTAACTCCCACACAGTATGTACTATTCCCCCGCCTCCGCCTCCCGATCCGTAACAACCAACCGACACGGCCTCCGTGCATGCCAGACCCTCCTCTCCCTCTTACCCAGCGCCGCGCCAAGGATGATAGCCTGCGCCTCCTTCTCGGTCGTCTCTCTCTTCCTCTCCCCTCGTTCCTCTTCGTTTTGCGGATCAGGCCAGATCCTGGCCTCCTCCACGCTCCCCGCTATCTCAAACTCCCCCCTGCAGAGCGCCGTAACCCCCATCGTCACCTCCACCACTCCGCCGTCAGGACTCAAAACGGGCAGTACCTGCTGCAGATTCCCGTTCCACGCAAACTTGGCCAGCTTGCGCGTAAAGTCGAGCGAGACGTTGAACGGGCGGTGGCACAGCGCGGGCGTGAGCCGCAGGACGGGGTGGACGGGCCGCGCAGAGCGGTTCGTCACGCGCACGCGGAGCTGGAGGAACTCGTCTACGTAGACGACGTGGCTGTTTCTCGTCTGGGAGGAGGGGTTGGTGAGCGGCTCGCCCGTGGCCGGGTCGATGACAGATATGTCAATGTCAACCTCGTCGACCCTGATTGACTCGATCATGCGCGCCGTGAAGCGCAGCGCGCGGAGTTCAATCTCCCCCGACCGCGTGGCTGCCACCCCGCCGCCGGCTGGTACGGCCTGCCATGTCCCCTTGAGCGTATCGAGCACCTTTTCGCGGTACCAAAAGGCTTCGCGGCTGGCGCGCTCCGCCTCGGGGGAGATCTTGGTGCTGACGACGAACTGCCGCTGGCGCGCCGGGTTGAGCGCAGGGATGAAGGCGTGCGGGTCTTCGAGGTAGACCCGTTTGATGGGGAGCACGACGCGCGAGGTGTTGCCTGGAAGTATGTACTCCTCAACCCTGAAGCCGTCGGTAGACTCGAGCATGGCGAGCATTTGACTGGGCCAGGAATTGCGGAGGTCGAGCAACAGCAAGCAGTGCGAATCTTCGGCAAGCTCCGACGGGCCCTCCTCTTTTGCATGGCAGGCTGTCCGAGCCCATAGCGGCTCCGGGATGCTGCCCGTGAGCGGGAGGACGTCAACCAGTGCGATCTCGACGCTGGCGTTGACCGTGATGGTGAGTTCCATCGACACCTGGCGCGTGTAGAATTTCTCGGCCACTTCGTCGTGCGGTACACCGAGGTGCGCATAGTCTACTTGGATGAGGCCGTGGGTGAGACCCGCCTTGCCAAATATCTCAAAATCGAACGTTGCAGTCTGGCCAGGAGGGATGAATCTCCGACTGTCGTCGCGGTTCTTTAGGCGAAGCGGGTGTTTCTTGGCTAGTACAAGCTCATACTCATAGAGCTCCGTGGCTGTCGCATCACGGTTGTTTAGCGCCATTTGCAAAGGCTCCTGCGTCGAGTCTTTGAAAGAGAAGAGGAGAAAATCCACCGGCGTAGTGGTAGAGAGGTTCTGTAAAGTCATGGAGAACGATTGGCGCTCTCCTTCCAGTATCATAACCGCCGACTGCGGAAGAGTCGATGACTTGACCACAACAACAGGTTGGGGAGCAATCACGTTGAGCTCAACATGCTGGGGCTTGAGGCGCTGAATAGCGGGTGATACTAATGCGGCGTTTGCGTCGAGCGCAGCAAGCCCAGGAGCCTTGGTCTTGGGCTCGTCCTCTGGAGCCCACGGTTCCGAGAAGACGGGAAATCTCCGTTCCCGGCAGCCCCGGACCTTGATGATGGCACCCGTAACCTTGACCGTTCCTGCACTCTTGGGTGTGCCAGACAGGCGCAGTATCTGGGTGCGATAGGGACCAATGACAATACTCCCCACTGCCGATTCAAAGTCGGCACCCTCGGTATCCAGTCGAATGCTTTCCACTTCGACTTCTATCTCATATGGGTTCTGAAGCGTCAATCTGAAGCTGGCCGGCTCGCCAGCCACCAGAGTACGATCTACTGTTGCCGTATCAGGCCGTTTGAGGAAAGGGTTGTAGATAAAAGGATCAACATCCTGCGAGCTCCGTGAAGCGGTGATTCCTGGGAGTTCCGTCTTTGCATGTGGGACAGGAGTTTTGGTCGGAGGCAGCGGGTCCAGAGAGACCCCGCGGAGGAGGAACTCGTCCCAGTATTCAGCTGTTAAGGGGCCAAGGCCCAAGCGTACAGACAGTTTGGACGTTTTGAGGATGTTAGTGATCAGGCGGACTTGCTCCTCCTTGGTTATTGTTGGGTACGCGTTTTCCCTCCGTGGCCCAGGAGCAATGCCGCGGCCGGCTGTTCGCAACAGGTCGCTCGAGTACCTAAGCACTCCAGCGAAGTCCGGTAGAGCCTCGGAGAAGTTTATACAGGAGCGGAGGATGTTGATTTTGACACTCTGCATTCCAAAGAATCTCGCGGCGGATTGTCTCTGAATTCGTGCCACAACTGCAGAATCTGAAGAATCTTCCTCGCCATCCGAAATCAGATCATAGCGGACAACTCCGTATGTCTTGAGCAAAGACCCCAGAAAGGCCTCGATTCCGTGCTCGATATCGTCCTCGGCAAGGTCCAGCGCTCCCACTCCGCCTGCTCCGGCTGCGCCATTGAGGCCAACCAACCCGGCAGCTGGATGTATGCCAACGTCGGCGGCGCCCCGTGTGCGCGCTTCGACTAAGCCGCCTACCAGAACTGAGACAAGTTCCCTAATTACCATGGCCTTCTTCCTTTGGAAGCCTAAATGCCCAAGGACAGATGCGATGCCGCTGAGAATCACGATGCGGTCGATAGTAGTGAGGAGTTCTGAGGACGAAGCCGGAAATGCCCTGAACAGGGTGGAAACAATTAGTGTGCGCGTCGGCTGGATGGTGAAACGAGGCGACGTGGTCAGAGGCTTTTCGGGCAAAGTGTTAAACACCATCATATCCAGCGACTGTTGACAGAGCTTTCCGTTGGCAATGTGGAGTGCGGAGAGCATTCTGCAAAACCTGATGACGGCCTCGGAAAAGGGCAAAGGAGGCAAGTGCTCGGCTGATATCCTGGAATAGAGGCCAATGATGCGGTCGAGCAACTCTGGCATGTACACTTGAAGATTCCGCAGCCAGCGAGGCTGGTTGGGGTCTTTAGCCTCAGCTTCTTGAACCGCAGCCGCGATGCCCGTGCCCTTGTCATGGGGGGGAAGCATGACTGTGGGAATCTGAAACTCGATACCAGCCCAGCCGAGCAGCAAGAGACTGATGAGAGCGAGCTCCAGGGCTTTCCCATGCCAGAGATGATCATTAATTGACTTTGCAACAGTCGCTGCCTCGCTGAGCTCCTTGAGCGCATTACTCCACAGGCCAGCTTGGAGATAGAGCGACCCAACAACAACCTGAATCCTACACCTTCCTTTGCTCCTCCATTTCTCGTTAAGCCCCCCGGGCCCATACCCCTGAACCGACACGCGGTCTTGGCTTTGAGTCCGGAACCCTTCCGCAGTATCGGGACGTGCGTGTCCCCCTCTCTGATCGGGGCTAGTGGTCTCCATGCTTCCCATGATGCTGTCAAACGTGGAAGGCGGGGGTGGGAGAACCTTTTCCCCGACCGGGGTTGACGGCCGGGCCGGAGTAGAATTGCTGGAGCTGAGCGGAACCCCTTTTGAAGGGACTGGGGGCATGGACATGCGGACATGGCTCCGATCGAGAAATCCGCTCGCAGATGCCGACCGATTGACCGGCAGAGCAAATTGCGAATTCCTCCTCGCGACCCCAACCGGATCGTCCCCTGTCTCGCCGCGGGTCAAAGACTGCCCCGGTGAGTCTATAAACGACATTCCTTCGTAAGATCTCGCCAGAGTGGTCATCTCAGCCAAGATCAACGCGGAAATGTCGCACATGACTGTCTTGATGGTGGTCCGCTTGGATTGTTCGGCAGGCGGTATGGTGACGATGCCCTCGGGTAATGGCACGGGATTCTCTTTGGACGGCAGGTAGTCGAACACCAACACTCGATGGGCAAGCACTTTCGGGTATCGATCTCGCAAATCTTCCAATCCCTGGTAGAGGGCTCGAATGTTCGCCTCCTCGACAGTCTTGCCCCCTGACTGTCGCTTGCTGAACGCAACGTTGGGCAGCTCAGCGCCATCGGCTACGGCAATGACGGCGAGAGGCTCCCGAAACAAATCAAAGGGCGAAAGCGAGAGGTGGGAGGGTAGGGGGTGGTGCGTCGTGAGATCGTAGAACATGGCACCGGCGGGGAACGCTAAGGGCGAGAACATGTCTGGACAGCACAGGTTTAGATGATTAGCAGTAGCTCCTCATGCGCCGTTCGGGTATGGAGTGTACCATACTTCTATGTGGGCGCGGATCGGGAGTGACCTCGCCGAGAAAGACGACCTGCTCGGATTTGAGACGGTCGACAAAAGAAGCGAAGCGTTCCCGTTTGATGTGGCCGACGGGCAGCACCAAGGCCTTGACCCTCGCCGGGGCGATGGGGAGGAGGGGGTCTAGAGCCATTGTTGCACCACGACCATTCCCTTCCCAACCCTCGCGAAGCAGAAGAGAGAGTAAGAGAGAGCGTTAGGTCAGGAGGAGGAACATGACGAGGGCCGAAGCAAGACCGCCAGGCAGCTGCGCATCGAGGGGGACCGTCGCAGTGGCTGGGCCTGGTCCGCACAAAGAGCGGGCTATGTACAATGCAGTACGGGGTCGCAAGAGTATGTACTGTACAAGTGCTGAAAGACCAGAAGTCGTGTCGTGCCCGGAAGCGTTGCAAGCCCGACACTCTCGTTGCCAAGAGCTCTGCGCGATGTGAAATGTCGAGTCCCAATTTGGCTTGGAGGCGCTTCGGCAGTGGAAGACGCTTTGTCGTAATTACCCCTGCTAGGACGTAGTAACGGTAAATTACGGTAATCTACCCCTACAACAGTACAACTCCGTAACGTAGCACTAGGTAATCGCAATGTTCCCTTACCTGGTCCCTGAATCGAGCCCCTTAACCGGCCCGCACAGAGTCTTACACTACCTAAAGCAAGCATCCATCATCAAATCATCCAAGCCTTATATCCAAGATGCGCATATACAAGCACAGGACATACCCAGCCGGCGCAGGTGGCATAGTAAACCATAATTCATACATACCATCACGCATCGGATGCTGCACTCGGCGCAGCAGCCTCAATCACCGAGTGGCCCAGTCTCGCCTCATTCTGGAGCTCGCTCTCAAAGATATCCACAGCCACGCTGGCCTCGACAAAGTCCTCGAGCTCCTCTGTCACCGTTTTCAGCTTCTCCTTGACAGCTATAGCACCCTCAAACCCAACAATGTGCCTCGCAGGGGGGTTCTCATGCCCGCCAATGGCCGTCAGGGCGTGGACCGTCTCCATGACCAGCTTGTCGTAGGCCGCCGCGGGCAGGCGCGGGTACCGGTACTGGATCTGGTCAGGATCGGACGGGTCCAGGGCCGTGTCCGGGTTCGCGTTGAGCACGTTGCCCAGCATCTCGCGCATGCTGGGCGCCATGCTGAACTCGCCAACATTGTCGTAAAAGGGGAGCTGTGGGGCGAAGATGATCTTGTTGGTCAGGCTCTGGATCTCCTTGTTGGGCTGCACAATGGTGACCTTGATGTTGAAGGGGGCAATTTCGTAGGCCAGTGAGTCGCAGTACCCTTCGAGCGCCCACGTGGCGGCTGTGTAGGTGGTCATGCCGGGAGTGCCAATGTGGCCTCCGATGCTGGTCAGAATCATGATGTGGCCTGTGTGTTGGGCGCGGAACTGGGGGAGCGAGGCTTTGATGTAGTTGACCTGCGAGAAGAAGATGGTCTCGAACTGGTCGCGCACCAGAGTACGCGTCGCCGGCGTGGCCGAGAGCTCCTCGACTGTAGCAACGACGGCTAGTTGGGGTTGGTTTAATCAGCGTCTGTTACTGCTCCTCCTTTCTCGCCTATGCGAACCCACCTTCAGACTTGCAGCATAGCAGGATGTCTATCCGGCCAAACACCTGGACGGCTTCGGCAATGGCGGCGCCGCACTGGCCCATGCTCCGGCCATCGCAGCGAAGGGGGCGGAGGCGGTCCTTCCAGCCTTCTCGGTCTTTGCGGTTACTCTTACACTCGTTGATCAGCTCTCGGAACTCGGCGCTCCTGTCTTCATCCTCGATCTCGTGTGGCGGAAGACAGGCCACCACGTAGTCGCCGTGAGCGAGCAGGAGCCGGATCAGGCGGATGCATAGCGGTGACAGCGAGGATGTGAGAAACCATGTCCTGGGCGAATTGTGTGTTGCTGTCTTGTCCGTTAGAGCTTTGATCTCACACAGACAGAGACAGATGACGTACGGAATGATGCCGCCGGCGTTGAGTGAGTATGTCGCGACGGCCCAGATTCCACCGTCCTCCGCTCAGACATGTCTGGTGATGGTCCTGGGGGGTAATGTTACAGCCTCGCTCGCTATGTCAATTTGCAGCTTGAGATTGTTGCTGTGCGCCACGATGGCACCTCGGCAAAGTGCGATCGATTGAAAAGCGATTCATTCATAGCAATGCAGCAAAATAGGGTCTAAAATGTAGATAGCGTGAAGAAGGAGGTTGTGTATTGAATGGGGCAACTGTTGACTCGAGTGTGCGAGGCTGACGTTTTCCGGGAGAGGCGACCACTTAATCATAGGACACTTCAGCCAAACAAGCGTCGTATTGGTGGGCACAGTGACAAGCAGCCGGTGATAATGATCAATGCCACCAACTCTACCACTTACATATCAACCTAACGTTCGGTTTTCGATCCGTCAAAACCACTGCTGGATTAGCCATGCTATATGGTTTCACGATGAAATTGAGCGTCCCGATCGAGGTTCAAGCGGCACAAATGCATATGTACCCATGGATGCCCTGGGCTTTGCTAAATGCACATCTGTCTCGCTGGTCAAACCTCCGGGGTTTATTCTCCAGATCCAGGTGGGTTGTGCCTCTGACAGGATTAGAGACTCAGGCAGATCTTTATTGCACCTAGAAACATACCTAGAAACCTACCGTAAGAGCATATGTATTACCTTATACCAGTGGTTGATTCTAGCAACCTTGGAATGGCCGGGGAGGATGCTAGGTACCTTATGGATGGAATCATTGATGGAAGCCCTTAGCCGGTCCAGGACGGCGGGTTGAGTCGCTATGCGGGTGGCATGGGTCCTTCCGCCGCTGGGCGCTGCAGGACCCCCACCTGCTTGTCAGATTTGCAGATTTGCGCCTGCAGCAGCCCTGTAAACCCCACTGGAACGTGCATTCAAACCCCTGAAAACACTCGCGTAAAACCTGGGGAAGGCGTGAGTCACGTCATCTTCAGTGGACGGAATCGAAGCCGACACCGGGAGACGCATCTGCCAGTTTCTGCTTTTTCCACCCGCTGTGAGCCGGGACACGCACCCATTGGATGACAAAATGGCTTGCGGTCCGCCAAACTTAAATATTTCCGGCGAAACGGGGGCGGGGTCCTAGGCCGGATTCATCGAGTCCGCCGATAAAAGCAACTGCCCCTCGTCCCTGGTCCGTTGTTGTAAGCGCATCCCAAGAGTCATAAAAAAGTGGAATTCAGTTGAGTCAGAACAGAATTCATTGATTCATTGGGAGGTATAAAACCATATAAACCCAACTCCCAGCACGAATACAGGACACAAAAGAAAGAAAAGAAACATAGGAGGAATTGAAACGGAAACATGCCCACCCGTGCCGAGATCACCTACTTCGGCGCCGGCCCGGCGGCGCTGCCGACCGATGTCCTCGAGACGGCGGCACAAGCACTCCTGGATTACAACGGTACCGGCCTGGGCATCGCCGAGCACAGCCACCGGTCCGAGCTGGCCACCAACATCATTAACGAAGCCAAGGCCGACCTGGCCAGCTACCTGGACATACCGACGGGCGACTACGAGGTGGTCTTCATGCAGGCCGGGGGCACCGGCGAGTTCTCGGCCGCTGTCTACAACCTTGTCGGCGCCTGGGTAGCACGGCAGCACGCCGCCATCGTTTCAGAGTTGGGCGGTGACAAGGCTGACGAGGCTGCCGTCGTGGCCGCCCTCCGCGCCCGCGTCGAGTCGGACCTCAAGCTCGACTACATCGTCACGGGCGGCTGGTCGCTCAAGGCCTACCAGGAGGCGGTGCGATTGCTGGGGCCGGAGTACGTCAACCTTGCCGCGGACGCCCGGACGATCAACGACGGCAAGTTCGGCAAGATCCCCGACCAGAGCACCTGGAAGCTGAGCAAGGACGCCGCTCTGGTCTATTACTGTGATAACGAAACGGTCGACGGGGTTGAGTTCCCCGAGTTCCCGTCAGTCCTTGCGCCGAGAGCGGATGGGTCGGGCCCGATCGTGGTTGCCGACATGTCGTCCAACATTCTGTCTCGGCGGGTGCCAGTGGAGAATTTCTCGCTCATCTTTTTTGGTGCTCAAAAGAACCTCGGCTCGACCGGCGTCACGGTGGCTGTCGTCCGGAAGAGTCTGCTGCCTCCTGTAACCTCGCAGCCCAGCCCGGCGCTGCTGAGGAAACTGGGCCTACCGATTCCGCCCATCATCCTGCAGTACGAGACGATTGCGAGGAATAACAGCTTGTACAACACATTGAGCATCTTTGAGTAGGTTTGTCTTCTTTTTGTGTTGCCTGTCAGTAAGCTGATATAGTTGGATGTTAGCGTGTACATTGCTGGCCAGGTACTCAAGAAGCTGCTGCGGACGTATCCCGACAAGGTCGACGGACAGCAAGCCGTGTCGGAGAAGAAAGCGAACATCATCTATGCCGCCTTGGAGGCGCATCCGGAAGTGTACCGGATTGTGCCGGACAAGTCGGCCCGCTCAAGGATGAACATCTGCTTCCGGGTGATCAAGGTGAGCACAGCGTCGAATCCTTTGACAGGACGTGTTACTGACGTTTGGACAGAACGGTAACATTGACGAGGCGGAAAAGACCTTCCTCAAGGAGGCCACGGCCCAGGGACTGACGGGCCTCAAGGGGCACCGCAGCGTGGGCGGTATCCGGGCCAGCAACTACAACTCAATTCCGTTGGAAGGGGCGGAGAAGTTGGCCAGATTTATCGATGCATTTGCGAAGGCGTAGTTGTTCATGGGTTTTGGGTGTATGGGCTGACGAGTAATAAAAAAGGGGGGAAATCATTTGTTTTTCGACAAGGCGTCTTTGTCATGTCATATTGCATACAAACTTACGAGGCTAGTTCAACTGCTAAGCCAGATCAACCACAGCAAAATGTTCCCAAGCCCAATTTTCACTCACTCCCCTTCCCATCCCTTGCAATCTCCTCCCTCAACCAGCCCGGCACCTCGGGCGGCTCATCCCAGCCACTCAAATACTCCTCCTTCCGCACCCCCTTGCCACTCGGTTTCGCGTAAATAGCCGAGACGTACCAAACCGTCTGACCCTTTTCGACGGTGCCCTGCAGGGTTGGAATCGTGGTGCGACTCTCGATCAAGTTGGAGTTTGGATCCGCATTCACCAACATGGCCGTCCTCTCCCCGTCTTCAAGCGCCTTGATACCCACCGCCCCGGCCTTCAACGAGACAGCAAACGCCCCCTCGCGGCCCGCCGCCCACGCCTCGGGCGTCGCCAGGTCATAGTTACCAATGAGTTTGGGCGACGTGCCCTCACAAATGGCAGGGTCGTACGGGTCGAGGTATCTGCCGTCGGCTGCGCGCTCGTTGCAGATGGCGAAGCTCCCGTCGGCAGTCTGGACTTTGCGTCCTGCGGCATGGATGCGGTGCGCGCGGAGGTGCCAGTTGGGGTGGGACTCGGACGGAGGGATGAGGTAGGTTTTGATGTGCACGTCGACGAAGGGCGACCAGAGGGAGACGAGTAGAGGGGTTGAGGTGCCGTCTGGGGTGGCCGTGAGACGGGAGTCAGATAGGCGTCGGGTCTTCCAATACTCCCCGCCGTCGTCTGACAGGCCTAGTTGTGAAGCTAGTGCGTACTGTTCTAAAGTGAAAAGACCTGGTGGGACGGAGTAGCCGTAGGCGGAGGAGTAGGCGAAGGCGCCGTACTTGGCGTGCGTGCCCTTCATTGGGTACGAGCATGCCTGGCCGGATGAAAGGAGCATGCAGTGCCCGCCGAGGTTGCTGGGTGGGTTTTAGAGTACTGTAAGAACGGCGGCAGGGACTGGGAGTGTACATACCTCATGATGTGACCTGGATGCTTAAGGGCTTTAATCTTGGGGACCACGTCCCAGTGGTTTTCCTCCTTGGAGGTCCAGAACGGGTGTGTTTCCGGGACGGCGAGGCAGATGAAAGCCAAGCAAGCCCAGTACTGTTGCAGGTGTAAGTGCACATTCAGGGGTTAGGGTGTGATTTGGACTTACAGGGCTGCCCGGGCTGTTGTAGTTCTCGGCCATCTGTGTCCGTAGTGAGATACTTGACAACTTTCACCTCAGGGGTCAGGTTCGTCTACTTACATACATGTTCGGGTACGAGTACCCAATAGTCAGAGTGCCGCTCGGACTCCACATGTCGTGCTGTGTCTGCCACCACCGCAGATGGCGCATGACGATGCCCTTGACCATGCCCCAGGTCAGGGGCGCAGGCAGGTCGATGTCGGCGTAGGCAAGGGCACCCCAGAACGACACCATGGCAAAGCGGTAGCCGACGCTGCGGCCAAAGGGAATGGCTCTTCCTGCAGACCGGTCAGGAGTCAAGTCTTAACCTCCTTCTTCCCTGTTTAGGGGCAGGGATGGGCTCACCGTCTTCATCGTAGTAGTGCACCAAGTCCAGCGCCGCCATCTGAGCGCGCTTCTTGAACTCTGCGGCGCGCTCGGGCTCATCTCCTCCAGCCAGCTTGGCGTAGAGCAGCTGAAGGAAGTGAATGGCGAAACTGGACGAGTAATAGTCCATCTCTGCGCTCCGCTATCAGTTACTGCTACTCCGCCGTCAAAGACTCACAACGGGGTGAACCAACGATGGATTCCCTCCGGGCCATCATTTGACCAGCCGTCACCGCGATAAAACGTGTCAAGGTGCTTGATGTCAGCGTCCAGCCTGTCCTGCGAGAACTTGGCCCCGTTCTTTTTGAGGCCTAGATTCGCAAAGACGCGAAACCAAAGCCAGTTTGTGTTTGGCATACTGTTGTGTTTTCACCCACACATAGTCAGCAGCGGCCCCTTTCTCAAACTCAACAACCCTCCCCTTAACACCCTCAATCCCACCACCACCCCCCACCCCTTTCCAAAGCTCAGAAGAACAACTTACTTCTTCTCATTAATCGAATTCCCCAACCACCTCTCGACATTCCCCCTCTCCCTCTCGTTCAACCCCTCCCAAATCCCCGGCGCGACCGCCAACGCAAACCCCAATGGGCACATCTCCACCATCCTCTGATCATTGTCGCGCGGGTAACCCCAGAACTCACTCCCCTCGGGATCCGTGCCCGCGCGGATGCCATCGATCCACCATTGCGTGCCACGGTAGCTGCCGCCGCCCGCCAACAAGCAGGCCAACCCCCACAGCGGACGGCAGATGCCCTCGACTTCGGACGCCGTCTGGTCGAAGCGCACCGCCGTGGCCCCCGGGCACCGCACGCGCGCTTTCAGTGGGGAGAAGAACGGCTCGAGCGGGTCGAGCAGGGTGCAGAGCAGTTGCTGTACGGACGATCGGTCTGTGAGGGGCACTTCTGAGAAGGGGTGCCGTGGCGAGGAGTAGCCTAGGACGAGGCCGTTTTTGAGCGGTTCGGTCATGGTTCAGGAACTTCAGGTTCAAATCAGCTAGTTGATGTGGTGTAGCGCATATGCTTGGTGGGTAGGTGAGGATGCGATCTAATAAATCAAAGTCAGTGAAGAGGATGGGACATGTCTGAGTGGTGGGAAATGTATCGTCACCTTAGATATAAGTGATCCCCGAAGACTCCCCCAATCTCGCGGTACCATCACCCCGAACTTACACCACCCATGGTGGAGCCGTGCCGGGCTAGACATCATCCTCCGTGAGGGGTTGTTGTCCTGGCAGTGGGGTGAATGACTCTCGCGGCTAATTGCAACAGCACCGGGGAAGCCGCTAAAAGACACTCAGCCGATGTTCCCACGCTGCATGTGTTGCATGTGTTCCATGTGTTTGTAACTGTGCTTGACAGCAAACCCCGGTTTTCCTCAGTCCCTCATGAGATGGCAACCCCTGACACTGACAGTCAGTCTGAACCGCAACAAGGGCCAATGTCTCCCAAAATTGTGTATACACTCGCTATGGATATATTCAGCTCTTGAATAGACACTTGGACGCTGCAGGTCTGGGCCTAGCCAGTAGCCATGACCAAGAGTCACCCCAAACAACTTAGATTCCGTCCCATACATAGTGAACCTCCCCGCCAAGATAACCATGCTGCTGCTGCTCCAAAGCACCTCCCAGAAACACCTGGAGCCACACCATCCGTTCCATTCCATCCCAATGGAGCCCAAGTAAACATTACGTACTTTATATTCCTTCTCGTCCCCTTGCCCGGCCTCCACACGATGCCAATAACACAAGGTTCACACGCACCGCATCAACTCTCCCCATTGACCCCCGTCGGCGAGGCCACTTCTACCCCGGCCGCCGCGGCCGCCGCCGTGAGCTCATCCAAGCCCGGTGTGGGCGGTACGTCCGCGACACCAGCAGGCGCGTCATCTTCCTTGCCGCTCGCATCCCCGTTGCTGACGCTCGACTGGGCCATCTCCCTTCTTCGCCTCCTCATACGCCTCTCTTCGTCGGCCGTCTGCCTCCTCGACCGCCTCAAATTCTCCCGCTTTTCCACTTCGGCCGGGTCATCCGTCCCGTTCGCCCCGCTGCGCATGCCCTGCAGTAACAGCGCCGCCCGCTGCGCGACGTCGTTTTCCTCCCCGCCCGCAGCGTCAGCGTCCTTGGTGGAGCTGAGGTGGTCCGCCTTGGACGAAGCCTTCCCGTCGTCATCCGTCAACTCAAATCCGGGACTCTGAGTAGCTTGCAAGCCGTCCTCGTTCTGCGACTGGGATGGGTCCGAGTTGAGATCAGGAATCTTCTGGCCCGATGCAATGCGTACTTGGTGTCGGTCCTTAAGACGGGCACGCCTCCTTCTATCGCGCTGATCTCTCGCCTGCGGCGCCGCAGCCCGCAGCTTCTCGAGGAGGCTGTCCATGGCGCCCGTGCTGGTCGGACTTGCTGGCATGCTCTCGGTGGCCTGGGCTGCCTTGAGCGCGTTCTTGCGCTTCATCGACGCCTCGTTTTTCCTCCGCTGCTCCTCAAGCTCCAGGTTCTTGACGTGCGACTTCTTCCATTCGGTGATGAACAGCGCCAGTTTGGCAAAGAAGTCACGCCGCGCGTTTTCGTCGGTAGGGTCCTCGCCGTAAAACGCCATAATGTCATTGTAGGTACGCACCATCTCCTCCAGGTACACCTGCATCTGCTCTGCCTTGCGGCGCGCCTCCTTCATACACCGTTGCACCACCTGCGCCACGCGGTCCTGCGGGTGGAACTTCTTGGGGTCCGACAGGTTGCCAGAATCCAGCGACATTTGCACGTTGCGGATGTTGTCAATGTACTTCTTGGCGTCGGCCTGCAGCTGGTCAACGTTGATCTTTTGCGCCGCTATGACACCTCCGATATCGTCCGCAAAGTTGCTCCACTCCGGGTATTGGTTGCGGACGATCCGCTCGACGAGGTCGGCCAGCGTGGACTGGTTCTTATCATCCTTTACCATGCCCAACCTAGCAAGTGACGAGAGCTTGAAGCCGCGGGCCTGCTTATTCGCGTCGTTCATGTAGTTACCGATATCCAAAATGAGGCCGAGGATGTTCATCAACGAGACCGAATCCCGCAGCGACTCGGACACTGTCACAACTTGACGCATCTTCTCCGTAATCTCCTCATAGTCCGGCTCGAAGCTGCGCGTCAACGCAAGAGCCCGCATCCTGCTCTTCCAGTAGTGGTGTAACTCGAACGCCGTCTGCAAATAGATCTGATCCTGCGCCGTCAGCTCGGATGGATCTTGTTCCCGATTCTCCTTGTTGGCTTCCGGCCCTGTCCAGTCTTTGCTGTACGGCGCCATGAGTTTAGCAGTATTGTCAGGGATATTGCAGAGATCTTCCTTCTGCAAAAAGTCCATAACCACGGGATTATCGAGTATTTCCTTATCGCAGTGAATGATCATCTGGACGATCTTGTCCACGGGATATTGCGAGAATTTGGCAAGCGCAATTTCTGCTCACGGGTTAGCATTCGCAGGCTTGAGCTTGGCTTGAAAGGATAGGGTGTCTTACGGAAGGCTTTCCGCAGGTCATTCGAGATGATCTGCTTCTTGTCGTCCTTCTTGCCTGTCCCTTGGCCAATCCGCTTGGTTTCCTTTGCCATGAACAGCTTCTCAACCTCGTCAAGGATACCTTTTCGACTAAGCTCAAGGTACTTCTCCTCCCTTTCTTCTGCCGATGGCGCGTGCGCTGCCCAGTGAGTTGCGACTGGGGAGTCGACCTTCTCCCAGTGGAGAGCCTTGAGCTTGTTCTTCGGCCGAGCAACCGACAAACCGAGGGATGGCGTCGGGGCAAGATCTGGCTGTCTGGATAAGAAATGGCCAGACAGCGCACCCGGCCCAGGCATTGGGGGAGGGGGTGGTGGTGGCATTCCCTTGGCGCCTGGTGGGGGAGGTGGCGGCGGCGGCGGCGGAGGTGCACCGGGGAGCTTGCCAGGCATCGGAGGCGGTGGAGGCGGTGGAGGTGGAGGCGGTACGCCCGGCAGTGTGCCAGGCATAGGGGGCGGCGGGGGCGGAGGAGGCGGGGGAGGTGCCCCCGGAATCTGCCCAGGTAATGGAGGAGGCGGCGGCGGAGGGGGTGGGGGCCCGCCAGAAGTTGGAGCAGGCGCAGATGGAGATGCATCGGTGATCTTGATCTTCGGGGGCTCATTGTCGCTGGGCGTGACGGGGACTTGTGATTCCAAGCTCGGATGCGATGGGCCGGTTGTAACACCTTCTCCCTCCGAATCGCTAGCGTCGTATTTCTTGACCTTATCCTGGAGTTCACTGAACATGCCAGCCGCTTGCTTGGGATCCATGACGGGTCGCTTGATCTCAACCAACCGAGGCTTCTCGTAGATAACGCCCTCGTCGTCATCGGCGGCATCTTCGATCTCCTCCAATGCGTCGTCGGCCGGTTCCTCACGGGAACCAACCGGCTTTCTTGGAATACGGGTCGACCTGTGGACACTCCCGAGCATGCTGTTGGTGAAGTCCCTGGGCGGAGCGTCGGGGACGAGGCCGGAATCCCCAAACCCGTCCATTTCCTCACGTAATGCACGCAGCCTGTCTGAGGGGCCGATGGCCTCGCCCCAGACCCTGCCTTCCAACTTGTAAACGGTCTTTTGTCGCTCGAGCTGCATCTGGAGACGCTCCATGAGCCTCTCGCGGTCCAAAATGCCCTGCATTCGAGCCGGGTCTTCCTCGCCCAGCTTACCACCCTTGGCAGCATTAGACGCGGCCACGTCTTGAGCATCGCGAAGCATCAGGTACAGCTCTCGCGTCTCCAGCTCGTACCGTTGTGCCTCTTTTGCCCTAACCGTCTGCATGCTCTCCAACTCAGACTTGAGCCCTTCGGTGAGTCTCCGTTGCGCCTCGATGAACCTTGCCTGCTCCTCGATCTGCTTTTGAAGTTTGGCAACGAGCCCGTCGGCGCCTAACGCCAATTTTTCTTTTAGCTCATCCCTCTCAGCCATGGCGGCTTCGGCAACCTGGCGCGCCTCGGTCGCCTCCTCAAAGGCTTGGCGAGCCTCTGAGTCGGTGTGCAACTTGTCGAGGAGGCTCTGAACAGTGAAGTTGAGGCTCTGCTTCAGGTCCATGTTGGGCAATCTCCGATCCATGGCGACGTAGCTCAACATGGAATCGACCAGCTGGAACATACGGAGACGTTCTTCGCCATCGTTGTCCCTGATCAGGAGCAGATGTTGGAGAGCTGATATGAAGTAGTCTTGGGTCTTGCTTCCCTTCAGCCGCTGCTGGATCGCATCTACGATCTGGACTGGGTCGTTGAGATCCTTCACTTCGCCGTCTACGCTATCCTTGATGCTGCTATTTTCCCTCTCTAGCATATCCTCGTAGTCGATTGCCTCGTTGGTCCGGAACCGCTCTATCTGCTTGTCGACGGGCTCATACTGGAAGGACTCCATCTTGTTCAGCATCCGCTTGATGCCGCATGCTGTGAACTGCGCCCTGATATGCACCCGTAATTGGAGGTCCCTCTCGGGGGCATCGATCAGCATGTTGACCAGGATGAGAGTTGCCACGGCGTATTCCATCAGCAAGTTCTCCATGCCGATGCCGCCGCTGCGCACCTCGTCGCTGGCGCCAACCAGACTGCCCATCTTTCCTCGGCCGTCGATGGTGACTTCGACAAGACGCATCCAAGCGTCGAATCGCCCGTTCTCGCCTTGCTGACTCTTGGCAACGTCCATGGCCTCGATGACCTTGACATGACCCTTGCCATCGTCCCAGTGGCAGAGGAAAGTCAAGACGTCGCTAACGAGCTTTCGGGTCGAGATCCGGGCCGATGTAAGAGACGTAACCAGGGCCACAAGGACCTGCTGGTGGGCCAGGGCATCGTCGGCGCCAAACTTGTTGTTCATCAGAGCCTTTAGACACTTGACAATATCGTACTCGCGGTCCAGGTTTTTGTTCTCCTTCCCAGCGTCAGGCGTAGAGCCCATGGCAGTCTTGCGGTTGAGCTTCATGAGGACGTTGGTAAGGGCGACCTGGCCCTGACATTCAATGAAGCGCTTGACCCATCCAATCTGTTGCGTCCGCAAATTGACCTGCAAGGTTTCAAAGCCTTTGGCGTCGAGCGAGTTCTCCATGACCTTGCGCACGTACCACTCCGGGCTGCCCTCCTCGTCCGGAACCTGGCTAAGGTCGACATTGCTGTACTGGCCAATCCTGGCTGTCTGTCTGCGTTTCTGCTCGCCCTGCCACTCAGTGAGGCGGTCCTGATGAATTAGAGTCCACTTCTTGTCCGCAGGATAAGCCATCATTTGGCGTCTGGCCTGTTCCGGGAGGTTGTGCCATCCTCGTTTCTGCATCAGGGCCAAGAACATCTGCTCTATAACAACGTCATCATCGGGCTTGGGGAAATTAAAGCCATCGGTTGTCTGAAATCCCGAGGGAAACTTGGTTAATCGATGGCCGTGGCCAAGGGAGTTGGCTGATAGGTACGAGGACGCAGTTGTAGAGGGAGCGCTAGGAACTGCGGCTTGTGTTGGTCCTGATGAGCGGTGGACGACGTTCTGCACGAGATAGGGACCTCCATTACCTGATGAAATGCTCAAATTATCAGCGGAGCTGCGCCCGCCAGACGTCACCGAGGGGTTGTATTTTGAATTATAGTAACCGGACAGGCTACTGTCCCTGGGCGGGCCCCATTGTTGGTATTGGGCTTGGCGGCCCGTGGTAGCCATCGTGATATTAGACGCGGCGGGCGGTGGGCGCGGCCCGCTGAGATACGGGTTCGAGACATGATCGAAGCTGGGATACTGGTGGAAATCGCTCGTGGCCTTGTTCAGATGGTGCGGCAGCGGCTCTCTTCGGGCGGGTAGCTGGTCACCGTTGGGGAGGTAATCGACGGGAACGGGCGAGCGGAGATCGGCGCTGACGCTTTCGTAGGGTATTGTAGTTATGACGCCGGCCATCATGTTGATGCCGGACTCGGCCGAGCTGGGGCGGTCGATGGATATGACTGAGGATTCTCTCTGGTGGCGTGAAATGCGCGAGGCTACGGAACTCGAGGCGTCGTTGTCGGCGGCCAAGTGGCGACCGTCGTCGCCTGTACTCCGCTTCTCGGCCTTGTGCTTAGATCGATGGAAGAACGACGAGGCTTTCCCGCCAGAGGAGGCGCGGGACTTGTCGTAGGAAGACATGGTTTTTGCGGGATGCGTGAAACAGCAACCGGTTCTCTTGCGGCGGGCAAGGAGCCGCCAGTGTGTGGTTTGGTCAAGACGGGCACAGAGCCGTGGATCAATGCGTTAGTGATGTGGGCTGACTTGGAGCGCGTGGTATATTGCCGTCAATAAACTCGATGTCTCAGATCCAGGGCGCATCGCATCATGTTCTCGGAGATATGAGCCAGGGTCCGGATGCAGCAAGTCGCAAGGCCGGGGTGTGTGCTTCTATACCAGTGTGCATAAATTCGAACGATTTTAGCATGGAGGACTGTTCGAGGGCACTCGCTGAACTTCTGCGGCATAATGTTAGTACGAACCGGGAGGTTGGCGGACACCCTGACATACGGGCCGCAATTGAGTTCAACTCGGGAGCGCTGCGAGGTTGGCAGATTGACAGGTTGACAGGTAGAGCCGTTGACAGTGACTAGGTCGGTTCTAGAGGTGGCTACAGGAGTTGAGTTGACATGGAGCCGCCGCGCTCTTGCGTCCGCGTCGGCCAAATCGACAAAAACTCGCCAAACGCCTCCTGTGCAGAAAACCGCACTAGCAACGCAAGGGGCGTGCAATGAGTGAGTGACAGCAATCGCTTTGAAATCAGCAACGACAGAGGGAAAGTGTGTTTCGAACCGGGGAAAGAACGTGGGTAGGCCCCGCGAAACACCTCCAGGATGTTTCTCTAGTTTCTGGGCCAGCGGAGCAATAGGTTAATCGACTTTGAGCTTAGTGTACGGTAAATCGTAATGAGGGTGGTGCTGGAGACACCCTGTGAGGACGGCAACGGCAAACAATTGCAGATTCTCCAGAATCGATAAGAAGGGCTGCAGGGGGAGGGTTTTCCTGCACATCACGGTGTACCTTTGTACCCTTTAAGGGGTCGGTGATCTGAAACGGGCCTAGCGCAGATCCAGACAAGGCTCCATCTTGCGGCCTGTGCACGATCATATCTGACCTCAACGTGGCACCTGCACCTTTTCTTTCTCCCTTTGCAGTTTGCACAATGTGACTCCAATGGGAGAGAAGATGCTCTTTTGCCTCCATATGACGCCTTGTTGATATACCGTAACTTTGAGAAAAGCAAACGCATACACTATTTCTGGATGTATATCCCACAAAATGAGTGAAGCACGTGAGGACTGGATTTCGCTGGCAACAACTCCCATGTTGGAAGTTAGATCATAACGAAGCCATAACTACTTCGTAGCTTCAAAGTACTTCCTGTAAGGCCTAAGGTACTCTGATGTACAGTACATACTGGTATGTAAAGGTACACAACGAGACAACGTATGTCGTACAAAGAGACTTCCCCAACCTTTTAGTATCTCTTTACATTGCGGATGTCTCCCACAAACAACCGGCACTCCCTGATGAAGGGAGCGAGTCTTCGATCTGCTGTGGGATGGGGTGGAGCTTGCGGGATGCCAAGGGGACCCACAAGGCTTCTTCAGTGCCAAGCCGAGTCCCGCTTCGGATTGCATGTTGGTTACACGACTAACGTAACTCCATACATAGTTTCGTACTTGCAAGTTGAACTTTCTCGTCGACCTTGGACAACTCCTCTGCTGTCGCACAGCTTGCTGCTGTGCGGACATAGCTTATACCAGGGGTTCTCTCAAGCGATATCGTAGTAACTCAACGCCCGGCACATTGCCTTTGTCGTCCGTCATCCCCGCGCCCCCCGTTTTGGGAGTCCGGGCTGGGACATGATGGGAGCGACGATATCGGTAGTCAAGGTAAGCATCGTGCAACAAATCCCAAAAATGGCTCTCACTACAGATGTTGCGTATTTCCCTGACCTGTTCTTTATTCCTTTCTAGACTTTGATTGTCCCAGCCGCCATCTCGCTCATCCTTTTTCTGATCACGACCTACGTGCTCATCCCTATCTGGCAACGCTACCGCAACCGCTATAGCCAGTATCTTCCTCTGGAGACGATATCGACTCAGACCTTGTCGCTTCGGGCGAGAATACAGGGCGCGATGGCACGATTCATAATCCCCTCGGCGTGGAGAGCCAGGGTATCCGACGACGTCGTCGTCGCTGAGCGAAACTCGTTTGATTCGGACGAGGGCGAGGAACTTGATGAGGTAGACGAGTCCACTACGAGGAGGGTATTGGACCAGAGCAGGAATAGTGATACTATGGACAGCACGCCAAGATTAAGCAGAGAGTCAGTCTAGATGGTTACCCTCAGTGGACTTGCCAGCTAACATCACTGTAGCCTGGAGGAGGGATTCATGGACGACAGTGACGAAGAGATAGAAGGTGCGAGAGGTAGATGATATCCCTGATGATATATTTTCTCTTGCCTGTGCACTTTTTACGACGATCTCACAGTCCTTGGTATCCATACGAATAGAGCTTGGCTTTGAATCTTTGAACTTACATACTCAATTTGGTGTCGCCTGCCTGAGGTATGTCTCAAGGCGGTAAAAAGAAGGGGATCTTATGGCAGTTTTCTGAATCCGATTCAAAACTCGGCGGCCAACAGCCCGGTCCGGTTGGCCAGGCCTCGTACAAGTACAGCTTACGGATATAGTTCTGGCCTACCACGTGGTCTTCAGCCCGGGCGCATGGAGCCGGGTCTGGTAGGCACGCTGATCATCCGCTGGGAGTGAAGCCTCAGTTGAACAGTCAAACTTCAACTGCAAGGCAAATGAGTGCTTTACAAGTAACTCTCCATGTTCCCCCGAGGTTTACAGATTGCTTGTCGGTACGGGCTTGAACCTTTATGGTCAGGCATTCTCTCTTCCTTAACTCTCTTCGAAAGAAATCCTTAGGATAGAGCTAAGGTAACTCAAACTAGGCTTCGACACTAAGAACTATGTGATGTGGGCGGGGCATGCAGGTTGGTACGGTATTTTACACATACTTTACACATATGATTACGGTAATATGACAATAACCAGGATAATGGAACCCACTTCTGCAAGCCAGTCGCATTCCTCCGATTCCCGCACATCAAGGCAGAACTCGACCGAATCGTCAGTATCTTTCCTTGTCGGTTTGTCACCTTAGCGGCCGTAGCTCGCCACCAGGATCTAGACGTTCTCTTCTTTTCTCACCGTGTCATTATACTCAAGTCTGTCATTCTTGTAGACAAACTAATCATAGAGTTTTTACATTTTCTCCAGAGCCATCTCGCATGTACCTTCATCCAACATAGCAAGTGTTACTCAGCGACCGAGATGGCGACCCCCGAAGAGCAGGCTGTCGCCCTCAAGAATCAGGGTAACAAGGCTTTTGCTGCGCACGACTGGCAAACAGCCATCGACTTTTACACCAAGGCCATAGAACTCAACGACAAGGAGCCAACCTACTGGTCGAACAGAGCTCAGGTCCGTGCTGTCTCGAAGCCCAGTTTTCCATCCGAACCGCTCAGGAGCTTTGGTCGCGTGACTGACAAGACTTGTTTCTGCGCAGGCGTATCTGAAGACGGAGGCATACGGCTATGCTATACGGGATGCTACGAAAGCTATCGAGCTTAACCCAGGCTTCGTAAAGGTGCGCAAATGACGTCCACATCGGTCCGAGTCGCTGCCCAAGGCTGACGGTTCTCCGACATGCAGGCCTATTACCGCCGCGCCACAGCATATGCCGCCATACTGAAGCCCAAGGATGCAGTCAAAGACTTTAAGACGTGCGTCAAGATCGACCCGAGCAATAAGGATGCCAAGCTCAAGCTGGTTGAGTGCGAAAAGATTGTGCGCCAGCTCGCCTTCTTCGCCGCCATCGAAGTTGGGGAAGAGCCGTCGGCAGCCGAGGGGCTCGATGTGGATTCGATGGTCGTGGAAGCCGCGTATGACGGCGTACGGCTAGAAGGGAAAATGACGCAAGAATTCATTGACGATATGATGGAAAGGTTCAAAAACGGCAAGACAATACACAAGAAATACGTTTACCAAATCATCCTAGCGGTCAAGAAGCTCGTGTACGACGAGCCGACGATGGTCGAGGTAGACATCCCGGAAGGCGTCGAGCTCACCGTTTGCGGCGACACCCACGGTAAGCCTAACACCATCTATCTAGCATTCCTGGGGCGGCTACTAACCGTTGCGAACAGGTCAATATTTTGACTTGATGGAGCTGTTCAGGTTAAACGGCACCCCTAGCGACAAACACTGGTACTTGTTCAATGGAGACTTTGTGGACAGGGGTTCTTGGTCGACCGAAATTGCGCTTCTGCTGTATGCCAACAAGTGGTTGAGGCCGAAATGCTTCTTCATCAACCGCGGCAATCATGAGACAGATGACATGAACCGGGTGTATGGCTTCGAGGGCGAGTGCAAGGCGAAGTATAACGAGCGGTAAGTGTTGGCGCATCTGGCGACGCATTTTTTTGGCTACTAAACACGATCACCAGCGTCTTCAAGCTTTTCTCGGAGAGCTTCTCCGCCCTGCCGTTGGCGACCTTGGTCGGCAAGAAGTACTTTGTATTACACGGCGGTCTCTTCTCAGACGACAACGTAACACTGGACGATATCCGAAAACTGGACAGACACAAGCAACGGCAGCCTGGTCAATCCGGCTTGATGATGGAAATGCTGTGGACAGATCCTCAGACTGAGCCCGGCAGAGGCCCCAGCAAGCGCGGTGTGGGAATGCAGTTTGGTCCTGATGTCACAAAGCGATTCTGCGAAAAGAATGGCCTAGAGGCCGTTATTCGGAGTCACGAGGTCAGGATGGCCGGTTATGAAGAGGAGCACGACGGGAAGTGCATTACCGGTAAGCTGTCGTCAAGCTCCCCTTGACTTTCCGAAAGCCCATATTAACACCCCATGCTTCAGTCTTCTCGGCGCCAAAGTACTGCGACATGACGGAGAACAGGGGCGCGTACATCAATATCGGGCCTGACTATAAGCTCAAGTTCACTCAGTTCGATGCTGTTCCCCACCCCAACATTCGGCCTATGGTGAGAATCCCCAGAGACGCAGGCGTCGCAGCGTGTAAAGCTAACGCTTTCCTAGGCATACGCTCATAACTCATTGATGTCCTCCCTGATGTAGCCCAAGCTGTTAGAATGTAGGAGGCTTGAGATCAGGCGAGACCGTGTTGAAGCATCTAAGCGAGGTTTTGCATACTCGAGTGGGTTGCCGTGTAAGATCGGCATTCTCAGATCGGAGTAGGATAGAAATCTCAACAGCCGACTCTCGAAACTCGAATACCCAAGGACCTGGGGCTTGCCGCGGGCTGGCTTTAGACTGGCCCGCCGGCCCGGCGTCCTGTCATAGCAAGGAATGCAAAAGAAGCATGCATGCGCTATCTCAAGCCCTCTTGTAGTGCTCTTGTTGCGTTTGCCTGTAGACAACCCGAACACAAACATACTCACGACGAACGAGGGAGAGAGAGAGAGGTCATGAAGTCCACAACTCCCCCTGTTCGTCCCGCCCAAGTAAACTCCCCAGCCAATCCCCGCATGCCCGCAGCTGCAGCTGCAGCGGACCTCCTCCCGCTGATGATGACCCCAGCCCGGGAAAGGCTGTCACGGCGGCCGCGAAGCTCGCCAGATCGGCCCGCGGCACCCGCACCCACGCCGACCCGTCCCGCACCAGCAGGATGTCGATGCTCATCCCCGCGCCCGTGTCGCCGAGGAATTGCCGGAGGGCCGAGGTCAGGTAGGACCGCACTTGCAGGTTGTCTAGTGTGGTAGTAGTTTGCGGGTGGGATGAGGGTGTGGGTATGGGCGGGACTACGAGGTGGGCGTAGGCGAAGGGCGGGTTTTTGAGGGTTGCCTGAGCGAGAGTGCGGTTTTTGGTGGGTTTGTTGGTTGGTTTTGTGATTGGGATTGGGATTGTTGTTGTTGTGGTTGGATCGGTGTCGACGTCCATTGTGTCTGGGTCCCGTCCGAGTTGTGACATGGTTTGGCTGAAACGGGGAGATTTCCTGAAATGATGTCGTCTGGAATGAGAAAACCCCAAGCTTGGCTGATTTGATGGTGTATGGCGATTATGATGATTGGTGGTCTAGGTTCAATATGTGAGAGACTCAACTCCAACAACCTTATCCTTTATCCTGATATTACTTCTGTGCTATCTCAGTGTGTGTAAGTCAACGCTGAGGTTATGAGATTTTAAGGTGTATGGAGTATTGTGCCTTGAATATTTAACTATCCGAATAGTCAATAGACATTGATATATCGGGGGCCAAACCCCGGTCCATGCGCATTGCCCGTACTCCGAATGCAGCACACTAACGTCAAGTTACGTCAGGAATGCAAGATGCGCCTGCTCCCCTGCATAGGCCGGCTGTAAGTCGACGGAAAGCGCTCCGATGGTGACCTGCGTCAACATCAACATTGCTTGTAGCGTTCCCTTCCTGTTTTGATGAGCCATTCATTCCCACATGTTCTACGGCTGGTCACCGGAGACCAGAATAATGCAGACAAGCTTCATTTGTCGAGCAGCTATTTCCATCGCGAATACTACGGTACCAAACGGTTAATGTAGCCGGAGCTATGATTCCACCCCGGTGATTGACGACGGCGTGCATCTCCAAACCTTACCGGCGAAGCAGTTAAAGGTAGCAGAATACTCTGCTTCGGACTGATAAACTGGCTGTTATAACCATGGACCTCACACTTTCTGACCTGGTTCACTTTGGGTCAGTCATCCTCTTTGGCGCCATTCCCATACTGCAATTCTTCATATTCAATCCCATGATGTGGATCATCCGCACCTGCTTCACCATTATCACCACAGTACTATACATCGTTTCATTGCCAATCCGGGTACCTTTCAACATGCTTGTTACACCGATACGATACTTCATGTCCATAATGGACGAGCTAACAGTATGCCCCCTCCCCATTCTCCCTCCTCTTCAGCAATGCGTGCATTCCACTAACACCTCTCTCAACCAGCCACTTTTCCTCTGGGTACATTCACTTTCCCTTTTCCATGCTCATCCAAACACACTATCAAACCCCCCTGGCTAACCATTCCCACCTCTTGCCATAAAACCAGCTAAGCAACGCCGTGATAATCGGCATCACAGCCGGCGGCTGCATCGCGCTGATGACAATGGGCATCATGAGCGCGCTGCACCGCCTTTTCCCACAGCTCCGGCCACGCCCAGAACCACGACGACGAGCCCAACGGCGAGCCCGCTTGCCAGCAGCAGTACCGTCAGCAGCGACCGCCGTTAGTAGTCCCGATATTAGCAGTAGCAGCAGCCCCACTAGGATCAGCGATGAGCTAGACGGCGCCGCCGCCTCGGACGACGATTCCGGGCCGGCAGGGGCGCGCGGCGGTAGGGGCAGGGGCAGTGGAAGCGGCTTGCGCTGGCGGAGGGCGACGACCGCGCCGCTGGCGGCGAAGTCTGCGGGTCGTCGGAGAGCGCCCGACGTTTTGGTCGACGACACCATCCATGAAGAGGAGTCATCCGAGTAGCAGACGGTGACCGAGTCGGGGCCAGCGACGGGTAGCCTTGCGGAGAGTGCTCGTGGGGGAAGCAGTCGTGGCCGGAGGAGTCGTGGCCGGAGGGGTGGTGGGCGAGCTAGCCGTGGGGAGAGCAGTCGTGGAGGGGGCAGTCCCGGAGTATGATTGATTAATGGCGTTCTTGGTTCAGCGAATATCGGCCGGTCGCATTAACATGAGGGATGTCGGGTGCAAGCGCTGATGGGAGGATGCATTGTAATACTAGTATAGCCAGCCGTATAGGTAATCGCAGCGGATGCAGATGGGGTGCCAGGCAAGCCATGGGATCCGCGCCGATTGTGAACCGCGGTATCATTAAGCATAGTTATATCGAAGCCATTGCGTGGCCAGCAAGACGATAGCTCTCAACGTCGGACAGGGCGACGCAAGAAACACCGCTGATAGTATACATTCCGCCCGAAACCCTGCAGCTCCAAAAACCTTCTTTATGGTGGAATTTTCACCAAGGTCCGTATCGTGATGCAATAACCACAGGCCACCCTGAACCAGGCCAAAAAGCACTCAACCGTCGCCGCCCTACCAGGAGAATCACAATGCCTCAAAGACAGCGGCGGACCGATCCCAGTTACTACCTGCGGTACATGTCCCGGTCCCTGTCTCGATCCCGATCTCGGTCCCTCTCCCGGTCACGGACGATCGGCGACCGACTGCGACTCCTGGTCCGACTCGCCCGCGCCCTCTCGTCAAAGTCCGGCCGCCTAGGCCTGTCCCAGTCGTGTCGCCTATCATCCCTGTCGTCCCGGCGGCGCCTGGGCGCGTCGCGGTCGTAGCTGGGTATGTACGTGTCAACGTCCTGCCGGCCGCCGCCTCCACCGCGGGGCGGTCTCCCGCCTCGGTCCCGGTACCCGTCTGGGTGGTCGAGCGGGTAGTCAATGGGCGGGGGAGGGCGAGGCGGCAGGCCCCTGTCCCTGTGCCACGCTGGTACCCGCCCATCCGCCGGCGGCGGGTCCCGGCTGTTGCGCGGGTACCGTCCGCCATTGACGCCGTTCCGACTGCCGAAGCCGTCGCCGCCGCCGCCGCCGAAACCTGCGTTCGAGCCGTCGTGAGGACCACGCCCGACTGTGCCCCCCTTAGGTGCAGGCGGTAGCGCGGCTCTCCTGTCGTGGAATTTCCTACGGTCCAGCTCGTGGCTCTCTTCAAAAGATGGCAGTTCGCCGGGCTGCGCTGGGTATGGAGCAGTCCGGAAATAGGGGTGTTGGAGGGCATCAATCGCGTTGATGCGTGACCTCCAGTCTAACTTAAGCAGTTCTCTGAGGAGGGAGACGGCGACTGGGCCATGGGATCCGAATCGTTGCGAGATGGTTTCCGGTCTGGGTCTGGGATGGATTGCCTCTGCACCCGGTAGTGACCGCCAGCCGGGCATGTTCTCATCCGTGGGCGAACCGCAGAGTTCGAAGATGATCTCGAGCTGGTGGCCGTCACTCTCCCCGGCAAGGATAGGCTTGCCAACCAACATCTCGCCAAATACACAGCTGGTTGAGGATCAGCTCGTGGCTCAAGTGTGAGTGGATCAACGAATCTTACCCGACTCCCCACATATCGATCGCTGTAGTGTACCGTTTCAGGTGCAACAAAAGCTCGGGAGGTCGGTACCAGCGCGTCACTACCAAGCTAGTGTAGTCACGCCGCCCCTCACCGCCCCCCTTCCCCGGCTTAGGAACCTCTCCGTCGTAATGTCTTGCGAGACCGAAATCGGCAATCTGGAGGATGCCCTTATTGTTGATCAGAAGGTTGGCGGCCTTCATATCTCGGTGCAGGATATGGTTGGCGTGCAGATATTTAAGGCCCTCCAACAACTGCAACATGTAGCACTTGATCTGAGGTACCGTGAAGTGGACGGAGGGGTTATCAAGTAGGCCTGAAAGGTCGTGATCCATATAGGGCGTGACCATGTACATGATGGGCCTCTTCCGCTTGTCGGCTGGATAGTGCGTTAGCATAGAGCTGCGGTAACCCTCCGATGAACCGGGTGAACTTGCTGCTCCTCGCTGGGTGTTCAACAGCCATGTCTTCCAGCCGTAAGATGTTTTTATGTGAGAGGAGCTTCAACAGCTTGATTTCTCGGAGAGCCGTGATAGGGAACTGGAACCGTTTAGTTCAAGTCGAATGTGCCAGGACAGCACTGCGTAGGGAACCCACTCCATCCTTCTCGTTGTGCATAATAATCTTCTTCAGGGCGACCAACGCACCGGTCTTTTTCGATCTCGCGCGATGTACCTCGCTGACGAAAGAATCAGCCTTTGCCAAAATCACAATATTATGGTGCACTGGGGACCAAACGGTGCCACAAAGGACTTACCCAAATGTACCCTCGCCGAGTTTGCCCAGGACCTCGTAGTCGGTGATCCTCGAGCATCCCACGAAGCTGCTCTTAGGCCGCTGGTGTGCAATGGCAAAGCTGCGCGGAGAAGGGGCATTGCCACCTTCCTGCGATTCGAGGATACTCATGGCTGCTCGCGGCGAAGGTTATTTCGAAGACCGTAAGGGACGCCGGATACAAGTCGTTGGAATGCTTGCGCGACGCGAAAGCCGTGGTGTTGGGAGTAGGGGTTTCCAGATGGGAAACACGTAGTTATGCTATGGGACACTCGAGAAGTTATGGGCTCCTCAACCGGGCAGAAATGGCGACATTGCAAAAGCGTAAAGGCCCGTTTTGCACTTTGAAGGTGACAAAGTGCAAAGCCCAGATTCACAGAGTGGCCGACACGGCGGCGAACTCAGAACTCCCAGGCGATTGATTGATTGTTCGATGTGCCAAGAATTACTTTAAGGCGCTCAGACCATGCTTCTCACAATTGTCTCGTAACGTTACAATTCTCGTAACGTTCAGTCTTGGCCCAAGAATACAGTTAACTTCTAGATTACATGTAATTTCCTTACAATCTTCGTAATCATAGCCTTACCCTTATCCTGGTCATTGAAGGTCATTATCATTCAACGACATTCCCAGGAAGCTCTTCCCCAACCTCAGGCCGTGAGAACCACCACCACTCTCTTCCCGCGCATAACCTCCACCTACGCACAAGAGGGTACGTCCCGAAACCAATTATCGCCCATCGTCCCGATTGCATCTGACAATCCGCCAATTGCCCGCAGAGGCCGACACGGAGAGCAGATAATAATCAGATCATGGCCGGCATTGGCAGACCTCCCGTTCCCCGGATCTACCGGTTCATGGGCACCGCCCTCGGCGCGTCAATGTGGTTCTGGGTATGACACATGCACCGGACAGTCTGAAGCTTTGTTCTGGAAGTGGTTGTTGAGCTAACCCGAGTCCTAATTGGCAACTTAGATCTTCTACCGCGCTAAGAAAGACGGTACCGAGCTGCCCTTCTCCTCCACCTCGTCCCAGTTTCTACTGTCTTCCCGGCCATCTGCTGACTGTCTGACTCGGCAGGGCCGGTTCTCCTCGGCTGGAAACACCCTTGGGATCACTAGGCGGCAACCAGCCTCAGTTTCGTTGTTTGGTGGAGGGAATTGTACATACGGTCACAATATACATTATACCCCCTTGGGCGCCGCCCGGCAGGAACGTTCAAGCGATGGACTACCGGCATGACGATGAACAACTCTACCGAGGCCTCCTGCTTTGTTGTCTGAATCGATCTGTAATTACTGCTGCTCGTTGATTGCTTCAAGTTTCCTGATCGAGAGTGCCCAAGCGGGCGTACGTAACAAACACTTCGGGAGTTGACTTCCGCTCTGCGAGTCACAGCGTGGTCATATCGCTGGTTCAGGTTCGGTTTGTCAAGGTTCTCAGAATTCACTAGAGCATTGGCGCTTATTCCTCTACCTGTCTGTCCGCTTCGTACCTCCGTTTGTCATCATCGCTCTTTGAGACGTTTCTTGAATTCAATCAGTTCTCGCAAAATCCCGCCTTTCCACACCGTCTGCTCCCTTGTTCTCCTTCTCCTTCTCCTTCTCCTTCTCCTTCTCCTTCTCCTTCTCCTTCTCCTTCTCCTTCTCCTTCTCCTTCTCCTTCTCCTTCTCCTTCTCCTTCTCCTTCTCCTTCTCGTCCCCCTTCTCCTTCCCCTTTTCCTTCTCGTTCCCCTTCTCCTTCTCCTTCTCCTTCTTCTCAAACAGCAAGTGTTTGACTGCATAGGTATTCCCATGGTCCAATCCGAACATCATGCACCGGGTCAGGAAGTAGATTTGCCAGCGGTTGAACCAGACGTCAGCGTTCTTCCGGCCATAATACTCAACTAGACGAGGCCACACCGTTTCCTCGTTGGCGACGAAGTTGTTGAGCCAGCGGTAAGCGGTCTGGTCGTAGTGGCGGCCATGGATGTGCCACTGCTTTGCGATGGTCAGGTCTTCCTGCTGGAAATGCACCATTAGGTCGCTCGAGGGCATGGTTCCGCCCGTGAAGAAGTGCTTCGCCAGCCAGCCCGAGTCGAAGTGGTACGGCGTGTCCTTGTGGCAGGTCATTTGTAGCAGGAACTTGCCGCCCGGCTTGAGCGCCCGCGCGACCTTGGCCAGCATGCGGTCGTAGTTCTTGAGGCGTTCAAACATCTCGCATGAGAGGATGCGGTCGTAGCGCTTTTGCCCCAGGTCGGCCATGGCAATGTCAACGGTCCAGACGATGATGTTGCGGATGCCCTTCTCTTTAGCCTTTTTCCGAATGTATTCCCTCTGACTGAGCGAGTTGGAAAAGCCAACGACACGAGAATTGGGGAACAGCTCGGCGAAATAGAGGACGCCCGCACCCCACCCACAGCCAAGGTCGAGCAGGCTCATGCCGTCCTCGAAACCCATCCTCTCGACGTAGGTGTTTAGCATCTTGTCTTCGGCCTCGGCCAACGTCTCGTTGCCCGTCTCAAATAGGCAGCAGCTGTACTTCATGCGCGGGCCGAGGGCGCCCTCCATGATGCCTGAAGCCACTTCATATTCTTGCTTTTTGGCCGCCTCGGTGTGGATGGCGATTTCCGAGTTCCTCAGCTCCCTGATGAAGGCCATCTTGCGGGCCATGGCCGCTTCAACAGTCGGCGACGATATCGCCTGGGCTTGGCGGCGGAACTCCCGCTCTACAAACTTGCGGATGAGGCATCTTATGAACAGGCCCTTGTCGACGAGAAACTCGAACGTGGCATCTTTGAGATTTCCCAGGAATTTTCTTGGCTGCGAGGAGGTGGTGGCTTGGTCCTGGTATGGTGTGCCGTCGAACGTTTTGGTCGAAGTTGCTATTGCGACCGCTTCCTCTGAGCATTCCGGAGGCCCACAGACAGCTGGCTCCGTCTGGGGAGGATCCGATGACGGGGACATATTCAAGGATCCTGCGGCGGGTTCGATAAAAACCGGTATAAACATCCTGACAGGTGATTTGGCATCTTCTCCAGGAGCTTTGAGCCACAGAGTAAACATGATCTGAGCAAATAGCGGGACAAATAGGGAACAAGTGGCCTTGTTGTGGTTATTTGGGAGTGCGTTGGATGGGTTATGAAAACTATTCGGAAACCGGTGAAGCAGAGAATAATTAGGAGTTGCAGCTGTGCGGGTAGGGCACTGGGTCTAGTATTCACTCGCTCGAGAATGGGTTAAGCATTAGCATACCAGTATTGTGCGCTTGAACAATGGGGGATTGTTCTTCTCGCTCGGTGGAGGTGGGCAGTCACCAGACCAAGTGACTAGTTGCTCCTAGACCTGGAGGTCGGATGGATGGCCTTGCAAGGTAGGGGGCATGCTCTCTCGAGCCATTTGTGCTTTCTCTCAACTTCCATATCATTCACATTGCATATCCAATTCATGTGGCCTGTACTATTATCTCATATGTGTTGTGGGATCCAGGCACAATTCATGACACAACTCAATGGATATTTACGGAACAGAAATAGAGCCGATGACTTCTATCCTATCTCTCAAAACAGTGGCCCTCCGGCTCAACAATCGGAAATCTGGTCATGGATTGGGCCACGACGAGCCCTCAACGATCTATCATACAACGGGATCACTATCCAGACAGGACCCGCACACCAAGCCTTCAAAACAGCATCTGCTCCTGTATCAGCTTGTACTGCTTCCTCTGCTTCGCGCGCTTGAACACAGACTGCTTCAGCTGGCCGATAAGGCGCGCGAGCGGCTGGAACGCCCAGTGTTCGCCAGTCCACGCCAGCGCAAGGTACAGCATACCAAGCCCGACAATGAAGACCTTGAAGTCCCAGCTGATATATGTGAGTTGCATAATATCCGTCAGCCAGCGAGGCGGGCTTAAGACCATGAACAGCGTGAAGCAGAGGGTGACGGATATTGTGACGACAAATGGCCCTGACTTTGGGTCAGCTCTGAACGGAAATCAAGTCGTTGTGCCGACAGTGGAGGGGAACTTGGGAAACCTACAGTTGTGCAGGCCGGACCGTCTAAAGGGGCGGCCGGCGTTGAGCACCACTCCAGCCAAAATATATTCAAAACAGGAAGTCAAGAAGAGTGCTGTGTTCTCTGAGTTCTCAATGTTCGATTTCTTGCGGTTGATGATGGGTGGGATGAACCATGGCTGCCGTCGCACCGACACAAACACCAACGCCTGGACTAGTATGCAGATATATATCTGGCCTAGCAATGGCGTAAGGACCTTCCGCGATACTAGATCTGCGGTTGGCCTCTTGCGGCTTAGCTCAGGGAACGGGCCGGCCCAGCTCATGAACACGGCGATGGGCAGAATGAGCGCCAGGTCGATGAAGAGAAACTGGAAGTCGCCTAGGTTCGAGGCAGACGCGTATAGGAAACTGACAGAGGTGAACTGGATAGCCGAGTACAAGCTCATGTACTTGAAGCAGCTGAAACTCGTTACAAGTGCCGCTCGGCCCTCACGGATGACCTCGGGCACGCACCGAATGTCGAAAACCCGAGACGTGAAAGGCGCCGCAACCGAGGCTTCGGCTTCCGAGAGTGAAATTCCCACGTCCGCCGCCTTAAGTGCGCCGCAGTCGTTCGCCCCGTCGCCGCAGAAGCCGCACGAGTAGTCGATGCTCTGCAGCTTCTCCACCAGTTCATGCTTCTCGTCTGGAGACATGCGTGCAAAGACCTTGCCCATAACCAGCATCCGCCGCATCACCTCTGGCGGGCCAAAGTCGATTACCCAACGGAATACGTCACCACTGACGGCGAGGGAGTAGTTGCGAAGGTTGGAGATGTCGTATGGCAGTGATGCATCCGCCTCGGGCGGCGGCGGCAACGGCAACAGCGTCTTGGCGTCCAGTTGAAAGATTTGGTTGTCAATGCTCTCCCACTGTAGACTGGCATTGGGATCCCTCGAGTGGCCTGTGATGAACCGAGGCACAAAGCAATGAGCTGTCTTGCTGATCATCCCTGACTCTCTTGCCACGCTGATGGCTGTCAAAATATTGTCTCCGGTGACCATCACGGTGCCAATGTTGGACTCTAGAAGCTCCTTGAGCACGGAGGCCGTCGTGGGCTTCAGCTTGTTCTCAAATATGATGAAGCCAACAAACTCTAGATCCGATTCCACCTCGTGCCGCTTCATCTTCTGGGCCTTTACCCAGCTGAGCTTCTTGATATGCTTGGTGGCACACCCAATCACCCGATACCCCTTATGAGTATACTGTGACAAAAGCTCCTCATAGTCGGCCGGGACTATGACTTTGGTCAGCTACGTCCCTCGCAATGCGGGTCTAATTCGAGCACTTACATGACTCTGGCCGGCAGATCTCCCGCATGCACTCCGGCGCTCCCTTGACATATATGTCTCCGCTTTGCTGGCCGAAAGTCCGTACAATGACGCTGGCGCGTCGTAGTTGTGAGACAAACTCGAACGACTTGAGAACGCCGAGTTCTAACGGAGCCTATCAGGTGTCAGTGGATGGAAAATGGGTAGGGGGGAGACCACTGATTACATCTTGTCCCGAAGCCTGCTGAACACTAGCCGCAGGGAACCTGACCCCCTGCGGTGGTCTGGCAATTGAAGGACGAAGATTGCCTTGTTCTTCATCATCGGCACTAGCACCACCGAGATTCCCTTCCTCAAAGGACCAGCCCGTGAACTCGAACATTTTGAGGTCAAGGGGATCCCCAACCGGTTCCCCATCCACAGTTCTGAGTGAATGGCAAGTTGCCATGGTATAGAGTGCTGCTTCTCGAGTCTTGATATCGTCTTTACCTTGGCCATCTTGGGCGTGATCGGGCGAAAGGTCGTGGGGTTCTGTTAGGAGGTCGCCGAACCTATTGTTTGCTCTCGAAGCAACACGGACACCAAGAATGTCGAGGCCTTCTTCTGTCAGGGTACCGGTCTTGTCGAAGCACATCAAGTCGAGCTTGCCACCGACGTTGACCCTCTGCGGACTAATGCAAAATATCTGCTTGGCCTTTAGCCGTCCCAGAGCAAAGTTGGTGCCAATGGTGAGAGTTGCGGGCAAGGCTGGCGGAACCACGATGGTGATAAGGTCCAGGGCGCGGATTACAATCAAATGCCATTCCAGCCCGAGCCGAATGAAATTGACCAGCGACGCCGTGAATCCGAGGATCGCCACGCATGCCATTACGGAGATGTAGCGGAACGAATCCTTGTAGAACTTGAAACCAGAAGGTTTGGGGAATAGCATTGAGCGGACCAGGGCACCTTTGGTGGTGTTAAATCCCGTCCTTACCACCATAGCAAGTGCAACGGCTTCTTCGTCCTGGCCTTCTTGAGGTCGACGAGCGCGCACGATCTTGGTCCCACAGAACAGAAAGTGCTTTGCGACCTCGGGGAGGACGGTAGATGCGGCCAGGTCCAGACCTTGCAGTGTCTCGTTGGTTGCCGGCGTTTTGGACACGGGTACCGATTCGCCAGTGAGCATGCTTTCATTGACGATGCAATCCCCGCTGAGGAGCAGACTGTCTGCTGGGAAGAGGCTGAGGCTTGGATCGCTGACCTCGTAAACGTCACCGGGAACTAGATCGCTAGACGAGATGCTCCGCCCTAAGGGTTGTCAGCTGGCCGGCCGATCATGAAGGACCGTCAGGAGCTTACAGAAGCCGTTTCGGAGAACCCGAACGTCACACACGAACCGGGATATTTCACGAAGTCTTTTCATAGTCTTGTGCCGTCAGGAATCTGGCTTGTCTCTGCTAACAGGATCCTTCTTGAACTCACCGATCTGGTCTCGATGAGAGTTGTCGTTATACTGCCAACAGACATAAGAAATATGGCAATGGCGTAGTAGTAATACTCATCGAGAGACCATAGAACGAGGCTGGCAATTTGAAAGACATAGAAAGGGTGGAAGACCTAATGGTCATCAGCAAGGCACACATCCCGTCCCCACTTGCGCAGCAACTTTACCTCGTCAACGAGAAGTCTAAAGACCGACTTTTGCTCAATGTCGATGAGGTTGCTTCCGAAAACGACATCACGATGGCTCTTTTCTTCGCTGTCGATGCCGGCGCGAATCTCTCGGACGTCTGACCACAGGGGGTCTTTCCACCCGTTGCAAAGAAGAAACTTGTCTTTGGCGGGGTTGAAATAGAAGCGGACATAACGATAGTTGATCATGCGGAGATCCCGCAAAATAGGGTCCTGATCTTCGTCCAGGAGGTACGATGTCAGCTTTTTAGGGGCGCCGAACACGGTTGATAACGGCCGCCCATATGGCCTCGACTCCACATCCAGAATTGCCATCTCATTCCACTGGTTCTCGACAACGACCCATTGGCAATCGCATAGGGGTGATGGCCTGCCGACTAACTTGACGTGCCATCTGGGCATCCAGCGGAAGAAAAGCCACGCCACACCCAGAGTCCCGATACAGAGTAGGATATATGCTGCGAGTCCCAGGGAACTGGTTCGAAAGCCTGCGATAACAATATACAGGTCCTCGTTCACCATGTACACCTTTTGGCTGCAGCGGTTTGCGCCATATCCGCTGCCAGCTGACACGCCACTGTCCCGCCGGAGCAATCTGCTGCGCACCGAATCCCTTGACTGGGTTGAATGCCTTGACTGCGTTGAAGTCCGGCGATGGAGCACATAGTCATTATCCTCGGCGTTGTTCTCGAGGTCGGTCGAGTCTTCCTGTTCCACAAAGTCGTCTTCAAACGGCAGCTCATCAAGATCGCCGACTGAGGGGCGCCCGCCAACCTCTGGTAAAGGGACCCCGGGCTCCTCGGTCTCATCTTCCTCTTGGTAGAAGGAGAAGCTCGTGGTCGAGTCGGCGCGCGCGCGGCGGTGGCTGAAGGCAGAGACACTGGTAGGAAGAGACTCGGCCATAGGTCCTGAAAAGAGCTGCACGGCTGTCAGTTAGCGGAGTCCTCGCCGACACCAAGTGCTTCTGAGCTGCGCCGGGTGTGGCACGCAGGTAGGTCCGGCTGACTTCATCTTGGGCCATTTCCACATCCTCAAAGACGCTTGCGAGACTATGATTTGATTCGTGACGGTAGAAGCCAGGGCCATGGCTCGGCGGCGTTTGGTGGTCATGATGGACCATGTCATTGGGTTCGTCGGCGTCCATGTTGACTTCTCCTGAAAAGCTCGGTGCGGTTCCAGGAGTAAATGCAGCGTGTATTCATCTTAGTGAGGTCGTCGACACAATGTTCCGGGGGCGCCTGATCGAGCGAGTCCCCGATGCGAATTATTGGAGACATCAGCGGAAGGCAGCTCTGCGGACAGAGTGGATCTGAAATTATCGTGGCTGCGATAAGGCCATGACGTCGATCTCGGTGCACGAATGGACCCCGGTAGCTGCATGTCGCTTCAGCGTTCTAAGCCGCCCTGCTTTGCTTGGCACTAACTTTGGGCCCACTCAAGGGACGCGGCTGATGCTCAGGGCCTCAGGCGTTGTTGTTGTAATTATGTCCTGTAATTACACTCACGTCTGTACTATACGGCTACTCTGTACAGTAATCCTCTAAGATTCAGTCAACAGTTGAGAGACTTCTCACAGCAATTCGAAGATAATGGGACCGACACAGTCACTGCCTGCTACGTGCGAGAAGCTACTCATCTGAATACCATAATGGTCCTGGAATCGTGCCATTATCTTACAAGCTGATTGTATGTCCAGGACGCTCCCTTGTATACCGGTAACGCAACTGTGGATCGGTGGGCTTGAGTCATAACATTACAGTACCCTGTATGAAAGACACAACGCTTGAGGATACATGATATGTAGGGGACCCAATGTTGGTGTCCGTCCTCTTGCCTGGACCCTACAGCAATCAACCCAATATTGCAGTATTGAAACGACAGTTTGCGAGATTCAAAAGTTCGGAATTGCAGATTCGATGTAGTTAGCAGGGCGGTTTGACTGTGACTGGTACCGACCTGTAGGCACTTCGTACACTAAACGGCACTGCCTCTTCAGTCGATTCCAAGACACTTCAAATGGACCCTAATCCGAGGCAGGGTGCAAGTCCCAGAATCACTTTGTGTATGCACTATGCAACCATCCGATAGGTGGGTCGGGGGCGAATGAAAATTCGAATCCATTTGAAATCTCCAGTAAGACCGATCGATGCCGGCGGCGATAACCCGCCTCCAAGATGGTCACAGGGCGGTGAAGGCATCATCGTCGGAACGAGTTCCAACTGTGGAAACCTGTCTAAATAACATGCAGAGCGAAGGGCATTTGTCAATAGAGAGACTACCATGCCACTCCAGAAGATGTGGGATTTTTGCCGAGTCAACCTGATATGTATACCTAGACCAGAATAAGTCCCGGGAAATACGTTCGTAGTGATAACATTGATCACAACTGGAACAGCTGGCAGAGGCGACGGCGAACACAGGGCAACCTGAAAAGTTTGCGTTTCTTAGCCAGGTTAGGTAGACTTTGAACCCTTGTTGGCGCGCTGGGGGACAGTCCTAGTTGCCCCGCAAAATATTTTCTAGGTGACCGACGGATTGGCATTTGGCAGCAGCACGTTTTCCCCCTCCCTCAACATTTCCAGGGAGACCACGGGCCATCCGTCCATCCTCCCGAAATTTTGCAAAGCTTTCTTTCATCCCCATAAAACCACCGAGATTCCTCTTTTCTGGACCCAGATCACTCTACCTTTCCGAGAACCATCACTTTTTTTCGAGAGATAGTTACAGTCATCATGGCTGAACCCATCAAGAACAAGCGGCCCGACCCCGCTGTCGCCCCGTAAGTTTTGCTCTAAGCAGTGATGCCTGCCGCACGCTTCAAATCGATGGCGATAAGCCGTACTGACACCAAGATTGCTGCAGAACCCCTCAGAACACGCCGGCGAATAATGCACCCATCTCGTCGCATGCCCAGCAGCCCGGTGGCGGCATCTCCAGCATCAAGGAAGGTTAGTCATTACCCGCTGCTTGCTACCCAACCTGGAGCGGACAAGTGCTGATTAGCTTTGGCTGGATGCAGAGGATCTGGACCGCGCGGCGGCTGCTTCCATCTTTGCAAAGGATCCCCGGCTTGTGTCTCTGATCCAGGGCCGTCTCGGTTCCCTCGTTGGTAGGTCATCAGGGTACATCGAGTCTCTGCCGGTCGAGGTAAAGCGCCGGGTCGCTGGCCTGAAGGGCATCCAGAAGGAGCACTCCAAGCTTGAAGCCGAGTTCCAAGAGGAGGTACTCCAGCTAGAGAAGAAGTACTTCGCCAAATTTACGCCTCTGTACCAGCAGCGCTCGGCTATCGTGAATGGCCAAACCGAGCCGACCGAGGACCAGGTCAAGGCTGGCGAGGAGGCCCAGGAGGACCAGGAGGCTCAGGAGAATGAGGAAGCAGAAGGCGCTGCCGTCAAGGAGGAGAAGCCCACCGGGATAAAGGGTATTCCCGAGTTCTGGCTCTCGGCCATGAAGAACCAAATCTCTTTCGCCGAGATGATTACCGACCGCGATGAGGGTGCCCTCAAGTCCCTGACCGATATCCGGATGGAGTATCTCGACAAGCCCGGCTTCCGCCTCATTTTTGAGTTTGCCGAGAACGAGTACTTCACCAACAAGACCATTACCAAGACATACTACTACCAGAACGAGAACGGCTATGGCGGCGACTTCATCTACGACCATGCCGAGGGTGACAAGATTGACTGGAAGCCTGGCAAGGATCTGACTGTCCGCATCGAGCAGAAGAAGCAGCGGAACAAGAGTAAGTGCTCTAAGCGCGGGTATTGGAGGGCACATACTAACAAACTCAGCTACCAAGCAAACTCGCATCGTCAAGAAGACTGTCCCTACCGAGTCCTTCTTCAACTTCTTCTCGCCTCCCAAGCCCCCTACGGAGGACGACGACGACGCTGCTTCCGACATCGAGGATCGTTTGGAGCTCGATTACCAGCTTGGTGAGGACATCAAGGAGAAATTGATTCCTCGCGCGATCGACTGGTTCACTGGCGAGGCTCTCGCCTACGAGGAACTCGACGAGGATGACCTCGCGGACTTTGATGAAGAGGATGATGAGGACGATGATGACGCCAGCGAGGACCACGATGACGAGGATGAGTCTGAAGAGGAAGAGGTAAGAAGGCCACGGTCCGGTATTATAAAGTGGAAGTGCTAACGATTTTGCAGGAGCCGAGGACAAAGCAGGAGCCGACTGAGTGCAAGCAGAGTTAAACGGCAACGATGGTGGCAAGCAGATTCGCCGTGTCTTTCCTACCCTGTGCAACAAACCCTCATAGCCTTTAGTTGGGCCTGATCACACATAATTCCCATTATTTGGCAACTCGCTCGCGGCCCGCCAGTTTGGGCCCGACAAGTGGTGTCAGAAAGCTTGGAGGACCTATAGATCCTAATTTGCAAGTAGCTGGCGAGCACGTCTCCTGAACATGCCTTTACGTGCCTTGACATTCTGGTTGTTTTGCATCTCGAGTTATCCGAGGGACTTTGTGAGAGGATGGTGGGCAGCTTTTCTCGGTGGTGGTATAGACGGCAGTTAAAAAGGGGGGTCCGCGCAAGGGCATGACAAGTGTCTGTCTACGGGGAGGCTTCAGGGGCCCGGATGCACGACTCGGAGATACTATCATTGAGCATTTTGGTCGCAGTATTCCAGAAAAATAATTTGAGCTTGTCGTTGCTATAATACGATTCTCTGTACTATGGCATTGTGTGAACAGTGAATCCCGGCTCTTGGGAACTCGACCTAAAAGACCCAGATTAATGAATCAAGACAGCTCGGACCTTACAAACTCAACTTGCGAGGTTGTGCTCATGCAAGAAGCGCCTCAATCGGTAGCGACGGGTTCCGAAAACCGAGCATCCCGTCAGGTGCATTGCGCCATTGAGTCTTACACTCAAGCAGCCTAGTAGACGCCGAGAAACCGGCCCCCGGACCGGAGCGAGTGCACCGATACTTTCAGCTCTTTCAGGCACTCAGTGGACTGAGGCCAGGAACCAAGACGACTCTGTGGGTACCGATTTCGCGGAATACCTTACACCATCTGACCTATTTCGAGTCTGGATTTCAAATTCATCAGTCTATGAGCCGCGGGAGGGCAGGGCCACGGAGCTTCGGTCGGCGGTTTGAGTGGCTGGAGCTGCATTCCGTCATCCAAAGATTTTCTTCGCCCGCGTTTCGGTGACTCAACCCCGCTATAAAGTCCACTGAGCAACCCCACCACAATGACAAGCAACCCGTGGGGTCTGCTAAGTTTACCTGTCATGTATAACAAGCCTCCAAAGACCGACTCTGGGACATCCATCATTCACCTGAGCAGGAGAGTACCGAATCGCTTGTTCTTCCATCCAAATCCACTCTTGCCGTCATGACGTCCCCGAGAGATATCGCACCGCACCCGCTGGCAAAGGCCGTTTCGTACAGCAGTTTGAGCGTGTCCCCCACGGCCACTTTCCAGTCCCCTCCTTCTTCAAGTCAGGGCGGCGGCTTCATGGCCGGGGTCCTTGCCCAAAGCGCTGCGGCCGCAAAACAGCTCAAGCCCTTTAACACGGAGGACGTCAAGATCTTGCTGCTGGAGAACGTGAACCAGACGGGCAGAGATATACTAAAGGGTCAAGGCTACCAGGTGGAATTTCTGAAGACTTCGTTGCCAGAAGACCAGCTCATCGAGAAGATTAGGTAAGTTCTGTTAGACTTGCCTGGAACCTCCGTTTTCGGACTTGGATTCTCGACTCTTGAAGAAAAGTCCCAGCCAAGACGAAGCCCAATGCACCCTTTGCACTCTCACCCAACCACTACAATTGCCGCGAGGATACGCTGACAAGCATGCAGGGATGTTCATGTCATTGGCATCCGGTCAAAGACAAAGCTCACAGCCAAGGTTCTGCAAGAGGCCAAGAACCTGCTCGTCATCGGCTGTTTCTGCATCGGCACCAACCAAGTAGACCTGGAGTATGCCGCCCAGCATGGCATTGCCGTCTTCAACTCGCCGTTTGCCAATTCGCGCAGCGTGGCCGAGCTGGTGATTGCCGAGATTATCACCCTTGCCCGCCAGCTGGGCGACCGCTCGCTCGAGATGCATCGCGGCACCTGGAACAAAGTCAGTTCCAAGTGCTGGGAGATCCGTGGGAAGACGCTCGGCATCGTTGGCTACGGCCACATTGGCTCGCAGCTGTCGGTTCTGGCCGAGGCCATGGGTATGTCTGTCATCTACTATGATGTTGCCACCCTGATGGCCATCGGAACAGCGAGACAGGTGCCGACGCTCGAGGCTCTGCTGGAAGAGGCCGACTTTGTCACGCTACACGTCCCCGAGACGCCCGAGACCAAGAACATGATCTCAGCGGCCCAGTTTGAGCACATGAAGACAGGCTCGTACCTCATCAACGCCAGCCGCGGCACCGTGGTCGACATCCCCGCGCTGATTAAGGCGATGCGCTCCGGCAAGGTTGCCGGCGCCGCCCTGGACGTGTACCCCAACGAACCGGCCGCCAACGGCGACTACTTCAACAATGGGTTGAACACATGGGCCGAGGACCTGCGGGGGCTCAACAACATTATCCTGACTCCGCATATTGGCGGCAGCACCGAGGAGGCGCAGCGGGCCATTGGTGTCGAGGTGGCCGAAGCGCTCGTGCGGTACATCAACCAGGGCATCACACTGGGCAGCGTCAACCTGCCCGAGGTGACAATGCGCTCGCTCACGCTCGACGAGCGCGATCACGCGCGCGTCATCTACATCCACCGCAACGTGCCCGGCGTGCTGCGCAAGGTCAACGAGATCCTCGCCGAGCACAACGTGTCCAAGCAAATCTCGGACAGCAAGGGTGATATCGCGTATCTGATGGCTGATATTAGTGATGTCAAGACCGAGGATATCAAGGATATCTGGGCCAGCTTGGATTCGCTCAAATCGCGCATTCTTACCCGGGTCCTTTACTAGCGGTTGATCCAAGGGCGCATATACAGGATTAATTCGGGATACACTGGAGTTATTAATGAGTTGATAATGGGCCGATTGGGAGTTTGCGGAGTCCATGGAAACTTCAACACAGAATGGGCTCCTTTCCGCTGCACCAGGGTGATGTCAAGCATATTACTATGACAAGCATGCATCGAGGTGTGTATTCGAGAAGAAGGACCAGGAATTATCGCATGGACTGGAAAATCATAAAATAGGGAAAAGGAAAAACAACCGGGTTCAACAGAAAGGCGATGCATTGCTGGACATGGCTTTGGAGGACGATCTTCACTTTACACTTGTTTCTGCGTCACAATGTAATCAAGAAATACCTTCCCATCTTGTGCATCTGAAACACCCGTGCTGAATATCCTGGTCAGGGGCTTGTCGCCCGAAGATTTCACTTCAGCACGACAGACGCGGTCCAGGGAACGTGACGCGGGAGCAGAACGTGGGAGCGTCGGATCGGCTCGCCGGGGCCATGGAAGTTGGAACGGTCAATGTAGTGTAAGTGTATGTATCGTACAGTACAATACGATAAGAAGGAATAGCCACACCATAATGCCACTTTGGAGGTTCGTAACTGCTCCAAGGGAATCTCGGGCACATGTGCTTCGAAAGACATCAGGGATATTAGAGATGCGCCTGAACGTCGCAAAAGTGTTATCCTTGACGTTATGAGTTGGGGATGCTTCGAGCTTACATCCATCGTTGAGCCTGGAAGCTGCCTCATCCGTACTACCTATATATGCTGTAATGTTCGATCCCTCACCATGGAGACAGGCACGGCCAATACCTGGTACGGACGTGACATAGTGTGTATGTACGAAGAAATCTAAACACAGACCATCATAGTAATGGCCTTTCGAGCACTTTACTAAACAGCCCTTCGACAGAATAGCGGTGGAGAGCGACATTGCATAAGGTTCGTTCCCACAGAAAGGGTTGACTTGAATAGTACAACCTTGGACTGTGATTCTGTTAAAAGCGGTAGTCGAGAGGATGATTTTTGCATACAAAAATTTTGGCTGCACTAACAGTTGCCAGCCTCTCTTGAAGTACCATGACTACATCGACTGCTGTTAGCATTCTTGTAATGACGTTAGACGTACCGGTATGTACATTTCCCAGTCCACCGGATTTGGGTGCTTGCTCTGCTGTAAGCTCGAAACAACATCATCTCACCGATGCTTTTGGCAGCTGCCATATCGTTGCTCAGCACCCCATGTGTTGCAAAGCTTGGCAGCGGCAGTGGACGAGGACGAGAGAGAAAAGATTCCACACATAGGTTCAGAAACAAACGTCGGTGGGGATAGTGGCCATACACCAGGTGTAACGTCAAAAGGCGAATAACCCCTGCGCAAGCCACTCATCCTGACGAATATGAGGCGATTGGGAACGGTTGGAATGGAGTTGTTCTTGTTAGGCCTTTACCTTGAGATATTTGTTGTATAGATTGAACATACACTCACGTACTAAAGTATTCAGGGGCTTATTACCAAGTAATTATTGGTGTTTAGCCTTGCGAGCTGCGAGAAGAAAACCGGGACAGGGCCTGAGGAATTTCAATGCAAAAGGAAGTGCGTGAAGCAGAGGATCGTCCGAACTCCGATCGCATTTGTGTGTAACTTTTACTACGCAAAGGCAATATCCAATGCCTATCCAAAAATTGCTTCGACGGGCCGTTTCCAGCTGCTTCGTTGAGGTCCTCGTTTCGAAAAGTCTTGGGGCGTCTGTTCCTTTGCTGCTGATGTGTTTCTTTCTCTGCATGGTTTACGGATAGGGATGTCCGCGGTGACCAACCCCAGAGACCGCCGAGAAGTCTGTGCTCTGCCGCCCCTTGTCATCGTTAGCGTGCCCAGCTAAAGTTACGCATGTTCCTTACCGCTACCACCTGACTGAGAATGTACCCATGCACCCTTTTTTCAAGCCCCCTAAACTCCAACGGCCGACTTCGACTTCCCGACCCTTTTGACCTGCGTTCTCGTTTGCCTCGAGCACCACGCCAGAACACCTGGTCTTGTGCCTTTCGACGTGTCGAATCCCCAACCACGTCTCCGAACTGGTTTGCAGCCCTCGACGCTCTCTGCCAAGGGAAAGCGGAGTTTCTTGTGGTCCGCGTTTAGGTACCTGTGACCGCCCAACATCTCTAGTGTTCTTTCATGAATACCCTCACCCAGAGTCGAGCATCCGCCTCCTCGCTTCGCCCGCTTCCTCTAGCTGGACCGCTATCCGACTTCCTGATAGCGAACCCACTGCGTCTCTGACAAACGACGCCAGACATCTCGGCCCGCACATCGCGGCGAAAGTACCGAGACCAAACACAAACTCCACGCCCGCCTTGTACTTAGCTCCACTTCTCTCCATCGCGTCCAATGTCGGAAAGCTATGGTGTCGGTACCAGAGCGTGGCAGCCTGACCCAACAGAGGGCTGGGTTGCGTCCGAAGTTATCAAGAGGACGGTAAACGGGGACAAGGTTATACTCGAGTTCCAGCTAGAAAATGGCGAGGTGAGCTTTCCCGCGCTGACTCTCCTGCTCCCTGCGTTCCTGTTGCTGAATTGTCTTTTTCGCAGACCAGGACGCTGGAGGTCTCGCTCGAGGCCCTCCAGTCTGGCAACGACCCGTCGCTGCCGCCCTTGATGAATCCTACCATGCTCGAAGCCAGCGATGACCTGACCAACCTCTCCCATCTGAACGAGCCTGCCGGTAAACACTCCCCGTTTCGCCATGACTGTTGACGAACAAGTGCTGACGGCCCCTCTTGCTGCCAGTCTTGCAGGCAATCCGCCTCCGATATGCCCAGAAGGAGATTTATACATACTCGGGTATAGTGTTAATAGCAACAAACCCATTCGCTCGCGTCGATTCCCTCTACGTTCCGGGCATGGTCCAAGTCTATGCCGGGAAGCAAAGAGCTACACAAGCGCCACATCTCTTCGCTATTGCCGAGGAGGCTTTCATGTATGGTTCCACTCCGACAGCGCGTTCGAGATGCTTGTCATGTGTTTTGTTATTCTTTTCTGACCGTGTCACAGGGACATGTTGAGGGATAACAAGAACCAGACCATTGTAGTCTCCGGTGAGTCCGGCGCCGGTAAGACCGTCAGTGCCAAGTACATTATGAGGTATTTCGCCACAAGAGAATCGCCAAACAGCCCAGGATCAAGGGCGAAGAAGGGGCCCGAGGCGATGAGCAAGACCGAAGAGGCGATTCTAGCGACGAACCCAATCATGGAAGCCTTCGGCAACGCAAAGACAACGAGGAACGACAACTCCTCGCGGTTCGGCAAGTACATCGAGATTATGTTTGACAAGGGTACAAATATCATCGGCGCCAAGATCAGGACATACTTGTTGGAACGGTCGAGACTTGTCTTTCAGCCGCTCAAGGAGAGAAACTACCACATCTTCTATCAGCTGGTGGCGGGCGTGTCAGACAAGGAGCGCCAGGAACTCGGCCTGCTGCCAGTCGAGCAGTTCGACTACCTGAATCAAGGAAATACCCCGACCATTGACGGCGTGGACGACAAAGCCGAGTTCATTGCGACCAGGCAATCTCTGAAGACGATCGGTGTAAGCGATGCGGAGCAGGCTGAAATCTTCAAGTTGCTCGCGGGTTTGTTGCATCTTGGCAATGTCAAAATCGGCGCGACCCGCAATGATAGTGTCCTCCCGGCGACTGAGCCTTCTCTCGTCAAGGCATGCGATATCCTCGGCATCGATGCCCCCGAGTTCGCCAAGTGGATTGTCAAGAAGCAGCTCATTACGCGTGGCGAGAAGATTACATCCAACCTAACCCAGGCCCAGGCAATTGTTGTCAGGGACTCGGTCGCCAAGTTCATCTATTCTAGCCTCTTTGACTGGCTGGTAGAGGTTATCAACCATAGTCTTGCGACCGAAGATGTGCTCAATCGGGTACATTCGTTCATTGGAGTCCTCGATATCTACGGTTTTGAGCACTTTGCCAAGAACTCCTTCGAGCAATTCTGTATCAACTATGCCAATGAAAAGCTGCAGCAAGAGTTCAATCAGCACGTCTTCAAGCTCGAGCAGGAGGAGTATCTAAGAGAGCAAATCGACTGGACCTTCATTGACTTCGCCGACAACCAGCCTTGTATTGACCTGATCGAGGGCAAGCTCGGTATCCTCTCGCTGTTGGACGAAGAGTCGAGGCTACCCATGGGTTCCGATGAGCAGTTTGTGAACAAGCTGCACCACAACTACGCTGGGGACAAGCACAAGTTCTACAAGAAACCCAGATTTGGCAAGTCCAGCTTCACCGTCTGCCATTATGCTATCGACGTCACGTACGAGTCAGAGGGCTTCATAGAGAAGAATCGTGACACGGTTCCGGACGAGCATATGGCGATCCTTCGCGCTTCAACGAACAGGTTTCTCGGCGCGGTGTTGGACGCGGCGTCGGCTGTGCGAGAGAAAGACGTTGCCTCGGCGACCTCGAAATCAGTAACGCCGGCAGCGGGCAGGAGGATCGGTGTCGCTGTTAACCGCAAGCCGACGCTCGGTGGTATCTTCAAGTCCTCGCTGATTGAACTGATGAACACAATCAATAGCACCGATGTCCACTACATCCGGTGCATCAAGCCCAACGAGGCAAAGGAGGCTTGGAAATTCGAGGGGCCCATGGTTCTCAGCCAGCTGCGTGCCTGTGGTGTGCTTGAGACTGTCCGCATTAGTTGTGCGGGCTATCCTACAAGATGGACCTACGAGGAGTTTGCCTTGCGGTATTACATGCTGGTACCGTCATCACAATGGACCTCCGAGATCAGGCAAATGGCCAACGCTATCCTTACCAAGGCCCTCGGCACCAGCACGGGCAAGGGTCTGGACAAATACCAACTTGGACTCACCAAGATTTTCTTCAGGGCCGGCATGCTAGCCTTCCTCGAGAATCTCCGGACAAATCGGTTGAATCAATGCGCCATCATGATCCAGAAAAACCTCAGAGCCAAGTACTACCGCAACAGGTATCTCGCTGCTCGGGATTCCATCATTGCGTTCCAGGCCGCGGTAAGAGCCTACAAGGCCCGCATGCAGGCGCAGGAATTGCGGACGGTCAAGGCCGCTACCACTATCCAGAGAGTCTGGCGCGGCCAGAAGCAGAGGAAGGAGTTCCTGCGCATCAGAAACGACGTTGTCCGTGCTCAGGCAGCTATGAAGGGCTACTTGCGGCGTAAGGAGATCATGGAGACGCGGGTTGGTAACGCTGCCCTCATTATCCAGCGGAACTGGCGGTCAAGGCAGCAACTCCGGGCCTGGAGAAACTACCGCAGGAAAGTCGTCATTATCCAGAGCTTGTGGCGTGGTAGGACTGCTCGCAAGGAATACAAGGTCATCCGCGCCGAAGCACGCGATCTCAAGCAGATCTCGTACAAACTGGAGAATAAGGTGGTGGAGCTGACGCAGTCTCTGGGTACCATGAAGGCGCAGAACAAGGAGCTCAAGACACAGGTAGAGAACTACGAAGGACAGGTAACGATCTGGAGGAACCGCCACAACGCGCTCGAGGCTCGGACGAAGGAGCTGCAGAGCGAAGCTAACCAGGCTGGCATTGCCGCCGCGCGTCTGGAAGCGATGGAGGCCGAGATGAAGAAGCTTCAGGCGAGCTTTGACGAATCTGCGGCCAACGTCAAGCGAATGCAGGACGAGGAACGGCAGCTCCGAGAATCTCTGCGCGCTACGAGCACGGAGCTCGAGGCTGCTCGCCAGGAAAGCCAGCGTCACGAGGCTGAGAAGAACTCCCTCCGGCAACAACTGCTCGAGCTCCAGGAAGCACTCGAGCAGGCTAGGAGGAACGCTCCTCCCAATGGCGAGGTTGTCAATGGTCATACGGCCGCCCCTGCTGCGCCAACCGGCCTCATCAACTTGGTGTCGTCTAAGAAGCCCAAGCGGCGAAGCGCAGGTGCTGAGCTTCGCGAGATGGAGAGGTACAGCTCGGCCTACAACCCTCGCCCCGTGTCGATGGCTGTCCCTGGCATGAACCGCCAGACCACGCTCTCGGGTTCGACGTTCATCCCTGGCGTGGACAACATCGAGCTAGAGCTAGAATCGCTGCTGTCCGATGAAGAGGGCCTTAACCAGGAGGTTACCATGGGTCTTATCCGTAATCTGAAGATCCCATCGCCCGCCACGACACCGCCACCTTCGGAAAAGGAGGTGTTGTTCCCATCCTACCTCATCAACTTGGTTACTTCAGAGATGTGGAACAACGGATTCGTCAAGGAGTCGGAGCGGTTTCTCGCCAACGTCATGCAGTCCATCCAACAGGAGGTCATGCAGCACGACGAGGAAGAGGCTATCAACCCCGGCGCCTTCTGGCTTTCCAATGTGCATGAGATGCTCTCATTTGTCTTCCTTGCTGAGGACTGGTACGAGGCTCAGAAGACGGGCAACTACGAGTATGACCGCCTCCTCGAGATTGTCAAGCACGACTTGGAGAGCCTGGAGTTCAACATTTACCACACGTGGATGAAGGTGCTCAAGAAGAAGCTAGCCAAGATGATCATTCCCGCTATCATCGAGTCGCAGTCTCTGCCTGGCTTCGTCACGAACGAGAACAAGAAGTTCCTCGGCAAGCTCCTGCAGGGCAACAATCAGCCTGCGTACAACATGGATAACTTGCTGTCACTCCTCAACAGTGTCTTCCGTGCCATGAAGGCGTACTACCTGGAGGACTCTATCATTACGCAGACAATCACGGAGCTGCTCCGCCTTGTCGGCGTGACGGCCTTTAATGACCTGCTCATGCGGCGCAACTTCCTCTCCTGGAAGCGTGGCCTGCAGATCAACTACAATATCACCCGTATCGAGGAGTGGTGCAAGAGCCACGACATGCCCGAGGGCACCCTGCAGCTCGAGCATCTGATGGTAAGCACGACGGTATTGCAACGTCGACGCGACAGTGCTGACTTTTGCCACAGCAAGCAACGAAGCTCTTGCAGCTCAAGAAGGCAACCCTGAACGACATTGAGATCATTCAGGATATCTGCTGGATGTGAGTCTTCTTCCCCCGTGCGCAGGCGGAGAACACTGTGCTAAGATTTCTCTAGGTTGTCACCCAACCAAATCCAGAAGCTTCTGAACCAGTACCTCGTTGCCGATTACGAGCAGCCCATCAACGGCGAGATTATGAAGGCCGTCGCCTCGCGGGTGACGGAGAAGAGTGATGTCCTACTCCTCCAGGCTGTCGATATGGACGACAGCGGGCCGTATGAGATTGCCGAGCCCAGAGTGATCACCGCTCTGGAGACTTATACGCCGTCTTGTAAGTAGAGCTGCCCGCTCTGGTCGTGTTATACCGGGGAAATAAGCTGACAAAACATCTTTTTCCAGGGCTCCAAACCCCACGCTTGAAGCGCCTAGCCGAGATTGTGTCGCAGCAGGCCATCGCGCAGCAGGAGAAGCTCGAGTTTGGCTCGCAGGGTGGTGACGACTACGACAACCTCGGCGAGGTCGACGACAATGAGCTGACCGAGGTGGATGAGGGCCCGGAGTCGATGATGGCGAGCGCCTAGAAGGCGGCTGCCACCACAGGCGCGTCCACGAGCGACGAGCAACCGGCCCTACCGATGCAGCAGATGCATATCCAGCGCCCCGCATTGGCACTGCTCCATCCATTGAGGGGCGGCGGCAGCGGGACTCTGAGATATCACTTGTTGATAAATAGGAGTAGAGGTGGGAGTGGTGATTAGCGGGAGCGGAGGGGTGACAGGGGGGTGAGCTGCTTCTCTTGCTTCTCTTTTCTGGTTAATTCGGGCAACAAAGACATGTCATGGCATGGCAACGGTGCAACCTGTGAGAGGGACAGGTGGTGGGCATGATGCTGTTCTGCTTGCCATGCCCGCTTTTTGTTGTCGGGAAATACTTTAGACATCTTTTATTGTTACACACCGACCTACCTACCCGCACGCTCACCCGCCTATCCCGCTCGTCCGACTAGTTCATCAGTCGCATATCCTGCTTTGCTTTGCTTTCTTGCTTTCTGGCGATACCTTTCAGTCTGGGGATCTCTCCATACCATGCTTTGTGGCTGGAGATAAAGACAGGATCGTGTGTTTTTGAGTTTCCCTCTGTTGCTGGCTTGACGAACAAGAGAAAAGGTCAAGAAGTTTTGGCGGGATTAGAGAGAGAGAAGACAACGGGAGACGGAAGAGTAAGAGGTATTCTGCTGGATGGCTGGGCAGAGCTAGAGAGTTGGCTGTGTTTGTGATGTTTTATGGCTGAGCGATGGATCTAAACAAGTGGTTGGATGTTGTGCATGAGATGAGTGATGGATGTTGGATGTAAGCTAGATGAAAGGTTAGATGTGGGAGATATGTGACTGGTAAGATACCTACATAATGCATCCCTTGGGTCTCTGAGGGGTTGTCTTGATTGTCTCAGCAGTTTGTACTCATGTACAATGCGATAGGGACAGTTGAATAAGTGGAAAGACGATATCTTGGAATCTGAGTGGTCATAAGGCACTTGGTTGAAGTAAACTGCATGGACGTACCCGACTTGCGGTGGTGTGTGTAACTTGTATATCAGCGAGCAGTGGGGCTGCTTCGTTACGCTCAAAATTATTTTCATTTTCACCCTAGGCAAGCCTCACTTACATCGCATCCGCTGCCTCACCTTGGTTATTTTCAAGTGTCGAAACTTCGTGAATCAACAGAACAAACGAAAACGGGGAAAGTAATAACCAGACAACCTGACTGAAAAATGTCGCGCAGCTTACCAAACATCATCATCACCGGCACCCCAGGAGTCGGCAAAACGAGCCACTGCGAACTGCTCGCTGAGCGCACGGGGCTCAAACACGTCTCGGTGAACCAGGTGGTCAAGGACAAGGAGTGCCATGAGGGTTGGGATGAGGAGTATCAGAGCTGGATTGTGGATGAGGATAAGGTGAGTCTCACTTTTCCATGTGTTTCCTTTGATTATTCATTCATACCTGACTGGCTTCATCTCTCCCTCTCTCATGTCATATTATGGACATATGGACATATATACATAGGAATCTTGTTGGCTGACATGACTAAAACAGCTGCTCGATGCGATTGAGGACGAGGTCAAGCAGGGCGGGTGCATAATAGACTGGCACGCGTGCGACCTGTTCCCCCAGAGCTGGATCGACCTGGTCGTGGTGCTGCGGGTCGATACGGCAACGCTGTATGATCGGCTTATAGAAAGGCAAGCTTTTCTTTTGCGTTGTTCCCGTCTTGTTTTCATGCCGGTCATTTTCTTGCTCACCTCTTCCAATTGACTTTGTTTTTTCTTCCTGTCATATCCGGGGCTGACATTTGTATACTCACAGAAAATACCCCGAAGCCAAACTCCAAGAAAATATAGACTCGGAGATCATGGACGTACTGCTGCAGGAGGCGCGGGACTCGTACGACGAGGAGATTGTGGTTGAGCTGCGGAGCGTGACGGCGGATGACATGGAGAGCAACGTGGACAGGATTGAACAGTGGTTAAAACAGTGGAAGGAGAACAATGCTTCATGAAGATCTCGTTCAGGGGCTAAATTTAGGTAGGGTAGCGGGTTACCGCACACACAAGCTACACCACCTACCGATGAATATGAGAAAGTCACAAGGCAAAGGAACATGTGAAGTCGCTACCTTTCATTTTGACTGATTCAATGCCCTGCGTGCAACACTGGCCGACCCTTGATCACGAAGTCATCTCCTTGGCGAACCACGCCTGGAGCTTTGCCAGCGCCCGGCCGCGATGCGAAATCTGGTTCTTTTCTGACTTGCTCATTTCGGCATAGCTGTGGCGTCCGTGTTAACAGCTTCCCCAAGTACATAGGAATACCAAGTGAGAAAAGAGGAAGAACTTACGTCTTACCCTCATACTCAAATATCGGATCCCAACCTGCGAGCAGATTGCACGTGTCAGATATGCTAGATCTCAACTGCAAAATGTTAAACGACGGGATGGACATACCAAAATTCGACGGCCCCCTAGCGGGCACAATCTTGCCCTCTGTAATCCCCTGAAACAGAATAGGCTCATGGCCCGGACCGGGCGAGTAGGCGAATGTGCAGACGGCCTTGGCCGACTTGTCAGGGTAGGCGGCCAGGAGGTTGTTGAGGCCTTCGTGGCCGATGGAGGTCAGGAACCATTTGCTGCCGGGCGTTAGCAAAGTTCATTCCTCTCATTAACAGAGGTAATGATCCTCCTGTATCTGGATCTGAATTAAAAAGACACGACAAACAGCGTACATACATGTACGGCCCCGGCAGTCCGTTCAGCGCGTTGAAGCAGAGGCAGGTGTCTTCTACCAAAACGGGACCCTGGATCTGTAGTAGTGGACTCGTGTTAGCTAACTGGATTGACTCTAGAGTGAAAGGGGGGTCGAATGGAAGGTATGGCTGATACCAGATCGGCTGCCCGGCGGCACTTGTCGAGGGTCACCTCTTCTAGGGAAGCGCCCTGAATCTCGATCAGGTCGAGCGTCTGGCTTTCGACCTGGATAGCAGGCTCTAGGATGGCTTTGACCTCTCCCAGCTTGTTTGCATTGCCGGTGATAAAGTTGACAATGTGCCGGGCCGCGGTTGGGGTCGTCATCTTGATGGCTTTGTCAGGTCTTTCGCTTTGGTGTGGAATGGAAGATGGTTACTGCAGGTGGGTGATCGTTGAAGCTCTCAAATGATGGGCTTCCAGGCAGATTAGCTCAGGTGTTGTCTGCCCTGTAATGTAACCCACAGTGGGGTACCTTGGGCCATCACAGGGCTCTCAGTTCAGTGGCCCGCGCAACATGGCTGCTGTAGGTAACCTGATATGAATCAGGAGTTTCTACTGGTAGTATATCCACAAGAGTAAAGTGACTGATTAAACACCAGCAAACATATGAATGACACAAATTGCAACGCCAACGCTATCCTGTTTCCTGAATGCCAAACTGAAGGCTTCAGTATTGGAAAGAAAAAAAAAAAAAAAGAAAAAAAAAAGAAAAACCGCTTGCTCGCTCCTTCGATTTGTCCTAGGGAATGCAACGCTGCTTCTGGGATGATCACTCTCTAATCTCAAACTTCGAGCACCCGACCTTCCTGGTTAACCTCATCGATTGCCAAGGATTGTGGATTTCAGGGAGTCCACGGTGCCCGTAGCCTATTCGTAATCGTCAGTGTCACCCATTCTCAAGATTCAGGGAGAGATAAGTCCCCACGCGGGGAGTCCATGGCGACTAACGTCAACAACTCAAACTGGTGGTACATCCTAAGATATCTACTCCCTCGCCGGTACGGCTTCAGTGCAAGATCTGGCTTGGGGTGAACAAAGTCGGGCCATGTGGAGAGACTTAAAATATCAGAGGAGTCGCGGAAAGAAGGATCAAATACGAGCAGGTTTCTGTCGCCGTTCTTTAGCTTTTCAAAGCCAATGATTGTCAAGGAGTGACCGGCATGTTGGAAGTATATCGGCCCCAGTTGGGTCCTGCGGATGCGTTGGGAAGGCTCCTGGACACCACCCTGGAAGTAGGTCTCAACGTATTGCATGAGGTCAGCTTCGGATTCGGCGGGATTATCGTGCTTGATTGCTTTAGCGTCACATCTGTCAAGTGTTAGTTGCTTGACTGGTTGATTGGGGCGGATTCGGAGTATATTACGGGACATCCAAGAGTCGGAACATTGCCAAAGCCTGGGTAGTCCGTGATCAGCCATTTGAGTTGAGTATGTTGATGCACCGACAACTACGCACCTCTGGTGTACCAATGTATTTCCTGGTGCCCCTGATCCCTCCCGTCTCAAGCCGGCCGTTGGCATGGATCCCCCGGTCCCAGGCGGTCTCGATATACTCTTGGATCTGAAAGATGGACGGTATGTTGGTGCCCAAGTGTTCATATCCCCTGACCTTGAGCATCAAGATGTACGAACACACCATTTGTATGTTCCGGTAGCCACAGAAGCCCCCTGTGCGCCTCCGGTCAGCAAAAGCAAACAAAGCCAACGCTTTCCCGGTCTGTGGTCTGTTGGGAGCATACCCTCCCGTTTAAGCTTCGACACATGCCACACACATGGATGACAGATGTAAGCGTACTCTGTTGATGGAGATTGCTCTAACAGCCGGGCAATAACTGGAATGATTTCTACTACTGTAAGCGGTGTTGACTACGACACTAGCGTGGAGTCAAATAGCGGATATCGTACTCACCGTGGGTCACGACTTGGCCCTCCTTCCTCAGCAACGTCACTAGCCAGTCGGGCATGCGCTCCTCGTGCGCGTATTTTCCAAGGTGAGTTTTCTGAGATAGCGTTAGTCGAGCCAGCCAACCCTGCCGATGCTGCTCACCCCAAGCCTCTTCCCGCGAGTGAATTCTGCCACAGTCGTATGCGTTTCATCATGGCGATGCTTCCTAGGTTGATGTCTATCGGCAGATGATGAGCCAGGCATCCTCAGCAGCCGCTTCCAGACTGATATAGCCTTGGCCTGGCGGCTGACGGGCTCAGGAGCGTGTTCAGACCGGCGAGATTTCTCTGCCTCTGGGTGGCTCCTCGTCGTGGCCGAAGGGCCTGTCGCGGGCTGTGTATCTCGCTCAGAATGCGGTACAGAGGGCCGTCGCAGATGGTCACCGGACTCCTCGGCGTGAAGCTCAAGGTGGTAATCAAGCTCCTCTAGGAGAAGAAGCTCGCCGCAGCCCTCGGATGGACACTCGACGTATTGAGGATCGTGATCGTTCCCAGGACCACCGCTCTTATATGCGCTGTCCTCTTCCACGACAAAAGGCGACGGCCCCTCAGAGTGCAATGTCTCTATGTGCTGCGTACATGATTCTGTTAGCAGAGGCAGGCAGCACCCGCTTACACTGAGACCTGCTCTGAGAGTACATCTCTGAACGGGAAAGAGCCTGTGAGACTTACGAGCATCATTTCGTACTCTCCAGCCTGCGCTTTCCAGCCGCAAAAGGGGCATTCCATGACTTCGTTGTCCATTATGATTTGAGCCTCCTTCGTGTCCTTTGTGTACCTGTCTCGGGCTGTAAGGGCTTCGGCAGCCACCAAGGCTCCCCGAGAACAAAGCGCCCGATTCAATTTAAAGCACCCGAGTTGCCTGAATCTGTTGTTTATTGGTGATGGGCAACAATCTGGCTTCTATGTTTTTACTCGGGTATCCTAGTGCCTGAGGTTCATTAGGCATGGAACGCGCGAAACCCAAGAAGGCGTACAGTGCCTAGCCATGCCTTTGCATCACCAATATGCGATTGCAGTATATCTGTGAGGCGAGGATTTGCATTAAAGAAGGTATTTGAAGGTGGCCGTCATCCATTGTTTCCAACAGTCTTGTTCCCTCCGGCCTGAGACATCTTGATCCAGCTGTGTAAAGTTTCATAGTCAAGAAGAAGGACTTCAACCTGATGTAGTCGCAGTCTCGGGATAACCTCAATAGAGACGATGAGATGAGACGAAAGCAACGTTGAGTGGATCGCTCTGATCGGCCCTTTTGCTTCCATAATAGGATTAGTTGATAATACTTTGCTATTCTTGAAATCCCCTGGTCAGCAACAGTGGAACTGGAGATTCGGAGCTCACCCCAACTCCGAATCCGCAGATTTAAACAGAGAGGGAACAGAGACAACAATACCTAGTGTGAAGAGGGCAATGCTATTTTCAATATTTGTCTGAAAGGGCGGAATGTGTACTGTACCATGTAGCTTGTACATACAGTACATGGTGTTGGCTACGGGATATTATTAGTGTATGTGGATTGTGGAACAGACCCGCTCGGATACATCGGATCAACCTCCTAGCAAACTGTTAGTGATGGGCCGTTGGCAGCCAACATTAGGTGTTATTGTATTGTCAAAGGAGTTCACCGCCGGTTCAGTAGCTTCGATGGGTACGATAAGGGTTCCATATGTCGTAAGTCAAGATACAGTACGAAGTACACTTACAGTATCGCTTCGATACTGGAGCACCACTTTCCTGACAGCTCCCCTCTTGCTGCGACCCGCCACGGGTCTTGTCTTGGCATCTGGGGGATTTTCCTTGGCCTGAGAGCTTGGCTTTCTTAATCCAAGCCAAGCTTTTCCAGAACCTCGGCTCCGGATGTGACAGTATCAGCGCAACCCTAATGTCGCCCTGCACTCGTCAAGCCAGAAACCGTTGATGCTAGGTAGTTTCCGTGTGCCGTGACTGTCTCGGCCGAGTTTGAATCCCCCAGCTGCTAAACGGAGGCCTCCATGACAGGAGGATGCGTCACCGTACCAAGGCCCCTGAGTACGAAGTATTTATCTCACTTATTCATCAACCATGAAGAACACGTCAGGCTATGAAAGGTCCTTGATCGAGGCTGACGATCTCAATACTTGATGCTGGCCCCTATTTGTAGGTGAGCTATTTCCACAAACAGATTGCAAGTGGTGTGACTCTTCGACGTTCGGCTCACCGACTCAAACTCCGAGGGCTTCAAATCCCGGAACCAGTGCGGCGCATGCAGCGGACCTTGATCGTTTCCGGAAAGTGGCAGTCGGGACAGCCAGTATAGCCATAAGGTGCCTGCCAGGTGACCCAACTGTGAATGGAAGCCCGTAAGCTGCATTGTTCATGATGACGACGCTCAGGATTGACCCCCGGACGAGCAGAGGCGCTTAACAGCTGGTCCTTTGCTCCAATACGTCTTGAGTGGTGTCTGGTCCACGCCGGGTAACTGGATTCCTACGATGTTCGGGAATCAGTAAAGACGGTCCGTCTAGACCTGCCAGATTCCACATCGCTACCGACCTAATGGTCTGGACAGTCCATCGGCGGGTGTCTATATCGGAATCCAGGCACCATGTTGCTGAGTTAATCACAGCGCCCCCTGTCATCCCTAACGCTTCCGTCAGATGGCAAGGCGGATGTAAAACGGTTCCAAGCGCCCCGGTAGCTGCAGGGTATAGGACGGGTATAATACCCATTGTAGAGACACCCAAGGAAATAAAGCTGGAGGCTCCCCAGCGGCTTGGCAATTGGCAGATTGAAGCCAAATAACGCCAAGACATCTAACTTCATTCGTGGTTCGTTCCCTATATCATGGCCGAAACCCTGAAGCGTACGTTTCATGGTGAGTTTACCTCTCTGCCAGATCTCTCCACGAGCAGAACACCGGGCACTAACTGCAAATAACAGGGTGCTTAACATGTCGCAAGAGGAAAGTGCGATGTCCAGGAGGGAATCCCTGCGAAACCTGCTCTCGGATGAACATTGTCTGCCACAATTCCTTTGATACCAACCTTCGAATCCGCGTCTCGACACCTACCCGCCCGGAAGAGGCAAAATCTTCAATACGAAAGCCCGGTCGTGCGCGGCGATCGACTGCCCCGGCAGCATCGGGCTCGATAATCTCAAATAGCAGCAAGGGTTCCCCGGCGGCTTCGAAATGCCCAATTCCGAAATCTCACCAACCAGACCTCGCCTCTGAGTCGTCAACTGTTCATCGGACCAGTGCACCTCCTCCGGGCGCTTCGGACGACGCAGACTGTGGCCGTTTTCCGTTCGCCGGCGTAATGGATTTCGACCCTTGCTTTGAGCCGAACCTTGAGGACGTCTTCAATGTGGGCGTGGATGCTCCCGCCAAAGTTCCCATCATAGTATGGCCCATAGATCCTAACCCGGCACCGACAGACGCCTTAGATTTCTCGCACGTCAGCCCTAAGTCCGAGTGCCGGTCTTCTGTGTCGTCGGAATGTGGACTGAAAGAGTGGGTTCCCAAGCGACGCAGGCGCACCAAGAATCCGACCCCAGAGAAAGAATCTCCAGAGACGGATGCCCAGGAGAAGCGGGACGGCGTGTCAATGTACAGCTCGTTGCCCAGGTATCCGCAAGGCGTTCCCGCGACCCAGAATGATGAGGTTGGGGCACTGTACAATTTCGCTGTCGAATTCGAGCGAAAGTGTGCCCCGTGTAGTCCGATGCGCCTTGCACTCTTGGTTTGGTTAGCAAGAAGCTCGGTTTCCGACAAGCTGGCGACCGACCCGGTCACGGCGAGCTGGTACTCGCGAGCGTCAGCAGAAGTCGACAAACTGATGACTCTCCCTGACGCCATGTGTGAGCTCGGCGTCCGCCCGGTGAGGACGAGTGCCGAAGTCATCATATGCGCGTCACTCTTCCTCAATCAATATGATGTATGGAACTACGCCCTTGATTCAATAGACGGTCGCTTTCGACGGATCAGTGATTGGCTTGTGAAACATCCCAATGATCTAGGACTGTCCCCCTTGGCCAGCAAGATGCTCTTGTGGACCTGCTATCTGCAGATCCGACTCGGCATCTTCAATACTAGAAGTCTCCCCTCCACGACACTTCTTGAACTGTTGGGTCAGAGAGCAGAATACATTCGAGTCTTGGAGAATTCGCAGATGTTCCAAGCGGATATGTTCGGCCCCGAGCATCCCAAGGAACAACTTGCCGCGGACGCCGAGAGCATACCAGCAACTCTGCACTTGCACGAGGCATTCTGTGTCCTCGCCAAGGTAGCGCGTTACCGATATTTGCAACAAACGTCGCCTCTGAGCGCGGGCAGCTGGGGAGACCTCACCATGTCACGACATCGGGACGTCGAAGACAACATCCAGAGGCTTGAGGGCGACTTCCAATTCGCGGCAATAATGAACGATGCCGCCAACGATACTCTTTCCGGACTCGTCCCGGGCACCTGGCGGCCGCCACCCAGGATGAGCACAAGGCCCACTCAGCTGGAGCTCTGCAAGGCTGAGAGCGCGGGCCCTTGCCCATCATCTGTATGTATCAACTCCCAAACACCCAGCCGGGAAAGCCTGGACTGGTTAACGGCGTATGCCGTGTTCCTGGCGACAAAAATCCTTTGGTCCCGAGCGGTATTCCCAAGCATCCGTACCGACCATGCCTCAATCGAGGCGGTCGAGTCAATCTTGCAGGCAGCGTTGCATCTCCGCAGGGCGCGCGGGCGCGAGGATCTCTGCCAAGAGCTGCCTTCGGCCCTATGGTTATTGCCTCTCTTCGTAGCGGGTATTGAGACGGTTGACGAGGTTCGCGCCGATTGGGTGAGGATGTTCGTCTGTGGCGTGGCCGAGGTCGAGAGGGATGGTAACAATAGCAGGCGTGCTCATGCAAGAAAAGTGCTGGATTTGATGGAACATCTGAGAGCGAAGCAAGACCAACAAGGCTCAAGAGTGTGTATTGAGGAAGCCATGAGGGAAATTGAGGGACCAAACGGAGTGTTCATGTTTCTTGGCTAGGCTCATAAAGGAATGGAATCGGCAATCAGAGAGCCCTGTCTGGATTGACGATGACCGTCTTCCACTCCAAGAGGCGGCGACCATAGCTTCATATGAAGATGAAGGATGCTTGACAGACCTGACAGTGCTTGCAGTGCGGCAGTGAGGGCATTGAGGAAAGTGAGAGTTAAGATGGTGCCAAGCATTTGGAGCTGGGTAATTATATCCAACTATCCGCTACTCCGTATATCGAGACGAATAGTATGGAATTTGCGCTAGATGCATAGAACTGTCAGCTATAAAGAGTTTATTCGTATCGATAGTTCAGAGGATGCTTATCGATAATGTCAGTGACGCTTAAACAAGGAGCACGGCCTGACACATCTGGACCCCTGCCCTGGTCTCATCTATCACCCCACCTTCCTATCACCTCCACCCCGCCGAAATAATATTATTCTGCCCCGCCATAACGTTGTTCGCGACACGATCATCCCTTCGCTGTTCCTCTTGGTCATAGTCGTGCCTTTTTCTTTCAGCTTTACCCACGCTACCAGCGGCCATAATCGCACCTAGGATCGGGCAAGATGCTCGACTTCAACGATTTCAGTACGAAGATGTCTCCTACTCCCCATATAGTCTCTGCTATTTCAAGGGCTCTATACCCGACATACAATGCTACCAACCCCTCGCTCGGCACTCTCCATGCGCCGCCCAAGAAGACTAATTCGAGTTCTTTAACAGTTGTCGAACGCGGGGGCAACCCTGAGAGGATCAGGGAAAGCCAACGCAAGCGTCATGCCAGTGTCGAAGTCGTCGATGAGATTATTGCCATGTTCGAGGACCACCGCAGGAGTGAGTCACCGTCGTCGCCAATGCTACCTGATATCGCGGCCAAACCTCTAATCATCTCCCTCGCATACAGCTGCATACTCGGCCACACAGATCAACGCAAAGATCAACGAAGTTCAAAAGCAGATCGGCCCCAAGAAGAAGGCATGCCATCCCCCCGATTATGGCCCTCGACTTGGCGCATATCTAACCACGATGTAGGCCAAGGAGGATGTTACCGATCTCCTAAAACAGAAAGGTTGGAGAAAATGAGCTGGACTGGTGTTGGGGTGGGTGCTGACATCTCCCAGCCGACCTCGAGAAGGAGAAGAAGGACCTCCTCGCCTCGGCTGCCGAGAAGGAGCAGCTGCTGAAGGCCAAGGTCCGGACTGTCGGCAATATCGTTCATGACACGGTTCCAGTCTCCAATAACGAAGTCCGTAAACGGCAGTCTTGTCGCTCGATATACTTGCCGAAAGCTGACCCGCAAAAAGGACGATAACACGGTTGAACGTACCTGGGCTCCCGAGGGGGTCGCCTTTGAAAAGCGCAATGTTCTGTCCCGTGAGCACAACCACGTTCCCCCTGCTTTCCAGCAATCAACTGACAGTCTTGAATAGACCACGAGGTTCTGGACAAATTAGACGGCTACGACCCGGAGAGAGGAGTCAAAGTTGTCGGCCATCGCGGGTACTTTTTGCGGCGGTGGGGTGTGTTCCTCAACCAGTATGAATACTTATCCCTCATGTACCCTTCAAACTCTGACGCGATGTTTCAGAGCCCTGATTAACTACGGTCTCGAATTCCTGTCCGAGAGGGATTACATTCCCCTGCAGACCCCACAGCTCATGCTCAAAGACCAGATGGCCAAGACAGCACAGCTCTCTCAGTAAGTCCGCCTTAGCCCTGGCTCTACCTTGGAGGCCCGTACTTCGTGTGTGCTTTGAAGTGCTCTGCGGCATAATGACTACTTGCATCATGGTTGCTGACTGCCGCCAAGGTACGATGAAGAGCTCTACAAGGTTACCGGAGACCAGGCAGATAAGTATCTCATTGCTGTAAGTCTGACAAACCGGAACCCCGTAGCAGCCCCAGCTATCGGTCTTCAAAGTCGCACTGTCCTGAAAATAGGACCAGTAACTCGCATCTCCTGAATCCACAGTACAAAATATCTCTCTAACGTTAATCAGACCTCGGAGCAGCCAATCAGTGCGTACCACAGCGATGAGTGGCTCCAGCCCAAGCAACTTCCTCTCAAGTACGTTATCTCCTACTCTTCAATAAGATCTTCTCTTACAGCATCAGGTATGCGGGATATTCGACTTGCTTCCGCAAGGAGGCCGGTGCTGTAAGTTCTCCGGCTCCACCTCTCCGGCTCCTGTTCAGGCTCTTACTGCTACATAGCACGGGAAAGATGTCTGGGGTATTTTCCGCGTCCACGAGTTTACAAAGGTTCGTCCCAAGTCTCCTGTATCTTGGGCTTTGATTCTAAGTTCTCCCAGGTCGAGCAATTTTGCATCACGGATCCTGAAAAGTAAGTTCCCTGCCATCGGCTGTTACAACCAGTATCTCACAGAGCTACAGGTCTTGGGAGATGTTCGACACCATGATTCGGACGTCAGAGGAATTCTATAAGTCTCTCGGCATCCCCTACCGTGTCGTCGCAATCGTCTCGGGTGCTCTCAGTATGTTTATTCTTCTTTCTATACTACGTACATCGCGAGGGTAGGCAACTGACTTCGATTATCTAGACAACGCTGGTACGTAGGGGTGAGCCAAGCGTTTTCCCGTCTGCTAACCAGCTGGAAGCTTCCAAGAAACTTGATCTTGAAGCTTGGTTCCCGGTAAGATTCGTCTTCGTGATTATATTTGGGACATAGTACTAATGACTTGTCTCGTCACAGCATCAAGGGGAGTTCAAGGAGCTTGTCAGCTGCTCGTGAGTTCAGCCACCCAGGCCTCATAGTCGGGTCACGCTATTGGTTTGCTAGAGTAGCAACCGCGACCGATCTCCGCTCCCGTTTGTATTAAGATTGTTGCTGATTTTTCATTGCAGCAACTGCACCGACTACCAAAGCCGCGATTTGGAAATCCGCTTCGGCATCAAGAAGCAGACGGACGTGAAGAAGACATATGTCCACTGCCTCAACTCCACTCTCTGCGCGACGACGAGGACAATTTGTGCTATTCTTGAGAACTTCCAGACCGAAGATGTAAGCAATATGTTGGGGTGATTATGACCATTTCAACTAACTTGGTGCAGGGTGTCAAGATACCTGAACCACTGCGCAAGGTGAGTTCAGCAGGCAAAAACTACGTTGCCAAATGCCTCAGGACTGACCAAACTAGTACCTCCCTGGCGCCCCGGAATTCATCCCATTTGCGAAAGTGGCGGCGAAGGAGAAGGAGATTCCGGTCCGGTAATGGGCCCATTGATTCTTGCGCAGACATTTGTTGTGATAAAGCCAGTTCAGCAGCATGATGGGAAGATTCTCCGGAATTCAGATCTTGCGAAAGTAGAAGGAAAATCTGGCGCTTGGTCAATAAGCATAGGGAGCCCAGAAGTTGGTCCATGGACTGATTATGTGGGCATTGATCATCTACTCGTGATGACACCTATGTTCCCCTGAGACTCAATCGACATGTACCGGAATGACAATAAAACAAATACAAACAGCCAAGGTGCCCCTTGTTGTGCATTGACCCAGGTCACCAGATCAACCGCTCGTCCCATACTACAGTGCTAAACCAGTCTGGAGGAGACATTATAGATGCACATCCATCCATGTCGAGACTTGCGACTCCTAAAGGTCCCAGTCCTGCATATGCAAACAACAGTCGACATCACATAAACGAGAAAGAAGACAAGGAGGAAATCAGAAATGAAGCGTTATCAACGGGCGATACCACGCGCCCTTTATCCCATCCTTCCCATCCTTCATTCATTCCCATTCAAACGTAATACGGAGTCGTGCCAAACTCTGGCAGCTCCTGTGCGCCCTTCATCTGTCATTGTTTGGTCTTAGCGCATCCCCTTTACTCCCCTCTGCTTTCCTTTCCCGTCAAGGCTGCGCTACAAGGTTCGAATCGGCTCGCGGTCGATTCGGTCCGGTATGGTTCAATCGGCTTGGAGGTCCGTGTGGGCGTTACCTCATAATCATGAACAAACACAAACTCCTTTCCTTCCCTTCTCCTTTTTACATGACTGAGCACTTTCCCCCTTCGGACGCCTCGGCCGGATTCTGCGACTTCTCGATCTGCCCGATCAGCAGCTCGAAGGCCTTGGCGACGTTCTCGCCATACCGCGCGCTGGCCTCGGTCCATGCGCACTTGAATTTCTCTGAAAGAGCCTTGCCTTCTTCTGGCGTGACCTGCCGTTGCTCCGGGCGCAGATCGCACTTGTTGCCTACTAGGCAGATGGGGACTGAATCGGTACCCTGGTGATATAATTGTTAGTCTACAAAGAGGGTTCGGTTAAGGTTGAGGGGTGAGTGGTGTGGGGTGGGTAAAATTCACCAGATGGTTCAGAATCTTGTCCCGTATCACCTGGACCATCTCGAACGAGGGCAGCGACTGCACGCTGTAGACGAGCATGTAGCCGTGGATGCCGATAAAGTGCTTCGAGTTGAGGATGCTGTACTCGTCCTGCCCGGCCGTGTCCACTATCTCGGTCGAGTAGTCCTGCCCCTTGTATCGGATCTCCTTGCTGAATGTGTTCTCAATGGTCGGGTAGTAACTCTCGACAAAGTGTCCGTCGACATAGCGCACTGCAAGGGAGGATTTGCCTGTTTCTCTCAAGGTTAGTGATACGCGATTCGGCTTTAGTTTGTTGTCGAATGGATAAGGGGGAGAAACAGAGAGGACTAACCGACTGAGCGGCTGCCAACTATGGCAATCTTCCTCTGCTTCGTCCCAGGCGATGGCATTTATACTGTAGTGTCGAACTCGATTGGGTGCGTGACGTCCTAGTTGGGAGGTGACAGATGCGCTACTATGACCGACGTGAACGCTATGGTTCTTATTTGTTTGGCTCTTTCTCGGAGGTACTGGAGCGGCACGTTGGAGGACTGCACGAGACGTGCAGCGGTGGTGAGCGCCCGGACGGCCTGTCTCGACTGGTGGCACTACTGGTAGTAATCGTACAAAACGGCCTCTCAAGTCGGGTTCCTTTGTTGGAACAGGAACACGAAGGAACTGCACTCTTGGCCAGTAAAGTCGCGTTGGTAACGAGAAATGTGAAGCTTGCAAAGTATGTACGTATGTAGTCGATTGATGCGTGAGTGGAATCGAAGAGCTCACCGTTTGGGCCTGATCGGAAAGGGGGCGGGGTGGCTAAGGTACTTGGCGACGTTGACGTTGGCGTCAGTTCGCGGGGTCAATGTTGCGCTGCGCTGCATTGAAGTGGGGAGAGACCATGCTCCAGCCTGCGGCTCGGGTCTAGGTCGATGAAAGCCGTCTCCCTGCCCGCAAATTAATTGAGACTGCAAATAGCCTACCACCAGATTGAATCCTCAACAACACATGCAAAATCGCTACAATTCTCATCCTAAAATATGCACTCAACTGCTAGTTACTTCCCTATCTAATTTCAAGTGGTCTTTGAAGACCCGGGGAGTTGAATCTCCCTATTTGTAGATACTTTTCTAGCGAATAGAGGCCCAAAGTGGTTTAGCAGTCTCAATTAACTTGCGGGCAGGGGGGCCGTCAAACATCCGCAGTGCCTTATTAGTGTATGCACGCCAATATACTCCCTATACATACAACCGCAGGTCCTCTTGTGGCTACAGCCATGTGACGAAGCCATGCTATGTACAATACCTATTGATTCCTTGAGACTAAGGTATTCGTGTGAAAGCCCGAATTCCAGCCTCGCCGTATACACAGTCAAACATACAGAGTAAATTTGGGCACTCATGGCCAATTCCATATGCAATCATCGAAGCCCAATGCTGGCTGCTGTCTCTTTCTAAAGGTATGTCTATGCCTATCAATCAGAACTGCCCAGTCGTTTCGCTTGAACCCATTCATGTTCCCAACGTCATGTAATTTTCCCGTCATTGACATGTCTCGAACTGTCAGCCATAACATCATAACTGAGAACGTGCCTCCCAATCATAAATCGACATCCCGTCATCCTATACAAGCCGCTTCCCGCATGTTCTCGTTTGAATCCCCCAACACCCTTTGCAAATCAAAAGACGTATGCAACAGCGGATAGGCCAGCTCTCAGTCCTGTGCTGTGAGCTGGTCTACCAGGCTTTGCAGACGAGTCAAGGCCGCCGACTCTGAATCCTGCTTCGATCCCTCTCCGCCCTGCGCCTCCGCAACTTTCTGATGGAAGGCGATAAACTCATTGATCGAATCGAGTAACGGTCGGATACTCCTTCTCCGGTGAACCGAGACAAACCGGTCCCTGATTGACTCGCGCAAGCAAAGGTAGCCCAGGAGGATTGAGAGATAGCCCAAAGCAACGTTGAGCTGGGTCTCCTCCATCGAGTCCGCCTGCGCGTTGTCAGCAATGATCCTGATAGATTGTTGAAGCAGGTGACTTACCTCTGCTGTCTTTGAGTGGTTGTCTGCAAAGACTCGGATGAGTTGATTCAGGGGTGATGTGGCCCCGTCGTCTCTTTCCTCAAGGGTGGCCGAAGCAGGCGGATAATACACACAAAAATTGATCATGGCCCCTAGCATCATGATGAGGGACTCTAATACTTTTGACAAGAATGAGTCGACCTTCATCGAGTTCAATACCATTCCAAAGGCGATACACGCCGCCTTGGCCAAGCGCCCAAGCAGCCCCTTCTCAACAAGCAGACGAGAGGCTTCGCCGTTGTGGTTTGTGACGTTCAAAGCGATCCTCAATGTGAGGCTCTCGAGGTCGTCAAAGTTATCGGCGGGCCGATCCAAAGCTGCTTCCAAGACGTCTGCAATGATTGGTGCGTAATGTTTGGTCCACCTGGCACTCAGGTGAGACTGCATCGCATTTATTGAGTGGGCCTCGAGCACATAGAGTGCTAGATAGAAATCGCATGCCTCGTGCTGCTTTGGGAAGTCCCAATACGCAGGGTTTGTCACACCTTCCGAGAGAATCGAAAACAGGCGGTCCGTAACCTCCTGGGAGAAGAAGTCGTCCTCGGCCGACGCATGGGTAGACTGCCGCATGAAAACATCCAAACACTTCAAAGCCAACGTGCGCGGAGACAAACATGTCGGAGAGAAAGGCTCCCAGATGGGTAGGTCCATGAGTGAGCCTCTTATTGTCGTTAACGTTGCCTGGCCATTTCTGGAAACATTGTATTTCTTGTTTTTGGTTAGTATGACGATATCGGTTGGCTCCTTAAGAAGCCGGCCGATGAGCTGGGCAAGGCCCTGCGATCGGAACTGCTGGATCAGATGAGCCGACGTGGTAGCGGCGAGAAGAGTAGTGACGGCAGCCAGAATCGCGTATCCAGACGCCAAATCCGTTTCCCTTCCAATAGAATTGAATACGTTGCTACTGTCGCTGTGGTTACGGAACTGTTGACGGAAGTCTTTGTCCTTCATTTTCTGAGCAACCTCCATCAAAGCACCTCTCCGCAAACCCGAAGGATTCGTTGACGGTGTGCCGACTCTGTCGAGTATATCATCCATTTCGTCGGCGAAGCGGCTATTCGCGCCGGCTTGTCTGAGCTCGTGAAGACTCCGAACAGCGCCTGAGTTGACGGTTTCATCGTCCTCATCAAGATGAGAGAAGTTGTTGATAGTTGAAGTCTTGGTCAGCCGTCCAAAATTGAACAGGGACCCGCCGTTTGAACCCGCGCTAGGATCATCGAACCCACTACCTCCTAGCAAGTCATCATCAGCTAACATCGTCCTCTGCTGACTATACGTGAACTTTGGGCCACTCCTTTTTGTCGAGATGACTGGACGAGTAACAATCTTTTGCTGACTTGGAGTCGCTAACGCTGGAGGACTGGGCTCCGGAAATGCTGGCTCCCGTTTGCTATACGAAGCCTCGGATGCCTGCGAGACACACTCATCTTCCTCAGAGCTAGTCTCGTCCTCCGCCTGTGCAGCTAATGCATCAATCAGACGCCTTTTTCGGACGGGAGGAGCCGTCGTGTATTCCGGCTTGGCAACGGCTGTAGCGGTAGTTCCACGTAGTGGTCCCTTAGGGGCAAACCTAGACGACGAAGATTGCCCGGAGAGACGGATCGGAATTTGTTGGCTTCCCTCCAGTTGTTCTGAACTGACGCTTAGATTCTTCAATGCCCGGGATGTCTTCACCGAGAATGGCATCGATGAATGGTCAGTCTCCTTCATGATGGAGACTTTTTCAGGCGTTTTCCGAGAAACTGCAGCAGGCCTCGCTGATGGTGCAGACCTTGGGATTTCTTCATCTACGGTCCCAGGCGATCGCTCGGTAGGGGGTGACGAATCCGGTGTGGAGTAAGGACCGGCCAATTTCCCCTTGTCAGAATACCCTCTCACAAGCTTTCGTTTCTTGGCTCGTGTGCTGTCATCGTGGGGCGACTCGAAGTGGGATATCTCTGGGGTCGGCTGACTTTGCGTCGCTTCGGCAGGCGGCTGGCTGCCCGCCCAATTATATGCGCTGTCTTTCGCGCTGTCCTTCTGCTGAAGGCTCTTGCCAAAGTCGATGGTGCGCGCCGGCATTCGAGCGGGCTCGGGCGAGGAGGAAGGCAACTTGAAAGTGGACAATGTCGGAATCACGGGCGCGGATTCCGCATGTCTCAGGACACCCACTGTCGTCGCCTGAGACCTCTTCCGCCCGGCTCGGCCGTAAGTTGTAACCTTCCTCTTTGGCGCGAAGCCGAAATCAAGCCCGGTAGGACTGGCCATCGTTCTGTGTTATCCGAAGATGGCGCGTGCAAGTTACTTGGAATTCGAACCAACGGCCCAGGAAGAATCATGAGGCAATGATCGTATCGAGGCAGATGGCTATCAGCAGAACAATCTCTAAGTTCGTGCCGGGTGAATCTGTGGGAGCAGTATTCGGCTTCGAGCTGCGATTCGGTCAAGACCGCGAGGAAGGATGAAACCCGTCTGAATCGCGATAGACACTCAGAATTGCCGGTTCAGGGATTGCAGCCAGTGTCCATAAAGCAAGCCAAAAGCTTTAGGCGCTAGAAGGCGCCAGAGTTATGGTTGTGGGGGAAACTTGTGTGGAGAATTGGCAGACTGTTGATGCGATTCGCGATGTTGCTGCGCCTGTTGTTGTTTTGGGGAAGCAAGCGCCTGGCAAACTCTCGGGGCGACCCCACACCAAGAGACGTCTCGGCTCCTCCCTTGCAGACGCTGGTCGAGCCCGTGCACAGTGGGTTAATGCCGAGCCTTGGCAACTGGAGGGGCATGGATAAGTAAGCCAGACCCTGATGATTGTGCTTTGTTGTGGAACTGCTAATGCCATTGCTAAAGATTCAACAGTCAAGAGACTTCCATGGCGAAGATGACTCTGGATTGACCGGATATTCGAATAGCTGTGTAATCCCGTTCTATCTCGATATAACTATACTGTTTCCTATTCTGGAAGCTTGCTTCAGAGTCCTTTGCAGAGTTATCGAGGTGTCTCACTAAAATCTGCCCTGCTCCCGTCTCTCCTGCTTCAAATGCCAAATTGCACCGCCATTCCTGTGGGATCAAGGGACAAGACCAAAGAAGCGCGGATGTGCCAGAAGTGGCGCCTCGTGTGATCTGGTCTATCGCTGGTGGGGATCTTCCTGGGCATGATAGTGTAGCTGAGAGGGGCGATAAAGACTTCTACTGTAGAGCTGAAGTTCTTTAACGTTAGCCCTCTATTCAAAGATATGCCCACGACTTCAAAGCATTTGACCGGTCCAGCTGCGGCTCCACCTCACCTTCTGTCTCACTTCCCTTTACTCCGTACTGTACCTAGGACGGCATTCTATCTTTGCACCTGTCCCCTTTATTACAGGTCAGAAAGACTGCGACTTGAGCCGTCAGGCTATCTTTGTATGCCTATCCTCTTTTACACATCGAAAGACGGCGCCTCAAAACGTCCACATCTGTCGTAGCGGCCTTTCGTCTGCTTTTGGGTAAATTCCTTTTTATGGTGCATCTCACTCGCGCCCATTGTTCTGGCGGTGTATCCAGCAACTACAATGTCGAGCCCCGTGTCTGCTCCAACCCAATGTGTCGGCCCTGAGTACCGCTCAGAGAGCCAAAAGCCCATTGCGACAGTCTCAACACCGGTCGATGTCGACACAGTCACCGTCCTCCCGCAGACGCCCCAGCTGATCGCCCTGCTCTCGTGAGGTGTTTCCTTTTTGCCCATGTCTGAGTTAGCTTCTAACATGTCTTACAGAATTATTCGCAACAAGGATACCCAGCGAGGCGACTTCATTTTCTACTCAAACCGAATCATTCGTCTCTTAGTAGAGGAGGGTCTCAATCACTTGCCCACCGTTGAGCATACTGTGACTACCCCTGTCGGGCGCCCCTACGAGGGCCTGGCGTTCCAGGGCAAGATATGTGGTGTGTCAATCATGCGGGCCGGCGAGGCGATGGAGCAGGGTTTGAGGGAGTGCTGCCGGTCAGTAAGGATTGGCAAGATACTGATCCAGAGAGACGAGGAAACGGCCCGGCCTAAGCTCTTCTACGACAAACTCCCCGAGGACATTGCCGACAGATGGGTCTTGCTGCTTGACCCCATGTTTGCGACAGGTGAGTTGCAATCTGCATGTTAGGATCGAGCAGCCACTAACCATCCCATAGGTGGCTCGGCCATCATGGCTGTCGACGTCCTCAAATCGCGAGGAGTACCCGAGGAACGTATCCTGTTCCTTAACGTCCTTGCAAGCCCAGAAGGTATCCGGAATTTTGCGGTCAAGCATCCCAAGGTGCGAATAGTGACCGCTTTTGTTGATCCGGGACTGGATGAGAAAAAGTGAGCCCCTTTCGTTTACATGAGCCGGAAATTAGACTGACGGGGTTTGGTAGCTACATCATACCCGGTTTGGGTGATTTTGGGGATAGATATTATACCCGGTGAAGCTTAGCGTTCCCAGAGTCCAGCCGTCTCTGCATGAGAGTAATGGAAACGTCAAATACCCCCCAATGTCAAATAGTGTCCCCTGAGACCCTCGCAGACCTCTGTTATGACTGAAACCGCCAGTGCCCGCCAATATTTTATTTCAATGCCTTCAACGCCCCAGCGAACGCGAAACCTAGTGAAGGTGAAGTTGAAACCGAACCCCGCCAGTGATAGATCAATCGTATTCATCATCAGCCACAATGCCCTCCCCTTCGTATCCTCTGTCATCATCGTCCTCTTCTATTCTCCGGCTCGAGGTCATGGCTCGTCCACTAGGTAACCTGCTAGGAGCTGACTGTGTTGCGGCTTCCTGGGCGACGGCATCTGGAAGGCGAGTCAGTCCATGTTCAAGGTAACCAGAACGCGCTGTAACCTACCTGCTGCATCTACCCATTCACTGTAAACGTCTACAGCAGCGGAGAGATCTACCACGCCGTTTAGCCATCTCGCGCCTTACGCCTCCATCAGTCGGTCATAGAAGGTTATGCTTACAGTTGATCCCGCATTGGAATCTCTGACCACAAACTTTGCATTCCAGGTAGCCAATGCCGGCCTTCTTTTCGAGCTTGACCGTCACGGACTTTTCATGGTTGCAGAAGAGACAGGTGAAGAGGGTTGGGAGAGGCTCGTTCTGAATACCGGAGGCTGTCAGCCCTAGATTTTCCACTAACCGCAGGTTCCAATTCTGGCATCAAAGGACAAGAGTTCATGCCTTCTTCTTCGCCACTGGCTTCCTAGAACTCTTGCGTTTCCCCATTGTTCCTTGGATGTTCGTCAGGCTTCGAGAGAAGCGTTTGACTCAGGTCGCGAGGGGTATGGAGAGCAATAACGTGCAGGTTGATGGTGGGAACGTCGACGAAGGGAATCGGGAGCAATAGCGTGGGCTAATATTAGGAGCGTCGACGAAGGAAATCGGGTTTAAAAGCGCGGAGTTGATATTCTCCTTATGTAGGTAGTTTATCCAGGTAATCAGTCAACAGCCTGCGTCTTAACTATGAATTGGCCGCGCGCTGTGTCTCAGGCCTGCTTCTTTGAAACACGTCCAGGATAATTGCCACCGAGACGGAGGAATGTGCGTGCCTTTCAAGGCTCTCAGCTTGATGAAAATATGAGATGCGATGGTCTGTCGCAGCACAAGCAGCCGGAAGGTTTGCAGTGTTAATGGTGAAGTGGTCCGTGCGCAAGCGTCGCTCGTCCGCCCGGGACGCTCAGTCACCGCAGTGCCAGGTCCACAACTCCACATGGAAGTCGCGTCCATCTTATCACAAGTACCGGCCTTATCAAGGCAGCGCTCTCGTCTAAACAATGTACTCTGGGGAGTTGTTCATTCATCCCATTGTACTTTACATATAGTTGTTGTTCTGCTTGGCTTGAAATACGGGCTTCAACAACAGACAGTACAGGTGCGTTCGACTAATTCTTTGCTCATAACCAAGCCAGCACTTATACACTTTTACATACACAGTAATAAGCTGAACACGTTCACGTTACAGCCAGGGATGTCCACTGCCAGTCCAGCAAATTCCCAAGTTCCACTGCCGCGGGAGCCGATCCGATTGCAGTGCCCGCTGCTGGCGTCCCGAGTGGAGCAGAGGCCCGCAGTGCTGCAGGGCCGTCCTGCTCAACGGGACGCCACACACCCCTGGCTATCGATCACCTGCGCAATCGTCCGTGCCGGCGCTTTCCCACCGCCATTGATACCTGCCAAACACGCACCTAATGGAGCCCATTCTTATCACGAGGTCGGGCCTTAGACCGGGAACTGTGCACATTCCAGCTTCCCAAGTATCCTGAGCTCCAACAATTTCAACTAATTTTGTCTGCAACATCGAGAAAATATCGGGTTTGTTACACCCTTTGTTCCGCTGGCTTTTGTCTAGACTGAATATAAATAAGGCACCAATCTGATCGACATCATCGCACCTGGGTGTCACCGTCTCGTCTACGCCCTCTGTATCGTTGCCAATCTACCTATTTTCTTGATTTCACCTCCACTCTAATCGCTCCTGCCTCCTACTGTATCCAGTTCTCGTGATGGCTTCGGACTTGGAAGAGGTACAGAAGGTCTTGAGGACCGTCGCTGAGGGTCAGGCGCAGCTCTTGTCCGCGGTCGAATCAATCTCGCAGCGTGTCGGTGAGCTGGAGAGATCTCGAGATGGCCACCGCCAAAACAACCCCGAGATAGATGGGGTTGGTCGGACCGCGACTCCGCTCGGCTCGGGCTTTACACACACACCGGCGGCGGTGATGCCGGCCGAAGCGGGGACAAGGACGCCTCCGGCGCCGTCCTCCCCGGAAGTCAAATCCGGCTTCTCCTCTCGCGTAATCCTAACCACCTATCCTAAGCAGATCGGTATCAAGCCGCTGCCGTTGGATTGGGGCGCAGCAGATCCACTACAGCGCGGGCCGGTGACCGTGTCCAGGTCGGCATCCACCATAGGGAGACGGAACGCCATCGGTGCTCACGGAGGGTCGTATTCCATCTATTATGCATTAGCCCTAGCCAGCAGGGAGCTCAAGGCCGATCACAAGCCCGACTACACTAATACCGAGCCCGCCGTGAAGATCGGCCCTTTTCCCCAGTGGTCTGACAAGAAGAAGATTGTGGCCATGGACCCCTGGGGGCACTTGGTGCCTTGGCTCTTTAAGGATGTCATGGAGAAAGAAAACGGCAGGTTCATAAGTACAACCTCGTCAGCCCGGCCTCTAACATGCGGATAGTGGATCTCCGGCCGACTATTGCTATCACCAAGGCCCACATGAAATTGCCCGAACTCGAGGAGAGCGTGAGAAGCGGACGGCTGGTTCCTGATGGGAAAGTGTGCCTCAACAAATTTGGCGAGCTCAGCGTGACCAAGTTCGCTGTCGAGCCTGTCTGGTATCTCCCGGGCGTTGCCGAACGATTTGGCATTGATGAAGGCACGCTGCGCAGGTCGCTCTTCGAGCATACGGGGGGCATGTACCCCGAGGTAAATCTCGACAAAAGAAAAAGGTGTATTCGCCTCATTCGACATGACACTGATGCAGTGTCTAGTTGATAACCCGCTCCGACATCAAGGTATTCCTGCCGCCTATTGGTAAACAATCTCCCACTCCCCACGCACTAGCACTCGTGACGTGTTCTGACACTGGCCACAGGCGGCTTGACGGTTTACTGCTTCGGAGATCCGGCCAAAATGTCAGATCCTTCCAAGAGGCTCGCATTGCGCATCCACGATGAGGTATGTAGCCATCAAAATCGCCTTACTGGTGACCTGCTGACTCACGTCGGGCAGTGCAATGGAAGCGATGTCTTCGGCTCCGACATCTGCACGTGCAGGCCGTATCTCATCTTCGGCATCGAGGAGGCGGTAAAAGAAGCACAAAATGGCGGCAGCGGTGTTGTGATCTACTTCCGCAAGGAAGGCAGAGCTCTTGGCGAAGTGACAAAGGTAGGCCATACCTTAATCCGTTCCTCTGTGGTTGCGTCCGATGCTCACCCGAACGCAGTACCGTACGTCTCATCCCCTTGGTCTCACGGCTTTAGAGCGCCTCCCCGCTGTGTTTCGGTGCGCCGGGTGCCATTGGCTTGTCTAACCGGGATCTGCAGTCGTATATAACGCCCGCAAGCGCGGGGAAGATCGTGCATCGGACTACTTCAAGAGAACCGAGAACATCGCGGGGGTCAAGGATATGCGGTTCCAAGCCTTGATGCCGGATATCCTGCACTGGCTAGGCATCCAGAAGATTGACAGAATGCTCAGTATGAGCAAGTGAGTTGCGCATACGCCTCGACCTCCAAGTCTGATCTAACGCATCTTCAAATCCAGCATGAAGCACGACGCGATCGTGGGACAGGGGTGAGTACAAGCCTTCGCTGCGCTGCTGCAAGAACTGGCATTTCTCACGAGACATCCAATAGTATCCCCATCCACGAGCGAGTTGAGCTCCCCGAGTCGTTGATCCCAGCGGACTCGAGAGTAGAGATCGATGCCAAGATCAATGCCGGTATGGTGACATGCTGCTTGCCCCTTCTGACTGACCCCGTCCTGACATGCGATGTTCTTGCAGGATATTTCACAACGGGCCAGCGAATGACGGAGGAACAGCTCAAGTCAGTGCAGGGCCGCATATGGGAGGAGTAAGCAATACCGAAGATGTGACGAATCGCGGGGTGCAGGATACTGACCGAACCACAGCATCGACCACTAAAGGTCCGTCAGGGCTGTGCTTTACGGATCCAGATGGCCTGCAGGTGCGCAGTATTTAAGCAGTCACGCCTGCCGTTGCGAGCCGCTCACCCTCCAACATGGACCCGCCAATACCGTTGGACATTGGTGCCACGAGCTCAGGCTCGAAGAAGCGTGATGATACCGGTAGCAGATTGGTCCATTGCAAGTCTGTTCGCCTCTTCTTCAGAATATGTGAAGATATCCGCTGCGGCATTTTCAACAGTATCCCCACGGGAAATGAAGCAAGTACTGTAGAGGCATAAAAAAACAAAGGCTTCTTGTCACGCGCTCACTTGAACAACCCCTGATTAAACATGCAGTGCCGATGTTGGGTTGACGCCCTGGCGCCTTGGGCATATCCGTTCCTTGATCAAGATTTATCCCCTTCCCCGCTGTTATCCGCACCCCGAGAAACATACCGGTAGTCTGGGGTGAGATCCGATGTTGAGAGTCGTCGGTTACTGCAGTGACTTTGCCCGTATGTTCCGAATATGATGCGGACGCATCAATGACGTGATGCTACCAGTTCCTCCTCGCTCATGCTGTGCTATGCCATGTTCATGTACGGAACCCTGCTTTCCTGCGACGTTCCAGGGAGATTTCCAAGATGTCTTTTACAGAACGACTGTCTTCCGAGTGACAATAGGCAGCATTCCCTCTTGCTCCGCTCCATAAGACGAACATGTTTTCTGATACTGTGATTCGTCTGGTTTACTCTTTTTTAGATCCTCTGACGTGATCGTGACATGGGTTTCTCGGAACCGGCGATTGTCCCAGTTTGGTCCGCACATTAACAGGTTATCGGCACCGGGCTACCAAATCACGACCATGTACTGTACTTGTACCTACAATCCTATATGGAAGTTGGAGAAGCACGCATGCTCAACAAAACAGGACGCCGAGTGCCATTGGGCCAGATTCAAAGCAATCGAGGATGAGTAATAAAGACTGTCAATTTTGTATTGGGCATTGCCGAAGCACTGGGATAAACATTGAAAATCGCGCAGGGCTGACTGTTGCAGACTGACACACCCGAGGTGGTGTATTGGTTCAACTAGTTGAAGAGATGTTAAACCGTTTGAATGGACTGGGGCGGGGAAATGCTCCCCACGTCCAAAAGTGCAAAATCTGAGAAGTGTGGCTTATAGTATGTGGGAGGCTCAGAAGGTAGGGAGAAAGAGGGGGAGCGGATGCGGGACGGGCGCTTGTCGTTGAATTGAGTCGATCTCAGTCGTGTCCCTGGGCCGGGGAGTAGAAGTGGCAAGTGCAACAACAATAAGTTGTCTGGTGATACTCTGTTCAGCCTTTTTGACAAAGCCAAGACGGGGGGTCTGGGTGGGAATAGCGGATGAGCAACCCAGGAATAAATTGCTTCTGGGTTCTGAATCTGCCTATCTATAGCACCCTGCATTCCATCGTTATACAAAGATAAAGAACTGCTTGCGCGTTGCAGCAACTGGTAGAACAGAATGACACTGTCAACAATCAACGTTAATTATGGTCTGCAACCCATCAAGGAGAGGATTGAATAGCCTGGAAGTTTTCAGTCCGTTACGGGACTGAGGCACTGCCCCCAAAAGCTTAGGTTAGATAGCTTTGCACTCCGTATTGCAGACCTGTCTGGGACATAGGATTACCTACTCATTTGGTGGTCGGTGATGTCTAGCCACGATTATGGCGGAGTGACGATGACCTCTCGCCCAGGTTCAGGCCCGGTTTCAACTCCTGGACACCAAGTGTACTGTACCTGGCCCGAACCGGACCCATCCGTCTTCCTTGCCCAGCCTGGAAGAACTGGGCCTGTGGTCAAGGTCGCCAATGGCGGTCACACACCCATGCACCGCCTGCAGCTCACTGCTTCACACTCCTGAAGTGTCATGCCTTGAGTGGTTGACTGGATGCCGTACCCCACTCGGTGGTGTTGTCTTGGACGTCTGGTGGGTTCCCCCTGGCATTCTCGTTCCCCAGCTTGGGAAACTGTTGGATAGCGCCGTGCAGGGCTGTTACTTGGGCTAGTTTTTCGATGCCCAAGAACGGAGCTTACACTTGCTCAGACCCGCAGCACGCAAGCCCAAAGGTGGGCAGATGCTATGGAGAGCCACCATTTCCTAAGCAACCAATTTGGCCTTGCGTCTTGCATGGACATAGAGTACAGTGCTCCGAAGCCCGGTTGTCCGGGCCAGGTCCTCCCAGACCAGGCCAGGCAGACGTCGTCACACTCGTTTCTGCGTTGGTCAATGAACGGTGCAATGGGTATGGCTTAGCCTCCCCTCCCTTGCCAATCAATCCGAACCATGGACTGACAAGTGGCAAGGTTGCCCCGAGAATGCCGTTACTGAAACCTGGAGACGTGGTATGCGGCATTGGCCGGAAATCGTATTTTGGCCCAAGTGGGTGGCATTCTTAAGCTGCTAGTCAGCATCTGATGCTGGTGCATCCTCTCTCCCTCTCTCTCTGCCTTCAACCTGCAACGGGTGATGTATCTGGGCATTCAAGAGTCGTCTCAACTATCGACAATAGACACGCAAAGGGTCGGCTACCGTGATCGAATGTTCATCACCATGGCTTCGCTAGCTTCCGGTTCAGGCCGCATCCAGCGAAGGGACTCGGCGGATCGGGCCGCCTGCTCTAGGAGACCAAGGCTGATGCGGGCCTCGGCAACCGAGCCGTCAATCACGACTTCCAACGTCAGCCGGGATGCGCTCGCAACACAGTCAGACCGGAGGGCAACCGAGTTGTTGAGTCGGATGGCGTTCGTCTCCGGCTCGCCGCCGTCAGAGTCCGTCCTTCGATCTTCATCACTGCTATCTTCTCGGTCATCCATGTTCGACAGCGTAGACCGGCAAGGCGAGCTGTCGTCGTCCCCAGTCAGCCAAACGGATGCTTTTGACGACCTGCATTCTCATCCATGTATGTCCTCTCGGTGTCGCTTCCTCACGGGCTGTTCTGACCTTCATATTAGTCTCAGGACGATACTTCAGCTTCCCAAGCTTCGACATGTATGAAGCAAATCAGCAGGAAGGAGAGAAGGAAGCCGAGAAATCGCCTTGAGTACCTCGAGCGTCAATGCGAGGCCTGCCTGCTAGGCATTACCTAGCATTTATAGCAAGGCAAGGCCGTGGTAGTACAGCACAACGGACCACCAAGAATGCCGCCACCCGTCCCCGAGGATGTAATGAGCGCCGCGCACAACGACGCCGCATCTAGGCAGGGTTCCAACAATCCAGCGCCACCCAAACCGAGGCAGCAGAAGCCCATCGACGGGAGCGGGGATGCAGGTTGGCGGAAGTGAGGCGAAAAGCGTTCTGGTTTGGTGCAAATCCCTTATCGACGGAAAGTCCACGTCGAGAAGACGTTGGACAAGAGCATGCCCAGTGTAGCAACACGGAGGCGCCGCCTACGCGATCGACGAGAGTTGGGAGAGGAAGCCATGATCTCCAAGTCGGCACCTACCGGGTGGCTTGTTTGCGCACTTACGATAATGTCATGTCGAACGACAGCCAGATTTGTCGGTTGTGACACGGTGAGGGTTAGAGTGCATCGCGAGGGGGCAGATGGCATTGTCTAACATGGACACGGACGCCGCAAGGAAGGCGCAGAGTGCCATCAGACTGTCCATTCCGCTCCATCATTTGGCAGCCAGAATGTTCGTCATCGACGTCTGACAAAGTCACAGACGAAGAGAAGCAGTATAAAGTAGGAAATAAGAGAAATAAATTATAAAAGCATCCATCCAGTGTCCTGGTAAAGGAAGTGTGTCTGAGGTGCAATTGAATTGACGAAACTGTGTTGCATCTGGTCGAAACCTGAGTTGCATCTGGTCGCACGTTGCTGAGAGTCTCAGACCTGCCGCTGCCGTGAATCCCTGATCGAAGATGTTGTCCAGGTGGGCTGTTCTCACATTGTCTTATCACTGTTATCGGGCCCCCATCGGGGTGCAAAACGCACGGACCCTCAAGCCCTAAGCTCCGATAAGCCAATCATAGCAGCGGTCAGTTGCCCCACAAGTCTAGTTTTTCCGCAGGCGAACTGCGCCCACACGAAATCACAATTTCGACTTGAGCGTCAGAAACCTCAATTTCGCGAGCTCGATTGCACGGTCTCCATCACTAACCAAGCAGCACATCCTGTCCGCCGTTGACATCGCTGCTCGTCAAGATGGCTGTTGGCAAGTACGTTGCTTTCCGGAAATGGCTTTTTTTACGGATTACACCATTCCGAATTGCGATTCCGATTTCTGGTGGATTTCCGATGGCTAATTGCATCGCGTAGGAACAAGAGACTGTCCAAGGGCAAGAAGGGCCTCAAGAAGAAGGCCCAGGACCCCTTCGCGCGCAAGGACTGGTACGGCATCAAGGTTGGTTGTCATCTAACGCCATTTTTTGTCTGTTCTGCATCAAACTGACATGTTGGAATCACAGGCCCCCGCGCCCTTCGCCATCCGAGAGTAAGATTCCAATCCCGCGAGACACGTGCTGCACGAGGCGAGCCCCGAGACGGATTCTAACAAACGATCAGTGTCGGCAAGACCCTGGTCAACCGGACCACTGGTCTCAAGAACGCCAACGACGCTCTGAAGGGACGCATTTTCGAGGTTTCGCTTGCGGATCTGCAAAAGGATGAGGACCACGCCTTCCGCAAGGTCAAGCTCCGGGTCGACGAGGTCCAGGGCAAGAACTGCCTGACCAACTTCCACGGCCTCGACTTCACCTCGGACAAGCTCCGCTCGCTCGTCCGCAAGTGGCAAACCCTCATTGAGGCCAACGTCACTGTTATGACTACCGACCACTACCTCCTCCGCCTCTTCGCCATCGCCTTCACCAAGCGCCGGCAGAACCAGATCAAGAAGACCACCTACGCCGCCTCCTCACAAATCCGGGCGATCCGCCGGAAGATGACCGAGATTATCCAGCGCGAGGCCTCGAGCTGCACCCTCACTCAGCTGACCTCCAAGCTCATCCCCGAGGTTATCGGCCGCGAGATTGAGAAGGCCACGCAAGGCATCTACCCTCTCCAGAACGTAAGTTTTGGATTTTTGGCGGGGTCGTTGGGCCGGGAGGCTGCTGTGTGGTGGCTAACCCGGAAAACAGGTTCACATCCGCAAGGTCAAGCTTCTCAAGCAGCCCAAGTTCGACCTCGGTGCCTTGATGGCACTCCACGGCGAGTCGAGCACGGATGAGCAGGGTCAGAAGGTTGAGCGCGAGTTCAAGGAGCAGGTCCTCGAGTCGGTATAAAGGGTCTTGTTTTTGGGAACGCACTGGGCAGGGTTTTCATCAGCAATACCTCTCTGGGGCATGGGGCTTGCTTTCGTTGCATTTGGCGTGGTATCATGGTACAGTAGTCAAGGTAACGAATTTCCGTCCTGACGGCGGAGCACACGGAATCAAAAAGGGATGACCAAAAGAAGACCGTGACACGGCCAGCAGGGCACTCCGCAGCGAGGACCACCGAGTAGTTGCGGATTTGGCAGTCTACGGTACCTAATGGGGAGGCGCCCGGTGATGTGTGAGGGCTGTGAATGGCAGTCTGGCGAGCAGTCGGAGGAGATGCGGCGGAGATGGTCATGCATCCAGCTTAGAGTTTCGGCGAATGTCGAGTCAAACCAACTCATGTATGCTTCCAGTCTCCCACACGCGCCACACCCTTTTCTTGAATCTCATGTCGGCCAGCCACGTTAGCAGCGAGGAGGCAATGGTTGGTGGTATGCCAGAACCCTTGAGGCAGTCTGCAGTCGTTCATAACGTCATCGCAGAATCCTGACTTATCTTGGCACCGGACAACTCTTCCTTTAGGTTGACCCAGTCATTTATATGGCCCTTGTAAGCAAAATCCAGTGGTGGATTCCGAGTACTAAAACAGAGGTCTACTACCTTTTTGAGGTTGGCAATCTTCAACCTACTAGATACCTGTATCGTACAATACCCTTCCACGGGAATTGCCCACCTGCTCCCAGCCGGCCATCAGTCGTCACCGGCCAGCGCGCGCACTCCGGGCCAATAACACGCGCACACCTCGGTTCAAGTGAGACTGCAACTCACTCAACGAGACCCCCTCAGAAACCTCGACTCATCTGGTTGTTTTTACCGTCTTATATATCCCAGCATTGCTTTCCATTTGGACCTGTATCCGAGTGTCAAATTTTATATTCAATACTGTTAGACCGGGTGTACAGATTGTTTTTTTTTTATTTCCCTGTCTCTCAGGTACCATACGGAGTACATCCAACGAGACTGTTAGTTGTCAGTCACTTCACCTATAGGCCAGGCGCCAGCGAGCGGGCTTCACCGACGATTTGTGATTGAATCAGCAGCCTCGGCTTCATAAGACCCCGCCATGGCATTGTCGGGCGACACTGTCCCGTCTCTTAAAATCCTACTGATCGGACCGTCGGGAGCTGGGAAGTCTGCTCGTAGGTCTTTTCCTCCCTGTTTCTGTGATGGTTTTGTACTGTTGGCGCTTGAGACTTGTCTTGCTGACTTTTTCTTTAAAAACAATGCAGTCCTTACGAGATACTGCGATGATGAGTTTGAGCCGGAGACGGCGTCTGCTACGATTGGGATTGACTTCAAGGTGTGTGAGTACTTACTTGGTATAATACATATGCTGTGTTGTGAGATCAGGGGAAGAAAAGCGAAGGCGAGTGAGTGAGTGATGACACGCTGATCTTGGTTTCAAAATAGACCAAGAACTTGTCTGTGAGAGGCAAGCCGTACCGGCTGACGCTCTTTGATACGGTGGGTTCATCATCCTAGTTGACGTCTGACATATGCTTGGTTAACTCATGTCCCTTCTTTGCCATCCATGACAGGCCGGACAAGAAAGATTCCGCACCCTCTCGACAAGCTTCTACCGAGGCGCACATGGTGTCATAGTCGTGTATGACATTTCTAGCAGAGCTAGTTTTCTGACGTTGGATAAGTGGTTTGAGGAGGCTGAGGCGAATACCGCCGACGGGGTGGCGCTGTACCTGGTGCGTATCATATCATTGTCTTCGTCGATCAACACCAATTCCCAAAAGCCTTCTTTGAGAACCTGGATTTTCCCTTCACGCTCATCATGCTAACGATCTGCAGGTAGGATCTAAGCTGGACAAAGCCGAGCACGGCCGGCAAGTCTCGACCGAGGAGGGCCGGGCGCTGGCCGAGGCCCATGGGGCGGGCTTTTGCGAGGCCAGCGCAAAGACTCGTGAGAACGTCAGGCGGCCGTTTGTTGAGCTTGTCGACCGCATCGTGCAGACTCCATCGCTCCTGGCGGCAGCAAGATCTGGACGGGCGCCTGGGACAGTTGCTATGGATGAGGGAGGGGATGGCTATTTCTCTGGTTGTTCATGCTGAGGATGGGGAGATGACTGACTCGAGTCGTACCAGTGCAGATATCTAGAGCGGTTGTGATACCCTTGGTTTCCAGGTAGTGTCGCTGACAGCATGTTGTGTGCATATCTCTCAAGTCTATGTCCAAATTTATAGATACAAGCATATACATCCAGTGAATGAACATCACCAGTACGAGATTAGGCAGCAGATGCTTCACTTCTTGCTAGTCCCTGGGCTCCAGAAACCGAACCACAGCTGATTGTGTCCAGGCTGGTCAGCAAAGCATCAATAGAGTCACGGCAATTAATTTCACTCACCTTCTCTAAAAGCCTCGGGATTTTCCGAGATAACCCAATGGCCGGCTTCGATATCCACCAGCTCAAACATGGGAAAGAACTGGCCAATGAGCGGTATCACCTCGTCAGGGACGTACTTGCTCTTGGTCCCGCGGATGAACAAGGCCGGTTTCCCAAAGCGCACCTCGCTTGGATTCTTGTAGGGAAAGTCCCCTAGATGATCGAGTGATTTGGCTAGGATGTCCAGCGGCACACGGAACTTTTGGACATTCTGGTTAGGCGGGCGGTGCAGATTGCCCAGCAGGAATTGGCGGATGGTTAGGGACTATGTCACCCCATTAGTGACGAATAGTTGGGGACAGGGGCCACTGGAAGAGAGGTGCAGGTATGTACATACCTTCTCGTAATCCTCGAGAATCTTGTCGGCCTCAGCCTGGCGCGTCACGCCGGCCTCGTCGATCTTCTTCATGCCCTGAATGTAGCGGGCAAAGTCGGACTCGAGACGGGCATCTACGGGTGCGTTGTCAACGGCGACCAAGTTGCTGACGAGCTCAGGCTCTTTGAGAGCGAGAGCCAAGGCTGTTTTGGCGCCCCTTATTGCCCGCGAGTGTGAGCATGGAGACTGGATGCGCTAACTATGAGGAGGCCATGATCAACTTACATGGAATGGCCGATCAGGGTCGGGTCCTTGAGCCCGTGTTCCCGGATGAAGCCAGCCACGTCGGCAGCCATGGCAGTATAGTCATGCCTGTGATGGTGCGGTGATTCGCCGTGGTTTCGGAGGTCCTGGTCATCTTTAGTTATAATTGGAACTCAGAGGAGTGATACAGGACCGCTACCCACCACAGCAAAGACATATCTCCCTAAATCCCGCGCAAGGATTCTGCATCACGGACACATGCCAGGTTAGCAACATCCCAGACCACCCTGAAGATGTGCCCTGTCATAGAATGCCACTCACTTACTTATCGTCCTGTTATTCTTCTTGGACCCGAACAAGCCATGCATGAAGATGATGGGCGACGTCTGCTTATCGACCGCAGGCTTTGGCGGCTCATGGACGTCATAAGCCAGCGAAAGCGTGGAAACCGGTGACGGGGTCGAAACGAGGGCCGCGAATAGCCTCCTTGATGCCGGAGTCAACATCTGCATGCGGCGGGCGCATCCGGAGCACACGCGCCCGAAGGCAGAAGCAGAAAATGTGGCACCGATCATTTTCTTTCCCCGAGATAAATGAGTGTGATCAAATTTCAATTGCCCAAGAGACTTGGTAGCTCCTTCCCTCCAATCTACGAGACATGTAATCTAATCCGCGACGCCCAACTATGAGTGAGTCGTCGGCAAGGATTGCAGTGTCAGCGACAAAAACTCTAGCTCTCTGATTCCGGCGCGCACGGGCCACATGCGTCATATGTTTACTCTGAGTGCAAGCTACCCAGGCAACGAAAAGGGTCTCAGGGGCTCTAACACCATTGGGCAGGAAACTGCACTAAGTTCTGCAACTTCCGAGGCTTTTACAACCGGTAGGCAGTAAAGATGCGGATATTGGTTTTGGACCCGATTGCGATGTTCGCAAGCTCGATCCGGTCCCATAATGCAGTGTTCAGGGCCTAGACACGGATCCGCCTGGCGCAAGTGCAGCAAGGGGAAAGCTAGCTTAAGTTTCAGAGTTCAGAATCATTGGTATGCATGGTGGGACAACGGGACTTGTAAGATAGACCGAGGTAGGTAGGTTTAAGAGAACTAGCGACCCCGATGTTAGTGACAACGACTAACGTCGCAGGTCCGATCCTGCCAGCACACGGCTAATACCCAACAATTGCACTCTCCGGCGGCCCCAAGAGGCTCGCCTTCAAACCTCCAACATCAACCACCAGTTTGGTCAAGACCATCGTCGGCTCAAGCAGCCAGACCCGCAACTCATGGCGTCCCGCAGCCAACCTTCCCAAGTTGGACTTTTTGACGTACGCCCCTTGAATCACGGCTTCCGCCCACCCCGCAGGTTGCGTGCTCCCGTCAGTGAGGGGCACGGGCTGCACCGTCGTCACACTCCCACCGTCCACGCTAAATGAATACCTGTTCGGGCTGTTGGGATTTGCGTTCTCGGACGGCGATAGGTACACGGTGAGCGAGGCGGCCGAGGCGTTCGAAAAGGTGTAGAACGGGTAGACGAGGACGGATCCCTGTCCTGGAGACTGTGAGACCGTTTTGGGCGGAAGCTTGACGCCCGACAGCGTGCGGCCGTAGTCAGGTACGACCATATACTCGGACGAAGTCGCTGGAGATGGGGCCGAGTGCTCCACCTCGATAGAGACGACGCCGTTGGCCTCGACGTGGCCTTTGAAGTCGTCTGGCACCTTGTAGTTCTCGATTGGCAAGATGACGGTGGCCGCCGTGCCTGTCGCGTTGAGGTTTGTGACGGTCAGTGAGGCGACGCTGTAGCCTGTCGGTGCCGACTTCCAGTCGACGGCCAGGATGCACCGGACATCCGAAGTGCCGCCTGGGGCTGAGAGTGTTCTGTTTGGATTGGATATGCTGACAAAGGAGGCGTTGGAGGTGATGCTGTAGGTGAAGGTGCCATTGTCGCGGGTATAGACCTCTAACCATCGCCGGTCTGAAGGGGACATGTACGGGCTCATTGCCGGAAGTGTCAACCTTGTGGTACCGGGAAAGGAGGTAGTGCTTCCCTGAGTGGATACACCCATCAAAGCATTCCTGGCCGACGATGTGACCCAACTGAGTCTTGGGAGCGAATTGGAGGGCGGTTCCTGCCAGTTAGTGTATCCAATATGTGTCTGCGCCATAATGTTGTTCCATTTGCCGTTCAGCAGGCTGTGAAACCTCCTTGTAATCTCGGCATCGGCCGCGAATGCTGCCTGCACCTCCCTTGCCAGCTTGTTGGCACTTGTCCGATGTTCATTGGCGTATTGGCTGCCAAGCGCCGTTTTGGTGTAGATCTCAAACACACCTCTTCCCGCCATGACCGGATGGAGAACGACCTCCCAGAAGGAGACTTGCACATTCGCGGGCAGTGAATCATGTACCCTTTGAGCTCGGCTGAGCAAGTCTGTCCATTCCTGGAGATTGGTCTCGGCTTCGTCATAGTTGAGCGTACTGAACGCAAACGGAGTCCTGCTAAGGTCTTCGTACTTCATGCGTGCCGTTAGCTTTCCATACGTGGTCATGATAGACGCCGTCTCTTCAGCTGCCGCTTCGCCGAACTGGAGGGCACTCCAGGCTTTGAGCCATTGCTTGGTACTCGCCACGTCTCTGAAGCTTTCTCGGTCCCAGGCTAGCGCCAGAAAGTGAGCTGTTGGCAGTTCCTACAAGGTAAACAAGGGCCGTCAGCAGGTGCTCGGCAGTTCTTGTTGGACGCTAGACCGCCCGACATACTAGCCCCTTGAGATCGCCGACATTAGCAATCCAGATATTGTGTATCCCACTGTCATAGGCAAGCGTCATTTGCTCCCACGTCTTCTGCAGTTGAATCGTATTGATCCATTTGTAGTTACGAGGATCACCAACGTAGTCGAAGTGGTAGTACCTGAGGGTTAGGGCTATGTTAGCTCTAATGACTACATGTTCAGGAAGATCCCAAGGTTCACATACATTCCTATTGTCTTTGAGTTAGCTGGGCTAATAGCGTAGTATAGCACCAAAGCTCACCTGAGCCGCCTGGTCTTGCATTTTCGCTGCTGCTGGGTATTCTGCGGATATTTCCCCTGTTGTCGTCACTCCACAGAAGGGTGATCTCGTCTGAGACTTTCATCCCTTTTTGCAAATAGCCTGGGACCTCCTGCGGCGCTCGTCAGACAATGCCGCAGTGCAGGCGTGGGGAAGCGCTACTTGACACACCTTATACATGACCCAGGCCTGAGGTATGTCAGACAAAGGCTTTCCCAGGACTTGGGTCAGGGTCGATTGTTGCCACCGAATGACCTCTTCCAGGGTGCTCGAGTCCAGACTCGGCGAAGCAGCGTCCCCGGATCCTCTCATGCCGAGCGTGTAGATGGTGGTCCAGTTCACGGATCGCGTGACTCCTTCCCGCATAAAGGTTTGGACGCCGGCCTTATTGCTCTTCCAGTCCCACGCACCCCGGAGGAATCTTCCTTGCTCCTTGTCGGCCCTTGCCATCGGCTCATGATGGCTTGTCCCCATAAAGACGCCGTACTCGGTTGCCGTGGGCCCGTTTCTTGTGTCGTCCAAGTAGAACATGCTAGACCACATGGCTGGCCAGACGTAGTTTGCCTTCAGGCGGAGCACAAGGTCAAAGATCAGTTTGTAGAAGTCGGTGACGAAGGGACTGCCGTATTGGCTGACCCTAAACTTGGCACGTCCCCAACCCGTCAGACCTGGTGATTCATCGTTGAGAAAGATGCCCCTGTATTTCACGGACGGGGGCCCCTCGGAGTAAACAGTGTTGCTGGCCCAGATATATTGCCGCTTGGTAGGCGGGACATCAGCCCAATAGTGCCAGGGCGAAACGCCAATCCGTTGAGCAACATCGTATGCCCCGAACACGGTACCTCGCATGTCTGATCCGGCAATCACAAAAACCGCGTTCCGCCCTTCCCAGGGTGTTTGCACAACCTGATACGAAAAGGTCTCCCACTTTTTAGCAATGCCCGACGTGTCTAGTCTTTTCTTGTCCACGAGCGAGTCGATGAGGCTAGACTGTCCAACGGTACCGAGGATGATGACAGGCCGAGAATTGTTCTTGTGTGAGACGGTCGAGTCCCAATCGGCCACCACGGTAGTGCCGTCGACTCCTAGAACCCTGCCAAAATCGGCTGCTAGATCGTTGGCAACTCGTTTCACGCCTGGTAGATCATTGGGGGCAACCCGGATCTCTGGCGCCAGGCCTGGACCGCCCAGCTGAAAGCCAGTGTCAGTGGCAGAGAAGGCAAAGATTGATTCTTTCTGGACGTATGCCGTTGCTGAGACTGAGAAGCTGAATGCGGCCGCAGCCAACTTGAGCAGGAGGGAGCGCAAAGCCATTTTGCTTCGCTGAAGTTCGGCTTAGGATCACAGAGGTGTCATGGTGCCATGCATCGACCGATACTTACCTGGCGGCATTTCTAAGTATAAGCATTGAGGCCAAAGAGACCAGAGGCTATTTCGAACTGGCCAAGCCCGTCCATACATGCATTCTTGGATGAATTCCAGAATACGGAATAATTGCTGACGATAGATCATAGGACGGGTAAAGAAGAATGGCCGAGGGATACCAGTAGATTGGAAAAGAGGACCGGACAACCCCCTTCAATTCCATCAATCATGATCAGAAGGGAAATCATGGTGACATCAACCCAAAGCCAAGGTGCTGAATTTTGCAATCATATACCAGACTGCAATTTCGAAGGTGTATGTTGCTGGTGGACGCAATGTGCACCGTCGGAATGGTGAATTAGTGGCACCCGAGTCAGGATTATTTCAGGACATCTACAGACGACATCAAGAACGACGATTCGGTAAGGTCAAGTACTGGTGCTGAGGATGTCATCATGGGCAAGGCGATGTCGACGGTTTAGTTGAATTGGCTGAAATCGTGCTCTCTAGGCCTTTGGCGAATTCAAGGTTCGAAGGAGGTAGGAAGTAAGACGAAGTGGTGAAGTGATAAGTTAGAGTATTCGTCTGCAGTAACCCCAACCCTGGTAACTTACTCACCGACAGTGGTGGAGATATGGAGGCACGGGCTGTCCCCACAGCAGAATTGGTTGACTCCAGTCACAAAATTGCCCTGGAACTGCCCCGCACTCAACCTCACCACAAGTCCACAACCCTGCACGCCAGTTGAAGCAGCGAGAAGCTAGCTCAACCACAATCACACTATACCGTACGTAGCTGCTAAGGATTTAGGGGAATCTGGCTGCAACCCACACCCGACAAAAGGTAGTTCGAATGACCAAGCACATCACAAAACGACAACCAAAACCTTCGTTCCCGCCGCCCTCATGGCAAACGACCCCGCCGTCGCTCTCAACTCCCTCCTGCGAGGCGCCTCCATCCACGACCATGCCGAAGCGCTTGAGCTCGCAAGTGCCGCCGTGCGCGCTGCAAAAGGCCGTGGTGCCGCTCTCATCACGGCCCAACATACACGCGTGGTTGCACTCCTGAAGCTCGACCGCTTTGCTGATGCCCTACGCGCCATTGCCGAGGGCGGCGATGCCCTCGAGCAGACGTGCACATTTGAGAAGGCATATGCCCTCTACAAGACTGGGGATTTGGAAGGCGCAGAGGCGACACTAAGGAATGCTGGTGCTTCGGCGGGGAGGCATGAGAGGGGCCTGAAGCATGTTGCCGCCCAGGTCGCTTACCGGGCCGAAAAGTTCGACCGCGCCGCGGCCCTCTACCGTGAGCTAGGAGCCGATCAGGGCGCTGCCAAATACGGCGAGGAGAACGACCTGCGCATTAACCTGTCTGCGACGAACGCACAGCTGGAGTGGCAGGGTAAGGGCTGGGCAGTTCCTCAGGAGCAGAAGCAGCCAGCCAGGGAGGAGTTGGAAGCCTTTGAGACCGCATACAATGCAGCCTGTGGTTGCATCTCGCGTGGGGACTTCGCGAAGGCAGCTGTGTTACTCAAGAGGTCCAGGGATTTGTGCGAGGCGACCGAAGAACTAAGCGAAGACGAGAAGAAGGCTGAGCTTGTGCCCATTGTTGTGCAGCAAGCCTATGTCTACACAAAGCTTGGGAAACTGGACGAGGCTGCGAATCTCCAAAATTCCGTCATATTAACCGAGTAAGTCCATACGCTATTTCCAGTCCCTCCGCAGATTTCTGACACCAATGCCTAGTATCTCGGACGATTCAACCAAGCTTGTTGCTCAGGCTAACTCTCTAGTGCTCCAAGCCGAGCGCAATCCATATATGGCCCACCGGATGTCGGATTCCCTTACGCAAATTACAGGCAACGACCGTCTCTTTGAATACCAGAGCTCTATCCTGCGGCGGAACAAATACATCTTTGACCTGCAGATACAAAAGTTCTCCGGTGTCGAGAGGTCCACCTCCAAAGTCCTCTCTAGAGATTCCATTCCGGCTATCTCCAGTGCCAAATGCGATCTCGGAGCCCTGGAAGCCGCGGCTGCTTGCCAGCTGCAGACAGGCCAAGAAGCTCTGCGGCGTCTTCTTCCTTTACTCAAATCCAGACCAGACGATGTCGGCCTCATCCTGACCATCGTTCAACTCTATGTCAAATTGCGAAATCCCATCCCAGCCATCAATATTCTTGAGGCCTTTTTCAAGCGCCTCGAGGCTACCGCAACAGACGACCACGCTGATGTGCGCTTTGCGCCGGGCCTTGTTGCTCTCGCTGTATCACTTTACCGCACTCAGCGCCGGCATTCAGCAATTCGGGACGAACTTGCCAAGGCTGCGGCCCATTGGCAGAAGAAGACCGGCCCCGACTCCTCTGGCGCCGGCAACTCGCTCCTCCGTGAGGCGGGCATCGAGCTCCTGCGCTCTTCCCACCCAGCCGACCTTGCAGCCGCAGGGGAAGCCTTCTCACACCTCGTAGCCTCGCAACCCAATGATCGCACCGCAAAACTAGGTTTCGTAGCTAGCTTCGCGACAAGCGACTTTGCCAAGGTGCAGCCTTCTCTTGACATCCTCCCATCTGTCGAGCAGCTGACGCGGGGCGTCGACGTGGATGCCCTGCTCGAAGCGGGCGTTGCCGTGCTCCCGGCAGCGACCGGGCCCACTCAGGGCAAGAAGCGCCCTCTCGAGCAAGGCGAGACGGAGAGACAACAACAGCAGCCTGCCGCTAAGAAGCGCCGCAAGAGGAAGCTGCCCAAGTCGTACGATCCCAACAAGAAGCCAGACCCGGAACGGTGGCTCCCCCTGCGCGACCGCAGCAGTTACCGGCCCAAGGGCAAAAAGGGCAAGAAGCGCGCGGCCGAGGCAACGCAGGGCGGCATCGTGCGCGAAGAGGAGACGCTCGAGCTCGCTGGAGGCGCTGGATCCGTCAAGGTGGAGAAGGCGCCTACGGGGGGCGGCGGAGGGGGTGGCAAGAAGAAGAAGAAGGGGAAGAAATGAACGAGTACAATACCGACGTAGTTGACCCCTTGGAAATCAAATAAGACGTCAAAAACCAAGTCACTTGTTGACTAATTTACCAAGCCTTGCTGTTGCCGCTCTGACAACGGTTGACACGGCTCCTGGCCAGGCACGGCGAAGTACTCATAGGACTGCTCGAATAGTAATCTATCGCAAGGTAATACCTTATTCTACGCCAAAGAACCATACAAAGTACAAACCCGTATTGCGCCCTTGCAACCCACCCATTTGCCATTTCGCCCGGAACAAGCAAGACAACAATACTTCAGCCAAAGCCAACTGACAAGACTCAAGGGAAGGGGTCCGAGAGTGCCAGAACCCCGAGCAGATAACATAGGTAGGAAGGCTTTCTTTTCATAACAAACCGCCGACCTTTTCCCCCTCTCTCGCCCGCTGAGCTGTGTGCAGGGGAAGAGAAGAACGGAGCCATTTCTCCTCCACCTGCGATATATGCCCTTGAGCCACACCGCCGCAACCCGCAGCCACACCCACAACCACCCCACATCAACACGCAAAGAAAACACTTGTCGCTGTGATCTATCCCCAATTGGATCCCATCTACCAGAGTGACTGATCGCCCACCCGGTTGACTAGCCTTCATCTATCCGTCAAGCTCATGAGTTGAATTATCCATTCCTTCCTTATCCTGCCTCCGCCCCAGGACAACAAGCGCGGGGAACAAAACAGTAAGCAAGAGGAATCAACGTAGAAAACAATAAGGAGTGATTAAAAGAGAGTGTAAGGCTAACAAAAGAGGAAGATTTATTTCCCCATACCGCTCGCTAGTCATGAACCCCGAGGCCCCTCTCATCTGCCGTTGCAACCCCAAACCAGAATAGAACCCGCAGGACAAAGGATAATTAAGTAGAAGTGAGTGCGTGCATGCTGGAGGAATCTAGAGAGAGACAGAGAGAGAGAGGGAGGGATAGCCTGGCGGAGAAAACAACAAGGCCAAGAGCAAAAGAAAACCCCTAATGAAGCCCCGCAACGAACCGTTTTATGTAGGGTCAACCCAACCGCCCTTCGCTTTGCTTGATTCCCTCATCGCCGTCCATCCAACCGAACCAACCCATACCATACCCATACCATACCGAGTACCACGCCATCCCAGGCCGACCGAAACCACCCAAGCGAGGCAGAAAGACAAGAGATGCAGAACCAGAGACAGGATTGGGTTCGCTAACCTCTGAAACAGTAGTTCTGCGTTGCCGCATATAATACAACTGATATGCCGAGAAGGCAATCAAAGCAAAAAGGAAAGTCACAGAAGGGGATCAACTCCCACAACAGTGGCCGGGTTGCGGATGGTACTGCAGGCGAGAACTATGCATGCCGGTCATGCACTAACGGCCTGCAGAGGTGGACTCGGCAGCCTCTCCCCGTCCCCTTCCGGCACGCGCCTGCCCGGATCCCGATCCGGATCCCGATCCGCATCCGCCACGTGGTCAGCAATGTTTTCCCCAGGCGTCGCCTCGACAGGCGATGCAGGTGGCTCAGGGGTGAAAAACACGGTCCCGCGGCCCTCGCGGCTGGGCGGTGGGCTTAGATCGAGATATTCCACGGGCTCGCTCACACTCTCGCCGCTGTCCACTGGAGCAGCGGTGGGTTCCTGAACCAGCGCCTCTTCCCGTTCCTCGTCACCGTCAATAGGCGGTAGCGGTGTGCGCCTGCCCTCCGAGAAACTAATCGCGACATCGCTCTCCTCATCCGACGGCAGCGCCAAGTGGCCAGGCATGCCTCCGCCGGTTGCCCGGGCAGACGAGAACTTTCGGTGTAGCTCCCTGAAACTCCTCGCCGTGGCAGTGCTAGCGCTGGCCGCAGACTCTCGGTGCTCGCGGTCTGAGGTCGACTGCAGAGTGAGAATGGATTGGTAGTCAACAGTCTCTGACGGACCCGGGCGGCTGCTGGCCGAGTCCTCCCGCTGCATTCGGTGCGAAAGGCCCTGGATTTGCAGCTCATCGCCAAAGGTGATCACCGACGCCTTCTTCCCGTGCACCACAAAAGAGCCGGTACCTCGTGGCAGGACATCAGGAGTGTCGCGAGTGGTGTCGTCTGACCCGGGGACTGAGTCTCTGCCCTTGCGGTGGCGGTGATGGGATATGTGTCCGGCACCTTCCCGGAGTGTGCGTTGCAGGCTGCGACGAATCTTACTTCGTTCAAGCCGGTCTGCCGGAGTGCCGCTGGAACCGCGCTCGCGCCGTTCGGGTGTTTCTCCCGCATCCAACCCACCGTTGGAGCCTTTTGGTTCGGAAGTTCTTGAAACTTCGGGCTCGAGCAGACCGGCCTGTGCCAACAAGTCACGCTCATCCGCATCCTCATCTTCTGGTTCTTCGAACTGGGGCTTCTCCGGAGAGGGAGAAGAACCGGCCCCATTCCTCGGCGGTGTTACTGGAATCGACCCTTTCGACGAAACTGCTGTGGAGACAGACCCCTTTCTCAGACTATCACGGTCAATCGACAGGCCCGGTACTCCCCATGCGCTCTCGTGCGCACTGGGGCCAGCTGTTGTTGCGCTTGTAGGGGGCGTTTGGAAAACCTCCGTCACGGGCGAAGAGTCACCGTCAGACTTTGCATGTGTGGCTGATGCATCTGTCTGGGAAAGTTGACCGGGAGATAGTGAACCCTTCTGAACCCCTGAAACCTGACCCACGGAGAACTCCTCCCGGGTTATTATAGACTTCGCGGGGGACTCAACGGCCGGGTCCACGGGTAGGCCGAGAAGCTGACGCTCTTCGTCGAGATCCATCTGCAAAATGTCGCGGTGGCACCTTAATTTCCAAATCTCCATCCGTGTCCATTTCACCTTGGCCGCCATTCTGGCAGCGGACAGTAACATTTGGTCGCGAGTCTTAGGTGACACCGGGGCCAGGATCTGCAGATGCCTCGAATTCCTAAGTTGAGACTCAAGAGTTGCCTCAGCTTCCTTTAACTTCTCGTTGGCGTCGGCAATCTTTTGGAACATGAGAGTCCTCCGGGACGTTATCATGTCCTGCGCCATCTTGTGATCTATCCGGCTGCGCGAGACCGTCACCTCACCCGAAGGCGTCTGAATGACTTGGACGTTGTCGCCCTCCAGTCGCCTGATGGCTCGCCGCCCTTGTCCATCGTAATTCCCTCCAATGACGCCGCGCATTCGGACCCCTGTGGTTCTGAAGGCAGCGGCATAGTTGAGTTTCGCGAGCCAGTCATTCATGTCATCGTCATCCTCGGCCAAGAGGACTTCTTCAACGTTGCCATGCCTGACATACAAAAAGGCGTGTTTGTGCTTGGTGTAAGTCGAGTCCATCAAGGCCACTGCACCATCGGTTGACATCAGAGCATCAGGCTTAAACTGGTCAAGTGGCGGTTTGAAGATACACGGATCCCCATCATGGCCCTTCCTAAGGTGGTCTTTCTGTTGGTGCATCAGGTGCTTGATCCATGCGGTGTTGCGGAAAAAGTATAATTGGGCACTGGTGAGTATTGCGCCCCACTCCTGCCAGGGAGATCTTGTCTTCTTCTTCTTCGCCTCCTTTCTCCATAACAAGCCGACCTTGGTGATCTTGATATCCACGATACCCGGATGAGCTTCGTCCGGGTTGGTGGCCGTCTTCTCGGTCATGAAGGCATCGGGCCGAGATCTCGCCGAAACTATCTGCAACACCCCAGTCTTGAAGAAGGTTCTTTGGAGCTCCTTTATGTTCAAGGTCTTGGCTGTTCCGAGATAGCTGTAAGGGTCATCCAGTTGCATTACCTCTTTCAGATTGGGCCTCAACAGGTCTAACTTGTTATCGAGGATGAGCGTGTACGGGTCGACCGGCTCCTTCGAGACCCTCTTTGCCGGATCGGGGCCGCCATTGAGAAATAGTGGCTTCTTCCGCGCCTTATGTCCAACGATCCGATCACCGTGGATGTCCAAATCGTCTTCGACATGGATGAATGGCGTGTAAGTGATATTGTCGTAAAACACTTCCAGTATCTCATTGGCGATGCCCTCCCCTTGAGTATTTTTCAAGTAGTCGGCTTTTTGCATTTTGTGCTTGTTGTTCTTGTTGAACACGTCCGTGTGGAGGATCAGGAGGGAAAAGGCAATGAAATAGGCTTGATCCGGGGAAGAGTAAATCCCGGGGTTGCATTCGTGATAACGGTTTGCAAACGCCTGTAGGAAGCGGTCGATCTGTTGGGTCTCTTTCGGAAGCTCTGCTTCCATGAGCAGCTTCCTGAGAGCCATGTCCATAGGATCGCCGAAGAACATGAATCCCCGCATATAACTCCGGAGCACCGATTGTAGGAACGGCTCGGTACTTTTGGAGAGGGCTGCCGCCACTACACTGCGGCTGGCGACTTCCAACAGACGCTCCAGATACTTAGCCGGTGTGTCGTCTTCACGGCGTTCTGGTAGAACGATGGAGTCCCTAGGCAGTTGAAGAGAATTGTTCTTTGAGGCGCTGGAACAGGGCGTGGCAGGACTTAGTGAACCTTGCCGGGTTGCCATCATGTCGGAGTTTTGCCTGAGTCGGCTCAGGCCCAGAAGATCGCCAAAGCTCCTGCGGCCTGTGGAAATCGATGTTCTAGTCGTGGGAGGAGCCAAATGTTCATCGACAGACTCCCTGGGTGAATTTCTTCCTAGAGAGCTCATCGTGGAAGACCGGCCTCTCCTGTGGGCAAAACTTCGGGTCGGCGAGGACTGCCCAGACTGCCTCGAACTGGGTCGAAACAGTGCGGTTGCCGGAGACGCGGCGGTTTTCGAAAGCATAGCGACGGCCTGGTTCTGGGGAGGCGGAGTTGTGACACCATTCCTTGTGCGCGTGCTCGACGGTGTCGGGGTGAGCGACCGATCCGGGGCGGCAGACATCGGCACAGCGGATGACGAGCTAGAAGCCGTTGCGTCCTCCGTGAAGGAAGGTTTGCTCCTCGGCTGGAGATGAGAGATTGGGAATAAGGGTTCGGGCTGCCTATGTTTTCGGCGCGGAAATCTGAAGAAGGTCGTTGCTGAGGGTTGTGTTTGGGTGGACGTTGTGCTGCCTCCATACACCCTGTCCCCTGAACTCGCATCGGATCTGGACGACTCCGAAAGCCTGGTCGAGGGCAGGGCGAGGGACGAAGCGCGACTATCGTAGTGGGCTGGAGGCGTATGGGCCTGCGAGGATGACGGCCGCGGAGGCTCGTCAGAAGACATGCTTGGTTTGCCCCCGGTAACCTCCTCCGGGACGCGAGAAACACGGTCGCCTGCCTTCCCTGTCACTCGACTGTTCACTCCATCGGTTGACTCGGCCCTAGTAAGCTCGCCTGAGCGGCGAAGGCGCGCTGCAAAGTTGATCCGGGAAGGTTTCTTTCGAGGTGCGAGGGAATTGAATGTCGGTGCGGTCGTTATGATTTCGGGCGCTGCATCTTTTTGTGTTAGCTAAAGCCATTGCGACTAGAAGGAGCCGGGTTCGCCCAATGCGACTGGGGGGGCCACATACGGCGCGGTACAGGGGGTGGTTTTTCTGCTGCCGCATGGAGTTTCGCCTTGGTCGCCAGCTGAGAGTCTGACGCATTACGGAACCTCAGCATGGAAAAACGGCGGTGCCTCTGTGTCTCATCCGGGGGAGTGAGCCCGGGTGCCTCGCCGCCATCAGCTGCAACCGGAGCGGCACGAGTGGAAGCGACGGAAATGCTATCTCGGGGAAGTTCGGCAGGAGAGGCGGGAGGATTGACGGACGGGCCATCTTCTGCTACCGATGCCAGGGCGGGTAGATCGGCTGATGACTCGGAGCGGAAGGGCGGCTGCTTTAGCACGGGCACAGCGAGACCATCAAGCAGCGAGTGACGCCGCATGTCGGTCTCGCTGGCCATGTTGCCACGGCGTCGTAAGAACGGCATGGCTATACGTGTGTGCGATCGTCATAGTCCATGGGAGATGCGGCAGACACGGAAACAATGAGTCGCCGTTGCGGAGCTGTGCACGTTGAGAATGACGGACAAGTAATCGTCTCGGCCTTGTTCAATATCAGGCCTCGTCTCTGGCAGGGAGTGTGTGTGATGTGAGATGGTAAAAGAGTGAATTGACGTCTCGCAAAATCGCAAACCCTGGGTGGCCGTAGTGTGATGGACGTCTGTGGGATGCAGTCGGGTTACGGGTAGAGTTGTACCGTGTTCAGATCGCGGTAGGACGAGATTGAGGGGAAGGTTGAAGATTCATGTTGGGAAGGTTCAGGTTGAGCTCACTCTTCCCGTTCCCAGGGGCCCAGTCGCTGAACTTGGGCAAGCGACACTGCCGTAGGGCCCGTGTGGAGGTGGGCTGCTGTGGGTCTAGGACTGGTCAGCTCCTTCCAAGCTGAGCACCGCTCGGCGCCCCACCATGCGCCGATTACGTTATGCAGTTAGTGATGACGAGAGAAATCACTGTACAAGAATAACTCCTTCATTGTGAACACGAACACCAACCCCTTTTCTTGTATCACGATCTATAACCTCAAAAATCACTGACTCGAAGTACTGAGGCAGCAGCTGCCTATCCAAAGTTCTCCACGGATACATTAGCGACTCATTTTTCATGGCAGTATTTCTCCATTCTACTTGCTATCACTAGTATTGTAGAAGTACCTGGCCACCTCAAAATCAAAGAGAAACTGTCATCATCTTACCAGGGCCCTGCGGGCAAGGGCTTCTCTACAAGAGCACCGAGTCCCTGTCGTCCAACCGTGGCCCATGGTACCGTTTACTCGCGTACCAGATCCAGTTTCCAAACGTGAACAGAGCCGCGATGCCCAGGACGGCACAGGCATAATCTAAACAAAGGCAAAACACGATCAGTTTTCTTCAAGCCGCCAATGGCGCAAGGGATGGCGACTCACTCATATTGCTTGCCGTAACAGGAAGCTGAACCGGCAAGGTGTAGAACACGAGCGCCACTAGTCCGTGGACGATGGTTAGTGCGTTGGCGACAAAGCCTACAGCGCTGGGGAGTCTGAATCTTCCTTTCTGGCCGTGCGGTGAGAGGATCTTGTCGACGGCTCTCTGACCCCCGAAGCGATATCCTAGAATGAGCGCGGCGGGAATTCCAAAACTTAGTTGTTGAAGGATCAGGCCCGTGCCGAGCAATGCGTTGAATGCGGACGTGGACCCCAGGTAGACGCAACCAAGAATGAAGACCAATGCGCAGTTGACCAGCAGAGCCCAAACGGGAACTCCGAGTTTCGAATGGATGCGGCTTAGCCGGTGAGAACCCACGAGGGCATCGTCGCGAGCGAAGCACCACAGTAGGCGGCTGGCCGTCTGGAGGATTCCGATTACGGCGAAGCAGGCGCACACCAGAAGGATGAAGAGGAAGATAATGGCGGCGGCAGGGCTGGAGACAGCTTGGAGCCATACTTCAAATACAGGGAGGCTAGATGAGATGCGAATTAGTGAATGGAACAATGTGGTTCCAAAGAAGTGCCACGATGGAGAGGAGAGGGGAGTCTCTGGGGGAAAGTGGGCGAGGGTAGGGCCTTACGGAGAAGCCAGGACTGCGTCAAAGTCGTTGTAGGAGTAGGTCATGGCCACAGCGAAGGCAAAGGCCGTCACAAAACCGATGGTCACGGTAGAGATAAGGGCCCACGGAACAGCCATCGCCGCGTTGGTGCACTCTTCAGCAATGTGGATGGCTCCATCGAGGCCAGAGTAGATGAAGTTGGCATTGACAAGGCCGGTGAGGAATGCAATCCCGTCCGAAGGCCAGCCCGTCGTGTTGATGAAGGTGCTCCAGACGAACTCATTGGGCTGCTTTGGCTGGGCCCTAGCCAAGCAAGTCACGGTGATGACTAGGATGCCAGCAATGGAAACGACAACTGTTTTGTGGCAGGCAAAAACCCGGCTGTTAGCTCCCATACTACTAGTAGTATGCATACTGGGACGGAGTTGATCACGCAATGGCGGTGCTTACAGCCAACATCATAGATCCACGCGGTGCGCTTGATGAGCAGAATGTTGTATCCGGTAAAGGCAACATTGACGGCTTGATACATGAGAAACATGTGCCACCGCTGTGACACGTAGGTCGGATCCAGGTAGGTAACCAGCGCTGTTATCATCTGCGGGATGGTGATGGCACAGCCTGCTGCCAGTGTGATCCAGCCAAAGACGTTGAGTGAGCCGCAGCAGTAACTCTGTGGGCGGCGAAGGATCGACGGTATCATTGTCAGTGACCCAATTCTCCTTGGATAGAAATGATGGTAACGTATTTACGAGAGAAACTCACCAGAGCACGGCTCAGTCTCTTGGGGGCCAAGATGCTCGTGTAGTGGTACTGGCCACCGGACGTGGGATAGACAGATGCGATCTCGGCCATGGAGAGCGCGCATGCTTCCCCCAGAACGAATATGAGAACAATGCCATACAGCAATGTGACGGGGCCTCCGGACGCGATGGATATGGCCAGCGTTGCTGCGGCGGCCGCCCAGCTGTTGCATATGTTCCAGCCCATGGCAATCACGGCCAGAATCCCCATGTCCCGTGTTGTCTGCGGCTCGAGACCAAGACGGGAGATGTCGAAGTCTTCAACCTGTCCAACATTATGGGAGCCAGCTTTCAATGAGCCAAGATATCAGCAAACAGGGCTCGTAGCCGAATAAGTATTCGAGAATGCCCGGGACTCGGGGGCGAGAAACGTACTCTTCTCTAACTGGATTGTATCATCCACGCTCCTGGGCTTCTTTGAGCGGTCACTCGAGACGACCTCTCTTCCGAATTCTTTGGCCATTTCGAAAGTCCAGACACATAAACTCAAGTAATGGAGCTGGGCCAAGGGAGTTGACAAGCTATATGTCGTCCGCCACGACCGTTGCCACAACGGTCTCGTCTCCTCGCGGCCATCGTGGGGGGACGAAGTAGAGGCGCCGTCACTTTAATAGCTGAATGGCAAGTATGTACTGTATATGGCCAACTCGTAGGTTGCGAGCTTATCACTGAACTCTGTGAAGCAGGTTGATAGTACAGATAGCAGACTTGAGTTGCAGTGATAAGGGGAGCGAGTTGTGATTTCAGGGTACGGTACTGAGGCAATCCGCAACTGGTTTTCGCGGGGTAGAAAGCGCTGAATTCCCGATTGCCCATATGCCGGAAGGCTCAAATTCTGATAGTATCTATTGACAGGGTTGCGAAGTGCAGGTGTGCGTGAGCGGCTTGGGTTGGAATGGCCAAGTGGGCGTGGCCTTATCGGGCAGACTTCCTAAAGCGGACATAAAAGTGAGAGGACTCTTACCAAGTGGGTGTTGCCGCTGGACGGATTTGAGATGGCAGGCCGCGCGTAAGGGTGCTCTTATCAAGGCCACTCGAACCGGTTGCTTCCGATTTTGACTTTATCTTCCAGCACATCCCCAAACAAACAAAAGGAGTGAGAAGATGTAGGATGGATGGGCCGACACAGGCATCCCACTGACTGACCAATCCCAGAATGGCAGGAAGATCGAGTTATGCTGTGGAGGATAATGGATACATGAGCGATTGTGCTCCTTGTGCCCAAGTGTCCAGTGAGAGGTACTTAAGCGTAGTTATATGCCTTCGTCCATCGATCCAAGATGCCTCATTCATCCTGAAGACTTGACAGCGTGAAGTACTATCGCTGCGCCCGACAGTCGAACCTCAAGAGTCTTTGGAACTTCTCGTCCGCCATTGCCCGTTGCCCTGCCAGTAGCTCTCATTTATACGTCATTGCCACAGGCCCCGACTTCGAAAAGCTTCGATTGCACGCGGCAGCAATAGAGCCAGAATGGAAAATCCTCCTGGAGACACCGGCCGCGACGGGTTCCAATGGACCAAGGAAACCGGCCTTCAAGCCGGGGTTCCCTCGCTTGGTGTTATCCTGCCACCGTCCAACCTGCCATCCGATGACACGGCCAACTCGGACACATTTGACGTGATTGTCGTTGGCGGCGGGTACACGGGCCTTACAGCAATCCGCGACCTCACCCTAGCCGGACACAAAGTGCTCCTCGTCGAAGCGCGGGATCGGATTGGCGGCCGCTCTTGGTCCTCCAACATTGACGGCTACCCGTACGAGATGGGCGGCACTTGGGTCCACTGGAACCAGCCCTTTGTCTGGCGCGAGTTGTTCCGCTACGGCCTGTCGACGAAGCTCGAGATCTCAATGGTGACCGAGGGAGGCTTGAACAAGTGCTTCGTGGATATGGGCACGAGGAGAGTTGAGATGGGCCATGACAAGGAGGTAGGTGAAACCATGTGACATATTTGGACGCTGGGTGCTTACAACAGCATTTCCTTGTCTCTGCAGGATCTCCTCTCCGAGTCAGCGCTCACGAAATATGTCGATGTCGACGGACACTTGGCTCGGACCGTGATCCCTTTTCCCCATGATCCGCTCTACAACAAGGAAGCAGTTGCCCGCTACGACGCAATGACCATGGCGGACCGCCTGGACGAGATCGCGGACGAGCTGACTCCGGTGGAACGCAACATGCTAGAACAGTTTCTGTCCATAACGTGCGGCAGCAGCCGGTTCGAGGACGCGTCTTTCTTCGAGGTGCTTCGTTGGTGGGCCTTGATGAACTACAACTATACCGACTTCATCGCGCTCGGCCTGACGTACAAGCTGCGGGCCGGACAGTCGGCGCTGGCGCGCAGCTTTTTCGACGAGGCTCTTGCGACAGAGAAGCTCAGGTACGCCTTTGACTCGCCCGTCAGCAAGATTGTCGACCAGGGCGGGGTCGTCGAGGTGACAACGACGGCCCGTGACGGTTCCGGCACCGCAGCCACTTTCCGTGCCCATCGCGTCATCTGCACCGTGCCGCTCAACGTGCTCTACAAGATCGACTTTTCGCCGCCGCTGGCACCGCTCAAGACGGAAGCCTCCAAACTCGGGCACGTCAACCAAGTCACCAAGATCCACGCGGAGCTAGCCAACCCGGAGCTGCGATCAGTTGGGGCCTTTTCTTTGGGCAAGCTGACATACGGGTTCGGCGACGGGACCACGCCGGCGGGCAACACGCACATGGTGGCGTTTGGGAGCTCGCAAGCCGGGCGTCATCTGCAGCCCGAGGAGGACATGGAGGAGACGTTGCGGGCGTGGCGGCGTCTTATCGGCAGAGATGACGTGGACATCCGCCGGGTCGTGTTCCACAACTGGCACAAGGACGAGTTTGCTCAGGGCGCCTGGGAGTGGCTGCGGCCAAACATGTCGCTCAAGTATCTCGACGAGCTGAGGAAACGGCACGGCAATGTCCTGTTTGGCAGTGCCGACTGGGCGCTTGGCTGGAGAGCTTTCATCGACGGCGCCATTGAGGACGGCGGCAGGGTGGCTAAGGAGGCATCCGACGAGATTCGCGCCTTGCGCCGAAGCAATGTGGTGGTTCCTGGAATTAACGGGTTGAGTTTTTGAGAGTCAAGGCAGTTTGGCCATTCTCAAATCGAATTTGGCAGACTGTTTGCTTGGTAAACCACTTCTGGAGGTTTGGATGGTGTACCTAGTTAGCAATAGCAAGCTTGGATGCCGTGTACTGAGACAACAGTGGTGAGAAGTGTTTGCAAGTTTCTTGAGGGAGTGTAAGGACAGGCGATACTCGGTGAGGTTTATCAGTATGTGATGATTATTACAGTGCTCTTACCTATTCGCAGCCTGGGCGAGGTAGGTGATGTGATGCCTTGCGGGTCTGTTACAATACGGAGCGATACAGGTATGTGTTGAAACTTTACGTTACATATCTGTAATTACGAAGTAATTCTGTGTTAGCATTCCCAAGTGCCGATAAGAAACCTCGGCTCTCTTGCTGGAAGCTTCATCGCCAAACCAATGGGCACATCACGTTCTTATCTCTCATTGCTTCCCACACATGACCAGGGCAGTCATCAATGGATACCTTGGCTATCAACGCACAGCTGAAGTTGCTGAACACTTTCCCCGACCCACATCTCACTGGAAAACACTACCGGCCTCATGGTATTCCCGGCTCGCCGCATGGTGGCGGCCTACATCCACTTGCGGAGGCGCGGAGAGGCTATGTATTGGACAATACATCCTGTACAATAACCTTAACGAGTCGTTTCTTAGGTGTATGTAAGCTCTGTTGAGCTCAGCCTCTACCTAGATTACCTTAGTACCTTACTTCGCTTATCTGCTCTTCCGGTGGCCGTCCGGTCCTTCCATGTCGATATAAGTGTGCCGATGGAACAACCGAAGAAAAGAAAGAGCAATGGTAGGTGCTGTGCTATACAGTGTCTATAAGTAGCCCAGGCATTTGGCTTCACCCCGTACAGTCATGCTTTTCTCTCAGCTCAGCTGGCTTGGTGAATGCAGTCGGTGCTGATCATATTAAAGGATGCTACAACTGCATGAAGAGGCGGATCACCTGCGATAAGTCGCAGCCACACTGCCAGAAATGCATCAAGAAACATATCCCGTGCCCTGGGTACGGCGTCAGGTATCGATTCGCCAAAGCCAAGGGGCCTCTGGATACTGGCACCACATCTACAGCGCACACTCCCAGCAGTAGCAAGTCATCTGCTCACTCATCATCACCTACGAGAGACAAGCTGAGATGGGTCCAATGCTATTCGGGCACCGGACAGGCCAAATCTACTAGTACTAGTAGTATTACTAGTAGTAGTACTTCTCATGTTGTCGGCTCTGCATCGACAACGCGGTCCGTCTCGGTACTTTGCGATACCCCAAAACCAACGAGCGTCAAGGGAGCCTGGCCATATCCTCCGGAGGGCTTAGAAAGGGGAAGCCCGTGTTGTACAGGCGAGTCACAACAGCTGTCAGCACATTCACATCCTGAACCGCCTCACGTATCGCTATCGACCGGTGTCACGTTGCCCCCGTTGCTGGCGGCGCAGGACAAGACTGTCCGACAGCTGTTTGATCACTGTAAGAAAGCCATCAAACTGCCATGGCCCACCTGCCCACCGTCCAAGGAAACCTACATTGAGGGAAACAAACTGACCAAAACATAGTCGCCAATCATGTGTCTCCGGCCATGCTCATGTTTGACGACGAGGCCAACGGCTACCGATACGAGATCCTTCCTCTGGCGCACGTCGATCCCGTGGTTCGGCGGGCCGTCTGCGTCGCCGCCGCGTTCCACTTGTCGAGCAGAAGGCCTGAACTGCGTGAGCCAGCCGAACGAGGCAGGGGCGCCATCATACGCAAACTGCGAGAGACGGCGCCGCAGAGCACTACCCAGCTAATGCTCGACGAACGCGCCTGGGCCGTGGTGCTGTTGCTGACCGTTGCCGACCTGGTCGTCGGCCATGAACATGTCATGCTGCTGTACAGGATGTTGAGTTGCTTTATGAGTTCCTGGAGTAGCAGCGCAAAGAATGCGCGGGATGGAAAGCCGGCATCCAGCCTCGGTGCCTTTTTATACTACCAATCCCATCTGTAAGTTGGAGTTCCGTATCCCAGTGGCCGAGAAACCGTCGAGTCATACTAGAAGAGGCCATGTCAATACCACATCAAACAAGCAAAGCAACTAACTGCTGGCTCCGCAAACTGTATGTAGCATCTCCTTCTTCGCCCGTCCAGCGCTAGCTGAATCCGGAGCGGTGGAGAGCTTCACCCAGGTCCTGGACGCGCCCCTGACGAGCATTGAGCGGTACGCGCCTCGCCAGCGGACAGCGACGTCGACGTCGACAAGCCCGCAGGTTGCGAACATGAAGCGCAGCGCATTGCATGTCCCAGGCCGAGGCGGCGTTACAACAGCAAAAACAACCAGCTCACTCCCTTCAACTTCTTCTCGCAGCCCCTCAGCAGCAAAAGAAGATAGCGTCATGGCTTACACGATCTCGCTTCACGAGAGCATAATGCGCTGCGCCGTGGAGATGTACATTCTCCGGGCCCGGTCGGACGACGACTCGTCGCCCGAGGGCTGCTGCTCCCAGGGGCAGGGGCAGCGACGCCTCCTGAATCAGGCGTACCATGACGCGGCCGCCGCTCGGACGGCTCACCTGCGTGCTTTGTTCGAGCGGCTGGACCTGTCGGCTGCCGGTGCTCACATTGTTGTCTGGCCGGCCTTTGTGGGCGCCGCCGAGGCTCTGAGCCAGGAGGACCGCGACTTTTTCGTGGCTGTGCTGAAGAGAATCGCCCATGAGACGGGCTATGGGAATGTCTTGCGGGGTTTGGCGGTACTGCCGTCGTTATGGGAGAGAGACGTTCGAGAGAGGTGGACTGCCACGTTGCCTAGTCTTGGGGTTCTGGTTATGTAAAGGCTTAACCCGTGGCTTTCCCTTAGGAAAGCGGAATAATATAGCTTTTCGTAAGGCTCAAGATCAATAATTGGGCCTGGCACGCACGTCCGTACGTCAAGTGGTATTTGGAAGTGTAGATAAGGGGCCAAGGCTTGCTCCCAATTCCACGCCTTCGATTGTGACCGACAAGCCCTCCTATTTGATATGTGTGGTCTGTTTGGCACCTACGTACCTCTCTATGTATACCTAGGTATGCATGCAAAAATGTCACAACAGCACGAAGCCACCTCCAGCCTAGGTACCCCATACCTGATTGAACGCCGTTCGCCGTATCCAAATCGCCAAAGCCATTGGTTTATCCCCTCCGCTTGTTCTAAAACGCCCCTTCCCACTACTTTCGTCTTCTCAGGTCCCTCCACTTGTCGGATGAGGGTTGAGATGGTTGAGATGCAAGTCTCTCTATCCCGTTGTTACCAAGGAGATAATCTCCAAGATACTTCAAAGCATTGAGCGTCTCCTCCCCAGTTGGGACGATGTAGTCACTTGGCAGCAAGAACCCATAGCTTCCAGTATCTCTCAGCTTGATTTGGTAGCTATACCTGGCATTAAGCTCATCTGAAAACAACTGTCAGTCACCCGGCGTGGTGTTTGAGGGAAATGGTGAGACTCACGATAGAACCAATCGATTGCTGAACCGCCACCAGCTTCAATACGAGCACCAGAATCACTCGCGCGCTCGGCACGAGCTACCGCGCCCTCGCACGCGGACATGACGCCATAAGACTCTCCGTTTGAGAGCCGGATGGCTTTGGCCAGGCCAATGGCCAGTTCTTCCAGATTCTCCAGGTTGGGGGGTTCGACCGAGCAGGTGTGCGAGTAAGGAAACAGCACCTGCTGAGAGTACGAGTGCAAATCGATGAATGCCGCAAACTTGGTCCCGTTCTCCGTCTCGTTCTTTGCCCATTTTGCCAGCTCTGATGCCTCCACGGCCTGGAAGGGCTCGTCGCCGCCATAGCTTTCGGAGCATGGGTCGGTTTCGTGCTCGAGGGCGCCCCAGGCGTAACCAAAGGCATGGTCAAGATCCAGGCCACGGCAGAAGCGCATCTTGGTCAGCTGTCTTGATTTGCGCCATAGTCGGTTCGTCTGCCACGTGTATTCGTAGCCGTCTGGGTTGAGCACGGGTACAAAAACCAAGTCGAAACGTTGCAAAAGCTTGGTGAGCATCGGCTCCTTCTCATATGATGTGACGATGGACCATAGTAGGTAATTAACAGTGCTGGTTGAAATCCATTCGCGGCCATGTAGACCTCCGGTAACGAGGATGGTTTGCCTGGGTGCCGCGGTTGGGCCACTGCTATTGGGGGCACTGAGGCGCATTGCATATATGTCTCTGCCTTCGTATGATTTTCCAACACTTGTCATTTCCGCAATTGATGGGAACATGGCTTCGATAAGGCGCATCCAGCTCGTGATGACCTGGGCAGGTTAGCCAAACGAAGGGCGGAAGGCGACGAAGAGCAACGTACCGGCAGGGTCTGGTAGTTGCTAAAGAACACATTGCCCACGCCGTCCAAGGAGGTCCTCATTTTCGCCGCATCAGCCGTGCTTGATTCAAATTGGGACATCTCAACTGCCGCTGAAGGGTAGGTCCTCCATACCGCGGCGGCAACGTCCGGGATAAGGACGGAGGATTGTAGCGACTTTGGCAGTAGCGCCATGAGCGGCGAAACATCGCGCTTGTCTAGCCTTATATCGACATAGTCGGGTGTGAAAGCCCAGACGTCGAGGAGCATTTGTTGGGCGGCTGCGGCGAGCGCGCCCTCCTCGTCCGAGTTGGTCACATTGAAACGGACCACAACGTCATTCCGGTAGAGCGCCTGTAGTCCTGCACCTGGTCTTGGGCCTTCAGTCCTGATCGGGGGCTTCCCAAAGACTACCTCAACCGCGCTGTCGCGTAGCCATTTTAGAAATGGGTAGGCAGGGCCGGTGCTGTCAGGTCGGTGGTTTCGCTCAACAAGGGACGGTTGGATCTTCGCAGCATCGACCGCGACACAGCCAAAGGCAAGGGCAAGAGCGAAAGCGACAGGCAGTGCATTTAGTAGCCTTAATAGCAATCGCATCTTCGAGTGTCATGTAGTGCAACGACAGAACGCAGCCGGGAGTGATGGAGGGAATCCCAAGGCAGAAGAACCTGGCCGGCGAGCATTGCCACTGCTCGGTGACGATGGGACCGAGCTCACAGAGTCACAGCTAGGTCGTGTGGAATGTGGAACCTGCAAAGAGAACCGCCGGGCTGCTTGCCAGAAGTGGGTTAGCTGGAACAGCTGACCGCCAGCTGCCGCTGCGTTTACGTATTATTACATAGGTGTATGTGACTGTATGTCCGTGTATTTCTGGATTGAATACCAGAACACCGTCCTTACTCCTTGGTAATGTGATGGATCCAATAATCTGGTGCTCCTTGAAGCTGTTCCTGGAATTGATTGGTTCGTAAGGAGGTTCAGAATGCAACATGCTGCAAGGTTGGCGGTTAGAGAGCCGTTGCTATCCATTCCCACCAAGCTCCGAGAGCTTGTGTCGCCATCTCTTGAACCCCCGCATTTCGCACCACCGTAGGAACCTGCCCAAGAAGGACCAGAGGTTGTGCAACTGCGTGCCCAACGGTATCGTACTCAACCTGGAATATACATGTCTTACATAGGACCAACGTGGCCGTATCTGGGTGATTCGAGATGACCTTTAGTGACGGTATCAATGCGCTCCTTGAAACTTACTCGAACTGCCTTGCCCTGCTGAAGGCGTTTCGCCAAAGTCGGAAGGAGAGCAGCACAGCCGATATTCAGCATCAGCAGTCCGCCCTGCGGAGATCTTTGAAGTCAGACCGGTCCCTGGTTAAGCGCGCGTACTCATCGAAGTTGTCCGAGTCGGGGAGCCGCTTTAAGAAGGGCGATGGTGAGCACCGTGTAAGCTCGATAAGTCATAGCCGACTAACACAGACAGAAGCTCGGGCCATCTCGGCACTGGATCGTGTCCTCAGGAAGCTGAGGAGCGCAATCAGGGACCTGCTCCGCCTCCCTGGCAAGAAAGAGACCCTGGACTTGGACTACGAATCGCTCATGTCCCTGTCGAATGCTTCTAGAGTCGAAGCAATCAAGGCCATCGACAGCCTGTCCCGTCGACTGGCTAGCCCATCTCGATCATCTGGCTTTATATCGACGTCGTCGAGAACTTCCCCGAGCGCAACGTCGCCATCCAGGCACAAACGCCGGCCATCGCCTAATGCAGAAGACGGACCCTCTGCAAAAGCCAGCAAGGGGGAAGGGTCACAGACCTCAAGCAAAAAGTCATCACCGACGACCAAAGGTGGGGAAAAGGCGGCAAGCAGGCAACAGAAGCTGGCTCCCGAAAAACTTCGAAAGATTCCACAACCGTCATCTCCGCCTTCGCCGCCCCCCAAGGCTCTGGGGATCCAGCCGCAGCGGCAGATACCCAGGCTGAGGAGCGGGGATTCGCTGGACCCGGAGGCGGCTGCGGCTCACAGGATATCCATCATGTCGTTCTCGTCGGATAGCACCAAGTTGGGGCAGATCCCGCAGCGGAAATTGAGATCCGTCTATGTGGGCATGACTGACCCGGATGGTGATGAGTACAATGTACGGCCAGTGTTTCCGTTGAAGCCGTATACCGTGGAGGTGAAGGAGCGGAGATTCTGGGGCTTGTTCGGCCGGCGGCGCGAGGGTTGAGCGTCTGTCAGCTGATTGTTGGTGAGTAGACTAGAATGGTATTTCTTGACGAGGTCAATAGTGTCTACTTTCCAATCCGTAATGCTGGTGTTGAGGAACTCGTACATGTTGCAGTGCCGTGTCAAGGTGGTGGAGCTGTGGTCTCAGGTGTATCATGCGCCAAGACGGAAGTTCAGGGTTGAAGAACGGCGCCTGTTGAACATGATTTACCGTAACAGACGTATTGTAGCGTCACAGTACGGAGGTACAGTCCGCATTTACCTCAATACTTACAAGATTGTAGCTGTATTGCACTGTGGTCTGTAGGTATGCGCCATGGCCCCTACGAGGGGCTATAACACACCGCGCCCCTCCAGTCACTGTAAGACGATATCAAGGCCCTGGCGACCGTAGATGGTGTGTTTACCAAGCCTATTAGGATACTGTGTGGTCTATGCCTGGACAACCTTGGTATAACATGAGTGCAGAATGACTTTTGGCCTCGACCTTTGTACAGTGGTACTGTATCAATATAGTACCTAAGTTGACCCCTGGCTGATGTACCTAGGTAGTTTTATTTTAGGTCGTTGTAGGTAGGAACAATGACTTGAGTGTATATGTAGCGCGCGAACCTTTCCATGCATGCGAAGGAAAACCCTGGCAAACATCATCGCAAAGCTACCTTACTTCGTCTTCGCGCTTTCTATTCGTTCTCCCGGCTTGGTGGCGGATATAGCCACATAGCGCCAGTGTTCTTGATGTAGATAACCCTGGGCGCCTGCGACTGTGTTGATGAAGTAACGCTCGAGATGGAGAAATTTGACAATGTAGTAGGGTATGGCTGCGAGGACGTAAAACAGCCACAACATGGGGCGGATGTTCTTGGAGTAATCCTCGACCCTGACATCGGTAAACCCAGCGTCCTCGAGCATGCGAGTAAAGACGCCTTTGTGGGAGCGAGCATTGGTAGGCATGGCGGCATACTTGTTCACTTTGTTCATGTCGTCGACTACATGCTTCGGTATGTGTTCCTCGACACCCATGTTGTGGTCATATTCGAAGAGGACAAGCCTCCCCCCGGGCCTGAGAATGCGATAGAAGCCGGCCAGCGCCTTCTCCGGGTCGGTGGCGTGAACAAAGGTCTCCATGGTGTACACGCCATCGTGCGACTGGTCAGGGATGGATTCCAGGTGCTGATAGTCCATTTTCTGGACGGTAACTTGGCCGGGCGGGAGGCCTGAGCGGGCAATGTTCCGCTTCGCCTTTGTGATATGGTGGTCGATAATATCGATGCCCGTGATGCGGAGCCCATGACGGGCCATATACATGGCTACGTGGGCGACACCGCAGCCAGCGTCAAGCACTTGCGAGCCCTCGGGGAGATCTAACGCGCGGAAGAGTCTCTCCTCCATGGCACGTAGGGCGCGCCCTATAGGGAAGGGCCATTTCGCGCCATCTTCATAATATCCAAAATGCCGAGTGCCGCCGAGCAGAAGGCGATAGCCAATGCGCGATTCGAGAGATTCGTAGTACGATTTGAGTTGTGGGTTTGCCTGAACGAGGGCCTCAGAGGAGTCCCTGGCATCGGTAGCCATGTGTGTTTGGGCGATGTGTCGGTGGATGGTCGAATGCGGGCCGAAGCGGAGCCGCGCTGTTGACAAACCGGTGAGGATGGAGTGTCTGGTGACTGGAGCAACAAAATCCTGCGTCAGTCGCTGTGAATCATTTGTCTAAAAAGCTATTGGACTTACCTGGTAAATATGCGACAGGTTTGGATGTCGGGCCTTGGAGAATGGTTTCGATTGCTGCTTTGGACAAGATTCGGGAAAGCTGAGGTGGATGGTGCACTGCAGTGTGTGTTGCGCCAAGCGCGGTCTCGCGGTGTTGGCCAATGAAGTCCTGCCATCTTGCGCAAAAGCGCTTAGCTGCACCCCTGAACTCCCCTTTCTTTTAACTTGGAGCCTAGCAGCGCCAGCGCAACCTACCACCCTTCATCATGGTAATGCAACATAACTTGAACCGTCGCCCTGCAGATGCTGAAAGATAGCTCCAGATCTGAGCGTCGCATTGACTGGAACCAAACACCTTTTCCAGCGTCTCAGGAAAGATGTCGACATGCAGTTCTTTTCTCGCCGTGGTGTTTGTTTCATGTTGCCGCCGTGGGGAAGTAAATACCTACCGTTGCTATGTCCGCTCGATCTCGTTATCTCAGGCTCACCTTTCCTTCAGCTATTGCATATAGACTGTGCTGCCGACACCTATCCCGTTCTTAATGTACAGACAGTCAGAGACCGCCGTGCCGTTTGCTTGACTGACTAGGCACTTACCATTCATTCATAAGGTACTTCAACATACCGTTTTCTTAAGACATCGGTTCACCCAGTGGCCTGGCGCCGCCACTTCACACTTTGCCGCCAGTCGAGCAGCCTGAGACGAGACTATCTACGGTACTACCTATGCAGGCTCTTGTGCCCTGCTTCACTTGTGTTTTTCTGTCTTCATGTCACTCAGCACATCCTCGGCCGAGCCTTCAATCCCGGGCTCTTGGAACGACACTTCCCAAGTCACGGTAGGATGGACGGGGGGTGGTTCGGGACGCGGCAGTATCGATGTTCTCTGGTCCTGCTGTGTCACCATTATCTTATGTTGTTGGGTTTCCACCTTCCCTAGTGTCCCCTCATTGAACGACAAATGGTTCCATCCTCTGGTAGACAAGTTCAACCTTGCATGCATTGGCTTCCTCGGCCCGAATTACCTTTTCGCAATTGCACTTGGACAGCTGTCAAGCGCAAGACGGAGCGTCAAGGTATGTCATGTTCCCTACTGACTACACCATCCCGGCCTTAATCAACGCCTCGATGTATCCCAGAAGACAAATGACCTGACCGCCGCGTTGCTAGTTGTTTGCCCAGTTGCCTCACCCCAACCATGACGGGGAATGGACACTGGTTCATGGCTTCTTTGCGGATATGGGCGGCTTTCTCCTCGCCGACCCCGACTATCCCCCTTTCCCCGTCAATTCCGAGCAGCTGTACTATCTTGTCCGAAACGGCCATATGGACTTCCCGAGTCTGACCAAGGTTGATATCAAAGCACGAAGTCAAACTGATGGCTTATCAAAGTTTGTCCCTTCTTTTCGCAGGACTTTTCAGGAGCCGCACTTGGCAACTAACCAGTTCTTGATAGAGTCATTACGCTGTGGCAGATGTTCTGGTTTTCTGTGGCGGAACTCCAGCGTCTTAGAGAGGGTTTGCCCATGACCACTTTTGAGTTGACCGCCCTCTCCTTCGCGCTCACCATGCTCATTACATCGCTGTGCTGGTTCTTCAAGCCAACCATCAATCAGCCCACCATACTGCACCTGAAGCACGGCAGGAGTGTCCAGAGTATTCGGTCTATTGCTAGGAACTCGGTACGCCAATCAGGACACCCACCTTGTCTCTCTCAAGACACCCACTCCGACTACCAGTCCGAGAACCATCATGCTAACGTCCCGAGTCACAGACCCACCCCGATCTTCCCTCCACTTGGTACCGCACGCCGCTTGACTTTATCTCTCCCTCCCGCCGATTCCGCATCGACGTCCATTGGTCCTACTACGCCCAGCTCACCTACATGGTCCACTTACCCTTGTTCGGGCGAGAGATCAAGACACGACCCTGGGATCGACTGCCATCCGACGCATGGCTGGTCATTGATCGGGACTTGCTTGCCCCGGGATTTGTGGTCGTCGCGGCTTCCAGCTTGGCGCCCCTAGCGGCGTGGAGCTTTTACTTCCCCACCGAGGCAGAAAAGATGGCGTGGCGTGCGTGCAGCATATACCACGCGGCATTCTCTATCGCGGTCTGCGCATACTATATTTATGTGGCCACTCAAGGTAGCAACAGCTTTTCCAAACGCGCCAATAATTGCGACACCCGTCCGGCTGCTTCTTCGGGCTTTCACCAGCAAGCCGAAGATACTCAAAGATCAGCCCCGGGCGGGGCCCTCCCTAGCAAGGTTCAGGTTGTTTATGACATCGAGGCTGTCCAGTTGACACCGAACGGAGCTTTCGCCAGGTCGAAAGCGGTGATCCAAGCATGCAGTGACTGGCTAAGACGCTGGCGAAACATCTCCCCGGATGGCGACCCGGACATGGAGCTTGACTTCTTCGCAGCCTCTCTACCGCTAGTGGGGACTTTCCTCTTCATATGCTGTCGTCTGTTTTTCTACGTGGAATGTTTTGCTTCAATACGGCAGCAGCCTGCAGGGGTATACAAGGCCGTGAACAAATATGTTCCCTTTCTTTAGGAGAGTGTCTTTTCGGACTACATATATGGCCATTCAGGGGTATGCCCTTGTCTCCACAGATCCGTCCCTATGTGCCCACCAGCCCTGAACTCCTCCACTGCTCCTGAGACCTCCCGAGCGTATGGGAGCACTTTGCCCTGTTTCAGCGCTAACACTATTAAAGCCGCTGAAAATAGCGACACCACCCAGCTAAATTCGGCGGCTAGAACAGCAAGTTCTCGACTTACCATCGTAAGTGTAGTCAAGGATCATGATCACCCTGTCAAGAGCCAATCAGAAGCCTTCATCAGGCTTGGCTAACAGGTCCCTCAAATCTCCCCCAGGTGTCAAGTCCCAGCACACTTTGCAGGTGTGCAGGTGGCAGCGTTGGACAGGTAACCGTAGGGCTCAATTACCTACACCTGTAGCTAGGCCTTAGCAGGTGGCGGGTGATCCGTGACTACCTAACCATGATCCCTGACTACCTACACTTATTACGATGGTAACTTGTATTACTGGAGACAAAGTCGGAAATTCGAAACACCAAACCGGAACCCACATTCCCTCAGGCGATCTGACGAATGCAGGATGTCTTCTTCAGCGCTTGATGGAGACACGATAAATCCAGAACTCCCCAGGGTTCGCACTCCAGTTCGCACTCCAGAGATGGCGATCCGATGTGCTTGCTGAGCCAGACTCACAGACTCACAAGTCACAAATGCCGTTGTACAGAATTTTGTACGGGAGCAAACCTCGACGAATATCAAACTCATCCCCCTTACCTCGTGAAATGGAGGATGGATGAGTTATTGGTGAACTCAATTCACTCAAGTACCTCACCATAACTGCCGAGCATCGCTTTTTATGATGCTCGTCCCCTGTCTTTCGCTATCCTTGCTTGCCCGAAATCGCGGGTAGATCTCCGGGGTTTGATGCTCCCCAGCATTGCGTGGCACGGCTGCCGTTTCAAACTGTCGTCGTCACCGTTGAACCTGCTTGACGGAGATCAGGTCGCCAAGACCAGCCCGGAATATGCCTGCGCAAGGTGTATATGACCATTGTTTTCTCTTTAAAACATCCCGAGTTCATGTTTCGAAGAAGTTATCATGCTAGGCTGGTTCCTGTTCTTCAATTTATAATCTTCCTTACTCTACATTGCAGATTGAATCCGGCTTGGAACTTTCGCGACAACCGGCTTGCTGCGTAGAGCCTGATATCCTCAAACTTATTGTCCCTCCTTGCCATCATGGTTTCTCGGTGCTTAGCTGTCCTGGTGGCGGCCACCGCGGCGATGGGGCAGACACCAGAAGGATTCACCCCGGCCTCAGATACAAGCCTCATCGTCGATTATCGAGGCGTTGTTCCTCTTAATGGAACGGTAGTTAGCCGAAACGGTATGTCAACCAACGCGAGCGGGCACGCAGCATCACCCAGCAGCGCCGGCACAGGCAACGAACGCTAATACCTGCACCAGCGACCCTCACCCAGCCCCGAATCGGCACCCTCAGCCAACTGACGGGCACATCGTACGCGGTGATGATGATCGATCTCGACATCCCCACCGCAAACCCTCCCGAGACGGACACACTCCTCCATTGGATGCAAACCGGCCTCACCCCAGCAACGACGGCCACGCAACTCAACACGACCGCGGGAACCATCCGCGCGTTCCTCCTCGAGAACTCGACCAGCACGGCCCCGATTGTGCCCTATTTCGGGCCCAACCCGCCGGCGCGCATCCCGCTCAGTCACCGGTACACGCAGATCCTGGTCGACACGAGCGGCATCACCGACGAAGGGATGGAGACGCTGCGGGAGGCGGCGGCGACGATCAGGGGTTTCAATGCCGAGTCCGTACTGCGGCAGGCCGGCCTGGAAAGCATGGTGGTGGCCGGCAACTCGTATAATGTCACCAATCCCGGACCGGTCGGGGCGCAGACTGGAGGGAATGGCGCCGCATCAGGAACAGGAGCGGGGACGGGGAGTCAGCCCACCGGGAGACCCGTCACTGCCGCGGCGGTGGGCGGGTTGGGGATGCCTGACGGCCGGTTGGCTTTGGCCGGGGGGCTGTTGTTGGCTGGGGTGGCAATGCTGGGGTTGTAAGCCTCTGGAGTAGGCTTTGTATTTTCAGTATTGAGGCCAATTTTTGGGGGACTTTTGGCGCTTGTGAAGGTTGCGAACGATTCTTGGTTCTGTCGTTATCAGCCTTCGGTTCTTTGGTTCCATTACTCTGGATTCAGAGCTGTGGTTCAACCAGAGACACTCGAAGTGCCGTGACATGTAGATGTTATCCTGTCTCCGAGGTCACACAGCGCTGTCCAAAAAGTGAGTGCAGGCCCCTGACGACAGCAGAAGCCGGCCGGTTCGCATCCTTGTGCCTATGTTGCAGTGGCACCTCGTCTGAAACCCAACCCCGATCCATTGGCCAACGACAAGCTTGAAAACCGCCCTGGGAGGAGAATGATAAGTCAATATGTAGAGTAGCTTAGTAATTATAGTTGGGTTAGAACGCTACGCTGAGCGAGGTGGCGTGCGGCCTTACACCACTTACACCATTTGCCGATTACCGGATTTGGCCAGCGCGCGGTTCATCTTTTGGGAGCGCGCGGTGTCCACTGCTATCCCGCGCGCTTTTACGCAAACATCGCCGGCGACTTTTCACTGGATTTTATGTGTCGATGATGAACAACTGAGCCGCCTGATTGAGTTGATGATCGGGCTCCGGGGCGACTGGTTGATTACCTACTTTCTCTCGGCGGCATGTGGTCGTAAAGTGGCCGACAATGGCAATTTGTCAGGGGGAGGGCTTGGAGAGCCTCGTAGGAAGTTATATATCAAGCACCCGCCGTTGGTATGAGTCCCAGGGCCAACTCGATGCGGGTATATGTGTGATGAAGCACGTAGCTTTTCACATCAACGACCTTTGGTATCCAACAGAGAGCTCCTCGATTTACTGCACATCCTGTCATCATGGCTAGAACGATCGTCATCCTCGGTGCCAATTATACTGGTGTCCCTATAGCCCACTATCTCCTTAAGCACACGGCGGCCAACGTGAAAGACCTGAAGGTGGTAGTTGTCGCGCCGAACACGCACATGTACTGGTTCGTGGCCTCGGTGCGCGGCATACTGCCCAACATGCTGGCCGACGACCACCTCTTCCTCCCTCTTGCTCCGGAGTTTGCCAAATACCCGTCTGACAAGTATGAACTTGTCCTGGGGAAAGCTGAGAGGGTGGACCCGACTAGCAGCATTGTGGAAGTGCGCATAAACGATGGCTCAGCCCGGACGATCAGATACGACGATCTGTAAGTGACCCTGATCAGGACTTACCTAGAATGCAGGCTAACACAGCCTTATTCCAACAGCGTCATCGCCACCGGCAGCAGCTTCAAGAACGACATGCCCTTCAAGAACCTCTCCAGCACCGACGACACGAAAAGAACCCTCCACGAGTGGGCCCAACGCATCAGCGAGGCCAAATCCATCGTTGTTGCGGGCGGGGGCCTCACAGGGGTTGAACTCGCCGGCGAGCTCGGACAAGAGTACGCCTCGACGGGCAAGAAAGAAATCACCCTCATCTGCGACAAAGATCTGCCGCTCGAGCCCAGGCTCAGGCGCGACGTGCGCGAGACGGCCAAAAATGAACTTGAGCGCTTCAAGGTCAAGGTCATCACCAACGCGCGGGCATCATCCTCCCCGTCGAGCAACATCATCACCCTGACCCCGACCAAGTCCTCGCCATCCACCTCCGAGAAGGCTGCGGCCAAGATCCCCCGCACGCTCTCGGCAGACCTCTTCATCCCGGCCTTCGGCACGATCCCAAACACCTCATTCCTCCCCGCCAGCATGCTAGACGACCGGGGCCATGTCAAAACAACGCCGACGCTCCGGGCTCAGGGGCACGACAACATCTTCGTGGTGGGCGACGCAGGCAACCTGCAGGTGACGCAGGGCGTCTACGCCGACGCGCAGGCCGTGTACCTGGCCAAGCTGCTGGACGCGCGCGCGCTGGGCAACGGCAGGGAGGCACAGCTGCCGCCGTACAAGCCCGATGACAAAATCATGGTCGGGGTCAGCCTGGGGAAGAATTCAGGGGTCGGCCAGATGGGCGGGTGGAAGCTCTGGGGCTGGATGATTGCCATGTTCAAGAGCAAGAAGCTGGGCACGCAGTATTTCCCGGCGTTTGTCAGGGGGGATAGGACTATTCTTGTCAAGAAGAACTGGTAATGGTATTGGCGGTCGTGGACAGGGGGTTCGAGAGTGCTGTTTGTTTCCTGTTGTTAAGTTTGATACCTATCTGCGGCATAGATCGAGAGGTTAATGGGTATAGAGATGATTTCACTCGTTTTTTAGACCTCGGTTTGGTGCCGGCCTGTCGTCTGTGAGTTGAGAGATACAAATTGAGCCGATCGCTTGGAGTGTAGCGCAAGAATTCGGTTGAAACGCCAAACTTGTCCAGAAAGCAATGAAATATTTCGCGATCGTGGCGCAATCAATAGGATGAACGGAAATTCATGACCAAGGTAGCAGAATGCGGGATTGTGTTTGTATTTGGTGGCCAAGGACTCGATAATTTATGATGGTTGTTGAATTGTCGCTGATCATCAATTGCTGTGCTGGTGTTGTTGACATCCAATCAAGGAGAAGAGGGGAATGTTTGACCGGAGGCCGAGAAAAAGGGGTTGACATAGGGGGAGGTAGTGCAGATAACTATCAGGTATGGCTTCACTTACAAGCCATGGATGTTATCTGACGATAAGAATGGAATTCGCAGCCGGGGCGGGGCTGTTGCCTGGTCCGGAGCTGTCGGAGAGTCTTTGCGGGGTATAAATAGGGCTCCCGGCTCCCCTGACATCAAAGCGCTGCAAAAATCTGTTCATTTTCCATCACTTCTCCGGCCGGACGCCCTGCTGCCTTTTGGGAGCCGTGTTGGACAGTGGGAAAGCCTGGCGGATTTGGGGCGCCCAAACGGCAGGTACCGTGTTGGCCTGTGTTGGCCTGTGTCACAGGGTGGCTCGTGCTACGCGCCTCGGCGCGGTCATGGCACGTTCCGCCAAAGAGCCGCTACTGTGACCCGACCCGGGCCCCACTTCGCGTCATCTGCCGGATTGTTGCCCTGCAGCAGTGATAACCCTTAGCTTGACGATAACACCAACACCTGTCAACTACTCCGTACTCGGGATCAGAACGACTGATTGAACTTGATAATGAGCATTGGTGTTGGAAATCTGCGCAAGGAAGGTATCTCGAGACCAATATCCAATACATCGACCCTTTTCCCCCTAGAAAATACAAGAGATCATCTGGAAGGTTTATCGCTGCTTTCCTGCAAGCGGGAGGCAACTAATTAAAGATCCCGACCGGCGCAGTTGCATGGAGGGGACGTGGCTGACCCACCCACCGACGCGACGGGCTGGGACGCGCTTTCTCAAGAATGAACCAGCCTCTCAAATTCGGCCCACCCGACGTCAGATCCCAATTGAACTTCCTCCATTAATCCTATAACCCTCTGCACTCATCTACCTTCCTGCTTTAACTTATCGTCGACATCAATCTGCCTCCGTGTCGTCAATTGCGCGCAACCGCGATACAGCGCCGTGGTCGCTTCTCAAGATGGCGGCACAAACAAACGCCTGGTCGGCGCCCTCACCACATATGCAACCCCAGCTGGCCGGCCATGAAGAAACAGGCCTGGAGACGCGGCCGATGGGGTGTAAGTTGGGCTCGCTTCAATAGCGTTTTGTGTCTAATCCGGTTTCTAGTGAAGGTCCAGTACACGTTCGATCGAGAAGGCCAAGTGCACTGTTTGGCTAGGTGGCCTCACATCCTTCAGATCAGGACGATCCCGCTTGACGAGAGGACAACAATCGGCGTGGTCGACCTCCGGACTTGCTTGCAAGCTGTTGCCCAGTGCAGCCCCGAGATCGTCAACCAGGAGCAGAGCGACTACAGTGTGTATGCCTACGACTATTCAGAACCGGACGTGCCCCTGGTAGGGCAAGGAATGCTATCGTGGGGCCTGGAAGCCCAAGGCGAGCTTCAGCAGCAACAATTGGTCACAGGACGCGTCACACGAAATCTACTAGCCATTCTCAGTAATGGAAGCAGAGATACGCTGGAAGTCAGACTGAAGCTGACAGCCGTCGAGAGAACGGTGCGACGCACCGATTTCGCCAGCATGGACCTGACGAATGGGTTGAAAGTCGCCCCGAGCCCTGCCGACGCCGTGTCGGAATGGAACTCATTCCTTCAGTCCAACACCATGCTTGGACGTTCCGTGGATGCGGCACCAGTATCGTCACCAGCGGTACCTCCGGCCCAACTGAGCCGGTATGAGTCCTCGATGAATGATGCCAAGCCGCCCGACATGCGAAGAGACAGCTTTTCTCGGCCTCCTACCCGCCCGTCTAGTATCCCTCCAGCCAACGGGATGCCACCGAGTGCGGTTCCTCCTGCAAATTCAACACCCAGTGTCGCGTCGGCTCCACAAAGAGCCCAAAATCCTGCGGAGAACGTGCCGTCGCCGGCGGTTCCTTCCGCCACAGATTTTGTGCCCCAACCGCGCCCTTCACGGCCATCTTCAAGATCGAGAAGCAAGAAACCAACAGGCAGGCCGAGAGGTCGGCCGAGGAAGAATCCCTTGGAGACTGGCAATACATCTGCAGCCGAAGAGGCTACGGATGGCGATGATGGACCGCAAAAGAAGAGAGCCAAGGTAATCAGGACTGAATACAGCGTCATCGCCCCGTTCGGCTCGGTACCTGACTCCCTGCGAGTCGCTGCAAGCACTTCAAACTCGTTGCGCACCATGAGACCAGTTGGCGCAGGAAGCGATGCCAACGCTCCGAGCCATCTCCAAGACGTACCTCGCGCCCCCACTCCAATCCCTGACACGTCGCTGTTAAAACAGCAGCAGAGAAGAAGAGCGGCGGAGAACAAATCCAGGTCTGAATCCATGGTCAGCATGGACAGCATGCCCATGTACCAGTCGGTGCCTGGAACGGTACCGGCGCGAACCTTGAGCCAGGATGCTCGATCACCGGCGGAATCAATTGCGCAGACGCCGGATCAAGGGTATTCACCAGAAGATAGTGTTGGTGAGTTGGGATCGTCACCACCGGTTCCACGCACCACTGCCTACCTCCAATCCAGCCCACCGGCTTCGAGCCCCATCCTGCGTGGGATACCCACCCACAACATCGACTCAGGATTCATGAGTGGAGGTCTGGACGACTTCTTCGATGACGAAGACATGCTGCAACTTCCGCAGGCGCCAATGCAGGACCAGATGGCGCCTGTTCCATCTCTCCCCAAACCCAGCAAGCCAAGCAACCGTAAAAACGGAGATGCCCAGCAGCAGCAGCAGCAGCCTAATTTCCCGTTCCAAGAAGTGAACCCCGGTCCCCCGGAGCTGTTGCCTACCAGGAGCATTTTCAATCCCGCTGGAAAGGCAAAGACGTTGAACAGACCAACACCGCCGCCCTCTGCTGCGCCCCCGGGCAAAAGAGCGAACAACCGCTCTCTCAAAAGATCGAATACCGCGCCGAACCCGGTTGTAGCTCAGCAAGATCCATTGCCACAGGAACAGCCTAACACCCAGGGGAATGATAGTGGAGTCTCGCATGCTTCTGCGCCGCCATACGAGCAGCAGCAGGAACAGGCTGCTTCATCTAACAATACCACCGGTCCGACACATTCAGGTGGACATGATGCAGACAACAGCTACTTTGACGTTTCCCACCAAGACTCTAGTTCCATGTCTGCGATGACGCTGCCTATACCAGAGCGTCCTGAGCCGGAACCTCACTTGGCTCTTCAGATGCAACCGTCTTCGAGACCTGCTTCGAGGGGACTTCCTGAGCCGCCTGTCCCGGCCAGCGACCCCGTCGCGGAGCCAGTTTTGACCTTGCCTCGAGTCTTCACGTCAGAAGCGCCTTGCCCTTCGAGCGATTTAGACCCGCCACGATACAATAAGAATATGGTCAAGAAGCAGAGTATCAAGGAACGGCTTGAAAATGCTATTGAGCGGGGAGAGTCGCCTCCATTTTGCAGCAACTGCGGCGCCATCGAGACACCAACCTGGCGGAAGATTTGGACCCAAGACCACTTCGGAACTCCAGGCTTTCACGAGTTTTCGGATAAGCCAGGATGCGTGACTGCAGTTGATGTGCTGGAGCGGGATGCAGACGGACAGCCATCTGCCTACCGACTCGTCAAGAAGACACTCGGTCCAAACGACGAAAAGAAGTTATGGACTGAAACTCTCCTATGCAATCCTTGTGGTATCTGGCTTGGCAAGTTCAAGGTACACCGACCGCCTGACCGGTGGGACAAGGATTATGCCCGACTCAATCAACCGCGCAAAAAGCGCGAGCCAAAGAGCGGCAATTCAAAGTCAAAGAAGGCGCGTACCAAGAGTGACTCGCAGCCGAATCCTACTTCAGAAGCATACTTTACGACGGATCCGATCGGCCCAGCAGATAGCGAGTCACCAAATGAGAATTACGAAAATGGGACAGGATTCAGGCAGCAGAGCGTGGCCACGGCAGAAGACAATAATTTAAACTTGCGGAGCTCCCCGAAACAGCGCTTGACTGGATCGACTCACTCGAGGGGTAGTGGAACAGCGGACAGCCCTATCGCGGTCGAGGACGATCTGGGAAGCACAAGGAGGCTACTCTTCCCGTCACCCAGAAAAGATGGAGTACCCAAGGTGCTCGGGGAGCTTGCGATCAACACGCTCCACACAGCCACGCATAACGATGCCCGAGAGGCCAAGTCCGCAACGGCAGGGAAGGAGAACACTACAAGATCGGAGCGTCTCGGCACCCCGACTCTCGACGACCACGGCGAGCTCGACCAAGAACTCTTTGGCACTCCTCCCAAACGCCCGTCCACTCCGCCTCCGAAGGCTTCTGCAGCCCAGGGATCGTTCAAGACGCCGACCCGTCCGACCCCGAGCCATCGCCCCATAACAAGGAGCATCTCGCGGTCGATCCGGTCGATCCGAACCATGCCCAAATCCCCCGGAAGCCAACTCGCGCTCGCGCTCGCCCATCTCCAACGAACACCCTCCAGAACCCCGCGCTCCAGCGGCAGTATAGGCCGCCGCCGGAGCCCGCGCCATAACCAGCACGCACATTTTGCCCTCGACGATGTCGTACTCGACAACGACGGTTCCGCTAATGGCGTCGTCTTGCCGTTCGACTCGCCCTTCACGGCCACGCTGAACCAGCTGCTGAGCGAGGCCAACGAGTTCACGGCCGATTCGCCGTCTCACGGGCTGAAACACCTCGTGACCGATCTGAGCAATCTTCCGTCGCTTGGTGATGTCGCGGAGGGAGCGGGGGCCGCTATGGGCCAGCATCATCATCAGCAGCAGCAGCACCAGCAGCAGCATTCACTTGATGCGACCAACGGCGGTGCGGCGTCAGACGGACTCTGGGAGCTTTTCGAGCATCGGTTCAGTCATACCTAATCTCTCTCGCCGCGGCCGCCGGGCCGTTGTTTTTGTTTTGTTGAGGCACACTAGATGCTACCTAGCTAGGTGTGAGGTGGGCTAATGCGGGTGAGGGGGTTTACAGGAGCTTCTGGGTGGAGACGCGAATGCTTCGTCAGCACACGAGCTTTTGTTCGCTTTTGTTTTCCCTGATGCTCTGCGTTCTGTCTCGTCTTTTTGTTATTTTTATCCTCTGTTGATTTTATTGCTGCCTTAGCCTTGTTTGCCGTGGATCAGATGGCACGGCACAGCATGGCCTTGGAGTTTGTTTGTTTTGGTTTTGTCCAGTCTCCCCCTTCCCGCCACGGCATGGTCAAGGCGAGCGAGTAAAATTGTTGGGTCCATTAGTGTATGTACATACCTTCAGCGCATAGTTTGAAGGTGGGAAATATCGGGAGACGACTTGTCTCCCCGGATTCATCCAAGTTCGTGCGAGATCACGGATTGTTCCGCTCGTCTCTTGTGCCGGTCCGGTAGCGGTTGTCCACGGGACTCTTCTGCGCCTATTACATCATCATGATGTCCATCGACTACATGCTTATTCTCCTTTATACGGCCCAGGCCTGGGACTTTCCTCTAGGCGCCGCTTGTTTTGGACGCTCGGTCTCTAGCGGTAGGACCGAAGGAAAGGCTCGAAGCGTCGACCCTTTTGTTTCTTGCTCGCGCGACCCGTGGCGGATTTGCATGTTGTTATTTTCTGCCAAGATACCCTTACTCGAACGGTTTGCTGACAGAGCGCTTTGCATCTGTGGGCTCGCTTTCGTTCAAAGCGGCCGCTTAGGCGCGGGATTACTTGCCTCGCTTGCTAGCTTGCGTGCGGAATCACGGTCGACGGAATAGGGGGGTTACTACCGTATAGATTCTGGAGTCGATGTTTAGATACTGTGCATACACTGACCTTAGACTTGTGTCTGTTCTCTCATCCGCACAAGGCAACGCTTCAGTCCATCCGTTGTTGTGTGGTGCGTTTTCTCAGTGATGTTTTTCAGGGCAGGTGCCAGGCACGGTCTGTTGTCACTCGAGAAGGCGATCGATGATTTCCTGCACCACGGTTGGATGAAGAGTTGATGTAAGCAACTAGCTATGCCGCTTGACTGTTTGATTATCGATTTGTAAATATGCTAGTCGTACGCAAACAACTCCCGATGCTGGTGGGAGATCTCAACTACTGCGTTGGCGAGAGAGTAGTCTAAAGCAGGGTCCCATTAGAACTCGATATTGTGACAAAGCAAGGGCCTTCTGGGTCCTTCCCTTGCCCCCTCCTTGTCTTGGCCCTCCCCATCCGGTCGGGTTGATGAGTTGACGGGATAGCTCTGGGCCTTGTCCGAGGATGAGGGGAGGATGGCAACAGGACGCCCGAAAAGATTGGGGTACTGCTTCGCCACTCCGGCGGTTCGTTGGGGAAGCAGGTTGAAAGTGAAAAGTGACTCACCTACACCCGTGCCCAGGTCGATAGAGCTCAGTACCTTGACCGACAGGTCCGGGTTCACTTTCCCAATGATTTGAACACCGTTGCCCGCGGCGAGGTGGGCTTCCTGTATGCTTGCAGTTAGTGCGCATGCTCTGCAGTGGTCCGATGTAGCCGGGGTTTCCAGCCCCCTCCTAGCTCCGTCGTTTACTCCTCTCGTCCTGAGCTTGGCTTGGGATCTCCGAGGCATAGGAGGAGCACATGGGGGAGGGGATTACTAATGTGATTCCAGAGTCCTTGAGAACTTACGCGATTCAGATGGGCAGTGATGTTCCCGTCGGCGTCAATCAGGGCTTCGTCGCCACGCAGCTGGATGACCTTGCCTACTACAATGACATTCTTGCCCACATATGAGTTGAGGTAGGCACAAGTGACACGCGGGGTCGAAATCGCCTCCATCTTGAGGGGTATCGAATCGGCGGGGTGATGAACTGGTTTAGATTCGAAATAATTCCGTGCAGATGATGCCGGCTCTTGGTCCTGACAAGAAACTTCAGTCGCTGTCGGTAGTTACGGCTGGACCCTGGATTTAGTTGGTTGCTTAGTGTAGCAGATTTTGTTGAAATGGACGGTGGTAGGCGAGGTAGGCAAGTAGGTGCAATGCACGACAGTCACAGGGTCTCAGAGGGTGTCGATGGCCCTTGCCATAAAGTTTGGCCTGTGCTTGCTGGTCTGGCCGTTGGTCCGCTCAGCCCCGGAAAGGTGGGTAGCCTTGTGGGGCCAGATCTCGATCGCTCTTGGCATTTCTCGCTCGGCGGGGTGCGGCGCCGGGACCATGCCCAGCCCCAACGGCTGCTTGAGGCCGAGTTGACTTGCAAAGCGCCGATAATTGGATGACCTGCCAAAGTTAGTGGAAGCAAGCGTGAGGCCGCTGTCAAGACGGACGTGGTATGCACAGAAATCCGCCTAGGCAATGTCCGGTATTGATGTCCGGTTTTCATACCAAGTCCATCTCTGCTCCACAAATTGGGCTTAGTTCAGTGGGGTTATGTATCAGGAACCAAGAGAGCCAACCAAGGTACGGCGAGGAGGTTGATATCTTCATACTTCAAAACAAACATTGGCTCATGCGTGATTGGTTTTTTTTAGACGTAACTAAGGTAATGTTATGCCGTTGTCCTATCTGACTTCCCACCTTGATTCTTTTCACCGTTGGTCGTTACATACTACCCTGAAGCGGAAGATGCCGTACTCCGGTTGCTGTCACTTGCCGCCGCAAGCGTCAGTTGGCTTGTTTCAAGTAACGGCCCGAGTAGTGTACAGTGCCCAGACAGGCAGTTGACCGTCCAAAATGGTTTCGGGCTTTGGAAGGTCTCATTCGGATACACCCAGAGCGGGACTGATTACGGAAATGTAGACTCTTCTAATTTCCTGGTTGTATGGCTGGCTTCCCAGTCAGTTGGCTGTTGTGGTAGTTTGTAGCGCAGTATTTCGTACAAGCCTACCTAGACTCCTGCATGACACATACGTGCCTACCTTAGGGACCTAGCCTAGACAGCTTTCAGGCCGCCAGCAGTATGCCTGCATTAACTTAGAACACAAGTAATATTGTTGATAGCCATTCGGTTGCCCCTTGTTTTCGAAGCAGATGCCACTTCCTCAGGAAGCTGACAGTAGACTGCAGTCTCCAGTCTCTGCTTGGGCGGCCTGTAGACCGAATGGATAGATACGGATATGGACGGGCAAGTTTGTTGATTCGCGACGTCGCCTACCTAATGTTAGGAGATATGGATACCCGCCGCCTACATACATGCTTTACATGCATAACGTACATACATGTGGCATAGCATGGTTACCGGGTACTCACTTATCTGGACCTTGGCAGGCGCTCTTGAGCATGACAGCCATGGCGGGGCTTATTGCCTTGCTGTGGGCACTGAGTCGTGTATAGTTCCCTTCCGCTCTATTACCGAGTACGCACGGTTCTTGTTTAGTGGTTTCTGATAGAATGCGATTGACGGGGGCGCCTGGACCGTCGCTCGAGCCCAGGGAGCTTAGCTGAGGGTGGCCAGCTCACCATCCACATGCTAAATGCTGACTGTGAATCGTGTATCTCCCAGTTGATATTCTACTCGTCTGCTCCTCTATCCGTTGCGACCCATCCCTACCCATCGCGATGTTACGGTGTGAAGGTGGACCCATCGCAGAGGGCCAAGGGTGACCCGGGTGTAAGGGCGGGGCTGGCGGGCACAGTCCTTGGCGCCAAAGCTTGCTGCGGGTACCACGGCCCTATGGGATTCCGCAAGATTGCCATGCTGGGGTTCGTTTTCCAATTGCAAGCCACCCTCTTGTTTCCATCAAGCCATGCAACGCGGACGACGTTGCATTGCAGCACCGACAGCACAGATCCTGTCCTGCTTGGAGCTGCTCCAATCGCTCTCCGGCAGCACCCAATTCATCAGGGATAGTCCTGGCCCATGGACGAAGAAGAATTGAGGAGAACAAGGTCGAGAATTCGCTCTGCCTATGGCATGGATGGCCCGACACGTCCAGCGTGCGCCGCGGCGTGTCGGCACAGCAATTCTGATGGGGTCCCTCGCATGACGCTCATGAGATCAATCCACCCTACGTTTCTAGGCACAGTAAGGTGGCTGCCGGAAGGGGAAGTAGGTGCAGAAAGCTCAATGAGCTCGCAGCTCGACCGGTAGCTCGGCCAGCTTCCAATCCCTGCCTGCTATCCGCATCTGTGCAGCCCTTCCAGAAACACTCTTTGTCCGTCTGGCATACGGTAGGTCTAGCAAGCACCGGCCCATCTCCTGATTTTGCTTCTTAGGTTTCCCCGCAGTCACCGGGATAGACATATGCCCGCCCGGCCTGGATTCTGGAATCTGGATTTCTTGTTTCCCAAGCTGCCACTGTGCAGGCCATTGGCAGATCCAGAATACCCCGCCACATCCCTTCAGGTTCTTGTCGAACTCCTCTCTCTTCTTCTTGAAGTCTTCTACACGTTCCTGCCAAACATATATCGCTAGGACCCCAATTCTTTTGCATCAGGCAAGTGCCTGCGACTGAAACACTGTCACACAGGATTCCCGCCAGGGAACGCAACGGCGATTCCACGACGTACCAGACGTGTCTCTTTGATTCAACGGCCACATCGGAACCGATAACGGTGGTACACACTCCACACTCTGCGTGGGAAACAATCAAGGTATGTCCAACAGGCGCGTCCTGCTACCGACGGAGGCTAGGCATCGAGTCTCGCCTCCAACACGCTATTCCAACCGTCTGTCTGGTGCATGCGCCAGGATGAAGCAGCGGACTGATTTGATCGTCAGATAGCGCAGGGTAGTGCGGATAGCGCAGGTAGCACAAAACCAAGGATTGGATTGAGGCAGTGGTTGTCTCTCGTTCCCGCCGTTCCCGGTTCCCGAAAGCCGGACCCCAGTTCCGGCGTATCCCCAGTTATCCCCCGACTCAGTCATCCAAGCGCTGATTTCCTTCTTTCCGGTCTTGAGAGCGGCTCGCCAAGGCCATCATAACCACGAGTGCCGTCCCAACGCTTCCACCTGACGGCACCAGCACGGGGATTGCAAACACTCACGAAGACGAAAAATGGAGCCGCCGTCTCACTTCTTCAGCGATTGTCTGGACTTCGACGACACGAATTCGTTTCAAAGTCCGGACCAAGACGTCGACGGCGGGAGCATCAGCCTGAATGGCTATCAGCCTTACGGCACCAAGTTTGATATTGGCGGTCCCCCGACGCCTGCCGACGCGGGAGATGGGGAAATCAGAGCGGATGTTTGGGATGGCTTCACTGAGCCAATGGGCGGGACGGTGGGAATGGCGGACCAAAAGCAACTCTTTGTCGACCCTGAACTTTACAGTCCCGAAAGTGAAGACGAAGATACGAAGCCGCAGATCCACGTGGTCCCGATGAACACCTCCCGGCCATCCACTCGGAGAGCCTCGAGCAGCAAATCGTTCTCGCAAAGAACGTCCAAGTCTGGCAGCACGTCCACGGATATCACCCCCCCTGAGCAAGACGAGCCTCCAAGAAAAAGAAAGGCGAGAAAAGTAAAGAAGGAGCCGAGCACGGCCGAGGATGAGGAGAAGAGGATCAAATTCCTGGAGCGCAACCGCATAGCCGCCATGAAGTGCCGCGAAAAGAAGAAGCATTACGTATCCGAGCTGGAGGAGGCGAAAATCAAGGAAGAAACACAGAACGTGCACTTACGGATGGTATACAACGGTTTGCTCACCGAAGTGAGCGGCCTGAAGCATCTTCTCATGACTCATGCAGAGTGCAACGACGAGAACATCGACCAGTGGATCAACAACTCGGCCAGGCGGATCGTTCAGACTCCAAATGAGACGTTCCGTCAGTCGTTCAGTTTCGGTCAGAGCACCCAGGCCACACTTGGACAGACTCCCCAGCCTCCTCTCCCGCCAGGCTCCCCACGCAGCCGCAACGCCAGCATCGCTTCGTCATACCCATCTCTGCAGAGTGTGCCGAGTATGCAGTTTGAGGGCTTCGGGTCGGGGGAGCGGCAGGGGAGCATCGCCTATTCACTCGGTAAGCAAGAAACGCAACTGAACTGGCCATACCGATCGCTCTGCTTACAACTATTTCTTAGGTACTGCCTCATTGTATTCTCCCACCGATGACACATTTCCGTGCCTAGAATCGCCTCAGTTGAAGCGAGAGCCAGGCATCAACTATGATCACATGCCCGACTCAATGTTCAGTCCAGATCCTTCGAGGTTTGGCGGTGGATGATGAGCTAGCATCAACCGGCCAGGGAGAGATTTCTAAGGAGGAAGAGAAGCCATCATCTTCCCTCTGCGTACAGCAAAGGACATCGATATCTTCAGATATCTTATACAGGTGCCTGCGACAGGATTGGCGCAAGAGCATCTTCTTATACCCGGCGCCTTGGGTGATTTATAGCATCCCGACTGAAAGCCACCTCAGTCTATGCGCAACCGGGTTCAAACGCTCTCTCCTTGTTCGGAAATTGTGCGGAACAAAAGAGAACAAAAATAGGGGCCCATGAAATAGAAATATCCAAAAGCCCAGGGGGCAAAAAGGTTTGCTGGTCGAACATGTTACAACATAGCAAATGTTGCCAGTGACGCATTCTGGCACTTCCAAAGGGAAGGGAAATCGGAGTAAGGACGGAGTAGGAGGAATGCAGGGGCTGAGTGGTTTAGATCAGATCTGTTGTCTCAACGATATACGTCATAATGGATGACGGCTTTGGGAGCTGTGAGGGCGGGTTTGTTGATTGATTGAGGTCGATCACAGACGGGTCTGGAACCAACAAGGACCTTGCCAATTGTTGGTTTCGGTCGCTCCCGGTAATCGGTCAGTTATGGAACGCAAGGCTATGGGAAGACAACGGGCGGTTCTGTATCTTGTAAGAGTTAAGAGAGTCCTGTATGAAGTATGTAGTCGGATGCATTGTCTGGGCTGTTCCAATACTGTTGAAGGAAGAGGCTGGGGTTTTAACACATAATCGGCGTTTCTGATACAATGAAGTCGAGGACTTCCTTAATTCGGAAAGGGGCAAGCAGGCCGCGTCTTCAGAGATCTGTTTTGACTTTTCTACACATGTCAACGGTTTCATTAACATTAATCCCTTAGGTACGAAATACGTTGTGGCGTCAGTTGTCAGCCGCTTCCAAGCCGTGCTAGCGTATCTCGTATCACGCGCGGTCAGCTGCTTACACGAGGTCTATGACACTTATGATTCACGAATGGTGTTCTTCCCCAAGAGGGGTAATTTGTTGTCATAGTTTGAATGATTATTTGAGACAAAACCTAGCGAATGTACCAAAAAGAACGAGACCATTGGGCTAATAAGACAAAAATATAACTTTGCGGTTTGTGTGGATCGAACACACGACCTTCAGATTGACTTCCCGAAGTTTTACTTCAGTCTGACGCTCTCCCAACTGAGCTAAACCCGCTTGTTGATGGCAAAATGTTTAAAATTGTACGCTATGGCGGAGGGTGCTGACCTCCACCACTGTCCCAGTTATCCCAGTACTCCAAGTCTGGGTATTGATGATGGTGCTCCCTGAGTATGGCATTTGAAGGAATCTGTTGGATTGTTCAGTGGGGCATAACCCCTTTTTCTGCCAAGGTATGGTAAGCGGGAAGTCGATAACTCTGGTGGGCATACTTTGTCCGCAACAGTTCCGTAGCAGGAGATCTCGTTCGGTTTGTACGGAGAGAACAACTTCAATAGTATCCCGTTCATAGAACGGTGCTTAACGGGTATCCTAGCAGGCGGGTGCCTTCTTTGACTTTGCCCCATTCCGTATTCAGGGGGTGACGAACTTCCGCCCATGAGAGAGCAACGGCCACCTGCCGCGACATTTGTGCTCACTTTCCATGCCGATGAAAACAACCCCTTACACCGGATAGGGAATTGCCTTGCTTCTCCTGAAAACGTCTCATGCCCCACATCCATGGAAGCCCCCGATGCGCATGCAGAGTCGCGGCAGCGGTATTGTACCTCCAGTTGTTGAGCTGCTCATCCAGGGAGCGCTCGCTATAGTATCACACCCACTCCTACAGTATCTCTTCCTCGTCTTCAGCTGGAGGCGGGGCGGTCGGTATTGATACCGGTTGTACAGCTGGGGGTACAGCTTCCGCATCATTGCCATGCGATTCGGTGTCATGACCGGCTTCCTCCATTTGCTCGTCTCCATCATCATCAGCGTAGAATGCCGCCACCATGGCGTCCTCTTCGGCCTTGGTCCTAGCCTTCTTGCTAAGCTTAGGCTTTCCCTCCAGACCCTGCACCTGTTCATTGATCTCTTCCCACGCCTTTTTCCGCGAGCTAATGATCTTGGCCTTTCCCTTGCTCTTCTGCACCTTCACCGCTGTCCGGTCCATGACGGCCTCGGCTCGGTCCAGGCTCTTCTCGTGCCGTCGCCGTGCCTTGGAGCTCATGACTGCTTTTCGGTTCGTCTTTGCCTTTTTGGTCACGCCGCTTGCGTGGTGCGCCGCGAGGACGGCGGGCCGTCGGTCCACGGAGTCTTGGGGTGGGCGGACATTTTTAAGGGACTTGTCCGTATCGATGCCTGGTGAGGTTGCACGCCGAGCTGCACGGGAATGTATTGAAGGGCCTTGCGGATGTATCATATGTCAGCTTCTAGTACGTTCATTGGTTCCTATGAGTCACGCGACACGTACCCTTCTTCCCTTTCGAAATGCTGCCTTTCGCCATCTTCTGTGTGTTGGTGAGACTGTTATCAAGATCTACCGGTTATCGTGGGGTAGCCGGCGTGAATTTCTTATCGGAGATATTTTTGCTTTTCTGGAACCGTTTTTTTGTTTGAAGCCGGGATTCCAAGCAACCTTGAACGCCCCGCTGCGCCTGCAAGGGTCTTGGGATCCCGCTGTGGCCCCTGTTAGCGGGCGGCCAATGGGCAGTGTAACAATGAAGGTGCCAAGCTGTCTGGTCAGTACAGATGGCCTTCGTTTTGTCGTCGTTTTTGAGCAGGACCAACTTAAAATGCCATCTCAACTCGCCTGCTCCAACCGCTTGGGTCGATAACAGTCCTACTTCACTCGCCTCAGCCGAAGCTGCACATCTTGCATCGGTCATGGCATTTTGGGCTAGTTATATCGGGTCATCCACACTGTATGCTCTTTGATCTAATCTCTCCATCGTCCTCGGCCAGGCAACCCAGGTTCTGGGTCTTCCGCCGCCGTTCGCCCCAGAATGAATTCCGACGCGAGACGCATCCTGAGCCAGTTTGATTCTCGCCCGGGATTTGACTTGCATCAGTATCATTCGCCAGTACGGATCCAAGATCGCGACATCAATCCAAGTACGGTTGCCACTCTTGTCCTGGTTACTGTCGCCTTAGTATACCAGTTTGTTCATAAGCAGGGCCGAGCCCCTTCGCTTCCCAAACTCCTCTGGAATGCCCTCGTATCCGTGATACCAGCCCACCTGCTTTATGCCATTGACAGACTGGTCAATCCGCCACTCTTTCCAATCCCCATGCTCGCAACGCAGCCATCGACCCATGCCGCGAAAAGCGACGTCCTGCGGAGGATCTTCCGCGCTGATAGGGCGGGCAGGCTCTTAGGTTCCGTCTCTCAGGCGGGACTCAAAGGTTTCAATAGCCTCTCCAATGCCACCCTTGGGGGTAGGACGGCGGCCGAGCGCCCGCCTGGTCTGGGCAACTACGACAACTCTTGCTTTCAAAACAGCATCCTCCAGGGGCTTGCGTCGCTAAAAACACTATCGGAGTATCTCAGTACACCATCGCTCGCCAGAGGATTCGGTCTACCGCAAGCCCGAACGGCCGACACGCTCCGGAAGCTGGTCGCTGAGCTCAGCGGCTCTGAAAGCAACGGCAAGACACTGTGGACGCCGGGGATTTTGAAGAACATGGACACGTGGCAGCAGCAAGATGCACAGGAGTATTACTCAAAGCTCCTGGACGAGATTGACAGAGAAATTGCGAAGGTTGTGCGCGCTCTCGATACCATGGCCGGGTTCGAACCTGACATTGTACGTGATGACTGCTCCGAAAGTCAACACAGCGGAGACAGTGGCTACCAGAGCGCAGCAAGTCAATCAAAGGCCCCGGCAGAGCTTCGTTTGGCACGAAATCCTCTCGAAGGGCTTATTGCCCAGCGAGTAGCCTGTGTTTCATGCGGACATTGCGAAGGGCTGACAATGATTCCGTTCAATTGCTTGACCCTTAACCTTGGCAACCTTCCGGAGCACAACCTTTACGAGAGGTTGGATTGTTACACAAAGGTTGAATCGATACAAGGAGTGGAATGTTTCAAGTGCACCGTATTGAATATGTACGAGGGGCTTAAATTTCTGGCCGACCGCACTGGCGGCTTTCCCGAACTGAACGACAGACTCCAACGTTTGGAAGAGGCTCTGGAAGAAGAGATGTTTGATGAAGAGACCTTGGTCAAGAAGTGCAATATTCCAAGAAAACAGAGGGTCAGCTCAACCAAGACAAAACAGACCGTCATTGCCCGGGCACCACAGAGCCTAGTATTTCACATGAACCGGTCCGTTTTTGACGAAAGGACCGGCGCCATGTTCAAGAACTCGGCGGCAGTCCGATTCCCAATGTTGTTGGATCTCGGACCGTGGTGCCTTGGGAGCGCTCCTGACCAGACAAGGTCGGCAGAGGAGGGTGAAGTCCCCAAGAAGTACGAGGAGCGCTGGTCGCTGGATCCCCATTCATCCATGGTGGCGGCAAACCGCCTTCCTTCCAGGCTGTCAGGCCCGATTTACGAGTTACGCGCGGTTATTACGCACTACGGACGTCATGAAAACGGCCATTATGTCTGCTACAGGAAGCACTCTGTCCCTCCCACTCAAGCTGTCAAGGAGAAAGTACCCGAGCAGCCGCCCAAGCTCGCGTGCGAGGATGATGCTGACCCTGATGGCGCGAGTACACAGGGAGAGCTGGAGGATGCAAGAGAGCTTACCGTGAGGCCCGGCCTTGACGAAGGACAGCGGTCAGAATGGTGGCGGCTTAGCGATCAGGACGTCACGAAAGTTGACGAGCAGACGGTTCTCGCCCAAGGAGGCGTGTTCATGCTGTTCTACGACCGCGTCGACTCAGAATCCCTCCTTATCATAGATTCGGACGACTCGAGTGACCTGTCACCTGCATCGTCCCAGGAGGACAGCAGGGACTTCAATAGTGCTGAAGGCCTTGTCATGCAGAATCTAGACGCAGCGCAGGATAGGGGAACGAGCATGACTGATTCGGACGTCACGATCAAGCCTGGGAATGTCGGAGATATTCTCTCAGAGGCCTCGGCGGTTCCGCTGCCAGATGACAGCGATGAGGAATAAGGCATCCTTCGGTTTGGCGGTTGGTTGCTTGGTCTGTATGCATAGCGAATGGCGTTGTATTTCATTCTAGGAGATACCATGGACTCCCTTCCTTGGAGTCGGCTTGGGGCGGACATCTAGACAACAGGCAATGGGACACGGTGCTGGTTAGGTGGTTTGAACATGCATGCATACTCTTACACTGCAGTTTAGAATAGTGCGAATAGGCTGCACACAACAGTGATTCAAGATGGCTGAGATTTCTCGCCTGGGATCCGAATATCTTCTGCCTTGATACCTTGATCGATCGTTCACATACCTACCTACCTTACGGACGCCAGGATGTACGAAGTAGCGAGAGAGAGAATAGGTATGCATGTACTTGACCGATCGTAATGACAGGTTGTGGTACCTACAGAAGCGGAACCTTATTGCCGTGTACGAAGTACGTTAGGCATATCTGTAGGACAAGTGGAGTCGTTCTTCACATTTTGGCTTGTGGTCTCCACCTCACATCGTCCGTTCTCCATCAGAACCGGCGGCTAGGATGTAGTTGAAGATTTGAATCAGGGCATCCAGCTTCTGAATACATATTTCGAAGATTCTAAGAGGCGATGTCTGTAGGAGCAGGCAAATCTCCTTCCCCTTTATGCATCTTTTGGTTACACACTTATAGGATGATGCCATTGGTTAGTTCGGTGGGAAACTGCGGCCAAGACCTCCTGCAAGGGCATGGCATGGAATGATGGGATGATGGCCCGGCTTGTCGGCTACTGAATTTATTAGTGTCTCTTCAATGGGCAAACTGCTGGGCCAGGGGGAGTCGTCGCCTGTCAGGCTGTCAGCCCTTCACATCATTGTCAGAATACCAGGGGCCCTAACCTTTTCGGACCCCTAAAGTGCTGCAGTCAGCAGTGCGAACACGAGTCCTAGGCAGTAGTCCCCATTCTTCAGGAGCAAACCCCCATCCCTTCGCCAATCCCCTTGCCATCGCGGACAATCATCGGACGAATGCCCAACCAAGATCTCTCTTACTTACGCTCCTTTTATTCCTGTTAAGCAGTCGTTCTCTTTGCCAGCTGGACGAGTGAGGGGATCACCAATTCGGGAATCGTCGCTCTCCTGGGCGTCGAATAATCAACTCGACGAAACGCGGCGCTCGAGTTCTCGTGACAACCCGAACGTGCTTCTCTAACCCCGCCGACATCGACATGGCAGAAGACGATGTTGAGCGCCAGGTCGAAAAGCCGCGCCCTGCTGAGCGCTCGGTACATGCCGTGTTCTATATCGCGTGAGTTAGAAGAGGCGATAAACTTGTTTGCGCCCGTTGTTGATTTTTGCGTATGCGCAGGGCTTGGATCTTCTTTTCCAACTCCACGATTCTCTTCAACAAGTGGATAATTGATACAAGGGGTTTCAGTGAGTGATCGCGTCGCCTCCTCCGGCTCTGAAGTATACTGACCCCATATTGCAGGATACCGTATGTTACTGTAGCCCGACAACGCCGTTTCCCTCGCTCACTAACCCGTCCGCCGACAGCCGTAATCCTAACATGCTGGCACCTCATCTTCGCCACGATCGCGACCCAGGTACTTGCACGGACGACGAGACTCCTAGACGGGCGCAAAAATGTCAAAATGACGGGACGGACTTACCTGCGCGCCATCGTACCCATCGGCCTTGTCTACAGCGCATCGCTCGTCTGCAGCAACATGGTATACCTGTACCTGAGCGTGGCCTTTATTCAGATGCTCAAGGCCGCCTCGCCCGTGGCCGTATTACTGACGGCGTGGGCCTGGCGCGTCGAGAAACCCTCACTGAACAAGTTCCTCAACATCCTGCTCATCGTTTTCGGCGTGGGGCTCGCCAGCTTCGGCGAGATTGACTTTAGCTGGGCCGGTTTCTTCTTCCAGGCGGGTGGCATTGTCTTTGAGGCCATGCGCCTCATCATGATCCAAGTGCTCCTGTCCGGCGACGACCAGAAGATGGATCCGCTCGTCAGCCTGTACTACTATGCTCCGGTCTGCGCCTTGATGAACGTTATTATCGCTATCGGTTCCGAGGCGAATAAGTTTGACGCCGCCGACCTGGCCAAAGCAGGGTATGGCTTCCTGCTTCTCAATGCCATAGTAGCCTTTCTGCTCAACGTGAGCAGCGTTTTCCTGGTAAGCATTCCCCTTTCCCCCTTCTTCTCTGTCCAGACGTATCAGATTTCTAAACCATTGGCCAGATCGGGAAAACCTCCGGCCTCGTCATGACCCTCACCGGCATCCTCAAGCAGGTTCTCCTCGTCATGGTCTCGGTCATGATCTCGCACACGCACATTGCCATGCTTCAGTTCGTCGGCTACTCGATCGCCCTGGCCGGGTTGGTGTATTACTCGCTCGGTTGGGACCAGATTGTCACCCTCTCCTCGAGCGCATGGATCTACGCGAGGGGTGTCTATGAATCCGTCAGCACCAACCCCAACGCCGCCCAGGCAGACGGGGACGCCGGCCGCCTGCCTGTTGCTGTGCGTAGGGGCCTTATCATTGGCGGTGCGACCATCGTTGTGTTGGTCCTCTTCGGTGGTTTCTTTTTCAGTGGTGGTCTAGACGCGTTCGCCACCGAGAGTGCGATGGACGGCTTAGGCACGGTGTCGTGACAGACTTTGCTAAAGGTTTAATGAATGACGGTTGGATGAGATGTGGGGTGTAAGATGGTTGGGTATATATATATTTCACTTTATCGTCGGGATCTGTCGATTTCATCAGCAGGCAAATGCAGCATGGTCAACCAAATAGAAGGGGCTGCTGGTGGACCAATCGGTCGGAGATATTTCGTGGACGACATGTCATAATCGTCGAGATTCTCCTGCGGAATGGGGATCCGGTGTTCACAATAAGGGCTCTACCAGGGAACGGTGACATACCGTATAATCTCGAGAAATCCGGAAGCCGCTACTGCGTGGGCTAATCCAGGCCACCAATCCAAGTCAACCCAGCTTGCAGAGTGTTCAAACCTTACAGTTAGGATGCCATGGAAGACTGAGCCACAGCCGAATTGTTAGCATAACTATCCTACATGCCATCTTCGTATGAAATTTGCAATCTTCTCCCTGTCAACCCACCAGACATAGAACTGTCCTTCGATTGCAAAACGACGATGCATTTGTAAGTGGAAGATCATGGGCAACACTACGTTGTGGCTTCAAGTGGCTAGAATAAGGTTGAAGAAGATGGGTCGAAGTGGTTGAAGGTACGTCGCATGGCTTAGCCGACGCAGTAGCGGCTTCCGGATTTCTCGAGATTATACGGTACTCAGGCACGATAGACAAGGATTTTGGCAGGCCGACCTGCTGATTTCATATTCGGGTTTTTTCTGGTTAATATTCCAGGCAGTGAACCCCGAATCTACCGGTGATCATTTCCTGTCGACCATGCTGAACATGCAGGGCCAAAACTAGTTTAGGTGCTAGCGGGTATCAGTCCCAAACTTCCTTATTAAACTCTAATGCGATGTGTGATGCAGCCCCTCGAGCCCATTTGGCTCCAGGGCAGCCTTAATTCCTGTTGACGCAACACCACATGTCATAACTATGTATGTGGGAAAGGGGATCGTCGACGATATAACCTTCCAACCTAGCGTTGAGCCTAGCCGCGGCGTCTGCTGCCTCTTAGATCGTCATTGCCACGCTGATTAAGGATCTAATCCCGATCCCTATCCCGATCACGGTCTCTGCCCCTATCCCGGTCCCGGTCCCGGTCCCTGTCTCTGTCACGCACAGAGGACAGGCTCCTATCGTGCCGATTCCGGCGATAGTGGTTGTCGCGATCCCTGTCTCTGTCTCTGTCTCGGTCCCGGTCCCGATCCCGATCCCGATCCCGGTCCCTGTCCCTATCCCTATCGCGGTCTCGATCGCGCTCTCTGTCACGCTTCCTACTGTGGCTTCTGGACCGGCTACGCCGCCTCTCTCGGCGGTCGTCTCTACTAGTCCTGTCCCGAATGCGAGAGCGGGAGCGATTGCGGGAACGGTCGCGCTCATGCCTGTCGCGATCCCTCGGCCTGTCTCGATCGCCGTCGTACCGATCGCCGCCGCGATAGTCCACGTTGCGGGCCCGGTCTTGGTCTAGGTCGCGATCTCGGTCTCGATCAACATGGGGCAGGTAGCGATCCGCTTCCTCCGGCTCGCGGCGGCGCTTGAGGTCCGGCGACCTGTCGTCGCCTGCTCGGCGGTCGTCAATACCTGGGACTGGCATGCCCTTTTCGCGGGCCTCTTTCTGGGCAGCAAGGTAGGCCTTAGCTTCTTGCTCGCGCTTCTTGACTTCAGCCTGCTTCCAGGCCTCCTTCTCAGACTGGCTCAGCCGGGAAGGAGGCCGGGCTGAGCTTGGAGGTGAGCGGGAACGGCTCCGACGACTATGGTCCCTATCCCTGTCACCTTTGTCTCTTTCCCGATCGCGACTTCGATCTCGGCGATCAGCACGCGGGCGGGAGCGACTGCGGTCCCGTTTGTCGCGATGATCGCCATCCTTGGAGCGCGAGCGGCTCCTGTCTCGGCGACCGTATCGTAACCGCGATCGAGAGCGGTCCCGCCGCTGGGTTCTAAGTTGCGGCGAGCGACTCCGGCGACGAGAGCGGCTTCGCTCCCTCTCAGCCTTGGGACGGGAACGGCTCCGTTCTTGTCGGTCCGTTCTATTACGGGAGTGACTGCGGCCTCTGTGTTCGTCCTTTCGGTCGTCTTTGCGCTCTCCTCGTCGGTCGCCACGAGAATCATCGCGGCGGTCATGACGGCGGTCGTCTCGGCGATCGGACCTCAATCGGGAGCGGCTTCTATCCCTGCGGTCATCTCTCCTATCTCGCAATCTGGACCGGCTCCTTCTGCGGGACCGGCTCCGTTCGTATCGAGGCCGTGGGGAACGTGAGCGGATATCCCGACGCTTGCGATCGTCGTCTCTAGACCTGCTCCTATCCCTTCCACGATGGGCCCGGGACAAGCGCGAAGGGCTTCGACTCTTTTGCCGTTCAGTCTTCGGCTCGGGATCCTTAGGAGCGGTAGGAATCTTCTCTTCTTTGGAATCTTTGTTGGTTTCAACCGGCTTCTTGTGCTCAGAAACTTTTGGTGAGCCCCTGCGTATCGGATCGATTGCGGATGCGGGCTTGGCCTTCCGCGGTGGTGGCACCAAAGCTTCATCGACTTCCAATTCAGGTTCCTTCGTGGCAACACGCTTGCTCTCCCGTAGCAGATCAGCCAGTGCTTCTTGCTCGAGACGCTCGTGGTCTTCCTTAGTAAGCTCTTTTTTCACTTCCTCCGCAATTTTCAATTCCTCCGCGCGTCCTTCAGTCGCAGCAGCCTTCGACTTGCCATCACGGCTGTCACGACGATCTTGGACCCGTTCCATATCCCGGTCCCTCTCCCGGCCGATATCTCTGTCCCGGCCTCTAGACCGATCCCTGGGACTACCTCGGTAGCTGTCGTAACCACGTTCACGGAATCGATCGCGGTGGTGGTCTCGATCGCGATCGCGCTCCCGTTCTCGCTCTCGCTCCCGGTCCCGATCTCTATCACGGCTTCTGTCCCTGTCCCTGTCCCTCTCCTTCTCGCGCTCCCGGTCTCGCTCCTTGTCACGTTCCTTCTCCTGCTCCCTTTCCTTTTCTCGCCGCTCCCGACGTTCTTTTTCTCTCCGCTCAAATTCCTCTCGCTCTTTCTTTCTACGTTCTTCGCGGGCGGCTCGCTCCGCCTCGCGCCTTTTCATCTCCTCCCTCTCCTTGATTTCCCGCTCGAGTTGTCGTTTCTTCTCCTCAACAGCTTTGAGCTCGGCACGGACACGCTCTCGCTCGGCACGGCGGGCTGCCGTGTCAGCGGCGTACTGCTCGTCGGTCTTGGCACCACGCATTCGCTCTTCCTCGGCTGCTTGCTCGCCAATCTCAGCGCGTCGAAGTTCTCGAATATGGGCCTCGATAGCAGCGCTGTCAATCAGTGCGCTGATAACCTCCTCCGCTTTCTGGTAAACGCCGCCGCGGTCTAGGGCGCCATCAATAAGGGCGGCCGCTTTCCCGCGTTCGAGAGTTAGAAGCTGTGTCGGGTTACGCTCAACTTCTTGCTCGGCAACTTCGAGAATTGCCTTTGTTACTTGAGCTTCGTAATCCTGGGTTTCGAGTGTCAGTGGTAATGCAAGAATGTGATTGTAGAAGAAAAAAAATAAAGATGGCATACGCTAGCCTCGAATTTCTCCCACACCTGCTTGCGGATTGCGTCGTAGCCACCCTTCTTTTTGAAGCTGTGTGCAAGGTTTTCGATTGCGGTACGTGTCGCCGAGGGAAGAGGAAGGTCGGATGCCTTGAACTTTCGAGTGACAGGCGCAGTGGGATTTGAGGGACCTCGTGCATCGGCGGCCATGGTGACTGGTGGACTTGTCGCAGCCGCAGCGGCAGCCGTGGCTGGAGTCGTAGACTCGACTGCCGCAGACATTGTTGCGGCTGGAGAGGGTGTTGGGGGCCGTCGAGCGATTTGTGTGCTGGCAAACACCGGCAGCTTTTACATGTGTTCTTCCCAGTCCCTATTACAAAGAGCGCCGACAAGCAAATAGGCACGGCGCAGATATCCGATTCAAGCCATTTCCACTTTGCTGATTTGCAACCAAGGCAGAACAAGCCGTTCGTTCACTAAGTGCGACGTGGAGGAGAAAGTTGATATTCGTTCTGAGTGAGCACCAGGTCGTTCAGGGTCGAAAGAGATCAAAGCCACGTGGAAAGCTGTCGCGGTTGAGAGCCAGTGGAAGATGCTGGTGGGGTGCGCGAAGATCCGGACCTGACAATGACATGGGTGCAGGGGTGGTGCAATGATCGTCAGTGTAACGTAAAGAACTGAATTGAATTGTCTAAGCCACACTTATCCTGCCGACGCCACAATTTACTGAGCACGGACAGGGCAGTCAGTGTAGATGTGGCTTGCCAATTCACTGCCCATCGCAGAACATCGCAACATCAAACGACGAAGTTGGGAGGAGTCAGTAGCTCGCCAGGGCTCACATTCGATTCAATCGGATCACAGCCTTGAACACTTGTCTTTCAAGGTGCAATCTAAAGCTTGAAATCCTCTCCTTAACCCCCACGTCCATCAGCCCGAACGAACGAGCGACAAAAATGGTGTCTCGGATCCTCTTCTGGACCGGCTTCGGTGCGTTACCACTCGTCTTTCCAGCCTGGAAAAAGCCAGTCATCGCCAAGCAGAGCATTCTTCTAACAATGTCCAGGCCTGGTGACGCGTCTCTGGCAGCTCGGCATTGAGATGCGACCCTTCTTCAACAGGCAGTCCCTCTGGGCATACCCCGTCTTCGGTGCGGTTGGCGCGAGCTTCGGGTACTGGCTGGAGGGCGTGGATCAGAGGCAGACGGCAATGCTCCAGGAGCGAAAGGAGGCCATCCTAGAGAAGAGAGCACGGAGGGCACAGCGGGAAGCCGCTGCGGCCGCGTCAGCGAACGGCACGGCCATCCAGGCATGAACCGAGCACAATGGCGGAAATTACTACAGCGCATGACCCCAAGATGGTGCAGGATCAGAAGAAGACACGGGGGGCGTCTTGCAAGTCCCGTGAGATGAGATGCGGACCGCGAACTAGATTCCAATGTGCAAATTCATTTTGCCTCCTGCTAGGCGGAGTCCTCAGCCGGCAGATAGCCATACGCCAAAAATAAACCAACATTACCAAGGTATCGCACCTCCTTCGACCTGTACTAGCTAGGTATTATTCCCTTTAACGGCCTAAAAACACCGGTTCTGCGATCGCTGGGGGTGATCCCACTCAGGCGATGAGAGGGTCTTCCTGTTTCCTTAGCAGCGCCAGGATGGCTTGGGCGGGTGAGTTCCCGCCGCCGCTCTCAAACTCGGTGATGACGCCCGTGATATACTTATCATGGGTGTTATCGAACAGCAACCGAAAATTGTCGGCCGTGTTCCTCTCAGGATCGATTTCATTGTATGTCAGCGCATCCACTGACACGCGCTCCCGGTCGAAATTGATGGTTTCACAGAGCACAATCACCTTGGTGCCCGCATTCATGGCCGCCATGGCCACGTCGGCCGTTCCAGAAGGTGCATTGAGCGAACCATTGGCAAAGATGGCCTCCCCCCCAAGAAAGACGTTCGACGCCGCCGCCACCTTGGGTCGTAGACCACCAAGGTTGGGAGAATAAAGCACCTCAATGCCCACTTGCCGGAGCCTCTTGGCGAGCTCTTGGCCGCCACGCTCATAAGGATCGTCAATGATGGTGACACCAAACGTCTTGCCGCTTTTCTTCGCTCGGATGAGTGTTTTCTCGACTAGCCGGTGCCAACCGTATGTGAGAATGGTATCGCCCTCGTTGATTGACTGAGCTGCATTCCGCGCAATGACAAACTCGGCCAAAGCGATCCGCTCGTGAAGCAAGTAGTCGATCCATTCAAGAAGTTCCTCCTTTGCTTCATCCTCAGGAGTGTTGATGTCAAATTTGTTGACCTTGGCCTTGAGCAGTCGAATGGCGTTACCCATGGCGAAGCACATTGGCCTGCACTCGGTGAGGTACTCGATCTGGGGATTCAGGACGTGAGGGACAAAGTGCCGAGATAACGAGTTCCCCTTGGGCGTCTCGTACGATTCAATCACCTAGAGCCCTGTTAGAGAAGTAGTCCGACGCTTCAAAGTCCAATAGCAGTCACGAACCTTCCGGAACGCCAGCATGGTAGCCTGAAGCCGGGAGATACTATCCTTCAGACCGAAGGTAGCCATCTGCTGGCCGACTGCAAGCACAGCAGGGTGTACGTCCTTATGCGCCTGGGAGGTTTGGATCCGCTTGGCCATGGGCACATGGCTGAAGCATTCGGGGATTCCACTCCTAGCATCCTTTTCAACCGCCGGCATGGACGGCCGGCGCCCGCTCACTGATGACTGATGTGCTTGCACCTGCCCACCTTTCCCTGGCCCCGGCTGTCCATCTTGTTTTCCCTTGCCCTTATTCCCCTTTGCGTCCGCACCCGTGCCACCCGCTTGTGCTGTCGGCAGGGCTGACGCAGCGGCTGCTCTGGCTTCTTTTACTTGTGCCCGCCTTGCCGCTTTCTCAGCCTTTGCCTTGGCTTTCAACTGCGCAGGAGTGAGCTTCTCTTGACTGGTGGCGACGGCGGGAGTGTTGCTTGGGGCTGGTGCGCTCTTGGTCCCGTCCTGCAATGCTGGGGCTCCTAGCGGAGCCCCATTGCTCTCAGTAGCCATGGACCCTCAAGGTCGATATCAGCCCCCAAGATGGTCGAGTTTGAACTTGAGTGGGGTTGATGTGGTGAAATTTCACCAGTGGGAAGGGCTGGGTAAGCGCAGCAGATGTTTATCGCCAATGATTTAGCAGATCCTTGCTGTATATTATTGGATTCGGAATTCGGTCGGAAATCAGGATGAAGCCGAATAATCGGTATTGAGCGATCCGCTGTTAGGCTGTGAGTTTTGTCGTGAATTGAGTCACAAGCAAGAAAGAATCATCCCACATACCTCGACACCCCGCGCCCCGCATTTATGTGGAGAGCTCCAATCAGAAATCAGAACCCCTGTCATTGTTCTCGAAGCCCGAAAAAGCTTAAATGCTCCCGATGATGCACTTGCGAGTGAGGTCACTGCGCAAAATGGTCTCCCGCAAACAGCAGCCGCCTTTGTCTACAAGCTGATCTGTTCAACTTGAGGTTACTTCTTCAATGCACGGATTCTGTAAGTTACGGTAATTATGGTATTGTACAATACAAGTACAGTCCTACACTATCAAGGTCCTGCCTCTTTCACTACTGCTGCCTCTGCTACCTCCATTGTCGCCGTCTCGTCGCTCGCCTTCCCATCTGCTGCTGCTGTTCCTGTGGCTTTGGTGCTAGGTTGCAAGTACATTATCAATTCCTGGCCCACGGCTCCCGTGGTCGGCTTAAAGTTGGCCGTCCCAGGCACCTCCGCAATGATTTGCAAGACAACCTTGTGGACCTCCTTCGCTTCTTCCGGTGTAGCGCGCCTCTTACTCCGTTCTTTTGGGTTATACAATCTGAGCTGCACTCTGTAGCCCTTGCTAAGGAACTTCTTTAGCTGCTTCATTTTCGTAGCCAGATCATGCGGCGCGATGGCCCAATTTATCTCCAACTCCTTCAGGACTGATTTGTTTGCTTTCTTGATCTCCTTCTCTGCTTTCTCCTTGGCCCGGGCGGCTTCGCTGGCGGCCCTGCGGTCGACCACGACGCAAATGGGATACTCGGGGCCCTTGCCTTCCTTTTTGGGGGGAACAATTAGGACAAGGTCATACCGGGCCCGGTCGATACGCCTGAGAACGCTCTTTGTTTCCTCTGGCGGGGAGAGCCTGTTGTCGGGTTGCCGGATTTGTACCAACGGATACTTGATGTCGTAGTTCCGAAGTAGATTGTCGGGGGCAGGGCTGGCTGCTCTGGGAGGGCCCTTTTTTATTAGAGAGACATATCGGGTGGAGTGAAGACGGCGCAAGGACGAGGGCGACCGAAAGGAATTGGCGATGGCGGGTAGCAGCAGACGTTGCAGCTGTCCAGGCGATTCCAAAACGAGTGATTTGCTAATGAACACATTCCTGAGGGCGATGGAGGAATTCAATAGACATTGCGATGTCTTCATGGTGGGATTGACAAAGTCCAACTGCGCAGTTGAGATGGCAAGAGAGCGAAATCGTGAGTTGCTTTTCTCTCCGGAGGGGATGAAAGGAGGACGGGATATCTTTCGTATTTCATAGAATTTCACTTCTTGACGTCGAACAGGCTTGGCGCTCACGCTTGAGCCAGAAGGATCTGCCATACTTGCCATTCCGTTCTTCCCATTGGTGGCCTGGGGGTTCCACTCAACAATCCACGATCAACGACATGCATTCCCCTTACCCACCCGCGAGCCACTTCACCATCTCATCTCATCATCATCAAACATGACTTTCTAACCACCATCCCACCCATCCCAATTGATGCGATCAGCCTATCCTCTCCTGCGCGGTCTCCTCGGGAGGAGACCGTTCAGCAGATCGGCACCTTCCCACAGCCCTCAAACTCAGGCCCCTCCGCTCGACCAAAAGGCTCCACCTCCCCTTCCCTCATGGATAGGCCACCCCTTCGGCGTGCTGGTGCGCACGCTCAAGTTCGTGGCCTTTGCGCACATGATCTGGGATTACGGCATCTCGATGGCTCCCGCGTCCGGGCCGTCGATGCTCCCGACATTTGAGGTGCTTGGCGAGTGGCTTCTCGTGTCCAAGCTGCACCGCTTTGGCCGCAACGTGTCGATCGGCGACGTGGTGGCCTACAGCATCCCCATCAATGACGAGGTGGGGGTGAAGCGCGTCTTGGGCCTTCCGGGCGACTACGTGCTCGTGGACGCCCCCGCCGAGAGCGGGAGCGGTGTTGGCATGGGCTTGGGGACCGGCGCCGCAGCGGGGAGTATGATCCAGGTACGTTAGACCATGACCCAAACGTCTCCGGTTCCTTGGTGGGGATATCGCGTTATCGGTTGTGGTGGGAATGGAGAGCGGCGGATGTTTACAGCTTTCTCTCTCCCTCTTCTGCCAGGTGCCCCAAGGTCATTGTTGGATTGTGGGCGATAATTTGGTGGCCTCGCGGGACTCGAGGACCTTCGGCCCAGTCCCGCTGGCTCTCATCAGAGGCAAGGTCATTGCGACGTTCAGGCCGTTCTCTGAATTCAAGTGGATGGCCAATCCCTTGCAAAGCCCGGATGACAAATCCGGACCTTGAGGTCTCCGTCAATTCCGCAGAACATTGTCCTGTTCTCAAGTCCATGTTGTTAAGGAGACGAAAGTGTAAGTCTAGTTGAAATTGGCGGATATCTCTGGACTACGAGTCTAATTACAACATCCTAGGCAAGCCAGGCCTATCAATGCAGGTCCTAGCGCTGTTAATAATTTGGTAAAGGGTATTGCAAAACTCCTCCGGTGTTGATGGTATGGTAATAGTTTGGGTTAGCCGTGGGAATCCGTTGACTGATCGGCGCCATAATACAAAGGAAACCTTGCTCTCAAGCACGCGACCGATGTTGGTGTGGAAACTTCGAAGCCCATAACCCCATCCTCTGCCCGACCCCAATCCTCCAGATGCTCACTTACGACATACACGTTTCCCGGGGAATCCAGCTTCCAATCCCTTCCTAACCGTATAGTAAATTAAATACTGACGCCTCCAACTCCACGCCTGACTCATGCTGAATCAAGAAGCAAGCATGCTACATGGAAAATAAAAAGAGAGTATAAGGCGCAGCAGGGATTGCCGCACGCGTCCAATCAGCGAGACGCTATCATCAGCCCTCGATGTGGGTCTTAGCCGCACCCTGTCCCAGCAGCTCTAAGCAGCGCTGGGCGAGGCTGACAACCTCTCCCTCGTCATCGTCCTCGACGTCATTCTCTGACTCCATTTGGCGATTGGCGATCTGCCTGATCATTTCCACAATGTCGTCCGACTTGCCAATAAGGCCAATGAGCTTTTTGTCCTCTGACTCGAGCAGCTGGAGCAAGGTCCAAATCGCAATGTGCTGGAATGTGGCATCTCCGCTAGCAAGGAAACGGCTAAGATAGCCGTGGATGCCATCGCTTGGCTCGGTCCAGTTCTGAACAAATATGCTGTAGTCTCCGACTAAACCATTGTCAGTGCGCGATCTTGAGCGAATGGGGTAGCAAACGGACCTTTGGATGAGAGGTTTCCTAACGCAGCGGCGCTGTTCCCTTGAACCTCGACGCTGTGAGACTTGGTAAGGGGTATCAACACCTCAAATACCCCAAGTTCGAGGAGGTGTGTCTTGAGCTCGTCGCTCAGGGCAAGAACGGCAATCGCGGCCGTCATCTCCGATTGAACCTGGACAGGGACCTCGAGAACAAGCTGCTTGCATTTCTGAACCGCTCCTGCCTCAAGTACGAGGGACTTATTCCGATCTGAACTCGCTGCTAGATTACGGAGTGTCGAGATGGCGTGGCATTGGATTTCTTCATTGTCTGTCGACCCGAGGAGGTCGACCAAGGGCTTCAAAAACCCGGCTTCGATGATGGGTGATTCGTTCTGGGGGTGGATTGAGATGTTCCGGATGCACGCCACGGCAGATAGAATGAGCGGGAGGTATGACGACCGAAGCAGGCGAAGAAGGGGCCCGAGTCCGTGAGCCTGGACAATTTCTAGCTGATACTTCTCGTCGGAGGCGAGGTTCCGAAGTGCTAAGGCAGCCTGGCACTGAACCTTTGGTGAGGACGACTCTGTCAGGTTAACCAGGTACTGGACAAGCCGTGGCTCGGTCTCAGCTAGCTTGCGTCTGTTGGCAGCGTCCACGGCTATGTTGCTCAACGCGGTCGTGCAATAGTACTGCACGTCCACATCTGGGGACGACAAAAGCTGGACTAGCACAGGGATGGCTCCTGCATTTACCAACTGCTGCCGGTTCTCATCTGATAGCCATTAGCCGCAGGTTTGACAACACACATCTGCGTTTGAACCGTACCGGAATGTGTCATATTCAAAAGAGCGCCAGTGGCATTCCTCTGTACCCTCATATCCTTTGACTTGGCTAGCCGTGTCAAAGGCCCCAGAGCTCCGGACCTTGCGATCTTTGCCTTGTTGTCTTCATGTGTTGCCAGATTGGTGATGCACCCGACAGCGTTGCACTGAACCTCCACGTTTGGTGACATCATCTGCCGAATCAGGGGTTGCAGTCCGCCAAGCTGAACGATTAGGACTTTGTTCTCCGCTGGTCCTTTCGTTAGCAAGGCTTCTAGGAAAAGAGCTGTCGACAGAAACCTACTGTTGACGGCGAGGTTGCCCAGCGCGGCACTAGCGGCTCTCTGCACCTCAATGTCTGAATTCTCGAGGAGGAAGAGGATGGGGCCGAGGGTGTCGCGATCAACCGCTCGCACATCTAGAACCAGAGAGTTAGCTCCTTGGACAAACCGCAACGAGCAGCCTCTATACTCTAGGCCCCGGACGCGTTGCTGTGGTGATCAAGCCAGCTCCGGGTCCCAGCATATCGACAATATAGCCCATGTTTCCCACGCACCTCTTTCAGTAATCTCGGCAAAGGTCAGACTCGCACTTCGTTGAAGGTCAATGTTATCCGAGTAGACAAGGGTGCTCAGGGCTCGAAGGGGTTCACCCGAGAAGAAGTCGGTTTCTGCTCGCTGTGGATCCATGTGAGCGCGGATTAAGGAATATGGGCAGATGGGGAGCGGCACTAACATTCTCGAGGTACTGCAGCAGGTCTGCGACAGCCTCTCGCTCATTCTCGGCGAGAACATTCTCGTACAAGCCGTCGCGGGATTTGTCTAAGCCATCAGCACATGAACAAAGGCACGCATATACTGGTACTGGGATCCGACAGTACCTCCGCAGCATGAGGAGCTGCACACGCCCATGGTCGCTGATCGGACAATGGCAACAAGCCCAGCGTCGAAGTCCCTTCTAAGGCGCCTTCGATTTCAGAGGCTGGAAGTTTTTGCTCGTGATCCGGAGAGGCGGCCCGGGTGAGCACTTGCTCGGTCGTCGAGCTAGTTTCGGGATACCGGGACCGACAGTGCGACACCGAGTTCAAAGCAAATAAGTTGCTCAAATGGCAAGCGCTCCCTATGCGCACAAACAAGTATTGTGTTTCTGTGCTGGCAGCCGCTGGATTTCGGAGTCGATGGTCAGTTGGTTGTTTTTGGTTGTTTAGGTTAACTTGGGCGGTCCGAATCAGACGGACACACGCAAGCAACAAACCACGACGTGTGAAGGAGCTGTCCTGCCTCGTTCGGCTGTGAGCCGGGGTTAGCATGGCCCGTGCACGCACTGTAGTCATCAGGTTTCTCCAACTGACCAGAGGGGTTGTTGGAATGGCTGACCTTGATCATCAAAACCTCTGTGGAAGTCCTGTTGAGCAAGTCGGCTTTTCATATTAGAAAGGCCATACTCCCACCTTCATTTCCAAGTCTTTCGCGCATTCACAATTTGATTGCCCAGTAATACCTCTGTGTAAGTTATGTATGTACTTATAATGTACGAATAGTTGTACGTATACAGTTCCATACATGACACGTTCGTCGCAGTTCCTTCCTCATTTTCCATATATCTCAGGTCAGTAGTACATACCTGACTTTGAAAGCTGTTGTAGAGTACGGATAGGATTTCTATTCTGTGCTCTATGCCCGCAGCGTTGTTTACTCATTTGAAGAGCAGCTTCATCACCCAAGATGTGATTGTCACGTCACCGAATGCCTAGGTAACTCTTCCTCCTTCGTCCCAGATGTCGGCTCGAGATCATATACATACAATACTTCGTACCTTACATTAACTAAGGTACAGTACTGTATGTACGGTAGTTGTACAGTACAATTCACACTAGACCCACAAAGAGTTGTACTCTGTACCGCTGAAGATCTACACTATCAGCAAGGTCGGTTAGTGGGGAGCATGGGTTTCTTATCACAGCCAAGCAAGCATCACTACCCGATCGCCTTCAAGTTTGCGTATTGCATCTTGGACGCGCGATCCTGTTGCGGCAACAGTTTGTCGAGATTTTTGTACAGCAGCGGAGAAGGCCGCCCAGCTTTCTCCTCGCTGTTTCCTCCCCCATCTTTAACTAGCCGTCAATCGGCCCCGACGACAGCGCACTTCTTGCTCAAAGCGGCCCATTTGGCAGAGAGCCTGAACGGGAAAGCTTGCCCGATGTGCGTTCCACCATCACGATAATGGACGACGCTCGTGCTCCTCCCGAAATGGCACATCCCGGCACCGACAGCGCTCCCACAACTTCCTCTCCCTCCATGACTACGGGCGGGAATAATGGCAATGCGCAGCTGCCGCTGCGACCTGGTCACGAGCTTCCCTTTGTTGCCCCCTCGTCGTACCTCCGCCCAAAGCCAACCAGTCGCACAATGTCCGAGAGGACTCCAACTGCTCTGGACAAGGACCAGATGCAGGGTCTGGTGAGCAGTCCCCCGCTCCGATTCCAGCTTACCCGTTCCATCCGCCCGGTTGCCAGCCACCGGTAGCCCCGCGGCGGCGGATGGTGCTTCGCTGGGCTTTTTGGCACCGCACGGCTGCGATGCGGGGTTCCGCGATTCCCTGCAGACCGTTTCAATGGCTAACGTATCCGTACCGGCGGGCAAATTGACAGCGGGGAATCCGCGAGTTCCTGAAGGTCCGAACCAGCTACGATGTGCTTCCGCTCTCCTTTCGCCTCGTCGTGCTCGACAACGACCTCCTGATCAAGAAGAGCTTGAACATCCTCATTCAAAATGGTGTGTTGTCCTGAGACGCGCGCGGCCCAGGGCCCGCAAGAACAGCGCTGACCCAAGAGACGGCGTACTCGCAGGCATCGTCTCGGCACCTCTTTGGGACTCGCGCAACTCGACGTTTGCCGGGTTGCTGACGAGTACCGACTACATCAACGTGATTCAGTACTACTGCCAGTTTCCAGATGAAATCGCCCAGGTCGACCAGTTTCGCCTCAGCAGTCTTAGAGGTAGGCAAAGCTACCCCCCCTGACAAGAGGCTGTATCACGCAGGGGCTAAGCATGTTATTGCTGGCCAGATATTGAGAGGGCAATCGGAGTTGTGCCGCTTGAGACATTGTCAGTCCACCCCATGCGGCCGCTATACGAGGCCTGCCGGCGCATGCTCAAAACCAGGGCAAGGAGGATTCCGCTGGTCGATGTCGATGACGAGACGGGCCGCGAGATGGTTGTCAGCGTCATCACGCAATATCGCATCCTGAAGTTCATCGCCGTCAACAACGAGAAGCACACAATGCTTCTCAAGAAGCCTGTGAGGGAGATTGGCTTAGGCACCTACTCCAACCTGGCGACAGCGACCATGACCAGTTCTGTCCTTGAAGCTATCCACCTCATGGTCAAACACAACATCTCGGCGGTGCCAATTGTCGACGAAGAATACAAGGTGCTGAATGTTTTCGAAGCCGTCGATGTCATCCCCTGCATCAAAGGAGGCGCATACGACGAGCTGACCTCATCTGTTGGCGACGCCCTTTCGAAACGTGCTGAAGACTTTGCTGGAATCTACACATGTAACGAGGATGACCGGCTCGACGCAATATTCGACACGATCCGGAAGTCCCGAGTCCACAGGCTGATCGTGGTCGACGACGATAACCGTCTCAGGGGCATCATTTCACTCTCCGACATCCTCAAATACGTCCTGCTCTTTGGAGAAGAAGATGACAGCATCCGCGCCGCTTCCGCTTAGCGGGCCCAGGCTAGACGCGGTACCACTTGGCGACGCCGCCAACAGCCATTTACTTTGCGCCATGGCCGTTCTTTTACGTTACGCTTTTTCCCATTGTTAATGTGCATATGCATGGCGTCAGGACCAGGTTGCGGGAAGGAAATACCATGGCTGCATCTTGTGTTTGATCAAACGGTATTATAGACTTGTTGCTGGCTTTCCCCCTTTTCTCAAACAGAGATATAGGGCAACAGTGTACTGCAGCCTCACCCCTCGCAATTGAGATGGTTCGGCTCTGCTCTAGCCTTCTTTCAAAACAGCCCGGTCCTTTCCAAAACGGGCGGCTCCTTGCCTAACCCATGACGCCATCCGCCAGGTTGCTTCTACTGGTTGTTCCTTCAGGGGAAAGAGCCTGTCGTCGACACCTCAATCTGTGCGAGGCAGCTGGCAACATGGGAAGCAGCAACCGAAGGCAGAGCTCGGGTAGAGGTATCCAATCCGCAATCTCAGGTTGTGGATTGAAGCATTAGTATCGTCGGCCGCCGATTATCTTTACCTTATCATCCCATGGCCAAAAGACACATCCTTTGCCCTGCCACATGCCTGCCCATGCTTAACCATCCTCTATTATGCGCAGGAGTCACCTACAACTCTTGGATGGTGGCTTGTGTGGTAAACATAGAATATTGACTGCCACATGATCCTGAGCCAGGCTCTTACTCTATGTTCTCTCCCGAAGCGTTTCCGACAAGCCTTTCCCATCCGGCTGCAGCCAGCCAACTAGCCATTCCAGGACAGGACAAGCAGTCTTACCCGGGATGCGAGGCTCGGACCCTGTCCTCGGGCGACGTGGAAATGATCAAGATGGCTGAGGCGTCCGACTTTGAGGTTATTGAAAATCGTAATGCGTTTGTTCGAGAGTATAACCTCCTATCCTCCGAGGTTCGTATTCACCACCTCTCCTCCCAACCGCATTACCGTTCGCTTCCTCTTCTGGTTCCGCTTCTCCCTTTTGCTACACCCCGGCGAGCCCGCTAATCATAACTAGCATGGCCTCCCTATGCTCGTGCCCGAAGCCCAAGTACCTTCATCGGCCCCGCCCTCCTTGCACCTGCACCGCGGGGAAAATTGGCTTAAACGAACTTTCTTGCGACGAAGGTCGAATACAAGCAATGCCAGCTCCACGAAATCAGACCAAACTGTCAGGCATAGGGGAAGCGCCAGCGATCTGGCAATGCATCTAATGGCTGGTACGAAGAGGGACAGTCTCAAGGATCAAGATCTTCCGTCACTGGTGCGGCTGTGCGGCAAGAGCACGCTGTATCTGCCTGCAGAATACGCCCCGGCTCCTTTGACCCTTCCTACATGCTTCCGCGCCACTGCACAGTATCTTGTACAACACGGTAAGACATGGCGACTGGGCTGAAGTCTGTGATGGTGTCTCACAACATTATGCTAACAGCAAAACAGGCGTCGAGACCAGAGGGATATTTAGAATACCCGGTTCGGTCCGAGTGGTCAATGCTCTCTACGAGTATTACTGTGCCGATGGAGATTTGGACGAGATTACCAGCACGACTCGTTCTCCAAATCTCCCAGCTCATATCAAGGCTAGGACCCATGACGTCGCTTCAACTTTCAAGCGCTTGCTCAAGGGCCTTCCCAGAGGCATCCTGGGCTCCATGTGCCTGTTCGACACCTTGGTCACCATTGCTAATCGGCTGGACAATTCAAAAAACACAGAGACTATGGCAAGGCTGATAGCTCTGGCACTCGGTGCTGTTGGGTCCCATCTCCGCCGCGACCTGATATACGCGGTCTTCGGTCTTTTGTCCTTGATCGGGCACCATGCTGAGACGGCGCCACGAGAGGATAGCCAGGGGAGGCCGCTTCCGGTGACAGATCTAATGAGCTACAGTGCCCTGGGCATCGTCTTTGGCCCCCTGTTGATTGGGGATGATATCAATTCCTCTACAACTGGGGCTTACAATATCAATGCTAAGTTGGAGCCGCTCCAGACTCCTCAGTCTAACAGATGGAGGTTAAGACGGAGAAGCAAGGATTTGGCCGATGGTTACCCGGGGACAGCCTCAATGGACAGAGTCCACGTGGCCAACAACATCACCGAGTTGATCATAACCCACTGGCAGAGGATTGTAAAGCACACCAAAAGCCTGGCATTGCTCGAAACATCACCCCGGAGCAGGCCGTCGCTGTGGTCTTCTGTCTCCGACTCACTCCTAGTTAGAGGTCTTGGTGACTGGGAGGTCCTGCGACCTGCCTCGTGGCCAACTGCCATGGGCGGACCCCCTGCCTCGTCGAGTCCTGCTCTCGAAGCCAGTAAGTCTCTTCCAGGAATTGTCCCCATGAAGCTGACGTATGAAAAGCGATCAAGATGACTGAACGCATGGAGCGGCGCGAAATGACCCGCTCCTCGTTCTCCTCGTTCGTAATCCAGTCACAGCGATCAAACGCAGCAAGACCATTATCAGGCCGTGTTGGCGCCCCCAAAACGCTCTCGCCTACAAAAGAGGACTCGGAGGAGGCTAATAATGAGGATGTGGCAGCGGCCGAGCAACCAATAAGTATCCAAAGTCAGCTAGGGGCGCATGAGGAAAATGCATTTCGACTTAGCCCAGAAGAAAACGGAAATTCCTCATATCTACCCAAAATCCAATGTCAACTCTTCACGCCGGGGAAAAGCGTTGGGTTGAGCGTAGAAATAACGCTTGACGCCACCAGAGAGGGAGAACGTGAACGTGAACGTGAACGTGAACGTTTGGGATCTGGAACCGAGGAGACATTCTCGCCTTCGCCCCTTGATATTCAACCACCAGAGGTGTCAACTCAGGCAGTACAAACTCCGCTCCCTCAGCCAAGGCCACTGATTTCGACCGGCAGCGCTGTCAGGGCAATGGCCGCTAAGTTTGAGAATGCTTCAAGAAAGTCAGAAAGTGTCTTAAGTGCTAGGCAGGAAGCTGAGAGGCAAGCTGACTGCCCCCGAGTGGTGATGACCGAAGCGGCAGTTGCTTTAAGGGGTTCCTGCAGAGACTCTCCGATGCCAGCACAAAAGATTCCGCAGCAGGAGGCATCTCTCCCCAGTCGAGGCACAGCAAGACGGAGTACAGCAGGACAGATTATCCCAACTGCGCACGAAGCAGAAGAACGCCAACCGCCTACAGCGCGTACGCCCGTCAGCCGAGACCAGCGCCAGACACCCGCGGCCACACCGCAAAGGCCACCTCCGACAGGAAAAGAGAAACCTAACCCACCACCACCACCACCAGCTCCTCAAACGCCCAACGCAATATTGCAACAGCAACACCGCGCTTCAGGAGAGCCTACACTGCCGACACCATCGTCAACTACCCAAAAAGTGTGGCGAAGCCCAATGGAGGCGGCCGTCAGCGCCAGGGAGGTCATTAGCGCTGTGATCACAAAGGTGGAAGACCTCCATCAGCAGCTAGAAGTGCGCACCGCCGAGATGGCGGACCTGCGTCATGAGTTGATTGATGCCGGGCGCCGTGCCAATGCCCAGGTCGCTAGGCTGCGGGAGATGCTGGATGAGGCCGAGCGGGGAGGGGCAGCATGGAAGGATAGGGCTGTAAGGGCTGAGGAGATGCTGAAGGGGCTGGAGTTTGCTCTTCACGGGGTTAGAGAGGGCAGACCGATATGACGTTGCGGGGAATGTCGTAAATGGGAGGAGTGCGAGACTTTGGGCATAGCATATATATAGTATGGGTTGGGATAGAAGTTAGTTGTAGCAAGGGACAGTAGTCCCATGTACTGTGTATTAGTCCTGGATTCGACCCTACAAGACGTAATTCTTGACACCACCATAAATTCGCGGCGATAGAGCCGGAAAAACAACCCTGAATGGGCGTACTTTTTGAACAGATTTGGTACAGTCCTATAATACAAGTACAGCTGGCCACATGGGCAGCGCGACTCAAGAAGGGCGCCTCCTCTACCGTGTGTACTTGGAACCCCTGATGCGCTTGGTGTACTTCCACAGGCTGCGGTACTTCGGCTTTTGCCGCTTGGCCTCCCAGCCGCGGGGCGCGCGCGGGGGCTTGAGCGAGTGGACACGCTGGGGCCTGAACTCAATGTCGGCGCCGGGGATGCCGTGGCGGGCCATGACGTCGGCCGTGTTCTCGTCCCACACGGTCCGGAAGAGGGTGAAGCCCACGGGGGTAAGGCCGAACTTGTCACGGAAGCTCTTGAGGCTGAACCCTTCGCGCCCGGGCCCGTCGTAGAGCCTCTTGAGCTTGGCCGTGTCGAGCGGCGCGTCGCCGTCCTGTTCCAGCACGAAGACGCTGAGGCGGTGGTACGGCGAGCCCTTTTGCGCGAAGGCAGGCAGCCACGGCACGGCCAGGGCGCCGAGCTCCTCGGAAGCCGGATGGGTGGAGGGGACGCCCTCGGGCGTCAGCTGGTGGAGCTGCAGCGCGGTCCTGGTCGGCGACCAAGGGACGTTGGCCGCCATGAAGTGAAGGCGCTTCTTGAACGAGTCGGTCTCCGGGTCGGGCACGTCCGAGTCCATGACGACGACCGTGTACAGGCGCTCGCTCTTGTCGAAGACCTGCATGCGGAGGGTGGGGGGCGTCTCGGTGATGCGGCTGTTGAGGATGGTGCCCGGGGCGCACTTGTAGCCGCGGAAGGACATTTTGACGTCGATGGTGGGCTCGAATTTGGGCAGGAGGTCGGGTACGATGTGGAACTGGTTGATGCGCTGCAGTATGATCTTGCGGTCCATGGAGCACCATTTGCGGTGGGCGAGGTACCGGTAGATGGGCTTGTTCATGTCGCCTGCCCGACAAACCGTTAGCAGAAACTAGGGGTCAAGCAGAGACAAGAATGGCACACTCTGCGGTTGATACCCACCCATCCCGTCCTCAAAGCGCCGCTTGACAAGCGGATCGTTGATGTCGGCCAGGATCTTGAGCTTCTCAATATATGAGCGCAGGCTTGCGATGCGCCTCTGTTTGTATGCTTCGCCGCCGCGGTATATGCTTGCGTCGGTCGCTTCCAGCCGCTTGATCTTCTCGGTTTCGGCGACGATCTTGGCCATCTTCTCCTCGCGGTCCTGGGCCAGGATCTTGCGGGCCTCTTGGAAGCATTGGTAGGGCATCAGCTCAAAAGGCACGTCGCCTGTGGTGGCTAGGGCAGCTCGTCTTCTTCGCGAGCCGAGCTGCGGTGAGAGGAACTTGGCAAGCTCTTCCTCGGGGCCCGTCTTGACTGTCGAGGGGCCGCGTGTAGGCTTCTGCTGGCCAAGGAGTGCGGCATCGGCGGCAAGTTTCTGGGCCTCGGAGCCAGGCTCTATCGGCGTTGTCGTCGTTGCCGTCTCATCTTTCCGGACCGACGTCGATGAGAACTGGCGGAGGGCAATTGGCGGCGGGTGACATGTTGCCGTGCTGCCCGTTGCTTGCCGTAGCGACCGCACTATGGGCCGCGCAACCTGTTGAGGCCTTGACATGGCAGCGGGCGGCGGAAGCGTGGATGGTTTGAAGGAACTTTGGGCTGCTGTTTCGGACAAACTCAGGACATGCGCCGATGAAATTTCGCGGACCCATGCACCGGCTCCTGACTTCGGCGTGACTTACCATACGTAATTCGTAACGCTGCTGTAATTAACGTTACGGCGTGTCTGTGCGCTGCAACGCCTGGTCTTTTTTTCTTCGAACATTATACTGGGGATGGGCGAATTTGAGACGAAGACAGACAGACGGAACGGACAGAACAAACAGCAGGCGAACATATCGAGGTCCGATTGCAGCAGCACCGGGGCCAGTTGCCATAACTGCGCAAATCACCGCCGCCATGGCCGGCAAGGGAATGAAGGGCCTCAGCGACGCCCTGAGAGGACTTGGCCTTGTTGCCCAGCCATGCAGGACACTGCCTGTTCGTGTGCCGTTATTCCTCTCGATTCTTACTTTCCTTGCGGTTTCAAACTAATAATCAATCCGTACGAATCAAGGTCCGGCAATTACCCTTGACATGTAGGCGATCAATGGCGACTGAAGCACCACTTCCAAATATCACACGATCAGTCTCCGATTCCTGGAATCCCGGTACGGCTTGCAACTATCAACCGTCACTGCTCCAATTCCTATGGTCACTAACAGCTGCTGCAGTAACATCTGTTCCTCTCACCATCTACTCGTTCCCCACCCTCGAACCGCGCTCGCTCGAGTCATGGTCAACCAAGCACCTCCACCTCCCGCTGCGCCGCGACATCCTCCACCTGGCCGTGGTCTACGAGGGCGACAAGACGCGGCAGGGCACGGCCTCATCCAAGACACGCTGGGAAGTTCACGGCTCACACCGCAAGATACGGCCGCAAAAGGGCTCAGGCCGCGCGCGTCTGGGCACGAAGCAATCGCCAATGCTCAAGGGCGGTGGCAAGGTTTTTGGCCCCAAGCCGCGCGACTTTAGTACCAGGCTCAACCGCAAAGTGTACGACCTGGCGTGGCGCACGGCACTGTCGTACCGGTACCGCCGCGGCGAGCTGATCGTGACCGAGGACGGGCTAGAGCTGCCGCTGCCCGACGAGTTCCTCCAGCTGGCCGAGAGCGGCGTGCTGGGCCGCGAGCTCGAGGACGGCTTCGTCCGCAAGTACGTCGGTGAGCTGATGACGGCGCTTCAGTGGGACAAGGCACACGGCCGGACCACCTTCATCACCGGCGACAGGCGGCCCAACCTGTTTACGGGCCTGGAGATTGCCGGGGAGAACGGCAGAGCGCTGGAACTGGAGGACGTGGATGTCAAGGACCTGTTGGAGACGGGGAGGATCGTCATCGAGCGGAGTGCGCTGCGCGAGATGATCAAGACTCATCAGAGTGACCTTGTTACAAAAATCGGATTACGGGGCACCAAGTCAGGGCCCCCGTTGGGGCAGACGCTGGTCCGGTAGAGAGGGAACTAGATGGGCGTATTTGTATGTACTATATCTTCCCGAGTGCCAGTTGGCGGCCATGGGCGCCACCGTGCAGTTGCTGTAACATGTAAACTTTCTATCTTCAGCCAGTCCTTTTCTGCCGTGGTCGTCTTGAACGTTTTGCATATGTAAGTAGGTACCTGTCTTTCAGTGTCAACGGAGTCTAGGTCCTGATACTGCACGTACGAGACTGTCGGAATGGGTAAGATCACAACCGCGGGGCCTGATGTAAGGCAGAAGGCGTGAGGCAGCACTATGAAGCAGTGAAATCACGGGTACAGGCAAGGCAAATCGTGTCGTGACTGCCCGTTGATGGCCACTGGTGGATCTTCACTGCAGTGGCATGGTCATTCATCGAATCATCGGAGTTTCAGACCTTCAAAGTTCACTGTGCACACACGCACGGACCCAGCCAAATTTGCAGACGCGCACGGGCCATGGCCTTTGGGTTATATATTGCCGCTGCCGACCCCAGATCTTTCTCCTCTTCTCTTTTCTTTTCCCCATCCCGGTGCAGGGGTTTTACGTGTGTCAGTGAGGATTCGTCCGAGACCACGTTTTTGCTAGTTGAAAACTACAACCTGACCGCTCCTAGTTGGCTGAGGCTGGCTAGGGAATTTTTGGACCTTTCTCGATGGAGAGAACCTTTTCTGTCTTTCATTGCCAACGCTTGCTTGCCGAGCGTGGCGAAGAAGGACATTGGGAGATGTGGGAGATGGATGGATGCGCTGTGAAATGGATGAGTGTGCCAGGTTATGGTGTCTGACGGGCTCGAAGGCAAGCTTCGATACATTTTCGACATGGACGGTTGAAGCCAACGCATGGGTGCTACTGGCATAGGGAGCGAAGGATTGGGTCGGTATCAGTGGCCGCATGCGCCCAATGAGTAAAAAAGGTGGTCATTCGGTCGCACAACGTGTCAAGTCTCCTCGGAAGTTTTGTTCTCATATTCTGTACCCACGGCTTTGGCGAGCTCTTTGCAGTGTACTCAAGGATCCTCCATACAGGCCGATGTGTTTTCGATTGAACAACATGGAATGGATTGTACCTAGTCTCACCACGAAGTTGCGACGTTGTCCAGCCAAACCTGCAGGTATATATTTGGACGCCTAAGTCGAGACTAATGTGCAAATGTAAAGACATAACGGTGAACTACAGACAATGCTGTCTAACTAATAATCCCAAGTTGGCCGCCCTGCGAAGTCAATCGAACCCGAAGACCTGGGACAGCGAGATGGAGGCATCAGATCCACGGCCTGTCGTTGCCTGGTCAGGCCAGGCAAAGCCCCCACCGGGCGCTCTGAATGCACGGACAGTGTGCTGCCAGCCCTGTTCTCCAGGAACCGAGGCGCGAGTGGCCGTAATTTTCGCCAAGTGGAATTCAAGTCAGTAACAGGGTTGGTTAGAACACCTAGGTCGCAGGACAATGAAATTTGACAATTCTCAACCACATAAGTTCCATATTTTCATGCTAGTGTATGTATTTGTACGGACACCTGCCACAGTTCATCACGTCGCGGGTTGCTGGCTGTAAAAAGACGGCAAATGTAAACGTATGTAATTTTACATGATATGGTGAGTGGAAAAACCGATTGGCTGTCATGGGATCACTGAACGAGTAGAAATCTTAAATTTCCGCACTGTGCGACCACCGCTCGTCCGCTAATGCTCCACTGGTGCAAGAGCGAGTGGGCGTGCGAGGAGGACAGGGCGGATCAAAGTTAGTTACGCCTCCTCTTCCAAGCCCGTCCCTTCACCTCACCCCATCATCCTCAAAAACGACTTCCGCCGCCCAACGACTTTTTCAATCGCCCAGCGCCGCTGCCAGGCCTGCGACCCGCGTGAATATCGATTCAGCATTTCCAATACTTTCCAGTTTGATTCGCAGTAGCCTCCGGATTCGAATTTTGTCCGCCCTTGTCAGCAGGAGGAGTGTTGGTGGATTGGAGGTTCTGTGATTGCCGTCGTCGGCGCTTTGGCGCGACTCGTCACACAACAACCTCCTCCCCTCTCCGACTGCCTGCGTCGCCCGAACTGCCGCGAAATTTTCAATCAAATCTAACCCGGATCTGGGTCCGAAAGGCCTAGTTTTGCCTTTGGCGACGTGGCTCCGAGCGCCTATCGCTTGACAGAGTTTCTTTGTCCGCCGTCGCCACCTCCAACGGGGGACGGGTCGCGCCAAGATTACTCACCCACTTGCCCACCGATCGCCGCATTCCCGCAATTTGCAGTCCATGATGTCCTTCCACCCTCAGACTCCGCAAAGTCCCTCCCAGTTCTCTCCCAGCACGAGCGACCTGACGATGAGCATGACTGGAACCGTGCCATCGACCACGACCACGCTACCGACCCCGGCCCACAGCGTCAACGGTAGCTCGCTCCCGTCGGAAATGACACAGGATCTCGTCATGGGAGAGGACTCCCCGCACAAGCGCAAGCGAGCAATCGACGATGTTGGTGACCGCGAGCAGAAGAAAGTCGATGTCGAGGGCCGCAAACTGGGTATTGATGACCTCCACTTGGATGTGGGCGAAAAATACCTCCTTTGCAGAACTCGTAAGACTCCCTTGAACCTGTTCAAAGTAGCTCCAACAGCGAGAGCAGTTTTTACTGCCGCTTCGCTTCTCGCATCCCACAAGCGTCCCATCGCGCTGCCCTTGGTCGCTCGGAGTGCGAGCGAATTGCAGCCACTGTTTCGTTGTTTCCGTACTGAGACTTGTTAACATTTGCTTTCGCAGCGCGCCCTCTGCCTCGACCTAATGTGTCGGAAGATCTTTTCGAGATGTATGGCCTGACCGGAATCGCTGCTGAAGTTGCTCGTGTGCTCCCAAATGGAGAGAAGAACGCGATTCGAAAGACTTATAAGGGTCACATCAAGAAGCTTGGCGTGCAGGGCCACTTTGACTCGGTCAAGCAAGACGCTATGCGGCAAGACGGGCTCCTAGGGCTCATGAAGTGCCCGGAAGATGTGTGGGACGCTCAGTTTTTGCGAGGCAAGGATCTTCGCCAGGGCTTCCAGAACGAGGTGAAGCAGAAACTGTTGAGGGCTACAACAATGGGCAAAGGCTTCGTGGCCAAGACACTGTGGGATAGCTCGGTTCTAGGGGATCTGGCCCCCGGAAGAGGCGACAAGCAGACCTCGTCGGCGCGGCCTACCGCACCCAGCACCCCACTCGCATCTGCCGGTTTCCAACCCATGCAGCGAGCCAAGGTCGGCACTCCGATTGCACAGGATGCGGCTAGAGCCAAGCGCAACATCAAGAAACGGAGCTACGGTGACAGCAGCTTCGAGGGCTACGGCGAGGGTTTCCCCGATGATGACCTTGGCGCCGAGACTGGATACTCGACCGGGGAGGGCGAGATGGTCTCGGGCCAGAAGCGGAGAAAAAAGGTGCTCATCAACAGTTACGATCCTGTCTGATGAGGAACCTTTGCTGACGGGAAACAGACTCATCCAGCCAATCAGTCGTACCCCCAAGCCCGACAACCGGCTCATGGTGCCGGCATCATTGGGACATAGGAGTCGACTAGTGCTGTCGAGCCCAGCCGTTTTGTTTGCCCGCCTGTCGAGGCGCCTCTCAAGAGGGGTAGAGGCAGACTCCGTCGGCAGGATACAGTGAAGCCACTTGATCAGCGTTCAGGGTGATGCCTGACGGCCCGGTTGACATTCATTTCTCATGCATGACGGAGCAGCACAGATCTTCTTCGCAGTTCTCTAGCTCTGCCACCGCGCAGAAGAAGTTGGAAGAACAGCAACCGATCCCGAAATTGGTCAATTATCTTGGCTATGTCTGCGGAGATGCCGGCGGGCCAGGACGCAGAAGTCGAAGCAAAAAGGGAAGGGACGGCGGATCAAATACATTGGTGCCGTAAAGGGAGGCTTTCTCCAAACGGCGGATCGCAGAGCGAACGGTATACAGGTTCTGCCTGCCAAGTACCCAGCTAGGCTCTTGATCCATACAGCGCTGAGCAACTGGGAGCAGGCGCTATTTATTTTGCATTTTGACCAACATTCAGCATGGCGTTGGGGGCTTTGATTTCTTTTTCTTCCTTGCTCTCCTTCACCGAGAGAGCGATGAGCTGAACAACTCTGGCACCTTTATTATATTTCGCGTTGGAACTGGGGCATCACGTCGTTGCTCCTATTCCAATCCTGAGCGGCATGACGGGGAATAACTGGCTTTTTGTTACGCACTGGTGGGAATGGGGGGAACGAAAATGAGGCAAGGAATTCTGATCCAGGGACCAGCGGCTGCCACGAATGACGGCGCAATGTTGCGCATGAGGTGGTGTATGTTTGCATGGGATCGATGGACGATGGCTTGGCCTGCCCAGGTTCTACGGCGCTGATGATTGCACTGCAGAGTTATTGTTGTTTATGCCGAGCTGGCTGAGCGGGTCCCTAGACGGACGAATAAATACAGTCAACAAATGGCAGCGAGTAGTGAACGTGTTGGCATAAGCCAAAGGTAGGTAGGAGTACAGTACAGTGACTGCCTCCTCGGTTCGCCGGTGTCTCTCTGTCTCCATGGAGGATCGGCGGTTCGGCATTCCGTCTGTCAAAATAAGAGGAATAGGAAGAGATGTGGTATTGCTCATGGCATAGTCCGCCTCCCCCTGACTCCGACACTGCTTCCTTTCCCCCACGCACCTCTCAACATGGAACTTTCCAACGACACCATTCCCTGTCAGTGTCGGGTCGTTATGCGTGACGAATACACATTACATTAGGTATAATACATGGTACTCAATGCTCTAATAGTAGTCCTGCCCCTCTAACGCTACATGCCAGTGGCAGGGATATGGTTTCTCTAGGCGAGCTGGCCTAGGACCAGCTTAGGGGGTTGTAAGTTACCTGAGTGACCTCTGCTTTATAGGAACGGAAGGCGCCATATAGTAGTATCCCAAGCCTTTATTTCCCATCTCCATCGTGCACTCCATCCTTGACCGCATCCACCATCACTATTCCACGCCAAGATGATGAACGAGACGGCCCCTTCACAAGCCCTCCATAATCGCTCTCCTAGAAGCGTCCTCCCAGACCCATAGCGCGATCCTGTCGCCGACATCGCCCACCAGGCGCTCGTAGTGCGGCGCGTTGGGCATGAACAGCCCGCAGTGCGCGCCCACCTCGTCAACGCCCTCCATGTAAACCTCGATCCAGGTCGGGTCGCGGCCCTTTGGGATCGTGCAGAACTTGCGAAGACGGCCCTTCTTTGACTTTGATTCTCTCTCTTCTGTCTCCTGCTCTGGCTGGGGATATTGCGGCTCGCTTTGTTCCTCTGACGGGGACTTGTGTAGTTTCCTCGGCTCGGCCTTCTCTTGCCTGGCGGCGTCCTTGAGAGCCTTGCGGTGCTGTTTGTCGAGAGCCTTTTGTCGTGTTTTGATGGCCTTCTCTCGGACTTTGACAGCTTGAGTATAGGCTTTCTGGTCGTTTTTAAACTTCTTTTCAGCTTGTTTCCGCAACTCCTTGTCCGGGTAGGCGTCCAGGTCGGGAGGCTCGGGCGGGGTCGGTGGATCCGGGATGGTTGGAAGTCGGAGGTCTTGGTCTGTAGGAGTGCTGCCTGGAAGGGGTTCCTCAGACGATGTTGCTGTGGGTATGCTCTCTTTTGAGGGCTGTTCGATCAAGGGTGCCTCAACGGCCTCCGGCAGAGGTTCAAGCACTTGGAGACTGTGACGCGGCGATCCATCACTGTGGTCCTCGATCGATATTCTTGGGGTCGATAGACGCGAGTCAATATCGAGAGATCGCCTGACTGACTCTCTTTGTGCATCTGTACGGTCCAAGAATGCGTTTGGGGAGCTTGGCCTCGGCTTTCTCACTGCTCCAGTCGAGACTGTATAGTAATTGGCAAACCGGACCCGTACGAGTCGCGGTCCGATGCCCGCCTGATAGATTTCGTCAACGTCCTCCAGCCGCCTAAGACGCTCGTACCTAGCCCTCAGTGCCGGATAGTCCGCCAGGCATCCTCCGAATTCCAGGTGGGACAACAAATGGTGCGCAGTAGCGTAGAACAGGTTCTCGTCTCTGTGCTTGCGTACAAAGTGCGCGATATTCTTGATCCAGCCGCGGTCTTGAAACGTGATATCATTGAAGAATGAGGGGTTGTAATAGGGGTCGGGTGCTGAGGAGGACATTGTCGAGATAGAGGGAGATAGGTTGAGCGATGGAGAGTGAGCACTTGGCGGAGGAGGGAACTCGGCAGGGGTAGAAGGAGTGAGCAAAGGCGATTGCGTCTGCCCGGGTACGGCGGCTTCGATTTGGCCATTCTCTGCGGCTGGCGGGCTGACGGCTGGCCGGAAGAGACTGGCGATGCCCGAAACCACGATGCCTGGATGGAGACCAAGCAACGGAGCATCGAGTGAAATCGTGCCCAAGATGCGGTGCCGGAAGGGAGACGAGGCCGCGTTTGGGTTTTGGCTAGGCTTGAAGCCACCATGTTAGCTTGTTCTGCGTATGTCTGTCACCTTCAGGAGCTCAACAGTTCGTCGGCTATTCCTGGGGTTTTCAATGCCGGGAGACGAGACGAACATACCAGCAAAACAACCTCTGCAGCCAGAAGGCCACCCATCGAGTGGCCTACAAGTATAACATCAGTGGTGGGGTTTTCATGGGGGGCCAACCAAGCACTAAAGTTGTCACGAGCTACATCGATGGACTTGTATGTCTTGTACCGGGGGTAGATTTTGGTATGGACGACGTGCGTCTCGGCGAGAGTCTCCTTGAGGAAACTGTGCACATGGGCGGGAAAGGAGCGGAACGACGAATCGTTTCCCATGAAGCCATGGATGTAGACGACGAGGAGTCTACGCTTCTGTCCTGCCACCGTGTCTTCCATTGACGGCACAAGAGAATGTGTGGACGACGACCGAGGGTCGTTGAAACCTCGCAGGGGATGGGAAGGGACGCCGAGGCCGCTGCTCAACGGAGCCAGATAAGTATCTGTGGTCGGCGACATCATGTTCGCAGCACCGGACACCTGGAGGTTCGAGTCGCCAGGCGATGGACTCATTGCAGTCATTGGACTGACTGTCCGCTGCATAACGTTCAGGGCCCAATCGATGGCTGAGGATCTCGTGCGACGGGTGACACAGATTCTTCTTGGAAATTATGATCCCATGTTTGCTCTTGCTCTTGGAATAGACTGAATCTAGAGCTACCTTACATTAGGAAGGTTTGGATCTCTATTTGCTGGTTGTCAAACGGATCTCGTAAGTGGGGTTTGAATGCCGGTGACAGCGTTTGGTGGAAGTGGTTTCCCTTTACAGATCCAGATGTGAGGGGCTCGTACCTCCGTACAGTACACAGTAATACGGTGTGATTACGTCACACATGGTTCTCCACTTCCCGCTGGCCGATCTCGTCAGGGCTCAGGCACAGGGACCCAAATGAACTGTCGGAAACGGAGCACAAGCACAGACGGAGTTTTGTTCTGTTTCATGCTATACGAAGTTGTCCGAGTCTGCTGTAACGTACGGATACTATACCTTCGTACTTCGTACAAAATTCATACTTGCTGAAGCAAGTTGAAGAGTCACTGGCAGGCTCCATCAATGTGGGCCAGGCGTTCTTCGTAATTGCGTCCGGGTAGCACCCGTTGTAGTTAGGTAAAATCATGAAGGTATGTACGGCCGTACCGATCCACGGGTGAAGTGTGAATTGCCCGCTTCGAACCGACAAACGACAAGATACATTGGCATGGACTGTGCCATGGGCGTTGAACACCTTGTGCCGTGGAACGACGTTAGCGTTGCTCAAGGGCACGATTCGTATTTTCATTTGGGGAAGAAGACCGGCAAGTTGCAACTGCCAATGTGAGCATCCCGTACCGGTACTTCGTAATTACTGTACCAGTAATCCGTCATGACCTTGCCTGGCCAATGAGGGCCGTAAATGTCCGCATTCCTGCATCGGGGGAGGAAACACGATTGGCCAATGATCTTCTAGCTGCTGGAAGACAAGCCGACACCTGCCAACGAAGCGAGATTGCAGCGCTGGCTCGCGCCCTCTGATGGTTTGATGCCCACCAGTTTTGCGGGGCTTCCTCTTGCTGGAGCAATTTTATTAACGTTGAGTTAGGTGGTTGAAAAATCGATACTGTATCTGGCAGACGTCGTATTATGGCCTAGGTATATCCGCGCGACGCCGCCCCTTTCGCGCTGCCTTTCTCTCTTCCTCTGTTCTGCCAGGCATGCTGGTGCGAGTTTGATCTCCTCCCGCACAGCTGACCCGACATGTGGAGTGGGTGAGTTGACGGAACGCGATTTTCGGTCGACTCGACGAGACGGGCAGTTTGAGACGGTCACGGTTTTCCCTTTTCGAATTCGATACTGTGGATAAGGTCGGATGAGATGGTAGGATGATTCCGACCATGACGAGCCAGCCAGTCCAAACCCAGCAGCACAGCCAGCTTCGAGTTTACGAGCCGCAGCCGTCAAGATCAGCGACAGGACTGTAGTGCAGGATACGGGGCCATTTGCAGATTCGTCGCCGCCACCCACACTCGCTTTCTTTTTTGGCACCTCATTGCCCACATTCGTTCACACAGCCACGCAAATCGTCATGACTAACCAAGTCGAAGCCGGCGGGCCTTCACTCTTTCAGGCCCGCAAAACCCACCACAACCACAACCACAATCATAACCACCAGCATCAGCACCAGCATCAGCATTTTCACCGTCGTTTACACTCGCACCTCGAGGCTCCTCAACCGCCAGCGGCCGACAGCGCCACATCTCACATTCGTTTACCAAGCGACCAGCTGCATGAGCTGCATGAGCGCCAAGAAGTCGTCGTCGTTCAAACCGTGTCCGTGGTGCACTTCGTCGATGATTCGGGCGCAGTCACTAGCGTTTCGACCATTCGATCCGATTCTCTCGCGCCGTCGCCGTTAGAGGTCCTGCCAGGTGTCACCACGGGTCTTACTGCCCTGGGTGACGTATTGCCCAGCGTGTCGCTCTCTGGCCTGATCCCGGTTCCCAGCGATGGCGCGCCATCGACCACGACCTCCGCACAGACGGAGCTGTCATCCACTTTATTGTCTGCGTCCTCGGAGACGCTGACGTCCTCTCCTTTGAGCAGTTCATCTGCTTTTCCCACCTTGACCACTGGGATTTTCAACTCGTCCTCCGGTGCGTCTTTCGCCGATAACGTGGTTGTGGAAGTTTTTTCTAACAGATCTCAGCTGCATTCGTACCGTCACTCTTTAGCAACAGTACAGCAGCCAGGCTCTTTTCAAACACTACAAGGACGTCGTTCACTATCTTCGCTTCTACCTCGACAGAGAGCTCAACCGCTCAATTGACCACTGCGACCGCTTCCAGCGATAGCTTTACGATAGAGGGCGGATCCGGAGTCGGAGAGGGAGCCGGAGCTGGAGCCGAGGAAAGCGCAAATGCCGGTGCTGGATCTGCAACTGCCTCTTCCGCTGGCGCGGACCCGACATACGCACCTGGTCCCGGACTCACCCCCGAAGCACGAAACGCCGTCGTCGGGGGCGTAGTAGGCAGTGTTGCTGGAATTGCGCTCGTTGTCATGGCGTTAATGTTCATCTTGAAATGGAGGAAACAGCGCAGCAGGGGTATCAGGCTTCTAGGCGACGAGGGCAGCGCCGCGCGCGGCAAAGGTCTCGGGTACGGAACATCGCCTCCGGGCGGAGGAGGAGTCATGGCGGAGCGGTCAACGCCGTTCGCAGTTGCAGCCGCTCTTGCCAAGCTGACCGGGAGTCAACGATCGATCGCAGCCGCCCCCGCGGAACCGGCCACGCAAGAAAAGGGCTTTTACCGAGTATCCGGACGGAAACTGACCTCCGTCCTGCAATCCGGCGGAGACGGCTATAGCGACCCCCACGACAGCATAGGCAGCGGCACGTCGTATTACAGAGACTCTCAGGCCTTTTTCGATAGCCCGGACGTAGCCCCGTTACAGCTCGGGTCGCCGATGCGGCCCCGAAGCGGTATTCCCGTCTTTCGGGACGGGCCCCAACGAACTCCGGTGCACGAGCAAGTTCCGGTGCCTCCCGGCCATCCCCCTCCGGCTCTCCCCGCAACACTGCCGGTACCCGATGCGCTCGGCCGCAGCTTTGGGTCGCGAGACGGGTCGCGCGTCTCCAGGTTTACAGAAGACACATGATGCGTCCGTTGCGCGCCCACACTCATTTATTGCTACATGTACATGTCATATTATTCTATTCGATAATGTCTGGATAAACGGCGTCTGGATCGAGGAAGCTCGCTATGGCGAGCAGACGCCCTTGCTCGATTTTGGCACCCGGCACCTCTCTGTTGGATACACACATGGCCATCTCTGTCGGCTGGAGGACACGATAGATGTGAAAGGATTGGGCTGGCAGCTTTGGGTATCTTGGTCATCTTGGGTGTGCCGACCGCGGACATGGTGTCAGATTTTGCCGGTAGAGGATGAGATATTGAGGTATGATTCACTGTACATACTTGCCGTTGAGCAGTATTAACGCGAGGCATATTCGGTGGCATGCATCTCTCATCTGACTGCTGGGATATTTCTCGGCCTCACGAGTACCTTTGAAAGCGTCGTTTCAAGGCTAGGATCTAAGTGTGACAATGTTGCCAAGGCACTTTCATTGAACGTCGCTCGGCAACCGAGTTGGTTTCCGACTCGCGAGCTTGCCTTGGATGCCAGATACCCCTTTGTATGTACTGTACAGCCAAGAGTCCTTCGCCGCTGAACCTAGGCCTTTATATATTACGTCTCGTAGCATACGCATTAAAGGTGTTACCAAGGCTTGAGCATACCATCCATCTCGAACCGCACCAGTGATAGAGGGAGGGCATTCTCCTTTCGGATGTTTTCATCTACCCACCTGAAGTCACGAGAGCCTAGATCTACCATCCTCTCCATCCAAGGAGCACAATCTAGTTACGTACTTGTACCGATTGCTTCTGGTCCCTCAGCATCAAAACAAAGGCTGGATCAGGCACCTGACTAGAGATGGTGAAACGGATGCAATGGACAAAAAACATTGTGATCAAAAGTCAAAAATCTGAGCCGGACCCGATTTGAACGGATAACCTGTGATCTGGAGTCACACGCGCTACACTCGAGATGGTCAAAGGGATGCAATGGACAAAAGCATTGTGATCAAAAGTCAAAAAACTTGAGCCCAACCCGATTTGAACGGATAACCTTGTGATCTGGAGTCACACGCGCTACCGTTGCGCCATGGGCCCCACTTTTCTTCTTTGACTTGTTCGTTGGGTTACCCAGCAAGAGCGACTGCCTATATTTGATTGAACGGGGTAGGTCTTCTGCGAGTATTGTGTTCTTCAAAAACTGGGGAAGCGTTGCCCTCGGAACCTTGTAGGCTTCATTTAGGTCCCTTCGTAGAGATGTATACCTCTATGTGTCTCTTCTGATGGGGTTTCAAGAACAGTGTATTGATGTTGCTGACGACCTGACGTCGATAGAAAGCAGCAGCTAAATCAGCCTCGGACTTACAGACACCAAAGACAGATTTGCTGTGGAGAGGGATAACGTCGGGTTGGGTTGACTACGCTCGAGAACGCCCCCGAGCTACCTACGCCACGGATATCCATACTCCTTGCTTGATTACAGATCACTTTCTATGGAGTAGTGAATGATGCATTTGGAATTCGTCCCGCCAGTCAAAAACGATGGTGTCAAAGCGGTGGGCCGTGGTTCTGCACCCGTCAACCTGCCCTGTTTCATGACCGTCTCACAAACAGGAGGACCAGACGCTCTATCTTGACTGATCCGTTTCCTATGCGCACCTGATTTTGCCTCTTCCAGGCGCACCGTCCGGTAATTCTGCTGCCAACCTTGGCGTAACATAGGGAAAGGCACAGTCGAAATACACAGCCGTCCAGCTCTGGCACCCCGCCTCCTACACTGGGCTACGCAACGCAGTTCACCCAATCGCGCACTGCAGGGGGTCGCTGGCGGCTCGAGATCGCGGCATGTGCGGTGGTGATCTTTTATGAAAACGGGCTCTCGGTGCGGTGGATAGCCATGGTACGGCCAGCAGACCGGTAGAAGCTTCATAGAAGACTGTGGGACTCGTTTGCATAAAGTTCTTCTGCTAGTCGCTTCACATGACGGTGCTCAGAGAAGCAAAATTCGGGAGGCAAGTCCTCAAGTCGGTAAGGCTGCAGAACCACAGACGAGCTGCTGACATGACGGGAGGTCCCGTCATCTCGGTCATCTCGGATCCCTGAGACAGCGGATCGTGAAAATGGCAGGAACCACTTACACAGTGGTGTTCTGGATAACGTTCATGTCTCTGATGATGCAAGATGCTGCAGGCTTAGTGCAGTACCCCCTGTCGCGATTCCAGCCCACCTCCAAACGCCGGACCTTAGGGTCTCCCATACCGGGGACTCTCATTTGCTGCTGGTTTCCATTGCTCGGGCGCTAGAACGGGCCACAGCCACGAAGACGCGCAATGAACATCTAGGTACTTATGGCTGGGTTGTATTTTTGGGGTAGCAGTTTATGAGGTAGGTTGTTGCGCAGGACTTCAGCGCTCCTCAGGTCGAAAGGACGGGAATACCTACTGAGGTCCAATTCATGACAAGCCATCGGCGCACCGCCGAGCGGCGGCGCTGGTTAACCTGCAGTAGGGCGAACATCCCGAGCCCGTATGCCGTCGTCCCATACAGTTGCTCAGGAGTATTGGTGTACCTTAACTGTATTACCAAGCAGCATCAGACAGAACTTGAAGACACCCCCGGATTTGAGGTTGAACCCCGTCTGTGCGTTCGTATTGTACAGCACAGTACCTGGTCTGCGCTAGAAGTACAATACGGTAACGAGTTCGCAACTGCAGTGGAATTTACGCCGCTTGGTGCTTTTGTTCTGGAGCTTTGGAGCCTTATGGGTCGATATCCGTAACACACTACAGAGTATAAGGTAGGAGGGGTCAATCCCAACTTGCAGAACTTCAGATGAGTCCTATAGTAGATCTGGACCACTGTAATTACCGTACATACCTACCTTACCTCCCCTCTCCTTACCCGGTAGCCCTGCCCCGCCATCCCCTTGAACCCCTTCTCATAACGTGTGTGCACGGTGCTGGTTGCCTCCGAGTCTCCCGATCACCTCATCCCCGTCGCTGCCTGCATCCTCTCCCGACTCGGTGTCTTCCCTTTTCTCACACAGCGAGATAGGTCACTTAGATCCTGGAGCTAGACGCATTCTGCTAGCCACGCGTTTTTTAGTCTGACAGCACCGTTCCCGAGCGGTCCGCCACCTTTTCAGCCTTATTCTACTGTGCGATCTCGGCTTCAACTCAACCATCCGCCTGCATACGCCGGCGACGTTACCTCAACGTCCTCTTAGTAGGAGCACCGCCCCGATTTAATTAGTTCCGCCGGCAACTGTGCAGAGAGCCGCAACGGCCACAGGGAGGCTTGCAGAGACGACCCCTATCATAGCTATCATAGCGCCCTTCGCTGCATTGATGGTCCAGCTGCTCAGCCCCAATCCCCGCCGACAATAACAAGCCCGAAGCTTCCGTATCTTTCCTGCGAGTCTGGCCGATCACCGCTTCCACTGGTACCACGCCGAGGCTGCTAGGCGAATCCATTTTCGCAATGGATCACATCCATGGGGGCTTCCAGATGCCCATCGCGGCGCCGCCGCTGATGAACCAGCCGCCACAGATCTTTGGTGGCTATCCTGAACATGGAATTCCCATGACGCAACTGGCGCACGACCTGATCCCGCCCCAAATGTTTGTGGACAACACATTGCTTGAAGATTCACCCGAGGCAAAGAGGAGGAGGATCGCGAGGGTGAGTGGAAACGGGTTTGGCGGTTGATAAGTTACCGCGGCGTTGCTGACCAGCTGCTATCCGCGAGCAGGCTTGCGACATGTGCAGAAAGAAGAAGATTAAGTGCGATGGCAAATTGCCAGCTTGCACGCACTGCATTAACTATAAGACGGACTGTGTCTTTACGCAAGTAGAAAAGAAGAGGAACCCCCCTAAAGGGTGAGTTACCCCGGAGACGACGCTATTTCATTGCCCCATGTAGATGGTCTTACAAACCGCCTGCAGAGCCAAGTACATTGAGGGTCTCGAAAACCGCCTGGGCCGCATGGAGCACCTGTTGAAGTTGTCAGGTATGCCCAGCCCGCCCCATATCGACCCGGCAGGTGCCACGGTACCACAACCGCTTGGTCTGCTAACATCCGTCCTCAGGCTTGCTCGGTGAAGACGATAATGGTGCTACTGATCTAGGGACCTTGGAAAGAAAACTGGCGGAGAAACACCAGCAATCGAGGCAAGCTTCACAGGCTGCTTCGGACCCTGCGTCGCCTTCCCAAGTTGCGTCCGGTCACGATGCGAGCACTGTAACTCCTGGAAGCCCGCAGCCAACGCCTGAGCCAATTAGGGATGGTGAAAAGGGGAGGTCTCTCACGCCCGAGAAAGAGGAAGAGCAAGAGGAGGTTGCCGAGCTGTCCGAAATGATGTGCTCCCTCGTTACCAATAATGAAGGCGAGACGCGATATATTGGTAGGTTGGTTTCGTGAGTGAGGAACGAATGTCCATGCTGACCGTTCAAGGCTCATCGTCCGGCTTCTCCATCTTTTCGCCCAAGGGGATACAATGGGTCAATGAGAAGATGGGAGACAATTCGTTTTCGCAGATGATATCAGACGTTTCGATCGATGACCACAAGTGGACAGCCTGGAAGCCCGATGTGTTCGGCGACCTCTTCCGTCGTAGGGTTTTCAGGGATTTGCCCCCCAAACCTGAGGCGTTGTCGTTACTCAAGGACTACTTTGAGAACTTCAACTGCATTTTCCCCCTCTTCCACCAGCCCACTTTCATGCACCTGGTGGAGAGGCAGTACTCAAATGATCCCTATACAGGATCTGGATGGTGGGCAAGCTTGAACGTAGCCTTGGCCATCGCGCATCGGCTCAGGATCATGAGCAACCTGGTCCCGCAAGAGGAAGATGCCAAGGCTTGGGCTTACATGAAGAATGCCCTGGCAGTATTTCCCGAACTGACCATGCGGAATACTGACCTGCTCAGCGTCCAAGCACTCATAGGAATGTCTCTTTACCTCCAGGGCACTCCAAACCCACAGCCATCGTCCCTGCTCATTGCCACGGCAATTCGTTTGTCACACAGCATCGGCCTCCACAAGCGCGGGACAGGATTCAATCTGAACCCCATCGAGATCGAACAACGCAAGAGGGTGTTTTGGATTGGTTATATGCTGGACAAGGACCTGTGCCTCAGGTCGGGAAGACCACCAGCGCAGGATGACGACGACATGAATGTGGAGCTTCCCGACGCCGACCCTGCGGACGGTATTGGCAACATTCCTCTAGCGGATGGAAAGGGCAAGATGAATTTGTTCAGGGTCATGTGCGAGCTGGCTATTGTCGAAAGCAAAGTGTACAGGAAGCTATACTCCACAAAGGCAACCAAGCAATCCGATGGCGAGCTGCTAAACACTATCGGCGAGCTAGACAAGGAGCTCGAAGATTGGAAGGATCGAATTCCGATCGATTTCCGCCCTGAGCACGAGATTAAGGCCTCTCACACTCCCCTCATCCTCCACATTGTCATGTTGCATTTCAACTACTACAACTGTCTCTCGACAATCCATCGCATGTCGATACATCATGGGTACTGGACTAGCCGGCTCTCCAACTTTGCCATCCAAGGGCTCAATGCCAGGCCATTGAATCCCCGGATCTTCTCTTCGGCAGCACTGTGCACATCTGCCGCGAGGGCGTCGATTTCACTGCTAAAATACATACCGGAAGGCGATAACTCTTGCGTCTGGTAGGTCTATGAGTTCCCCACATGCACAGCTGCCAATATCCTCTAACCATGCACAGGATGGTGTTGTATTTCCCAGTATCGGCCCTTGTGACATTGTTCGGAAACATCTTGCAAAATCCCCTTGACCCGAGAGCACGCTCAGATACGAAGCTTATGAACGTCGTGGTCAATTTCCTGTCGACCCTCGGAGCCGAAGCCGAAACGGGCGGCGTCCATCGCATGCTCGGCGTCTGCTCCGAGTTTGAACGGATCGCCAGGGTTGTGATTGAGAAAGCGGAGAAGGATCACGCATCCCGGAGGAAGCGCAAGAACGCGGACCAATCGTCTAGTAAAAACACAACTACTACTTCCAAACCGGCAAACGCATCCTTCAACCCCAACGCAACCGCACCGACATCACGACCTGCCACGGCCAATTCCGCAACGCCGCAGCCAAGTCATGGCACGAGCACGAATAATAACAGGCACCTCTCCCCTCAAGCCGCCGATCACCGCTCACCGTCACACAACGGCTACAGCCACGGCCACACCCCCATGGCTGGCCCCGGGTCAGGTACCATGAGCCAGAGCCCGTCGCCCGGCATGGCGCCCACCGGATGGCACAACGAATTTTCCCCGCCTGCGAGCGCGGACACGGGGGCGGGCTCGGATTATGGCTCGTATGCCGAAATGGCCGGGTTTGGCCCCATCGGGGCTATGAATGCTGCGGCCGGCATCGGCATGACAAGTCCCCCCGTAGGCGGGGGCGGCGAGGTGCATCTCCAGCAGCAGCGGCAGCAACAGCAGCCCGTGTTCTTCCAGCAACCAATGCTCCCGCCGGACCTGTTCAGCCTGCCCATGACGCTTGACTGGGACTGGGCCGAGATGAGTGGCGGAGCGTATCCGAGCGTGGAGAATGGGAATTTTGGAGGGTAGGGCTTACTGTGCCTAGACAGGGTGGGTGATTGATAGGATGTGGTGATGGTAGGGAGTACGGATGTATGAATCCTGCATTGGGCGGCTTGGTTTGGTTCAGATAGACTGTTTTCATTCCACTCCGTTCTATTTTATGGCAGCGGGCTTGGATATGCACCTTTTTACTCGCCTATCTCCGCTTCTTACTTGGCTTCGGTTCTTTTGGGCGTCGATGACTGCGTTACTATTCCCAGATGTTTTTTATAAGTTAGCCGCCCACTGCTTTTTCCTGCCTGTCTTGTCTCGCATCTGGTCATCTTCATGTTTTGGAGGAGGACTAGCTACTCGCACGCACTTACCCTTTGGCTTTTCCTTGTGCTCCTTCGTCTCTCAGGGGCCACCATCAATTCGCATTGTAAGGAAGCACTGAAGGAGGGACGGAGCTACCAGGTAGTTACGAATTTACGGATATCGTACGGAGTACATCGTATGAATGTAAGGTTACTAAGGTACGTATTTTCGTAATGCATGAGCAGCACGTGACTTTGCGCCAAACTAGGCCATTCGGGGATTAGCTTACTGGCCCCAGTGACTTCGGCTGGAACGCATCATCGAGTGATTTCTCAGTCGCATGCACTTTCCGACTTGGCCACCCTCGGAATTCTGCACCATAGGCACGCAAACACCGACGACGCATTTTCCTCCCCTTTTGGCGTCACAGCCATTGCGAGGGTGCGAGGCAGAGGGGCGACGAGCCCTGAAAAGAAGAAAGAACGAGCGGCAATTCCGCTCTTGCCGCAGTTCCCGACCTCACACCGTCAACTTGCCCGCCGATACCATCTCCGCCATCTCCGCCGTCAGCCGCGATTATGTTTCGCTCCTCGGCGCGCCAGCTAGCCCGCTGTGCGAGGTCTCCGCTAAGACCTCTACCGAGCCCCGCATTCCGAGCTGCCCGCTTCCCCCGAAACGCGCCCGCTGCAGCACTCCTCAGGCCCAGATTCAGCTCAACAAACCCCCAAAGGCCCGACTCGAGGGACGAGAATCAGCCTTCGGGGACACACCATGGTTCCCGCCCAGAGGCGCCACAGGAACTCCTTCCTCCCGGCTTTGTCCGCCTGAACAAGGAGGAGCTCGAGCTGGTTCGGGACATGATAAGGCGATTTCCTCATAACAACACAAGTGAGGACCTAGAGAAGCTTCAGGCGCTCCATAAGTTTGTCGAGCGCGTTGGTGTCCCAATAGAGCTTCGAGATATTCTCCAGTCAGCAGCGAAGGATGGCCGGATCGGCATGATGAATGCGTTGAAGGTTCCCAAAATTCTTTTCAAAGTAGCCAACGAATTCGCCAATTTCGCTGTCAGATCGCAGGCGGATTCAAAACTCGATTTCACTTCCAACAAACCAAGCGAAGGCGGACAAGTCGGCTCCGCTTCGGGTAACCGGGAAGGGTCCGGGCAACAGCCCCAGCAGCAGCAGCAGGAGGAGAAGGGACGGCCGCAGGAACAACCGCGACAGGAACATCAGCCAAGTGAACAGCAGTCAAGTGAACAGCAGCCGCAGGAGCAACGACAACAACAACAACAACAGGATCAACAGCTGGGGCAGTCGGGGCAGACGCACCAACAACAACAGCAAAAATCACACCAGCACCAGCGGCAGCACCAGCAAGAGCACCAGCAAGAGCAACAGCAACAGCAACAGCAACAGTCGCAACAAAAGAGACAGAAGGGTCAGAAAGATGCTCCGCCGCCTCCTCAGGGCATGGACGCTTCCGACGTGATATCGTGGGTTGTAGCGGCTGCTGTCCTGTACCCCTTTTATACAATGATCTTCCCCGGCGAGACAGTCCGTGAGATTACGTGGCAAGAATTGCGGACCAACTTTCTCGATAAAGGCCTAGTCGAGAAGCTCGTCGTCGTGAAGAATCGGGTGAAGGTGGAGCTGAATCGCGAAGCTGTCCGGGCCGTGTATCCCGACTCGCAAGCGGCCAACCCCAACTTTACCTATTCCTTCACCATCGGCTCTGTAGACGCCTTTGAAAGGAGGCTGGACGAGGCCCAGAACGAGCTTGGGATCCCGTCGACGGAGAGGATACCCGTCAGTTACGCCAGCGAGGGCCTGGCTACGAACCTTCTAATGGCGTTTGGGCCGACGCTGCTGTTTGTTGGGCTGCTCGCCTTGCTGTCCCGCAGGGCCAGCAGCATGGGCGGCGCCTCAGGCGGCATGTTTGGCTTCGGCAAAAGCAAGGCCAGAATGTTCAACCACGACACGGCCGTCAAGGTTAAGTTTTCTGACGTGGCGGGTATGGATGAGGCCAAGGTTGAAATTATGGAGTTTGTCAGCTTCTTGAAGACGCCCGAACGGTTCCAGAGGTTGGGCGCCAAGATCCCCCGTGGTGCTATCCTGTCTGGTCCTCCTGGTACCGGCAAGACTCTGCTCGCCAAGGCGACGGCTGGCGAGTCACAGGTGCCCTTCTTCAGCGTCAGCGGCTCCGAGTTTGTCGAGATGTTTGTTGGTGTTGGCGCCTCCCGCGTCCGAGATTTGTTCGCCACTGCACGAAAGAACGCCCCCTGCATCATCTTCATCGACGAAATCGACGCTATTGGGAAGTCGCGTGCTGAAAATAGCGGGTTCCGGGGCGGCGGCAACGACGAGCGAGAAGCCACGCTCAACCAGATTCTGACGGAAATGGACGGCTTCAACACATCGGAGCAGGTGGTGGTGCTTGCCGGCACAAACAGGCCCGACATTTTGGACAAGGCTCTGATGCGCCCTGGCCGGTTCGATAGGCATATCCACATCGACAGGCCCACCATGAAGGGTCGTCAAGACATCTTCAAGGTGCACCTGGCCAAGATCCTCACAAAGGAGGACATGGAATACCTCACAGGACGCCTTGCAGCTTTGACGCCCGGTTTCGCTGGTGCCGATATTGCGAATGCCGTCAACGAAGCCGCTCTCATCGGTAAGTCTGCTTTCCCCTTCCAGTTTACTGCAGTGCAGTACAAACAAACAGGGATACTGACCAAGTACACATAGCTGCAAGAGCAAATGCCGCCAGTGTCGAGATGATCCACTTTGAGCAGGCCATCGAGCGCGTCATTGGCGGTCTCGAGCGCAAGTCATTGGTTCTTAGTCCAGAGGAGAAGCGGACTGTGGCCTACCATGAGGCCGGCCACGCTATCTGCGGCTGGTTCTTCCGGTGGGCGGATCCGCTGCTCAAGGTTTCCATCATTCCCCGTGGCCAGGGCGCTCTCGGATATGCCCAGTATCTGCCGTCGGGCGACGCGTACCTGATGACGACCAACCAGCTCATGGACCGCATGGCCATGACGCTGGGTGGCCGCGTCTCTGAGGAGCTGCATTTCCCGACTGTGACAACTGGTGCGAGCGACGATTTCAAGAAGGTGACACGCATGGCCACGACCATGGTGACGCAGTGGGGCATGTCGGAGAAGTTGGGGCCGCTGCATTTCGACAATGAGCCGAACCAGCTGCACAAGCCATTTGCCGAGTCGACGGCGCAGACGATTGATGCCGAGGTTCGGCGCGTCGTCGACCAGGCGTACAAGCAATGCAAAGATCTCCTCACGGCCAAGAAAAAGGAGATTGGTATTGTCGCCGAGGAGCTGCTGCGCAAGGAAGTGCTCACGCGCGACGATCTGGTACGCCTGCTGGGGCCCCGCCAGTGGCCAGAGAAGGAAGAGTTTTCCAAGTTCTTTGATGGACGCGATGGGAAGAGCGCCCCTCCGCCGTTCCCGACGGAAAACACTGACTCGCCCAATGATGTCCAGCCGGCCCTCTTTGAAAAGCACACCGGTGCCGGGAGGTGAGACGGATAAAGGGGGACATTATGCCGGCGACGGTTGGGAGGAAAGAAAAAGCTTACCGGTTGTATCCTGGGCGTCTTGGACCCCATGAAAAGATAAGAGAAAGATTCTGGGATTCCCCATTTTGACTCACCTCACATATCTGTATAAATATGGCGCAACAGTGGAAAGGGATGCCCCAGAAAGAGGCAACCTGTTATGTACATTTGGTTTTACTCGATGGGCTTTGTTTCTTCGTGTGGGAACGAGCGTGAAGCCGTCGGGCGCGAGCTTGCATACAAATAGACTCAAAAGCATCCCTGCAGAAGCCTGGAGCATTAGCTCTTCCCTTCACCTGAGATGAACGGATTTGCTTTCGTGTTGGGATGGAGCAGATGTTGGTCGGGGAGGAGGGATAAATGTTGTACGATACTACTATTACTGGCCTTGGGGCCTACCTTACTCCTTTTGTTTGTTTATGTAAAGCTGTATATACCTACCTCATGGCTACCAAATTTGTGGCATACCAGGCCTACATTGGCCCGCTCAACTGTTGTCTCTTCAGTTTTCGGGCTGCCCGCAATGAAGTAGGTATCGCTCAGTGACCGAGAGAAGGATACCGTTATATCTTGACAAGTCCTTCTTCTTCTAAGTCCTGAAAAAGGAAGGAGCATGGGATATCCAAGAGCCATGCCGCCTACTCTGATGGGTCTTGTCAGCGAACAAAGGATTACCTACCTTAGTCTACGATGGTATTTACACTAGATAAGCGGTCTGCAGCCCAAGTATGCAGAGTAGTCGTCTTCGGGTACACGGCATCGAAGACGAGGGAAATCGGGACGAGAAATGGTTCAGTAACGCCCTGTGGGTCTCGCAGCCCTTGCGCCCCGTTCTTTTCGTCCGAATCGCCCCGCTGCCGAGACTCAACCTCAACAAGATGGATTGGCGAGTGTCAGGTCATAGAGGTAAAGAAGAGTCGGCTGTAGATTTCTCCAATTGGATTATATTTTTTTTTTCATCTAAATCCCAAACGGTTCTGAATCGTACCGAGTAATCGCGTTGGTTTATCCCCCCGGAAGACCGGATTACAATTGAGAGCTTAGACCGAGAATTGAGCGGCGAACCAGAGGGGAATTGGAAGAGAGACAGCAAAATCCTGGCGGCGAGGCAGGTTCTGAAGACGACGTTACGATTATTGCTTGCAGTCGACGCAACTATCTGTCCATCCCGAATCGGACCAACAATTGACGCTAGCCATCCACAATCAAGCATCCACAGCAACTTACTGCACCCGCAGAGAATCACAGCGGTACTGTCCGGACAATGATGACCCCCACGCCCGAGAACACCGCCGGGGCCGCCCCGGGCCCCGAACCCGGAGGGAACGATGATCATCTGTCCCTTCCAACGACCAACAATCCCCACCAACACCACCAGAAAAACGACCGTGAGAGGGCCAAGGCCGGGCTGCGCATCCGCGACTGGGTGCGCTCCCCGCGGTCCGGAGAGTCCCGCCGCCCGAGCCATGCCGGGGCCGGGGCCGGCGCCGAGTCGGAGGCGAAACAGGCGCCGAAAACATCATCATCACGCTGCCACGGTGGTGGAAACCCGGCCGAACCGTGGTGGAAGATCCATCTCTTCCGAGGCATGGCCAACGACATTCGGAAGAGGGCGCCCTACTATCTCAGCGACTGGACTGATGCCTGGAACTATCGGGTTGTGCCCGCTACTGTGTACATGTTTTTTGCCAAGTAAGTTTACCTATCAGTAGGGAGTAAGTCTTTTGTGCTGTTTCATAAGAGAGAAAGACGAATTCAGAGTGAAGTTGGGCTTACATACTGGACTTTTACTTGTGTGTACATAAAGCATCCTGCCCGCCCTGGCCTTCTCGCTCGACATGTTCCACAAGACGAACATGCAGTACGGCGTCAACGAGGTGCTGCTTGCCTCGGTCCTGGGCGCGGTGGTGTTCTCGCTCCTGGCCTGCCAGCCGCTGGTTATTGTCGGTGTTACTGGGCCCATTACCGTGTTCAACTAGTATGTGTCTGACTTCCGCTGCTCCCCCTCTCATATCCTTGACGGACGGGATCGGGTCGAGACTGACCGCTACTCAGTACTGTGTACGATATCATGATGCCCACCGGTACCAACTACCTGGCATTCATGTGCTGGATTGGCATGTAAGCTGCTGCTGCTGCTAATGTAAGGGGGGAAAGAAAAGGGGAACCGGAACACTGACTTCTCCTGACGGTAGATGGTCGCTCATATTCCACTGGATCTTGGCCGTCACCAACTCGTGCAACTGGCTGCGCTACGTGACGCGCTTTCCCTGCGACATCTTTGGCTTCTACGTGGCCTTCATCTACCTGCAAAAGGGCATCCAGATCCTCGAGACGCTCGGTGACGAGGAGCCCTTTTACCTCTCTGTCGTGGTGGCCCTGCTCGTCTTCGCCATCGCCTACATCTGCGGCGAGCTCGGTCGGAGCAGTCTGTTCCGCCACCCTGTGCGCGTCTTCCTGAAGGACTACGGCACCCCGCTGACCGTCGTCTTCTTCACGGGCTTCGTCCACATGGGTAAGATGAGGCATGTCCCCATGGAGACGCTGCCGACGAGTACATCCTTCATGCCCACCGTGTCTGAAAGGGGCTGGTTCATCCATTTCTGGGATATTCCCGTCGGCGACATATTCATTGCCATCCCCTTTGCAGTTCTGCTGACCATCCTGTTCTGGTTTGACCACAATGGTGTGTCTCTTCCCCTCTCTTCTATCCTACTTCCCTCTAACAAACCCACCAAGTGTCCTCCCTCATCGCCCAAGGCACCGAATTCCCCCTGAAAAAGCCAGCCGGCTTCCACTGGGATCTCTTCCTGCTAGGCCTCACCACCGGTGTTGCCGGCTTGCTCGGCCTGCCCTTTCCCAACGGGCTCATCCCGCAGGCGCCGTTCCACACCGAATCTCTCTGCGTGACCGAAGTCGTCCACGACAAACGCATCGACGACAACGGCAACAACCCCAACCCGACGTACTCATTCCGGCCCGTATACGTGGTCGAGCAGCGCCTGTCGAATCTGGCGCAGGGCCTGTTGACGCTCGTGGCCATGAGCCCCCCGCTCCTCGTCGTCCTGCACCTGATCCCGCAGGGCGTGCTGGCGGGGCTCTTCTTCATCATGGGCTTCCAGGCGCTCGAGGAGAACGGCATCACGGCCAAGCTGCTTTTCCTCGTCCGCGACAGCGCCCTGACCCCGCCCAACCATCCCCTCGCCATCGTCAAAAGGTGTGATGACAACGGCAAGCCCCTCGTCCGCAGGGCCGCCGTCTGGGGGTTTGTCCTCGTCGAGCTGGTCGGCTTCGGCGCCACCTTCGCCATCACGCAGACCGTCGCCGCTGTTGGATTTCCCGTGTTTATCTTTTTGCTCATCCCCGTCCGCGCGCTGGTCCTGCCGAGGTTTCTTACTCCCGTGGAGCTGTCCGTCTTGGACCAGCCCACGGCCAGCCCTTTTACCCTGGAGAACGTCGGCGGCACGTTTGCCAGCGGTGGAAGTGGAAGCGGCGTGTACTTGAATGCCGACGAGGCTGGCGGGGGCGGTGGAGGAGGAGGACGGTCCGGGTCCGGGTCGGTGTCCGGCTCAGGCTTCTTCGGCGGTGGTGGTGGTGGCTCGGGTGGGGAGGACTACCTCGGTGCTTGCGGTCGGTCGGAGAAAGGAAAGGAGAAGGACTCGGAAGGCGGCGTCTGGGCTGGTGGTGGTCGGGGTGGCATCAATGATGACGGGTATGGTGGTGGGAATGGGAGCGGGCAGCAGAGCGAAGAGGAGCTTGCTGAGCTTGGGGAGGGTCGGATGGCCGGAGGTGTAAGGAGGAGGTTTAGCACCGTCAATCGGGAGGGCACCGTTTAGAATAGAATATTAGAAAGGAGGCTACCGGAATAGGAGCCATCGTCACGACGACGAGGAAGATGTTTGGGATCGTTGCTGCTAGTCACTCTTTCTTGTGCTTATTGTGCACTGCTCAGGTTTGGTTGATAGACAGAGGCGATCTCGTCCATCCAATCTTGTCGCAAGAGCGGGTGAAGCGTGAACCAATCCAGACAATACCACCGTTGATGGCGGATCTTGCCCTGAGTCGGATCTTTGATTTTGCCTTCCCGACACAGATCCGGTCAGCGCGAACACAGAGACCTGATGGTGATGCGGCCCATCGCAGACTTGGACAGCTCTGCTTCTGACCGTCAACTTGTAAACCCGATCAAGACGGATTGGAGAAGAACTCTGACTCCTTCTTTGCAGTCCAAGAACACACAGATCAAGCGATCTCTTCTACTTGACTAGGAACCACCTGGAGAGGCAATATTAAGACATCATCTCGACTATCTCCAACCCAAGCGCACAAGGGGCTAAACCGGGCACAGCAGGCTCCATGAAAATGTTGCAATATCCTGCTTGCATAACAAGCACAGCGGCCAGAGACTACTTCACTTTGGAACCGCGCTCGAGTCTGACGACAGTGATTTCGATAGCCATCACCAGCTCGTAAATCGTGCTTCATCTTCATTACTCGTGCAGACATGTTGTGCCCGACACTATCAAACACAGCGCAATCCCGTATTACCCGCAGCGCTCTCGCCTTGCCAACCAAGGTCTGGGTCTTGGGCATCGGCTTAATTTGTGCCTGGCAATCAAGACGTATTAACGCAAATATGTTTGTTGGGCTCTTCTTCATCTACCATGAATCATCTTAGATGAATGGGATCCCGTTACGATTCATTAGGGGGCTTTCCGGCGTCAATGTGGCTTCATGGAAGCGTCCAGGAGGCCGAACAGCTATCTCTGCAAAACATTAAAGGGGCTCGTTTCCCTCGGGCCAAACCTTGTGGTTGTAAGAGGAAAACTTGGTCATAGCAGCCACTTTGCGACTACCCCCCTCGCCAGCGACAGTGGGGCGCCGGAAGGTTCGGTAGACGTGGGAAGTCGCTGGTACATCTGCTCAACCAGACAGTCATCACCCATCCACAGCCTGGCGGAATGCGACCCTCGAGCGGGCGGACGATGCGCCCCGGTCGGACTAGCCATTGCGGTTTACAGTGGCTAAAATCCTGGCTGCACGATGCCGACTTCTAGGTCCAATGTAGTTGTCTCCGGCGCTGTTCCCTGATGCCCGCCGGCTTGAGAAACGGAAGGTGTGAGCTAGAGGCCTAGCATAGCGGTGGAGACCAGGAGCTGATGGCATCGAAAGACGTCCAGTCAAAGTTGGCGCTTCCGTTTGACCAATACCTTCCTTGTCAGCCACCAAAAGCCGAGAAGCTGGTCCCTGCTGGTTGCACTAAGACCCTTGGCAGTTCGGGACTGCTGATGCTGCGAAGCCCTGCCATCGATCTGCTTCAACCAGATCTACGACATGGGGCGACGGGCCAATATGCCCAGGTTCGCCCTCCCGAAGCAGCAGGAGTTGCGCAATGTCTGGCGGATTACCGGGGCGGTGGCCTTGTTGAACTCGACCAGAAGCTCTGCTTAACCAGGCAGGTGCCTGGGTGCAAACGACGCACCCCATCACGCCCTGCTCGAAGCCGTCAGTCGTCCGGGCCCCCAGACAGACTTCCCATCGATGCAGCGGCTAGCGCAGGCTGACATTGATTGCAAGCACCTGTATGCTTGGACTCACCCAACCTTACAGGTACTCTTCAAGTAGAGCCGGTACTTTTGGGCGTGACATTCCATCAACGGCAGAACGCTCAGCCTATTCTCTTCGCGACTGTGCCTCATCATCGTCCCGTCGCTAGCAAGGCGGTGTGAGCCTCAGGCATCAGCTCTTCGGCTTTCGAATTTGGATGCCCGCCGGGTCAGTGCATCCTCTTGCGTGCTGTAATCCAGCCCTTGGCCCCCTGGCAAGCCAGACCCGACAGATAGATTGGATGCGGCAGAGCGGCGGCATTGGCAGCCGGAGATGGCCAGCGGTAGTCGTAGTCAGCAGCAGCAGCAGCAGCAGCAGTACGGTACCTAGTCGAAGCGGCAGCGGCAGCGGTAGCAGCATCAGTTAGGCAATAGACGCTTGCCAGCCGAGAGGGGAATTCGGAGATGGGCTGACGTCGGGGTTCGCACGGGGTCCCTATGGGGTAGACAAGTTCGCTTCCATCCAACAAGGCACAGCCAATTTAGCCGAATGAAGCGTAGATTGACTCTGAACCATCAGAACGCTCAACCAGGTCATGGGTCAAGGGGTGGAAGCATAGGAGCCAGGAAACGGGCCGCCGAGTAGGCATCGACGAGGGTGTGAAAACGGGATACAGCTGAATTGAGGAGGATGCGGCATCCGGATACTCACTTTGGCCGATTGCAGCATCTCGCGGCGTCTTTCCTTTTTCCTCTTTTCTTCTTCCTCCTCTGTTCTCCATTTCTGCTGTTGACTGGCAAGCTGCTCTTTCTTATTCAGTTCGGCGCGCAAATGATGCCCCGATGCGAGGGCCAGGCACGCGCCTTCCCTCGCTACCGTCGTTTGGTGACATGTTGCAGACCTGGGTCCGGCTGCCTAGGGTGCAGAGACAGTAACAGAGCAGGATCGCTTCCATGTCTTATACGCCTCGCACCTTCCGCCTCCACGCAGCGCCCACACACGTGATTCCCATAGATAGAGAGTCGCCTTTGTGCGCTACGAAGGACAGTGGCCCCGTTAGGCCTATTAGTCGAGAATCTGTCAGCGACGGGACCTACTTGAGAAGGTTGTATCAAAGGGTGGAAGGGGGCTTAGGGCTGGTGTGCGTTTGTGGTTCTTGACAGGATGGTGGCAGCCGGTTAAGCTTCAGCCTAACCAAATCTGGCAGTTGCCCTGGCATGCGGCGTTGCCCGCTCCGTTGGCATGGTCAGTGCGCGCCTGGGCTAGCACTTGCACCTCGCTGACTTGTGCTCACTGCTCTGCCGAACTGCGACTGCCTCTTTGGAGCTCAACGTAGCTTCGTATGGACTCGAGGCAGCGGCACCTAGAACACCAGAGCACCAGTTTGCGCCATCTCCTTCTTCTTTGGCTTGACTTGCTACCTGGCTTTACAGCGTACATCTTTTGGTAATGGTCGATTGGCACCTGGCCGGCTTTTCGGGCTCTTCTGACTCTTGGGGCCACGACGGGAGCTAGCAGTTTTCCGCTTAGGTACAACTCCCGTGGTCTGTTTCAAGCGTTTCCTGCTACTGTCCTATTACATTCTTGCCGGGTTGCGCCCGTTATGAAGGGGAGCAGACGTTTAGGATATTCCGAGCCGTCCTCGAAAATGTCGTATTCGACCCGACGGGAAGCCGTTGAAACAAGCATTCATTTATCAGACCCGGGACTGGGGCACGAAATTTCCGGAGAACCTCGATATCCCGCATCGGTACTCGGGGTCGTTGGATCGCCTTGGCATGGTACCGGATCTCCCATGATCCCATCAACATCATCTTTCATCGGTCATCCCTTGTAGACATGTCCATCATCGGCGGGGATTCTAAAATGTGCCACGGATTTTTGGGCACGCAGCTTGGTGTGCTTCCAGGCCCTTTCCTCCGATACGAGATATGATTTGCTGCCGGAGCATATCATTTGATGTGGCTTACTTCTCTTGCAGTTCTCGGCGCGAGTTCTGGTGAGACTATCCATGGGCAGTGCCGGCTATAGGCTGCTGTCAACATTGACCCTGCTCGGTACTTTAGTGAACTCAGCTTCCACGCCCAAACCCACTTGGACGAAGGCTGGCCGGCCCAAGACAGTCGGCGTAGTCCCCCGTACAAGCATCTGGCCCTGATGCCCGTGCACAGCATGCTGGGTGTACTTGCAGCCGACATGCAAAACCATTTGCCAACCGAGCTGACAGAGGGTACCACTGCAGCATCTCTGCGCATCTAGCCAGCGGCGGGTGTGGTGATCGTCCAATGGATCATGGTGACAGGCTGCCCGGCCCAGCAGCTGAGAAGCCGTAGTCCGCCTCCTCCTTTTCGCTCGGATGGCGGGTATTGCGGATCACCCTCCCAAACATGTCCATCATCTCCCGCCTCCGCTGACCGCCGAGTGACGGCACCTACGGAGAGGGCCGGCAGCCCTCTATTCTTTTCACCAGCAACCGGCTCGCTGGAGGCGTACATACAGAGCTTTCCTTGGCGGGTCTGCAACCGCTCATCAACTCATGCGGCAGTGGACTTTCGATAGCTTCTGAGGGCAGTGGCATGCGCCGACTCCCAAGCCCGGTTTCTCTCTGCAGCTTGCCACCTTCAAAGGCGCCGTGGACATGGGCTATCCCCGGTAAAGTTACACCAGCGAAGCCGGTGTCTTGCAGGCACGGCTCTTCAGTTTGCAGAAACGGCTGTGAGGTGGCAACACGAGCTCTGGCAGTGAGACAGATGCCTGCTCTCGAGGTTATCGAGCACACTAGGGAACGTCGTGCAAGTCGGAGGCATTCCACCGTCTGATTCCGAGTTTTCCACTCTGGGGGCTAAGGTCACCCAGGGGGAATTCTCAACCTTGCTGGGTAATAGCCCTCGATTTCTGCACCTTCGCCCCGTATAATATACCTATGGCCAAGGCAGAGAGTTGATGGCCATGCACCTCGTGGCGCGAGGATCAGCCGACAACTCCCCGAATTTGCTTGGAGCAACAGGCCTTGGTGAGTTTGTGAACCTCTCCATCTCCCGGCTTTTGGTCTACTGTCGTAGGTCTGATACCGATATACCGATCCGGGAGATGCAGGCTGATGAGTAGCCGGCTGTATTCGACGTAGCAGCAGCACACGGCGACGAAGTCTGGTTGCATCATTCATACGTCGTGTTCCTACCCTCTTCCAGCCTTGCTCCTTGACGATCTTCCCAATCAGATGCGGCAGCGGCGTTCCATTCCGCAGTTAATGACGGGACACGTTTTTAATCTCGTTATTTTCCGATCGAACCTTTCCCCGGACGGCTCCAGCGCTAGGTAACATGGCGCAGGCTGATCTCTTCCCCGCGGTTTCAACGACAGCAGACGATACTACGGCGCTTTGCCATAGCAGGTTCGTCCAATGTAGCAACGTAGGCATGAGAGGCAGACCGCTTCCAGGTACTGTTGTGACAGAGTGCCCGGATGGATGCGACAACGGATACTCCTCAACGCACAATGGGTCGATGGCTGAACGGGGCAACCAGGAAAACACTTCCCAAGAGGGAAACATTCGAGACGCTCCTCCGAAGACTTCGGTGCATTCACATTGTCGGCAGCAGACAGCAGGTCCGTGCTAATCTCCATCAATTACCATTGACAGCCTACCTCACTCCGGAACCTTGAAGCTCGGGGAAGGCGGGGTGTCGATCTGCACAATCTACGCAAGAAGCAGTAGATACAGTACCTGGAAACGGTTTCTCTTGCGCCGTGCCAGTGGATTATCGCTATGGGGGGGCGCCAGGGTCAGTCAGTATGTATGCGAAATACAGCACCTACATACAGTCTAACCTGCACAAAAGAATCAACTCCGGAACCCCAATTTTGATGCTTATACCCAGGTTGATCTTACTCCCAGGTTGACACATAACCCTAACCCAGACTAAAAGTTGCCTAAATCGGGGTCAAAATGCCTATTTCCAGGGTCAAATGTTCGGTCCCCCGGCCATAGTTAGGGGTTCAACTATACTTTCGCCCACCTGTATATAAGAATACACCTGAATTTGTATGGGTTACTAAGCAAGATTCGTAAGAATAAGTCCGTTTCCCAGGTTATTCTTATTTGCCATACAAAATTGCTCGGGAACCCCGATTTTAATTCCTATACCCAGGTTATTCCTGTGCCTCGTATTCTTATGTGCAGGTAGACTCTGTACTACATACACAGTAGGTTAAGGCAGGGAGTTTATTGCGTGCATGATATGGCGCCTGATTGTCGCACAAGAGAAACACGGTAAGGGGATGCGGTCTGGTTCGACAGAGGGAAACGGGCCGTATGGGACGCATCCCGAGATGAAGCCTTGGCCCAGGACAGCCAACCAAGATGCAGAAAGGGGACGTTGCGGCGATGGCTCCTTGTGAGTCTGTACTGCACGTATGTACTCCGTACTTGTACCACATATGCAGCGAACAAGACTCCTCTAGCAACTGCTTTGTATCATTGACCGGGAAATTCGGCCGAGATTGGAGGAGACGGGCTTCAAGGTCTGCAAGCCATGATGAAACGAATCTGCGCTCATTCCGCCGAGAAGAGCTCTGGACATTTGGTTTCCGGGTAGTTTTGGCAAACCGAGAACTGCGGTGTAGTTGAACATCCAAGGAAGGAAAGCAGAAACGTTGAGCTAGATACTGTTCCTTCCGTAAGTACCGAAGCTCCGTTTCCACATTGCGACTCTGGCCAACGTTACATTTACGAAGACATCGAACCCCTTAACTGCCTGCTCCTCGCTTCCTCGATTCCTTCTTCTACAGACAAGGCGGTTGAGACTAGGTAATCGGAAAGGATGAAAACATAACCCAAAAGAGAATGGAAGCGAGTCTTCTCTGTTCTCGACTAACTAACTTCGCATCCGTAATAACACTAGGGGCGGTGGGGAGTGCAATGCTGCATTGCCTTTCTCCTCCTTATGTGTTCAAACTCATTGAATTATCGTCCCATTATTGTCACATTCACATCTCTCGTCCCTTTTCGCTCGGCAAGGCAGCCCACCAGCCCACCACCCTCTTTCTGTTTTGAGTTGGGGTTTTGCGGAGGATGAAGGAGAGAAAGCCATGCATGTGTGTATGTACTCGCTACCTACCTTATTTTCCTTGCTACTGCCGAATTGGGCGAGCTGCAAACAGTGTAACCCTATTTCGACCTTCCGGGAAGCACATACCGGCACTTTTTTCTTACTCTTTGTTGCGGTCGCACTTGCTTGTATGTACGTCCTACACAGTACTAGTATGGAAATTCGTTATGTAGTCGGCGAGTTTCGTGGTGATTGGAAAAGGGGGAGAGGGGAGGCTACCGCTTCAGGAAGGGAGAGAACCTAGACGGGAAGTCGCCTCCTCTGAACTAGAGGAGGGAGGATGGCTCTACTTCGAGCCGGCCACGTCGTACGGATAAAAGCAAGGCAAGTAAAGTAGCATGCGGATAATGCCGCGGTACCAAACGGTTCTCAGCAGTTGTTCACGTCTTTCTATGGTTGTATGTATGTACAGCAGAAGACATGGAGAACCACTTTGATCGTTCGTTCCCCTGGCCCTTCCATAGCTGAGATCTCCTTCCTTCTCACATTCCTCCCAGTCAAAATAACAGAAGGAACCAGCCACCCGGTTCAATGCAATTCCATCAAACAAGCAACGCTCCGCCCCTGGCCCTGAAGTAATTTCGGTCTTTTCTCGATCTTGAACCCTATCCCCTTCCGTACTTGATTTCCCTACCCTTTCCCAAGTAATGTAGCCACGCAAACCATAAAGCCACCCGCGCATTGCACATTGCACATGCAGACTGCCGGTCCCATTACAAGGCTCCGCGCCTGGGCTGTCGTTCGAATAAGTAAACCCGTAATCGATTTGGTATTTCGTTCTTAAGTGTCAGAATGGGGCTATTTGCCGTCGCCACACCGTCAAACCCACGTAAAGAACAACAACAAAGGAAATTGTCGATCGTGCCCTCGCGTGTGTGCGTTCAATCTCGGTTGGTGAGTTCGTGTCGAAGTGGGATCAGGCTAGGTTCTCCAAAGGAGGTGAATGGAAGCCGAAGAGCCAAAGTGTCTGGAGCCGAAAAGGCTGTATAAACGTGACGCACCCACGAAAGGTAACAAAGTACATTTGTTCGCGCAAACAAAGGTATATTGGGTATCTCGGTCGTCCTCGAGAACCCAGGAATCGAAAAGGAGCTGCCGAGAGGCTGATTTGGGAGGAGAAGCGAACGGGTCCGGCGGCCCAAGCAAGTACAAATTGCGGTATTCGAAGACGGATGAGAACGGCGGTTCAGAATCATGCTTCCCGTTCGACCAGCATCTGCTCCTGCCTGCCACTCGATCTACCCTACCACAGCTTTTTTCTCGTCCACAACGCTATGATGTCGTGCCGTATCCGCCAGACCCTGCGGTCGTTGCAGAAGACGTGCCCGGGTAACTCCGTTTACGCTTCATGCCCAGCGGGTCCTGCGAGAAATCTTCGCCACGGTCCCCGGAATTCTGCCCCTGGTGGCCTAGTCCTAGTGCGCTGGCCCCGAAAGAATCCCTCATCGGCGTCCTAGTCTGGAAAGCGTGCGAAAAATCGTTAGGCGGGGCGATGGGAGCGCTCATCTGGGGCATCGAGTAGTCTGCGCCTGACGATCTGAATCCTGGCGTGCGGGGGAGGGAAAAGTCAACCGGCGCGGTAAGGGGAGCCGATGGGAAGCTCGCTGTGTAACTGGAAGAGACACCGCCAAGCTGCGGTGTGGATGCTGTCCGCGGGCCCGGCGAATGCGTCGCCGACTGCAGGCTACCGGAGCCGATCGCGGATCGAAATTGTGTTCGCAGGTCTAGGCCCAGAGGAAGAGACGCCGAGGCGGCCCGTAGGCGTGAGTTCCGCTGCTGGTTCGCTTGTAGGCTCGATGACTGGAAGTTTGGATAGCTCAGGTGGGTTGGCGATTGGACGGTAGAACCTGTGAGATGTGCTTAGTTTAATGTCTCGGGTACTACTGTCTTCAACGCCCGGGTATTCAAAACCTACCAGAGTAATTGCTTGAGTCGTACCCGCCTAGGCCGCTTCCCGACGTTCCCCCCACCTGGTCTTGCTGGTATAGGCTGTTATGCCGACTTCCTATCTGGGGAGACGAATTCCCACCATGGTAGGTTGTGTAGTCAATAGAGTCCCGATTCCACGACATGCTCGAACGTAGCGGCGACTGTAGAGTATCGGAGCGCGACCTGCTCATTGTGTCGCGGAGCTGTAGGGGTTGTAACGGTCGTATTTGCTGTCGCGAATGATGGCCATGCAACTGAATCCCTGAATCTAGACTCGATTGTCGGGCAAACGGGTTCGACGTCCTCGGCCCTGCGCTCAGAGGCGCTGTTGAGTGATGACTTGAGTAGCTATAACGGTCGGTCGAGGTGGGGGAAAGCGGTGACAGGATGTCTGGGGTGCTGAGTCCAGCCGACGGGTTAAAGCCTATACTTCCAAATGCTGGGCTCAGACCAGTGGGCGAGAGGTGATCGTCGCCGTCCGGACGCCGCACGTCCACCATAAGCGGTCGCATCATATGGTCCGCATACGAGGAAGCTCCAAGGTCGACCGGTGAGGTGATGGGCGTTCCCAGCCCGTGAAGCGCGCCATACGGGGAATGGAGTGCACCTAAGCTGTCGAAATCCTCCGGAACTGCCCTCATCTTGATCATACGTTCTCGATCGTCCGCTGTCAATCGCTTGATTTTGGCGCGCCTGGTCGACTATCAGTATGTCTCTCGCCCCATGAAGCAAAGCCCGCGGCTCCTTTGAGAAGCATACCGGTTCTGAAACCACACCTGTACTTGACGAGGGCTGAGCCCGGGAATCTCTCGCGAGAGCCGTTCTCGGTGGGCCGCGTCTGGATGCGGCTGCTTTGCGAATTCGCTCATCAGGAACCTTGTCTGCTGGTGTGTAAGCCTAAGGGAAAATTAGCCGCTGTCGATTGTTCTATAAGGTGGAAATTCTGTCTTTTACCTGAAGCGCTTCATCTTTCGTCGCTGAGCCGTCCTCTCGGCCGCCGTCTGCGGCGGAGGTTGTGTTTCGCCTTCCCCTTCTCCCTCTACCATCTCTTCGTCCTCCACCACCTCTTCCTCCTCCTCTTTGACAAGAGTTTGCCCATCATTTCCCGCCTGGCTTGGAGCTGCCTCGGATACCTGGCCAGCCGAGGACACGGAACTCAAGGGGTTAGACCCGAGAGACATGCCTGGTGTCTCGGTCGAGGCCAACGATTCTTCATGCGTCGACTCAGCCGCCTTTTGCGCATACTGCTCTCCTTGATTCTCAGGCTGCTCTGGGATCGGAGATGGCTGTTTTGGTGGCCGCAGACCCAAGGGATCTAGGCGGTGTCCCAAAGGGGACCTCTCCGTCTTTGGTGCCTCAATATCCAGGGGATTGCTTGGCGCAGGCACATTCCGTGGCTGCGCCTGTGATTCCGTGCTATCGGTCGAATTCGCCACATGCCCGTATGGCTGCGGAAAAATGGCGCTGTCTCCTGGCGGGAGAAACGAGTACTGACCCTGCCAGTCTGACTGCGTCACGGAGTCGAAAGTGTTCGACATGCGTAAGCTTTCGGCAGACTTGCGGAACGTGGTCTCAAACTTGCTGATAGACCAAGGACTCGGCTCCGTAGCGCTTTGCCTGGTAACAAGCATTTGGAACTGGCTGTCGGTTGTCGATCAGAAGAAGCAGAGCGAATCTCGGGTCGGTGTAGAAGGGACGGTAAAGCCGCCCCAGCTGTGCAATCGGCCTCCCTCGAGACTTAGGGGTAAAGAGCGACGAAAGGACTGGCAAGCTAAACGAGCGTTGATGCCGTTCTGTAATGTACGAATGATCAGAGACCAGGGACGCACATCATCGACTGCAACACCAGGTAGGCGGACCTGCTACCTTTGGAGCCCCAAGTGTGGTACGCGGTAGATCTCCGCCCACAAGATACTGCAGTCCGGAGCCTGGTAAAGGGCCGGGAGACGTTTGCGATGTCCAAGTTTGGTCCGGATTGGACTGTCGCTGTCGCCTTGAAGATTCCTAACCGCTTCCCCGGACTTTGTCGAAACTCAAACTTAGATAGCCCGCTGAAGATGGTGAGCGTCGGGCCGAAGGCGAGATCCTCGGGCTGATGTGTAGGTGTGTCGTACCAAAGGGCGAAGAGGTCCACCCCTCCAAGCGAAGATCAGACTGAGCCGCGCAGCCTTTAAGTTAGGATAAGAATTTCAAGGCACGGTTACAAGCCCCACGATCTACGATCTGTGCTTGTCTGAGTTTTTGTCGACCCGTAGTCGTCCGCTGGTTAGGAGGAAACCTTGCCCAAACCGCAGGAAAGGAAGAGATGACTTTGGCTTCGTAATCCCAGAGTCACGAACGGAGCTTGTACGTACGAAATTCGAGGAATCGAATTTCGCTTGGTCGGGCCGTCTGGTGTTTTATGATTCCTGGGAACCAGATCGAGCCGGGAGTTATGACAGTCTTGAGGGCTGCCCTTGGTGGTATCAAGGCCGTTTCCCCAGGGGGCCCTTCCTTAACGTAGAAGAGAGGTGGGATTGACACCGGCGGAGAACCCTGTCACACGGAGAGAGGCACGTCAAGTCCGCATTCGAATCCAAGGCAGGGTCTGCACGGGCAGCCGTAACAATGGATAGGAATGGGTTGAAGAGGTGGGGGAGGCAAGTGCGCGAGATCGGGGTACCTGGTACCTGACAGAAGGTTATAACGGCAGCTGGCCGCAGGGCCACGTCTGGAGATGATCCCTCGGCTAGACGAAAACCGCGAATTAGACGCTCCGCTACAATAATATCGGATTCCCAAGAGATGGGATAGGTGCTGAGCCACAGAGTTCTCCTGCTCTTGCTAGGGGTCAATGGTAGCGTAGACATAGCGACAGGGCTATATCGTCAGAAGCTGGGTCATAACGTTAGGAGATCTCGGCTGAATGGCTAATGCCGTGCCAGGACATCAATGGAACCAACAGGGATGACTGGTGCCACGCAGTGAGAAGAGCCGAGAAAACGGACTGGCAAAACGTAACCAGATGCCAAGCCCAGCGTCGAACAAGCGGCGTAGACAGGGCCACTGAAAAAGGAATCAGGAAAAGACGGCTGCAGTAAACGCCGCTGGACTTCGGGCACAGAACAATGCACGCGTGAAGGTGGTTTAGGCAGTCCTGGGATGGGCGAGAGCCTGTTTCGAGCCAATGGCGCCGACACAAGGCTCCGATGCGCTGGGCATGAGAAGACGCGGTTCAACCACGAGATACGGTCAGGCTCCGTGAGACCCCCGGGGCGAGAGCGTCCCAAGCTGCATCGGTAGGGAGACAGAGACTGGCATTGCTGTCTTACTGAAGAGGGCAGCGTGGACGCGGCCAGCCTAACGGCTTCCCTGGAGCCAGCAGTCCTAGAAAGCCGCAGCACGAGGCCGAGGGGCATTCGCAGAGATGCAGAGAAGGGTACATACGGTACTGGGCGCGCATGGCATCCCGGCTGGGGCGCTTGCGAACAACTGATTGGTCCTTGACGACATTAGCTTGTGTCGACTCCACGGAAGAAAAGCATGAAGCCCGTTGTAGAAGGTTCTCACCTCAAGCCAATCGCGGACCTTCATTTCCTAGGCGAGGGGGGGTGTACAATACAGTACTTTGCCTGCTTCTTGGTCCGCGGGGAGAGGTGCGAACGGAGGGAAGGCCGCACCGAAAAAGGGTAGGTAACCAGGGGGGTGGATGCAGATCGGATCAAGAAGCGACAGGGAAAGTGTAAGGTACGCTGACAGTGTCTACCGCTGAGCAGACACTTTTAGGTAAGATCGAGGGAGCGGTTGCTCGAAGCGGCAACTCTGCCCTGAATGAGATGGTGGTGCGGGAAGTGGGGAGAGAGGATTCATGATGCTTGGCCCTGGCACAGGTGGAGGATCGCTGATGGGCAGATCTGTCTTCCTGCCGGCATCTGATCCAAGGGGGGAGGGGGCCTGACGCCTTGTCGTAGCAGTGGCGGTGGCCCGGCGCTGTAGACGGCCGTGTCCGCCGAAAAGAGAACCTCTAGCTCTGTCAAGGTATGCGCTGCATCTTTCTGAGGCATGGTCACCTCAAGTCTGCATCGAGCTTGCACAGTTAGGATCGAGAAAACCCCTCGTCGGGCAGGCAAGCGGGCACCCCTGTTTGCGTTTGTACTGCATACTACATAGTATGGCTGGGCCCGCTTCTGGTGTCAAGCGGAGGCACGCCAACGGCCGCGGAGGCCAAGAGGCGACGCTCTGCGCTTAATGGCGCTGATTGTATTCAGATCATTCAGGGCTTAGCGGAAATAGGCGTGCGGCTTTTGACATAGCCGCGGCAATTGATCAGGCTGCGCTGTCGCACCATGCCCTAGCTGCGTATGCTCTCCCGTCAGAAGCAATGCCGGCGCGGCTGGGGAAGCGTCCAGGGGGGGCGTCTGGGGAGCGTCCGGGGAAGGCCTGCGATGATATCTGGAGCTAGCTAGTAACCTTGAGGGCGCAGACGGCCGGCCAGTCTTGCTGTTGGGATACAGCGCCGAACAACCGCAGGCTGATCTGGTAGGCAACCACCAGACCAGGTAAGCAGAGATGAAGGGAGACTCTGCGGGGATTGGCGCTACAGCACTGTATGGTGTGAGGTACAAAGAGAACCATGGTAAGCGGGCCTGAGGCAAGGTGTCGTGCAGCCAGAGCGTCGCATTGAGAGAGGGGGCAGGATGGCGACGCGAGCAGTGTGTCGCGACAGGTCGGACGCCCTAGTCCGGGCTAGTGTATCGAGACTCGGCGGTGGCTGCCAACGGTCTAAGAATTTGTTTTTGCTGGCCGCACCGGGGTGTGTGTCTACCAACAATCTCTAATCCGGAGTTGGACGTCACTCCAGACCAAGCCCATGCTTGTCCGAACAAGGGTTGACTCCCATGGTTTCATCAGGGGCGTAGCTAAAGGTAACCGCTGGCGAGTCGCGACACCTACACCCACAAGCAGGCAGGGCGATGAGCAAGTCATCGCGCGCTATTGTGGAATAAACAATGTCCTCAAGACCGTATTTGCTCCGCCGTGTAGATCTTGTCCGGCTATCTTCCTTCTAGGCGGCTTCCATGGCAGGGTGGCAGGGTGCAGCATCCAGGCTCACGTTAGTGCGATTATCGGGTCCGGTCGATGCTTTGCCCTTTCCACTAGCTTTTCTCGGACCGCTTTCAGCGCGCCAGGCGGGCCGCAATTCTTCCTGTCACAGACCAGCCTCCCCGCGTCAGGTATTACGGTAGCCCTGATCCGCCAGCATCCCGAAAAAGACTTGGTTGTTGGGGCCGGGAGTATCTCAGACTTTTGCTGTCGAGATGATGCGCTCGCGACCAACGAAGCACGCAGTTGGGCGATACTTCCCTAAAACCAGGCCCCGAGATAGACGACCGCCAGAATCGTTTCTTGCCCCGTTTCTTTGGCAGCGAGCGATGGACCATGGAAAAGTGTACGTATGATCTTGTCCCTTTTGGGGGCTGTTGTGTTACGGTGGCTTGCAATGACACATTGCAAGCCCGACGTCGAAATCACCGTGTTTGGGACCGGAAACACAGGCTTGCCAATTATGTTGAATGGTGAGACGAAAGAGGATTGGGCATCCATGATAGCTCATTTGCTAAGAGTTGATAGCCTTGGTTGTTGCAGGAAGCTGGGATGAAATTGTGGGTTTGGGCAAGATGCGTTCGGACGAAATGGGCTTGCACATACTCCATCTCTCGACGTATGTCATAGAGTGAGCCACCCGGTCTAAGATGATTCTGAGACACCACGAGGAGAGCTTGCCTGGCGAAGTGATGGCTTGTTAGGCAAGGGACGACCCTTCCTTCTTACACTCATGCCTTCCCATAGGTCTTTCCGCCTAGTACACGGGTCCAGCTTGTATGTACTGTATGTACATACAGAACAATACAGAAACCGATTGATAATAATACCTTCAATAGTATCCTAGAGCACTCACCATTTCTCTACTAGTGCCGTCCTATCGAGCGATATATATCTTGGCCGATTTGCCCCGTTCGAGATGGAGAAAAAGCAACGGGGAATTGCGGCCTAAAGGGACTGTCAATTATCACCTGAGGGTGTCAAGTGCACCATAAGCACTGCCGAGGTGCTGTAGACAGAGTAGAGTATGTATGTACAGTACCTCCGTACATCAGGCCATCTTCTCCTGCTGTAATGAGATAAGTGCAATTGAATCTTCGCAACTGCCCTGAGCAGTTTCAACTAAGATTTGATGCACTAGCTTTGTGTTGTAACCCACCTTACGGGCAGCAGAGCTGGGCAGGCAACTGGGGCCAATTTGCGTAGGGTTGAGGTGGATGCTTTGGGGCGGGAAATCCAAACGGCGCAGGATAGACACACACCGGTGAAGTGCGTCCTTTTTCCCTGCTTCTTTTCCTGCTGCCATCCGCCAGATTAATAAGGATCGCAAGGTACACCAAAGGTGGCAGATCTTCCGTGTCGCACGGTGGCGCTACGCATCATAAGGTGCGTTTGCCTCATGCGAGCAGCTAACGTTTGGTGAAGTCAACACGCTTTGGAGGACATTCCGGGGCGGTGACAGCGAGCTCGATTCTCGAATCGGAACGAGCCGACGAGTAACAAACGGACTAGTGCCCTGCGTCGCTGTTTGTGAGAGAATAGCCCAAGGCTTTCCATGTCATGCTCACTAAACTGACACTGGGGATTCGACTTCACTGGCGACTTCCTCTGCGGCCGGCTCTGAGCGCGAAACGGACAAAACTGCTCGGGTGGAATTGCCATACGGTGAGATGCTTGAGAGTTTGTGAGAAGACTCGGAGTCTGGAAGCCCGGAAATCTGATCGGAAAAGATCTGAGTGGCGCACACATTTCTGGAATAGCGAGACGGGTGAGGCGGGGCCAAGGGGCGCCAGCGCTATTCCCATTCGAACAGGACCCACACTAGCTTCGTTGTGCCAATCGCCTACCTACTGTGGTAGGCTCCACCGAGGGTTTGAGTGTGTTCCTGCTTTCACAAACACAAGCTACCTAGGTGAGCTAGGTAAGGTGAGTAAATGGAACCTCGCACGCCACCTAGATACAATGGAATGATTTGCACTCCAACTACCTAACACAGCGTTGCCTAGCAGTCAAATATTGGCCGGGCCTCTGCTATTCCAGGTTGAGACATCAATCTTTACCTGACTCAATAGGTATTCCTCAAATACCGTACTTAATGTCCAAACTAGACATTCCGCCTCCCTCCGTCAGAGCTACCTTCCCAGCGCAGCACGGAACTGACGAATACTGCACGCGGCTCTCTCGGCAAATCCGGACGGATGCCTTGCAGTTGCGAGACATCGGGCCGGCGCCCTGACGTGCCGCTAAGCACAAGTAGGCTCGTGTCCAGGTGCTGATCTACCACACAACATGCACTCGACTATGCCCGAAAACTGGAGCAGCTGCGCTCAGCACTTGCCTGGGACAGACTAAGCCTGTCCCCAATTCGCATTGTCTCTTTCTGTCTCAAAGACTGAACTATGAAGCACATCCAACGCCGGTATTCGTATTTCTTGTGCGGTCCACAGACACCCCAGCTTGCTCGGCCGTACAATGACTTTGGAACTAAAGGTACTTGTGCCGGGGCTGATTTTCTGCGACCGCAGCAGCGTCGCCCGTGTGCCACGAGTGACTACGCCGCGAATGCTAGAGACAGGCGGGCACCCGCTCACCTGGCCCCCCCTTACCTAAGTTGGCCCAACTTGTTTTGTTGTAGGTCGAGCTAACCCACTGGCAGACATCGTTTTGATAGTCGATTAGGGTCCATTGCCGCGCTGCAAGGCTGAGTGTGGCGTAAGGCTGAGAGACGGAGTGCTCCGTCCTCTGCTGAGATAGACCGACCCGATGTCTGCAGAATAGGCTATTATCGACAAAATCCCGCTTCAAATCGGCTCCCGCCCTCACGATTGGCGTCCTTGTCGCTGTCATTTGAAAAGTACGAGGTTCTGAGCTAGAACCCAGGCAAAACGGCGCTTACGGCTGCTGCGACTCGCAGTCTGAAGATAACAGAAACCCGCTCAGTATGCTCGACTCTCGCGGATGGCCACTATTGCCGGCAATGCCCCTATTGAGCGTCAGCGGTAACCTGGGACTAGTGTCTTCGATTGTCCCACATTAGGCTCCCACTAGAGCCGCCACGTGGGACAAATACGAATGCTGCACAACCATTGTGACTTCCGGTCTGCGCGGAACGCGTGTCCGCAGATGAGTCCCAGCCAGAAGTTTCTGTCACGAGAGGACTGGATCCAGAAATGCTGGTGATCGGCCTTTAGCTGCTTATTGAGGATGCAGCAACCCGTTCGGTCGTCCAATGGCCAGCCATCCTAGCCCTCGATGTGCAGTCTCCACGTGCTCAGGTCGAGGGAAAGAAGGGGCACTATATTTCGGGCAATCAATCTTTGCTGACCTAATCATGAGCAGCCGGTGGAATGGGACGAAACACAGAGATAGCGAGCACGACTTTCCGGGACTGACGCTTCTGAGCTGCTGCTGCTGCTCTGCAGTGCTTTCAGAGCGAAGCGCTTTTGTCTGATTCGGAGCTCTAGCCGTCCCGTTAGGTCTTCGCCAGAAGCTTTGGTGCAATATGGGGTCCCAGTCTTTGCTCTAGACGTGGACGTGGAGCATGTGTCTCTCGGCTGTCGCCTTTAACCGCATTTTCCCCACGGCCAGACACTTATGCAACTGGATGGATCGAACAGGTCGTTCCAGCCAGCATACTTCAGACGAAGAGAGTTTCGCTGCTCCTGAGCGCAACTAGCTTGCAGTTTGACCAAACGGAGGTGCCTCCGTTTTCTAATGCCGTGCATGCGGTCATATAGCCACTTGTGTTATCGTCGCCGAATGTCCGCGGCGCCTCGTTGAGGTCGCCGGTGTCTCTGCCAGCAATTGGGGGCAGGCCAGAGGCGGGCATCCTGTGATAGCGCGGCATTACCCGACACTGGGGGGGGGGGGGGGGGCAACGACTGACGGCGGCCAACCAAGTCATGCGGTTGTCCAGAATGTGCAACATCGTGCAGGAACGGGAGACACACGGCTGGTGGGTGCAGAGCGCGTGCGGCACGGTCGGCGATGCTGGAGCCTGCCTGCCCGACTACACGGATTCCAGTTATGACCTTTGGCGCCGCATATTCCTGTCAACAGAGTGCGGGATGGGTCTTCCACAGTTACACTGCTAAACCCAGATGGCCACAGGAGACTTTGGCGACTTGGAGGTCAATAAAAGCTACATAGCGTATCGATAAGGCACGAGCACTCCGTCCTCTCAATAACGCGTATCCCCTGGAGCTGGTCAGGCGCCATATTAATATCAACCCGTGCGGATTGCATGGGGGAACGCTTTGGGTTGGCGGCACGACGAGTCGATTCGCTCCCTGGTTGAATCCCGTCAGGAAGAAGCCCGCACCGTGCAGTGAAGTCATAGCTCGCAGTGAGCAAGTGCAGCATTCAGCCCTCGTCCTTAGGTTGGAGACAGTGCGCAACATGGGGAGCGCTGTGAATATACCCCTTATGGTATGGGGCTCGCACGCGAACCAGCCTGCCTCATAGCCCCTCTCGGCACATCGTCGACCTTCCTCTCAAGGCATGGTCGTCCTTTCTGGCTTGCATTTTGTTGTTCAGCTCCATTGCATTGATGTATGTGACCCTTCACGGTGTGGGCTTCCGCAAACCCTTAGCCGGACGAGTAGGATCCAAACTTTGTCGTCCAGTCCCGTAGGTTAGGTCTGCCCACGGGCTCGTCAAGATGCGAGATCTGGATTATGCTGTATAGCGGGCAGACCAACCGTCGTACGAACACCGCTCTCGGGATCTGAGTTGCCCTGCAGCATTGGGTCTGCATGAGCAAGGAAACAAGCTACAGCTATGGCAAGCACATGGAGCTGACATTGATCGTTTGATGTTGAGAAACGAGCTTCCAGCCCTTTTCCGAGGGCACCGGCGCGCTGGTTGTACTCAGATCTCTCTCATGTCTGTTGATGAGCTGTGTCATGGAGATTGTTCACATTAGTGGCCAGCGGCACTCGCTAGCCCTGAGCGTTCAAGAGGAGGGCTACTGTACCTCCAGCGGGTGGCTACATCGTGATGACGGGCACTAATAGCCCTTCCTAGAAATGGACAGCAGCGACGTTTTCCAGAACCGCGCTCAGAATTGCGCCAGAGACGGCGATGAAGACCTATGCGACAAAGCCGACGCCAGCATGAAGCTGTTTCTGACCAGTTTCATTTTGCTGTTATACACGCTTGGTTCAATCTCGTCCGTCAGCCAGAGCCTGCTTGGTCTCACAGCCACCCCGTTCTTGTCCCCTGAGGTTAACGTTGAGTTTATCTCAACTGCCAAAACGTCGCCTGGCTTCCAGGTTTTATCGACAACAAGACTCGGGTTCTTGGCCTCGTCACCTCTATTCTCGGAGATCTCTCGCATCCCACATGCGGGTCTATGCCGCCACAGCTGATTTGGAACATCCGGCGGATAAATGTACGGAACAGTTGTCGAGTTTGTCCGTCCCACAGCTTGCCGCTATTCGTCAGCATGGAAGCGTCACTGTTTCGGGAATTTCTCCAGTGGTTGGGTTCTGTCGATGTTGTTTCCGCTCATCATCCAGGTTCAGGCTGCTGACTCAGTTGCTCGATTAGCAGAGTGCGATATGCGTGGAGCTGGTGCGCCTGCATGCCTTGCTTGCATAGGCACGGGGTTTCACGCAGGAACGCGATGCGTCTCTTGCCTCCGTTCGCGGCATGCTCTATAGCATGAGCCCGGTATGGCTTCTACAGAGCGGGTCTGGGCACGCATTATCTCCCTCATCAGCTGACGACTTGCGCGTTATCCGTGGTTTCTTTGGGGAGCCTCCCGTTTTAGGGAAGAACAACCTGCTGATTTGGGGGCGGGGATTAATCCGGTACTCGCATCTACATCCGGAGCCGTCAGTCACAGCCCGGCCACTGCTCTCAGCCAGCTAGCTAGCCAACAGCGGGCGAACGTGTTCGTCCGGTGCGGGTGCGGATGCTTTGATCTGGTGGATGCACCAGAGATCTCCTTCCAAGCTTGGACCGTTCGCTCGAGCTTCCGGCTGGGACAGCCGCTGATATAGCCCTATATCATAACTTCTTGGGCAATCCGCTCTCCATCCGCAAGCGAGGCCGCCGGGCACCAAGCGATCTCATCACGCGTCTCGCGCGTGACACAGGTTCTTTGCCCTGCTTTCTACTTTAAGGTTTACATTTCTTGCCGAGATCCCGTCCCTTCCCCATGGCGGCGGCCCCAGACTACGGCCTCAGACGGCGGGGAGGCGTTGTGTGGTTCCGCACAAGCTCCAGAATAATGAGAAATAGATTGGCTTGGCTCGTGCTTAAGTGTCAGATATGGAGGTTAGGGACGGGAGGCAGGCTATTGCCACTGCGCACTGGTTGTGGTCTGCACGTATAGCTTCTGCCGTCTATGGGGTGGAACCTTGAGCTCGAGTTTATTCTGTCTGTTTTCCTTTCCTCCTTCCTGTTCTGGGGACGTCATCCCATTCGGGCCGGCAAAGGCGGCGGAGATTCGGACCCTGAAGAAACCCATGGACGTGTGCTGCAATCCAGACAGCCGGCTTGCGGAGACGGCAAGAAATGTTCCGAGCCAAACCGGTCGGTGACTCGAACGACCTGGGCCAGTCAATCGGCGGAATGTTACTGGAACATTGGTACAGACTTGTATCAGGGAATCTCTGATTCTGTAGCTGGCTTCCTCCCGGGCGCTGATTTTCGCAGTCTGTGGGAGAGCCGGGATGGGCGAGTTTGTCTGGCAGAGCTTCCTCCTTCTCCAGCCGGCTCGACATCCAACTTCTGGCTCCTCTTTTGACCAAGACATGAGCCGGCGTTTGAAAATGCTGGACGAGACGGCTTGGCTATCGCTAGTTGATACTATACACAAGTAGTTTCTCTAGCCCGCCAATTTCGCCGCTCAGAGCTTGACGTTCCTGAAGATCACCTCCATTCCGCCTCCTCCTTCAAGTTGGTGAGCAAGGTAACGAAAACCACTCGCAGGCCGCGACGAAAATAGAATCTCGCACACGGCTCGGGCAACCGAAAATTTGAGAAGCAAGCGAGATAGAAATATGATTCTCATTTCCAGCAGCTGCTTCTCCCCGGTTCTTGAAGGCCAATTCTTGCTCAATTTCTGGACTACCGAAGCTTTGCGGGGAAGATTGTGGGGGGCAATCTAGCACACATTGCATGGGATCGTTTGAATTCGGGGGAGGTGGAGGGGTTGGAAAAGGGGAGGATTAGGGGAAGATTTGATTGCCTGGGCAACAACAGCATCAACAAACACATCATCCCCTATACCCCTTTTTGTGGCGAATGCTTCTGTACCACCTATGCTCGACAAATCTCGATACTGATGCGATGCTATCAAGTAAACGTTTAGGTAGCACTTTGCGGCTGGCAAACGCATTTGAGGTGCCTCACCAATGGCCTCCCGCCCCTTGGGTCGCATTTCAGCACGGGTTGGGCTACCGAACCGTGAATCAAAACCGCGATGCCAGATTTCTATCCTACCCAAGATCCGTCTGACCGTATAGAAGCATTTTTCTGAGTTTGATGAAGCCTTGGGTTACATTCGAGGTGATGTGGCCACCGCGCCCCTGCGTTACTCCGCTGGTGCACTGCCCAACTCTACTTGTACATTCATACATGGATCTTATCAGAAGTACACGTACTGAAAAACAGGAGAAACGCCCTAGTAGTCGTAAAAACCCTTACCGCTCTTCTTACCCAGCCAGCCGGCGGCCACCATGTTCCGCAGCAGCACGCTGGGGCGGTACTTTGAGTCGCCCGTCTCCTCGTGCAGCACCTTCATGATGGCGAGGCACGTGTCGAGGCCGATGAAGTCGGCCAGCTGCAGGGGGCCCATGGGCACGTTGGTGCCGTTCTTCATGATGGCGTCGATTGCGTCACGGTCGCCGATGCCCGTCTCGAGGCAGATGATGGCCTCGTTGATGTAGGGCATCAGGATGCGGTTGGCCAAAAAGCCCGGGCGGTCGGCCGAGACCGAGGGCACCTTGCCGAGCTTTCTGCAGAACTCGATGGCCGTCTCGACCGTCTCGGACGACGTCTGTAGCCCGGAGATGATCTCGACCCCCTTTTGCACGGGCACGGGGTTCATGAAGTGGGTCGCGACGACACGCGAGCTGTTGCTCCTGTCGGTTGAGTTGCCGCCCGTCGTTGAGGCGGCGATGCGCGTGATGGAGATGGAGGACGTGTTGGTGGCTAGAATGGCGTGCTTGGGGCAGATCTCGGCTAGCTTGGCGAAGATGTCGAACTTGAGCTGAGGGATCTCAGGCACGGCCTCAATAACAAAGTCGGCGTTGCAGAGGTCTTCGATGGAAGTGGTGGGCTTGAGCAGGGCGCGGGCGGCGTCGGCCTGCTCCTGGCTGATACGCTGCTTCGTGACATCTTTGGAAAGGAGCTTGTCTGGTTTTGTGTTTATGATACTCGGTGAGCGGGCCAATTCCAAATATTTCACACGTGAACTGTGAACTGGCTCTCACCAACCTGCAAAGGCAAGACCCTTGTCCAGGGACTGTTGTGAGTTGTCAACCAGGATCACCGGAACACCTGCCTTTTGGGCAGCCACGAGGGCGATACCAAGGCCCTAAAGTTGCGGGAATCGATTAGCAAATTGATGCAATCAGACGACTTTCACAGAGATGTTATATTTGGTGTGATTACCATCTGCCCCGCGCCGACGACACCGAGCCGCTTGACTTCAGCGGCGGGCCGAGCAGCGGTGGAGCTAAAGTGTCGCGCCCGGCTCGTAAGCAGGAGCGCCCGTCTTGTTACAGTTGTTGAAGCCATTGTTCTGAGATAGGATCGTATGTGATGAGGGAAATGGCTGGGTTGACCTACTGGCACCTTCCGTTGATCAAGAGATGCCCGCTTCGAGACGAAGCACGGCTAACCTCGGCCCTTCCTGTTCCCTGGCTTACCGGCGACATCAGGTGGGGCCAATGATTTCACATGTGCCGGCGGCCTTGGCCAATGGCAGGACAGTGCGGGCTTACAAACTTGGGCTGCGATTTAGACAGTGTGCAACACAATTGGGACGGAGGACGCGTTCCTCGATTTTGATTGATTGCGACGCGTCTCCAAGACAATTCCCAGCGTAATTACGCGACGCTTCCCAAAGCGTCAAGGAATCAGGGAACCTAGGAACCGTGTCAGCCCAAACTTGCGACTTCCGTCTTAGCAGCAGTTGTTGAGTTGCGGATCTGTCTGTACCTTCGCATGCCGCGATTCCCTCGCTGTCTGTGATCTCTGTCCAAGATGGAGGACCCAGACGTCAGCAACGACACGGTGCACCCGCAGGTTCGGGCACACATCAACAGCCTGGTGTCTGCGGTAAGCCATTTCTGTTGCAGAATGTCTAAGTAACGATTTCTGGCTGACAGCTTGACACTCCAGCTCGGTGGATACAGCATTGACGACGACGACAGCTACAAACTTGGAGATGACGCCCTCGATGTGCTGCGCGATCTCAAGAAATGGATCAGATTCTACGACGAGAAAACAAACCGTATGGACGTCGCTCGATGCTTGGCCGAAGCGAACATCGTCGGCACCGACCTGCTACAAATCCTGGCGACATGGCCTCCAAGCGAAAACGACAGCAAATACAAGGCTAGGATTGCCCTGGCCTGCTTCGAGCTCATGGTCCCCCTTACCTGGCCCCTCGAGAAGGACCGCGAGACCATGACTATCAATCACCACCGCCACCTACCCGTCCTCCAGCTCGCCCAGCTGGGCTACAAGCGTGCCATTATCAACTTTGATGCCGCCCCCATACTCAATACCGCCGTCCGGGTGGCCCTCCCTTCCATGGCCATGCCTATCGGTGACCGCTCGGCGCGAGACCAGGGCATCATCAAGTTGATTCTCTTCTTTCTGAGGAACATCGCCATGATTGCTCCTGCTCCAGGTGTCAAGTTCGATGGAGACGAGTCACTGATCTCTCGGTCAACCCTTATCGACGCCTTTTCCTACCAGGACATCCTCCTGACCCTGCTGACCATTGCTTCCAACATGGGTGACGACTTTCGGACCGAGGATGTGATCGTCATGGAGATCATTTTCCATCTCGTCAAGAGGGTCGACTCCAGCAAGCTTTTCGTCAGCGAGAAGCAGCTGAACAGGATAAAAGCAGACGAGCTGACGGCCGCCATGAGGAAAGAGGCTGCCATGTTGAAAACCTACAGCAAGAACGCGCCAACTCGCCACAGCCGCTTTGGCACCATGATCTGGGTGAAAAGGGAGAGCGGCAAGATCTCGACTGTCTCGGGCCAAGATGCTCTGCTTGACGCAGCGACCCGTGAGAGGAAAATGGACAGCACAAAGAACTTTAAACCTCCAAGAAGGGCTAGGAAAGAGGATATGGAGCCCAAGGGCCTGGGTCCTCCAGTGAATCTCGACGAGCGAGCCCGCCAGCAGCTGCGTTCCTTTGTATCCGAGTTCCTTGACTCCGGCTTCAACCCCCTATTTTCCCATGTCAGAAAGTCCCTCGACAGAGAGGCGTCACATGTGCTGGACTATCACCGAAGTCAGTTCTTCTACCTAGTCGCCTGGTTTCTTGAGGCAGAACGGATGCGTAGGAAGGCAAACAAGGAGTCAAAAAAGCCGTCAGCCGAAGACGAGGTGGGGAGCTTTAACCTGGTCGCTGAAGTGCTCAACCAGGAGATGTTTATCTCCTTGAACCGCACCTTGGACCGCGCCTATGGTGACAAGGACTGGCCGCTCTTAACGACAGTCATGCGCTGTTTCACTCAAATTCTCCTTACCGTCCAAGAAATGTCGGACTCTGGCAACGAAGAAGATGAAGAAATAGCCGACAACATCTTGAGTCGGCTGTTCTACGAGGAAACAACACATGACGCTATAGCAAACATTGTTCGAACGTACAAGGACCAGGGCTTCGAATACCTGGACGCTTGTACCGACCTTACACATACCTTCCTTCGCATCCTTGAAGCCTACTCGAAGCAGAACGTCGACCTGCAGGTCCGCTCACGCAAGAGAGTCCGGCGAAAGAAGAAAGCGGCCAAAGCAGCTGCGAATCAGGCTGTGGACGGCGAACAGCACGAGATGGAGGACGATTCGGCGGACGATGAGAGGCAAGCCGAAAAGACCAGCCAAGAGAGAAAGTTCGATTTCAAGCGATTTGCTCTCAGGTTCATTCCTCAAGGCGTGATCGACACATTTGTGGCATTCACTAAATACTATCGGGATCTCGATGATTCCCAACTGAAGCGCGCTCATCGGTACTTCTACCGAGTTGCCTTCAAGCAAGAGATGAGCGTCATGCTGTTTCGGCTCGACATCATACATCTTTTTTACAACATGATCAAGGGCCCCGAACCCCTGGACAAGAATTCGCTCATGTTCAAGGAGTGGGAAGAGCTTGTGAAGCAGATTATCAAGAAATGCATTCGGAAACTCGAGGAGCGGCCGGCCCTGTTCACTGAGCTTTTGTTCTCCAAAATCCAGAGCACGGCTCACTACCTGGAATATGGCTTCGAGAAGCAAACTGTCTCTACCAATCCCAGGCCAGGCGCTGAGCTAGAGTTCAAGCGTGAAGTGGAGCGAGACCAGCAGATCGCGATCGTAGTCGGCGTGCTGCTGGACAAAAACCAAACTGACCACCTAGAATGGATCAAGCAACAGCTTACAGAGGTTCTAAACGAACGCCGCGCTTGGGAAAGTGTTGAGACGGCTATGACAGCCGAAAGGCCTGACGGTGAAGCAGCTGAGAGGCCTGACGGGGAAGCCACTCATGAGACTACCACCGAGGCCAATGCGAAGACAGCCTCACATTCCAGTAAGATCATCTCCCTTTTACAAAATTCAACGCGCAACTAACCTCCCTAGTCATCCGACCCGACACTGTCGCCCGCCGTACAGCCATGTTCAAGAACTCCCACCTCCGCCTGCTGATGAAACTTGTCGGCATGGAGCGTCTCACCCCAACACTCGACGAGTCTCCCGACTCGACTTGGGTCATCCCAGGTACCGTTACAGCCGACGCTCTCAAAGAGTCCCTCTCCCTCATCAACAACGCCGAGTTCACCCCGCCCACCTTTGAAGACGGCGAACTAGCCGCCGACCAACTCCGCCGGAAATCTGCTGTCCGCAGACGCGCTGCATATGATGACGACGACAACGACAGGGACGGAATAAACGACCTGATCGACGATGACGAAGAAGGAGACGGCATCCTCTTCCCCATGGGCGGTCCCACCGCGCGGAAACCGGACGCGCCAAGCAAAAAGGGACAGCCCCGCCGCCGTCGCCGGCGGGAGGGCAGCCAGGAACCTCCGACGGACGAACAACTGGATGAGAAGCTGCGCAAAAGACGGCAGAAACAGCTCGAAAAGGCCCGCCGTATCAAGAGTGCCGTCTATGTCGACCCGCGCGACGACGAGGACGACGAGGAGCGGGACAGGGAATTCTTTGCTCGCGAGGCGGCCCGCCAGGCGGCCAAGAATGCTAGCTTTGGCCTCAGCGATGGCAAACCTTCTGGCGTGGACAGCTCGGTTTGGGATATGCTACTCGGAGTTGGGGACGAGGATGAAGGCGGAGACCGGGATAGGCATGGGGAAGATATTGCTAGCAACGTGGCGCGGCAAGCGAACGGGAGAAAGGGGAGAAAGCGGAAATCCGATGTTGTTGATGTCGAGGGGAGCAGCGAAGACGAGGGCGGGGAGAGTCCTGACAGTGATAGAGACAGCACTGCCGCGTCCTCCTCTGCTGAGTCACCACAATCACCATCGACCTCCTCGAGGAGGCGGACAAAGAGGCGGAGGAAGCTGTCATCGACCCGACAGCGAATGCATGCTGTTCGTCTGGACGATGATGACGACCAAGAAGAAGACGCAGATGCGGGTGCAGGCAGAGATCGTGATATGGATATGGACGTGGATGACTCAACGCAGTCCACCAAGCCCTCCTCTGCCGCTACCACGGCCGCCGGTGCGGACGAGGACGAAGACACGCCTCTCACGTCCACGCCCAGCCCCAAAAGGGTTGTTGGCAAAGATTTGGATGACGATGAGGATGATGGCATGCCAATCGCCCCCAAGGCGGCTGTGGCCAGGGCAGCACGGCCGCGGGCTAGGGCGGGATTCATCGTGGAGAGCAGCGACGAGGAGTGAGAGAGCGGTTCACTTTTTTTTCGTTTGGAAGACATGGATGGCATAGACCCCGGTCTCTGTGTGCGTTGGCAATCGGTATCCCCCGCATTGTTTTGGTCATTTTCATGGCGTTTGTGACCAGCCTGACTGATTGGTACGGGATATCATGGCATGGTGTTTCTCTCGGGGCGGGAAGGATGCAATACATACGTAAATTTGTAATGGCAAGGAAACTGGTACTTGTCAATGACAATGTCTCCCTAGTCCAAGGATTCAGACAGATCCTGCGCATGACTGGATGCTAGACTGTTTGGTATAACAACCTCAAAATTTGACTCCACGCAAAAGCCTCGTTCTCGGCTGGAATGCCCTTTTCTCCTCCGAGCATAGGGAGGTACTCCATAAGTTCGACGGATCCCATCGCCAGTCAACGACTCCACCAGGGCTCGGGACCAGTCTCCACAGTGATCGCCCTAGCGAGCGAACTATGTTAAGCTTAAAACTTAAACTGCTATGTAACCCACAGAGCCCCTGGTCTCCCATCGCGATGTCGACGGAGGTGTGTATTCGCGTGCTCTTGCGTGTATGGCACCCGCAGAGGGCTTGTTTCTGACAATAGCAGTGTGATGTGTTTCCCCGTGTCAGAAATTGGTCGATATGCTTCTTAGCTTCAGACGTTCAGATAGCAAAACTACGGAAACCAAGGCGCTGTATTGATTACGGGGTCATTGATCCTGTCGTCTCAATCCCGCCGACCCAACCCAGGACGTGATTGTGGCACCGCAAGGAAGGCCTCGCACTGGCATCACAATGGTGTGTGGCTTGTGGCTGGCGGAAAACACAGACACAACCGGGTTGTGGGCGTTGCAAGCTGTAGTTATGTATCAAAATGGCTGCTTCTATTTTGTTTACACCCAATATGCCTGTAGTCCTCTAGGTTTAAGTTTAGTTGGGCCGCGCTCTTTTCCGACCCTCATGATTGTGTCCTTGGCTCCATCTTTCTGCGCCATAGCCATCACCAGATTTCAATGTTTCCTATTAGCTCTGGCCCTTTTTTGTGTGTCGCTCGGAGACCCCAAAGCGATATTGGCGAGGTGTGCGACTCTTCCCTGGCTTGACCGCTCTCCTGGTGTTCGGTCAGGCTACAGTTTTGGTGGATTGGTAGTGGGAGAAGGGGAGAAGAGGTCTGACTTCTTTTGGCTCGAGAAGCAACCAAAGAGCATCGAGAGGATGTCGGCCATGCTGTAATGGTATCGAAGCTTGAACGAGTGCAGGAAACCGCCGCTGTGGTCACTTGCAGGCAGTTGGCGACGAAAATGCGTTGGATTGCGTTCAGTAGCGAAAGAGCGGAGGAAATGGCGACAAAGTGGTGATATTTCGCGTTAGGGTCGTGCCCTAGAAACAATCCCCGTACAACAATTGGCCTTGTCGTCCGTTTTCCACGCTAGGATTCAGCAAGTCTCCCGTTTCAGCTGGTTAGCCGTTGGGGCCATGTAGGCTTGGTTTGCAGAGGAGTCCAACCTAGAGATTAGAGGTGCTCGACCGAGCTGATTGGGTATCCGACGCCGAATGGAAGCTGGCGGGGCGCGGAAGAGATAACAAACATCCGGTGGCCGGTTTCCAGGGCGTAAACAAATTGCAAGGTCCCCTGTCAAGCTCCGTCCTCGTTGCGGGGTATTTGTCCAGAGACCGTGGTTGTGAGCGGCGGCACAATCGGTCGTGCATCGTTCAGTCTGGAGCTTGAACTGGCGCGCTTGCTCGCGGGCGGCAGATCATCTCGGTATCGATATAGCATCGTGCTTCCACTCCCGCCTCTACCCTTGCCAAGCTACTCAGCAGAGCTCATGATTCCCCTGACCTGTGTCAGCGCTGACTTCTCATGAATGTCATGTCATGTTCCATCATGTTCTCGGGCCCTCCGGACAGCAAGCCTGCGAATGCCACGGTTCATATTATGCTGCGTCCGCGCCTGCTAATGATTCAGAGTGCGGCGACTCCAGCGTATGAGGGCTTACTTATACTTCTTGGTCCCTTGGAATGAAGAAGCACAGGTATCATTGCACACCCAGAAGCCCACCTCCCCGTGATGCGCCATTGGGGGTCAGATATAAAAGTGCAAATGCCAAGCCGCCAAGACTTGCGGGGGGTAGACAGGGATTGAGTGCCTCGAGCAACCCATTTGGGCTGACCCGGACAAACTCGAGTGACGAGACCAGAAGGAGACATGAGATGGCTTGCATGCTCACCGTGATACCGAACCATCAGGGCGAGCACATTGGAGAGGGCTGTCCTTCATGCCGCCATTCAGCCCACCATTTGCTCATCCCACGCATGGGCACCAACTGGCCGTTGCAAGCAGAGTCGGGCAGCAAACTTTGTCAGCCCGGGATAGAAGAGAGACAAGGAGATCTGGAAACGAAATCGCTGAGAGCGCGCCACTCGACGCATTGCTGGAAAAATAAGAAATTCGTAGCCGCAAAACCATTGAGCGCCGCCAAACCGCCTTGACAGAATGGAAGATAGGGTACGAGGAGGAAGAAGAGAACAAGCGGTGAAAGGAGAACGACCGGTTCTGCTGTAATCAGGCGGCTTCAAATCTGGGAAAGCAAGCGTAAAATTGCGGCGGGCGAAAAGAGATCTGTAGAGAGCTAAAAGATTAAGAGGAAGGGTGAGGAGAGATGAAAATATGAGTGTCAAAGAGGCGAGTTGTAAGTTGCGTAAGGATCGAGTAGGGGGAGGCGCGGAAGAGGATGAAAAAGGTGCTCGGGGGGTTCGGACTCGAGGTTGTCGAAAAGTGGGCAGACTCATATACATTGCAGGTTACTAAGGTGAGTAGGATGGTCGGGCGCCCGCCTTTGGCCATTTTCGATGGGTAGTGGCAGACCCGGAACCGCGTGAGTAACGAATGGAAGAAGCCAGTTAAGGGTCGCAGGGCTCATGGAAGTATTGACTAACACGGTTCTGCCGGACCGCAGGGAAAACCAATTGGCGACTGAACGGCCTGTTTTCGTTTCCCCCATCCATTCAATCGTCCTGGTGTGGCCATACCGTCACACCAATATGAATTCAATGGCTTCCCCAGTCTTCAGCTTTCAGGCTGGCTAGCCCCGTCTTGTCTTCACCACAAAGTGTCTCACTGTTCTAGTCATAGCAAGGTCGTCGACAATTTCGCACACCGGATCCTGGCGAGTATGTGTCTCTCGTTTCATCTCGAGTGTCTGGAGTATGCTCCATGGTCAGTAAGGTGCCGGTGCTCGAGTTGATGTTGGCAAGCGCGCCTTCTCAATTAGGTACCTGGGCAGGGAGGACTCTGCACATCCTCCTCCCTGCTTCTTGCCGTCAATCTAGTAGATCCCCTGCTAGATTTACCCTCATCTGCCACAGCCAAACTTCCACTGATGAGAGATATCCTTGGCGGGACGCTCTCCCCAATCCCGGCGCCTCTTCTCGGCCCGGAAGCCACGGGACTCAGCCCTTTCTTTCTTTTGTCAACCGACGCCAGTTCACGTCTACAAGGCGTGGCTTGCTTTTAACAAGCGCATGCAGATTGGCGCGGAGCCTTGCGTTGACGCCATCCAGTCTACTGCTCAACCCCAATCAATTGTGACTCTGTATGAGGTGTTCGAGGTGACACTTGGGCTTAATGGCTCCATGGTTGTCCTTATGGTAGGTTCCTTATATCCGCCCTGCCTAGTGACCTGAAGCAGATCCCGAAACCCATGTCCCGCTACGCTCTCCCGCACACCGATTTATTCAGAGCATTCGCCACTTCAGTCAAGAGAGAAATCTGCAATACGTTCCCAAGGCGCCATGGCCTTGTTCCGACAGAATGTCTCTTAATGTGACGCGAGTTGCGATCTGGCAGCCCTGTGCCATTAAGGGTTCCATTTGTACTTTGATGGAGGCCATCTTCCGATGTCAGCACGGCTGCCAGCATGCTGTCGACGAAGATGGCCGCGCCACCATACAGGAGCCCAAGGGTCGGTGAGACCCTTTTGGCCCCCTAATCTTGCCTTCAGAACTGTCGTCAGGCAGGAAAGGGGCTTATGTTGCCCGGCTTGTATCGCTGTGCGGTGTGTCCACCAGTACAGTTGGGTTCTTCTTGGAGGGCGGCTTAAAGAAGAGCCAATGGGGGCAGATGGTGTGCCACTGCGACCCCTCTTCACGGCCTGGTACGTGGTGGAGGGCGGGTGTGCTGTCGCCTCCTAACTTCCTGAATTGTCAAGCAAGTCTCCTTCCCTTCTCTTCTGTCTGCCTGTTGGCTTTGTTGTTCTCGCTACCCCCTTTGTCAATTGTCATGGTTGCCGGGTTGCCGATCTGTCATGCAGAAACTGTGAATAGGAGACACAACCCCCCCTCTGTTGTAACACCGTCGACACCGCTACTTTACCGTCCTACTACCGTTCCTTCCACTCAGGGGCAGCCAACTATGCACCGCCATGATATTCAGTCCATCCAGAAGCCAGGCCATACACCACTTTGTCTTTGACAAGGCTGCTGGCAAGGAAAGAGCCTCACTTCGACACTCGACGAATCATGGTCAGCCAGAAAGCACTTGATGGGATGCCGGAGACGAAGCCGCATCGAAGCCGCATCGAAGCCGCATACATGGACATTAAACGTTTCTCTGGGACTATAAGTTGCGCTAGGCTACGGTGGTGGCCCCCCTGAAGCGGTCCACACAGCCAGCGCCCCCTGCCCGTTTATCGAGCTATGGACTTCCCTGCTGAAAAAAATTACGCCGACATGGGACTACCTTGGAGCCCATCTTGCCAGAGCCAGCTGGACAAAACCTCCCAGTCCGATCGGCCGTCAACTACTGACACTCGACGAATGCCACCTGAAAACCGTTAGGACTCCAAGGACTCCTGCCAACTCGATAGCCTCGCGCTGACAACGCCTAACAGCACTTGATGTGGACGAATTTCTGCTCAACGACTGCAAGTATCGTGACGACAGTAGGTAACCTGCCCCTCTGTTGGGGTTGGCATTTATCAAGGGTAACAAAATACGCAGGTTCCAAGCACCCGCTCGGCTGGGCACGGCTAGCGGCGATACAGGACCAGTTCAACAACATGGACATGTCTCGAGACTTCAGCTATGTTTGGAAACGTTGGGAATTATACAACGGTGGCCGGTTAGCCTTTTTGCAACAAGAGCTTTACAACTACGAAAAAGAAAGAACCGATCATCTCAGGTGCTTGACGAAGAACCAGAAAAGACCACCGGGCCACCCTCCTATAATGGAAGATTACTACGACATTTTGATGAATGACCTGGCCTCCGTGCTCCAGGCTCATACTTCAATTCGTGCTCAATCGCGAGAGATGCGCCAGCTTTACCCTGTGCCCCGGGAGCAATACAGGGACTTGCTGGAACACATGGCAGAGCACGGCATGCTTGAGAGAGAGGGATATCTATATTTCGATTCGCCGGACGAATTCTCCAGCGTATTTCCTCTCCCCCCGCTCTGGGTGATACGGTTTCTCTACAGTCCATTCGGCAAGTGGGTCATAGTGAGTGATGCCACGGCAGTCAGCCCGTCCAGATCAGGAAACTGACCATGGCTGCCCAAACAGAAACACTTCTTCCGCAAGGGAGACGACCCGCATTCCCGCTTCCTCCCCGAAAGCGCTCTCATCATCATGCTCAAGACAATACAGGTCCTAGGCGCCGCGGCGCTCGTCTTCATACCCGTGGGCATCCTCTGGCTTGCGGAGCCAAGCAAGCTTCAGGCTTTTGGCGTTGTCGTCGGCTCCACGACCGTCTTCGGCGTTGTGGTGACATCTACAAACGAGCTGAACACACACAAGACGCTCGGGTTGGTGTGCGCCTACATGGCAATCATGGTCGTCTTCGCCGCCGCGAGCTCTAGCAGCATGCCGCTTGACCGTCGGGGAGGTTAGCCCTTGTAATCATTGCACGGTTGACATGGACAACATGCTGCATAAAAGTGGTGCAACATATACGGAGGCAGCAGGCAGGGATCGGATATACACATTCGAAACATATAGGGAGCCTAAGCAAAGTGCTGTTTTGAGAACCCTTCGCTATCCCATCTCCATGTTCGCACATCAGTTACCCCTTTTCTCTGCATTTAGTTACGTAGCTCAAGAAGCCGGGGCAAGAAGAAAACGGAAAGTAAAATGAGAATTAGACCGTCTCGAAGGCTGTCCAGCCTTGAATAAGAGCTCGCAATCCCTCTAATGACTTTTCCGTTCCATATTCCGCAGCATGTTCTGGGTGTCCTGCAAAGTAAATATTGACAGTTGACGTTGAAAGTGGAGATAGCGTTAGCCAGGAGACCAGGAGGCTCAAAATTACAATTGCCCGATTCAGGGGGGGGTTGGTGAAAGCAAGGAGCGGGACCGCGGGAGCACCCGAGAGAACCCACTAACGGACCTTCTTGCTGGGCCAAACGGTCTCTGAGGAATAAATATGGACAAGGGTTTGTGAACCAGTAAACGTTAGGTAACTGTGAGAGACGCCGATAAGGATGGCTTCGTCTTCTTCAAAACGAACGCAAATGATAGGTCGTTTCGCAGTTATTCGGACCAGGATCCCGGGGTTTGTTTGGCGGTGAGGAAGTTTCCGGAAGGAGGGGCTGGGTATGCAGTAAAGTTGAAGTCCAAAACGGTTGGTCTCGGCTGTGGCAGGTGGGTGAGGTCCTTGGAAGTATAATGGGCAAGACCGCATGAGTTGATGTTTTGAGATGCAACAGTGCTGGCTAAAAGTGAAAATGGGGAAAGGGATTCTGTTCTTCAGGATCATGAACACCCAAATCAATTGATCCAAGGTTTTCGTCGGAACTCGGGTTAGGGTTGAACCTGCGACATCGGGATCCTGCTCTCCCCTTCTCCCCTTCCTAATGACTCTGGATGTTCGTCACCCTTTTTATGCTCGAATCTTGAATGCAAAGCGCGCATCCGAATTGACATTTCCTGCCATGTCCATCATGTCAACTCCTTAGCGCAGGGAACTGTGTCTGCAAATAAGTGCTGCTGTGGTGGTCAGCATTACCAAATTTGAACGAGTCCGTAGGGAGCACTAGAGACACAAACCGACATTTTCAGACCCTTCACCAGGCTCTTGCCTGCCCAAGCCGTCTAAAGAGCATCCGCCAGTCGTAGTTATCAGCCTTCCCAGATCATTTGACACGGCTTTGCTCCGAGTCGCCAGAAGTGTCCGTTCCCGAATTGTCTCGATTGTCGCGATCGTGAAGCTTTCTCACAATGGGGTGGACGCCAATAGGGCTTTTAGACCGACGCCCGCGCTTCACTCTGCTTTGTGGATCAGTCCCGGCGCCACATCGCGGGTCGAGTGCGGTGCACTTTTCGGCTGCTACACTCCGAGGGTGTTCGGTCCGGCTGAAGCAACTGAAGCAGCCCCCCATTTTGCGTCTCCACGAGTTCTTCGTCGAAAGCAAAGGAAGATTTTCCAGGAACCCAGCTTCGACGCGTAGTGGGTGGCTCAAAGGTGTCGTATCGCATCCGTCCTTTTGAGATGGACGGTAGGATGTATGCTCCAAGTCTGCGAGTGCGACCAGTCAGGTCAGGTGAAGGGCGAATCAGGACCGAGCTTGCCCTGTGCGGGCGGCATGCTGGGACGCAAGAGCCCCGTCCATAGCTTCTGTTTCCTTCCACCGCTGACGTTCCCGATCGCGGCCGAGCCGAACTGACAGCGCTAAGGACGCTTTGTTTGCTTGAACTTTGGCTAGACGATACCAGTGGGAACTCGTTTCCCTGCCACAGTACTAGCAGGCTTTTTGATGAGGAAGGCGTCGAATGTCCCCTTTCGGGAACGCCACCCTAGCACGACGAGAACAGCCGAATCTTCACTACACCCGAGTACCAAAGTAGCTGGCTCCCGAGTTGAGTTTGCATCACTCTGTGCTCACTCCTTGCTCAACGTCCCTTTTTGCTGAATCGGGCGTCTCGAGCCATCGCTCGAGAAGGGCATGTCCGACAATGTGACGTTCGGGTTAGGGTTGTGTAAGCCCTTGGCATTATGCTCGCTGTGTGGCCAGAGGTGACAACGACGCTCGCTTGTCAATGCGTTGCGCATCCTGTAACAGGTCATTATTATCCAATCCAAATCCGGACACAGAAGGGAACCCGGCAGCCCATGAGTAACGTGGGGGAGTATCCAACACAAACCTACCGCAATTGCGCCAATCATGTAGAGAACGGGGTCGGGAGATGATCGATCGGCAACTCGGCCTTATGAATGCCCGAAGTTGCGACTGGGGAGCCCAAGGGAGTTGAATCTCGACGGACAAGAGATAGTTGCGGAGAGTTGATGGATTCCGTTCGACGGCTTGGCAGGTTCATCTCTCGTCGAGAGTGAAGGACAGGCCGTTGGAAATTCGCTGCTGCTGCCATAGCCGTATCTGGTGTCGTCGCATGGGTGATGTTCGATGGTGTTTTGAAGATCGGCTTGCAAGGAATACCTAGCCGAGGATATTTTAGGGGCTAAAGATTGCAATGCGGCCTTGGATCATGCGCGATCAAAATGCCGGGCAGGTTGACCAGCCTTTGGCTTTCACCGAGTAGGTCGAGTGCGATATTATCTGTGACGTTCACTCGAGTCGCAGATAGGGCTATGGCGAGTAGGTAGTAGGTGACGAGAGAAATCAACCTTAGAGGATAACGGAGGTCTGGGCGAAGACGGGAGAGAGTGAGAGAGTACTCCGTATGAGGAGGAAGGTGGGAGATTTTATGCATTTGCCCGTGGGCAGCGCCATCAGATGAACAAATATGTATTACCCAACCACAGCCTAACTTGCTCACCAGTCAAAGGCCAGAGAAGCCACCTACCTAATAGGAACATTAGTGTGATTGCCTACTTTCCAGGCCAGCTAAAATGCACCCACTGCAACTACCCGCTTTGCAATCTGGAGCATCCATAATGGATGGGTCACTACCTCCTAGGTTACTGGTGTTACCGGCATTAAGGCAGCCCAGAGGCCGAATCTACCTGACTATGTCACATAACTAGAGGGGTTTTACCGCGCAAACTTTCAGAGGCTTCACCCTTCT